ATAAATTTATTGAAGATAATTGATCTGTATGTATAAATATTAGAGATAGCAATATTAAGTGATCAAATAAGTGCAAAATATAAAGATTCTGAAAATTATTTTCAGTCAAATACTAATTTAAAGTGAGGTTAATAAAACCTATAAAGTTTGAAAATAAAAATAATTAATTATTTTTAAAGGGTATGCTTTTAGGCTTCATGCGTTTTTGTATTGAAATTAAGGAAAATAAGATCTCTCGTATTTCAACTTTTAAAAATTGAATTGAAACATGAAAAAGGGATAAGGCAAAGATTTAACTATAAGTTGATTTAATAGAATATTTTGATAAATGATATAATTGGTAACCAATTTTTTATCATATGTAATAGCCTCAATAAATTACTAAAAATTCAAAGCAAAAAGTTTAATTGTTATATTAAAGGAAATGCAAAGCTTATTTATAATGCAAAACCTACGAAATTTTGCCATTTTGATATTTAATCTGCAGCAAAAACCTCTATAATGAGCATAAATAAAGGCTAATGTAAGAATTAGTAATATATAAAAGATAAATATGAGTAATAAAAGTATTTATATTTGCCTTGCAAAAAAAAGTTTAATTATTTTATTAAAATTTCTTCATTGCTTAAATAATCTATGATCATTTTATTATCTTTACTCTTAATTAAGATCATTTTTTAAAAACATATTTATATGAATAAGATAGAAAACTTTAATTCAAAGCAATATGCAATAAATCTATCAGCACTAAAGACCTTTGAATTATGCGTTAATATTTTTGCAATAGCTTTAATACATATAGCTAGCAATTGAGTTATGTGCCAGTATTTCAGTAATAGCTTTAATACATGTAACTAGCAATTTGTTTAACTCCCCCTTCGTGAGTGAACAAAAAAATTTTGTTCACTCACAGAGGGGAGTTAATTTTTTTTTAAAAAAAATTTTATAAAAAAATTTAAAAAAAATCCTAATTTGCAAAAAATTGGAAAGCAAATATTAATTTAATTTATAAAATTTATGTTTTAAAACGCAATTTGTTTAAAATTAAACAGAATTAGCTCGAGATTTCATTATAAATAATTATCACTTATATATCAATTTTTTTTTCATAAAAAATTTTTTCTATTAAAAAAATTTTTGTTCACTCACGGAGGGTGGGTTTTTTTTTGGGCAAAAAATAGGGATTTTTCTAATGGTTTTGTTCACTCACAGAGGGGGGAGTAAGTATCTCATTCCTTCAGCCTCCATCCCTGATATTAGGATTATCAATAAAACAAAATAAATTAATTTATTCCTAGCTTCACTCTTTTGCGATATCAGAAAAATAGATTGATATTTTTCATTATTTCAATTCCTATTTACAATAAATAAAAACATTTTTGTTTTTATTTTTTCAAAAGATAATTAAATTTTTGCTTTCTCTTAACTTAAAAATGTAGAATATAAAATATGAAAGATGATTCAAAAAATTTCTTTGAATTAAATAAGCGTGATGCTTATTCAGATTTTAAAAAAGAGTAAGTATTTAAATCATCATTGTCTTCATAACTCCATCTCATATGTAATTCCTTATTTTTTAATGTTTATGCTTATGAGATTGCTCTTTAACTCCTATTCCTCAGTAGTCTTAAGCTCTGAATAACGGTAGGTGAGACCAGCCTAACCGTTAACCTGTTTCGCCCAAGCCTCTTCAGACCTCTTTTTCTACACCAGCCTCAGTGTAGAAGACTTCTCCTTGAGCCGAGACTCTCAAGAAGTTCAGAACTACTCTAACTAAGCTCAGTTTTAGGACCGCCATCCTACCCTAACTGCCATTTTAAATCTTGTAATGCCTTATTAACTCTATGCACAATTATTAATACAAAGCAAGAGAAAAGACTGCAGAAATCGACCGAGGATTTTACAGAATTGAGATCGTTAGGAAAATGGAATTGTTCAAGTCGGATGAAGTCCTGAAGAGCGAGGATGAGAAAAATTCGCTCACCTCTGAAAAAGAGACACAAAAGAAGCTTGAAGCTCTGCTATTTATCCGAGACTTAGCAATTCAGCTGGGACTTTCTCAGTCCTGCGTAGCTACTGCGCAAGTCTACTTCCACAAAGTAATACGAGCCATAGTTCGCTGTAACAAACAGCATTGGGAAGTTCGACAGTCTCCACTTAGCAGGCGCCTGCATTTTTCTAGCTGCAAAAGCCCTGGAGCAGCCCAAGCACCTGGAAAATGTATGTAGGCGGTTCTACGTGCTCCGCTCAACTATTCAGACTTCCCTTAACCCCAGGTTACAAGTTCCTCCCTTATCAGATTCGATGCTGAGAAGGCTTGCAAAAAATATTGAATTTTATGAGTTTTGGCTTCTAAATGAGATAGGATTTAATTTTGAGATTCCTCTTCCATATCCATACATTCACAATTTTATCTTCCCACTAAACATATCACCTCAGACGAGGAAAAACGTACTGAGATACGCGTGCAACTTCGCTAACGACTGTTTCCGAACTACTCTGGCTTTGCAAAAGAGCGCGGAAAATATAGCTGAAGCTTGCATTTTCTTGGCAGTGAAATTTCTGCAACTTGAGATGCCAGTCCCAGCAGATCAAGATACTGTAGCAATAATCAGGGATTTATATAGACATAGCTAATTAAATCATGGTTGCTTGTAAAGCAAACCTATGGATTATTTTCGCTTTTTTATTTACAGTACCTTAAAAAGAGCAAGCTTTTTCTTCCATTTTTAGAAGGGATTAATTTTTTTTATTAAAAAATTGAGATTAAGATTATCTAAAAACTTTTTTTTAAATTTGTAAGAGAATCATAAATTAATGTTTAATAATGCAAGTTGTCTTAAATTTAATAGAATTTTTATATAAAAAAGTTAAATTAATAATTTTTTTCTTAAGGAGGGTAGTTTTTCCAAAAATAGGCAATTTTTAATGATTAGTTACTCTTAAAGGAGTCGGAGAGCTAGGATTAAAGTCTATTGATAAGTGTTTAAGAGATTATGAAAATAGGTAGGTGGCCTTTGTTTAAAGGCTTCTGCTAGCTTTTCTCCACGTATTTTGAACTTTATGAAGATTTTAACCTCCATATGCTGAAGCTGCTTTCCCATATGAGACCTTTCTTTGTAATTAAAGGGATATTTTGTATGATTGCTTGTCTGATTATTTTCGCTTTATTTTGAAGAGCTTTCTTTCTTTGTGTGCCAGTATAGGCCTACTCTTTACTGGGATAATAGTTTTAGATTTGAGTGAAGAATAATTCAAAAGTGGAAAAATGCGATTGAACTGCACAATACTTTTTTCTATGAGCAAATGTAATTAACACTATCTAGAAGCCTTAAGAATAGACCAAAAGTTGGAGTAAAAATATTTCCATTGGCTCTTTTATATTAATGGACATTTTGATTGAAATAAAAACAGTAGCTCTATCTAACGATTTTAGAGGTAAAATTTTAATAAAATTATAATTACTTTATTAACACAATAAATCAGTTTAACTTTATTTTTAAATCGAAAAGAATGGTTGCCTTAAGTCACAAATCGAATTTTACATAAAATAATAATAAATAATCTTTCATATAATGAGCCATGATGCTAATTGATCAAAATTGTGTGAACTCACTCAACCTATTGTTTGCACTCCAATCGCTGATAACTAAGGGCCTCAACCAAAATCTTTTATGATAGACAATTCATAATGTTAATTTACCACTTCTTGCCAAGGCGCACAAGCAAGATACCATAAATAATTATAGCTATTTTCTTATTTCAAATAAAATTTTTATAATATTTCTTTATTTAGATTAGGCTCATCTCAGCTAATTACGGACTTTCTGTACATTTCCAATCCTCTAGACTTCAGCCCCTCCATTAGGTTTTTGTTATTGGCACGTGGACTGTCTGCGCAGTCACAGTTTCTAGGTTTGCAGCTTGCTCCATCTCTGCCTTTACTGATTTGCTCCAGTCGCTTTGTCTTGAATCTTGGCAGGACGCCCGTAGGCAGATACTTTGGTATGTGAAAGCCCTTTTAGAGGAAAATACTCATCTCTAGAGGGGGTATAATATTTTTCCTGCACTTTAAATTGAATCAAATATTAAATTTTTAAATAAAAATAGAAACTTTCCTATTAATATATAATGTCTTAATAAATGTCATTCCTCAAGAAAGGTTATCAAGACTTATGAAAAGCAATAATCCGTCCGCCTCGAGACGTTTATGAAACAAAAGAACTGGGACCTACTGAATTTTGCATTGGAGAACGAAGCTTCAAACGCACCGACATCTCTCTACAAAATCGTCGAGGACTAAGGCTGGAATGCTCCCATTTTGAGCCCGTTGCAGAAGAGAGAGTCTGCGCTCAGCTACCTTGTGTTATATATCTCCATGGAAATTCAAGCAGCCGACTTGAAGCTTTAGCATCAGTTCCAGTCCTTCTCCCAGCAAATATCACATTATTCTGTCTAGATACATCAGGTTCTGGCTTATCAGAAGGCGAATATATTTCATTAGGGTGGTATGAGCGCGATGATGTAGATTATGTGGTCGAATATCTGAGGAATTGTGGAACTGTCAGTTGTATAGGACTTTGGGGAAGAAGCATGGGGGCAGTCACTGCTCTTTTGCATGCAGATAGAGACCTTTCAATTGCTGGAATGGTCCTTGATAGTCCTTTTTCAAACTTAAAAGTCCTTACAAAAGAGCTTGCAGCAATTTACGCAAAAAATATCCCTGGAATTGTGCTTTCAGCTGCAAAATCAATGATAAGAAAAACAATAAGAAAAAAAGCGAATTTTGACAGTAATGAGCTAGATCCTTTGAAGCATGTAGATAAATGTTTTATTCCTGCTTTATTTGTGGCTGGAGAGGATGACACATTTGTAAACCCAAAACATTCCCAGATATTATATGATAAATATGCAGGAGATAAAAACATCATAATAGTGGAAGGAGACCATAACAGTGACCGGCCTCAATTTATGCTAGATTCAGTTGCTATTTTTTTTTATAATACTTTACAGTGCCAATTTTTACCTCAGCTTGAAATAGTTCCAAGATCAGCTAAAAAGCGAAAAAAGTTCAGTCGCAACGCAAGAGTATTTGAAAAAGCTAGAGAATTTCAAGACAATTTAGTATCAGAAGAAGAGCTACTAAGACAAGCTATTGAAGAAAGCCTCAAAGTGTCAGACGTTAAAAATGAAGATCCAGTAGAGAACTCCTATGAGTTTTTATAATAAATAAAGCGAATTAATTTTATATTACTCAGTATAGTCAGCAATCCCTCCTTCTGTAATCATATATGGCGACTCTGCTTCAGGCAAATTTGGCGAATCATAAACTTTCATTACCCTGCTTTCACCTCTTCCTTTTCTCAGAGAAAGTCTTACAGTAGATGCATGGGCCATTATATGTCCACCAATTGGCTTTTTAGAATCTGCTTGGAACATCGCCCCGCCATCTACTTGAGCGACAACTTGATTGGTAATGAGAACCGCCACTCCAAACTCGTCAGCTAATCTTTGAAGATTTCTAAGAAATCTTCCTAAATGGTTTTGTCTTGCTGCAAGCTCTCCTCTGCCTGTATAATCTGTTCTATATAAAGCAGTGGCAGAGTCAACAATTAATAAAGAATAATGGCTTTCAGCCATTATAGCAGCTGCTTGTATAAGCAATTGTAATTGATGATCAGAATTGAAAGCACGGGCGTAGCCAATGTTATCTAATGTAGTCTGAGGATCAAGTCCAAATCTTCTTGCAATTGATTCTATACGGTCAGGACGGAAAGTCCCTTCTGTATCAATATAAATCACTTTACCTGCAGCTCCACCATGAGAAGTGGGTAGCTGAGCTGTAACTGCAAGAGTATGGCACAATTGAGTTTTTCCTGTTCGGAACTCACCAAAAAGCTCAGTTAATGCGCCTGTTTCAAGGCCGCCTCCTAATAATTTATCTAATTCTCCACTGCCAGTCGTGATATAAATTAAGTTTTTACGTATTTCATATTGATCAGTCGCTGACATAAAGCCCATTGGTAATAGTTTTCGGACTGCATCATTGATTTTGTCGGCTTTTGCTTCAGAAATTCCTTTGACAGATAAAAGAACTTTTCTTGTTGAATAAGCAACTGATTCTATTGTTTGGAAGCCTGCCTCTTGAAGCTTTGTGATATCAGATTGGTTGAGTCCGAAATCTTTAAGTCTTTGAATCGGCATTGGCCCTGATTCGCATTCGATGTTTTCTTTGTCTACCGCGCGCTGTGCCTGCATTTGAATTTATAAATATGGAAAATGTGGGAAAATTAAGTAATTTAAGCTTGGGAATTATTAAAATTAGTTTTATTTAAAATCAAATTAATTAAAAATAACAAATAGCTTTATTGTATCAAATATTAATTTCTTGTTCATGACTATACAAATGATAATAAAATAAATGTCGAGACTCCTGCTTTTTCCTATAATAAAATTCATGTGGATACTTAATCTCAAAATTATTATAAAAAATGAAAGGGAATTAAATAGTATCCTAATTTTTATTATTGCCTCTATCAGTATAAGGCTTATACTATTTAAATTATTAATATTTTTCGACAAATGAACAGTCCAAGATATACGTTTTTAGCTTAATAAAGTAATAAACTTGAAAATGGCTGAGGAAAAACCTTCAAAAGATAATGATTCTGCTCCTTTGCTCGATAACTCAGACTACAAAGATCCATCTTGGTCAGATTACTATAAAAAAAGCTACAAAGACTTATTAGAGTCTCCTAATGATTATTGGATGGTGCTGCTAGTTAAAACAGTCGGATTTGGAGGATTTTCAATGATTTTAGTATGTGGGGCAATATATCTGTCAGAGGTCCAGGATATCTCAGATACAATGGTAGGATTAATATATGGCTGTGCTGGTGTTCTAGCTGCAATATATACAATTTCTCTTTCAAGTATCCCTGATAGATTCGGAATCAAAATTTCTATGCTTATTTCTATGGGCTGTGGGTTTTTAGGATTTTTATTGCTTGTGTTTATTACAGATAAATATATCCAGCTTTTTATTTTAGGGACTCTATTGCTTGTACCTCTTGTATTGACTCCGCCAGCTGTAAAGCTTGCAATTAAAAAATACACCTCAAATGATGCAAGAAGCTTAGGCTTTTCTGTATATACCATGGTATTTTATGGTAGTATCGCTCTAGCAGGAATTGCTGTAGATTTGATACTTACTTTTGGAGACGAAGACCAAGCAACTTTTCGAATTATTTTTATTATTTCTACAGTCTTTATGGGAATCGCTTTTTTCATGTCACTTTTTTTAAGAGAGTTGGATTACTCTTATAGAGGACAAGAACTTGTTAAAATTGATAAAAAAGAAGGATAAATAAAATGGCATTCGGTTCGAGAGAAATTAGCTCTGCTAATTTTCTCTCCCTCATGGAATTTTATTTATGGGGTTATATAAATTGCCTTTGAGTAGCGCGCTAAGCACCCGAGACTTCCCGACGAAGTCTGGGCGGTGGTTTGACCAGCTGATGTTGGTCAAGCCAGCATCCAATTTGACAAATCTTCTATATGAGAAGAATTTGTCATTTTGGATGTTGGTTTGATCAATATCAGCTGGTCAAACCACCGCCCAGACTTCGTCGGGAAGTCTCGGGCGCTTAGCGCGCTACTCAAAGGCAATTTCTATAGGTTTTCACTCGAGAACTTCTGGACAGCAATAGCGGTTTAACTCTGGGGATAACCAGAGGAACTGCTCCTCAGTCCTCTCAAGATTTCGGGGTTTTACCTCTCAGCACATCTCCAAGGGAAGATGACCCTCAGGCGGAACACGCGCAGGAGCTGAGTCGAGACAAGGGCGACGGCATCGCGCCGGGTGAGACGTGCAGCAAGGCTGGTGAAGCAGGAGTTGATAGAAGGCTTGGCCAGGGCTGACCTGTTCCAAGATGGCTTGCCTACGTCACTAGTTTTGCCATAGGTCCTTTTTGGGCTGCGGCACTAGACACCTTAAACACCAGATAATTAAGTTAAGTAAGTAAGATAAAAAAGAAGAATCGTCATGGGATCATTTAAGATCTATATTGATATTAAAATCTTTTTGGAGGCTTGTAGCATTGTGCCTTGTTCTTGCCTTTGTGAGGGCTGTTTATAATCATCTGACTATTACCTTGCCTATTTATATGTATCGTGATATTGAAGATGGGGCTCATTTTGGGTATATCATTGCTTTGCACCAAATCCTAATGATTATTTTTACTCCGATTTTAACAATGTTGATTTATGTTATGAATAATTATTCGTTATTAGCATTTGGAAGCTTGATTACTGCTGCCTCACCACTAGTATTGTTATTTGGTGCTAGTTATTTGACCGTGTGCATTTTTGTATTTTTTGTAAGCTTAGGAGAGGCAATTCATGCTCCAAGAATAATTGACTATACAATGGAAGTTGCCACCAAAGGACGTGAAGGAGTATTTTTATCAGTTGCTGCAAGCCCTCTAGCAGTCGGATATATCTTTACAGGGCTGACAGCTGGACCACTACTTGAAGAATATTGTCCTGAAGATGGAGAAAGAGAATGCTGAAAGGTTTGACTTTTTATTTCTATTATCACTTTTATAGCAACTGCTGTGCTTTTTATCTTCCGAAAGTGATTGGAGCAGCCTTATTTTGAGTCTCACCCATATATGTCTTGCTCTAAAGAAGCTGAAGCAGATAAACACGTCCTGGAAAGCCAATAGAGAAATGAGTTAATTAGTTTCACATTTTTAAATAATTAATTTCTGTTTTAATTAGGATACCTTGTTTTATTAAACGTGGAAAATAGTAATGTGGTGTGCAAGTAGCATGTTTTTGATATTTCGTTTAGTGTGGAATCTGCTGATAGGAGCTTTTTGATGTGACTGATGCAGGAATCTTTCTTTTATTGGGCTGCTTTTTTCGCTTTGAAGACCTTCTGAAGTGTCTTTGATTTCTTCTAAGACAGTTTCTAAGTGGTTTAGCTTCTCAATAATGTGCTCTGGTATTGTGTTATCGTTTGAATGCACAACTGACTTGTCATTAGCTGTATTCAACTCATCAAATAAAGAAGGAAAATTTTTTGAGCTTGAGTCATAAGATACTGATAAATCTTTTTTCATCACAATTCTGCCTTGAAAAGTGCAAGGATCACTGCAAAGTTCGTTTACGTTTGCATTTAAGCGCTTTATCTGACATTCAGTTTGTTTGGAAGCATCTAAATAATACTCAATTAGATCTCTTAATTTGTTCCCAACGTCCAAATTTAATTCCAGACTTTCTAACTTTATAAAGAAACATAATACTCTTTGGGAAATATTTATTAAAAAGGGACACTTGGGTTGGAGCTTGAAATACCAAATAGCATTCCACATATGGATCTATATGCTCCGGCATGCAGAATGCTACTCCGTATGTCAAGTTCGAATCCACAAGTGGACCCTTTTTATTTAATTTTTTTAATGGATTAAGCATTTTTCTACAACTTTTCCTTGAGACTCAAAGGAATCATGAAATGCGATAATTTCTTCTTTTAACCCATCAAGAGACGATTTGAGCTTATTTGAAAATGCTTTTGGCTTTTTATTTTTCGTGTTCACATTACTAATGTACTGCCGTAACCGTATATTTTCATCATTTAAATGCGAAATATACTCTTTTAAAGCCCTGTTCTCATCATTAAGTCCTTTTAATTGATCTGCAGATCTAAATAATTGTTACAGCGTCATTTGATCGATATATTTTTTCCTATCTTCCTCAGCTTCCTGGTATTTGTGAGTCAGCTTTTCTAACTTATGATGCAAAACGACGATCTCTTGCTTTAGAGGAAACTCAATCCGGCTTACCATCTCATCTTTTCCATCATCAAAAAGATGATGGTCTTGCTCAGGAGGCGTTGTTAAGCGGTGCTCATTTCTACGAAACATATGGATATAAAATATTTATTAAGCCTCTAGCAATAATTTAAATACAGCTGTAAAGTAAAGCTCATTAAATTCATAATTGTTATTAAAAATATTAAAGCACTAAAATGCCTCCACGTAATCTTACTATTATAATTTCCTACATAGAGTTCCCTATCTGTTTTTCTTTAATTAAGGCTTGAGAATTCGATTCCCATTAAGCTCTCCATAAAACATGGAATCCAACTTCAAAGGATTTATTGAGAGGTGGGCTCCAGTCCTTCGCATAGTCATGCTCGTCATGATTTGCCTTATCGCAGTCTTGATTCGTGTGTTTTCTGTATTTTTCATTTAGGTCATTCGCTTTGAGAGCATCATTCACGAATTTGACCCTTGGTTCAATTATCGGACAACTCGGTACTTGGCTGAAAAAGGCGTCTATGAGTTTTGGAACTGGTTTGACTCAAATTCATGGTTTCCACTTGGCAGAGTCATCGGAGGAACACTTTACCCTGGGATCATGATGACAGCTGGAGCTCTTCATCAGTGGGCGAATCTGCTTACATTTCCAATCGATATAAGGAACGTCTGTGTCTTCTTGGCACCTATTTTTTCAGCTTTGACAGCACTCGCATGCTACCTCCTGACTAAAGAAGTAACAGGGAAGACTGAGCCTAGCTTATTTTCCGCACTCTTTATCAGCATTGTGCCATCATATATTTCCAGATCAGTAGCTGGGAGCTATGACTATGAAGGAGTCGCAATTTTCGCATTACTTTTTACGTTTTACTTATGGATTAAAGCTGCAAACACAGTAAGATTAATGTAGGGATCCTTGATATGGTCAGGAATGGCTTCACTTTCTTTCTTCTATATGGCTGCATCCTGGGGTGGGTATGCATTTATCGTCAACATTATCCCAATTTTTGCTATAGTTCTCATCTTGATAGGCAGATTCAATACAAATACGTATATTGGCTACTGCTCTTTCCATATCCTTGGGACCCTTCTTGCTATGCAGATTCCATTTATAGGATTCCAAGCAGTCACAGCATCCGAGCATTTGCCATCTCATACAGTTTTTATCTTCATAAATGTCTACTATTTCTGCGAATGGATAAAAGAAAAAGTAGGCGAAACAAGGTTTAACACCCTGAAAAAAGTTGTATTAGGAGTAAGCGCTACAGCAATTGTATTGGTTGCTTTGTTTTTGACGTTAACTGGAAGAATGAAATGGACTGGAAGAAGCTTATCTTTATTAGACCCTACTTATGCCAAAAAATTCATTCCAATTGTTGCATCAGTATCTGAGCATCAGCCTACAACTTGGTCAAGCTTTTTCTTTGACTTGCACATTTTGGTTTTCCTAGCCCCTGCTGGGTTTTATTATTGCATTATGGAGCATAATAATGGGAAACTTTTCATTGCGTTATATGGAGTTCTGTCAGTTTATTTTGCATCTGTCATGGTTAGGCTTCTTCTTGTTTTAGCACCTGCGCTGTGCATTTTGGCAGGAATTGGGCTTTCAGAGACGATTCATAGGTTTGCAAGGCATATTATACATTTTAGGGAGTGGTGGGACTATTATAACACCCCAGAAGAAATAAGAGGACATAAGCCTAAGTATGGCTACCCATTAGAACTGTCAATACCTATTTTGGTTATATTAGCTATCAGCGTAATTGCTTTATATTAGCCATAATAATAAAATAGCCTAGGATAAAAACGTAATTCACTCCGAAAAAAAACCTTTTCCCTACCAAACTTAGAAAAATATGAACCATAATATGTCCTGCAGAGAGTCAAGATAAAGCGACTGGCGTAGAATCAGTTTATGCTGAGAAGGAGCAAGTACGGGCAAGCTCCAAACTCACGCACTCTAACAGCACAGGCAATCCACCTGCCGCCGGCAACAACCGCGTGGAGGACTCTGGAACCTAGAGGGTGGAATCGTACAGTAAGTCCGGCAGTTGCTGAACCTTCTCGCGGTAGCCTCGGGTGAGCACGATTAATTCAGATGGTATATCGACCAGAATTCTTATCAGAAATTAAGCAGTTAACGATAACGATAGTGATATGCTTTTTCTCATGCAATGCCCTACCATTAGGTAAACGGAGCTTGAGCTCCTGGGACAGGATGGCTGGCCTTAGCGGTGTGGGACGAAAACTGGGCAGTGTAGGCTATCCGAGTCTCTGCGTAATTCAAAATCAGCAGAGAGGTGTATCTACTGAGGCAAGATGGAAAAAAGTCCATCGCTCATCGGAATCCAGGAATCCAACGGAGGAGATGCAATTAATTGGGTGCAATTGCATTGAAGATGGTGTCCTGACGAAGACAATGGGCATGATATGCGAAGATAAGCTGCCTTACCGTCGATAGTGGTAGGTAATAATAGCCTTAAGGGCAAGTGCGGTGGGCTTTGGCTCCACCATAAAATTGTCTTACGACCTCTAAATGTAAACCTAAACTTATGGAGTTAATTTTTTATACATAGACTTCTTCAGAAGAAGAGAAAATGGTAAGGAATTTTTATACTTCGCCGCCTTGTGTGTGTATACCTCTTTCCTAAACTGGTATAAAAGGCAGGACCCTTAGGCCAAGTAGACGCTGAAGGAAAGTAGGACAGAGCGAGATAACGCGAAGCCACTAGTGTTTTAAGTGCTTCTGGGTTCACAGGGACTAGGAGGAGCGATTCGATTGCTTGCAAGGTCCACATGAGTCGAGAGTAGCAAAAAAACAAAAAAAAAAAGCGCCACCTTTACTGCGCAACTAAATGCCTAACTAAAAGTTATTTAAATTAAGTTAATTGTTATGCGTGCTTATATTAACCACTGCGTGTGGGTTGGAGCAGAAGCTTATTCTTCACCTACCATTATTATGTCCCACAAAGGTCATGATGGGGAAAAAATTATTGTGGATGACTACAGAGAAGCCTATTACTGGCTTAGGATGAATACCAAGCCTGACGCAAAAATTATGTCATGGTGGGATTATGGATACCAGATTACTGGAATGGGAAATAGAACTGTTTTGGTAGACAATAACACCTGGAATAATACACATATTGCCACTGTCGGAATGATTTTCGCAAGTGATGATGATGAGTCAGCTAGGCTTTTAAGGAAACTAGACGCTAATTATGTACTTGTACTCTTTGGAGGGTTAAGCTACTATTCAGGAGATGATATTAATAAGTTCTTATGGATGATCAGGATTGCGTCAGGAGTGTTCCCACATATAAAGGAAGATGATTTCTTAAATAGAGGACAATACAGAGTGGATGGTGGTGCCACTGAAACTATGATGAAATGCTTAATGTATAGACTTTCTTATTACAGATTTGGACAAGTAGGAGGGGCTTATGGAAAAGCACCTGGCTATGATGTGGTTAGACAGACTGAGATTGGACTTAAAGATTATGAGCTGAAGAATTATAGAGAAGTCTATACTACTAACTTACCCTTTTAAGTTGGCATAAAATATTCAGTTCCAATTTATAGATGAGTTAAATTTTTTTGATGAAAAAATTGTTTAAAAAATAAAAAAAAAAATTAATTGAATGCAATATATTGAATTTTAATTTATTCTTTATGAAGAGTTGATTCAAAAAATTAATCAATTCAGTGTGAAAGCTGTTTATATTATATTCTATTTGCACTCTACCATTAAATTAGGTCAAAACAAATTTTATAAAAATTTATCTATGAAATTTTCCTATACAAAAATTTTGGTTATAATTAAAAGGTAGGAGTAAGCATTGGATAATTAGGATTTTTGAAATATTGCCTGAGGATAATAGAGAGGTAGCTAGATCTAAAACTCAATACATCAAAAAATCAGAAGATTACTTGCTGCAGTACAACCTCACACGTAGCAAAACAAGACCAAGCAAATAAGACTAAACTAAGGATGTTTTAGCTAATTTTTATTAATATATATGCTAATTTAATATCAGTGACTAATTAGAAAAGGACACAGCCACAGGATTTAGAATTCGATTTCTTTTTCGGCTTTATATCAACTTCGACGTCATCAGGATTTATGGGCTCTTCTTGCTCTTCTTCTTTTTTCTTTTTCCTATTTATCGCTTACAATGCATTAGCAATTTCATATTGGACTCTTCCTAAAATATCGCCAAGCTGCTGTCTTTCATCAACCATAATTCCTAATTCTTTTTCTAAATGTGCTACATGAGCTAGCACGAGCTGCTTAGTTTCAGCGTCATCTCTTTTCCTTGTGGCGTATAACCTATCTTCATATTCTTTTTCTTTTTTCCTTACTTTCTCCTGTTAATACTTTTTTTATATAACAAATTTCTATATATGTTAAATATAAATATAATTTCCCCAATTTTTAATATTAATAATATAATAGAATTATTTATGGAAAGATAGTTCTAAAACCTGATCTTCATACTTATCAGCGATATCTTGAAAATATCTCGCAAAAGCATTATGCTGGTGCTTTCTGGAAAATTGGCTTAGCGCAATAAACTTTCCAGGCCCAATAGCTTCTTTTTCATATCTTCTCATAGCTACTGCCCAATCCGTTTCAAGACCATCAAAGGTTTCAAAGTACTTTCCTTGCTCAAGATCAACCAAAATATCTCTAAAAAGCTTTTCAATCAATGACAAATTAAACGCTTCAGATGCTGCTTGGTTTGCTTTAAGTGTAAACGTAATGTCATCATGATAAAACCCTCCAAACTCTTCTCTGCATCCTTCTTCTAGCGCTTCATCTTTTAGCTGCACCTCTAAAAGCAACGCAAGTGCCCTATCCTTGGCAGCTTGCAATTTAATTAGCAATTCAGACTCATCATAAGGCAAATTTTGTATCTCCACGTCTCTAGCTTTTATATATCTTTTTTTAATATCTGTCATAAGCTCTTCATATTGGAGTTTTATAACGTGGCTTCAGGCTGTATTAATATTAGGCGCAATTCCGTCGTTGATTGCTTTTATCATCTCCTCCAAAAAGCTAAGCAAGTTGCTTCCTTGGATTTCAAGCCCGTCAAATTTCTTATGAGGACAGTGCTCAAGTGCAGAAAGCTGAAGCTGTTCAAAGCTTTTTTTGAACTTAGGCCTTAGTGAGTCTAAATCAAACTCGGCAAGCGCTTCAAGCTGTTTTTCTTGCTCAACAGGTCTTGGAAGTGTTATGCAGTCCCTGTCAATAAAGGTTTCAAGTATAGCTTCTCTTATTTTATTATATTTGTCCACATTTCTTCCTATAGAGATCCTATTTGTTAGAATTTTGTCCATATACTGTTTTGAACTGATAGGGATATCTTCTTCATCTACTAATGATAAATGAAAATCCCTTAACAGCCATATAAATTTAGGTGACAAAGCTGCCAATCTCCGTTTTATTTCTTCATCTGAGTCACTAGGGGTAATCCTTGTTGATATCAATTCTGATAAAGATGCTGCAAAACTCAGCTGGTTAATCGCCTGCTCATCAATGACTCCTTTTGAGTTATAAATAAATACTGAAGACAGCAAGATAAGCAGTGAAAATATTTTTGCGTCATGATTTGCTGATTTTTCAACACTTTTGCAGCCCTCTGAGTCAAGAAAAATGATACTCATATTTGCTGCTTGCATAGGCTCTCCCCATATTCAAATCCCTTGTGTAAAAAGCATAGTTAATATCGTGGTGGTGACAAAATATTCGTTGATGACGACACACCACTTTGGGCGCCAAAATGACTTTATAGCCTAAGCCAAGGTTCAGACTTTTAGTCCTAACCCTTAGCTGCCTCGAGCGGCAGTATGGGGTGGGTAAACCTTGGGAGTCAGCTGGTGGCGATTACAGTCTAGGTATTGGTTATACGGATTTTTTTTGGGGCCACGGGTTCTTTCCATACTGATTTCGGATGGCTGTGGCTCTTTTTTCTTAGATGCCACCTCTCCGCAAGATGGCAACAAGAGGCATCGAGCTGACCTTTGCCTCTATAGCACCCTCAAGATATGGAGCATGAATAGTCTTTCTAAACCGCCGAGACTCTGGTATAGGTTTATCGTTGCAAGCCTCAGGTCCTGAGAATAGACCGCTATTGAGACAGGACTCAGGCGACTGAGTTTCTCTAGCAAGCAGGTTCTAGTGGTCTTAAGAGTGCAAAGGCATCAAACCTGGAAGACTTTAAACCCTTTAATTTAATTTACTTTGTGTGCAAGCAGCAACTCTGCTGCCAACCTCAAAGCCAGATCCAGTCCCATTTGCCAAAAGGTTCATAACAAAACTTTTTCCACTTCTAGTCGGTCCTCCTATTGAAACGACTCCTATTTTCGTTTTTATCCCTTTTAGAAACTCAGCTCCTTTCTTACAGACTTCAAACGTCCCTGAATCAGTTACCTTAATTAGTTGTATCGGACCTTGATGGGTTTTTGTCTCAAACGTCGAGTTTTCTTCATTATTTTGTTCGTTTGGGTCATACGAATATTTTTGATGGACTGAGCTGTAAATTGCTTTAAGAGAAAGGTTTTCTGGAATATCTTCGTTTTGCAGCTGAAGAGGTGGGACAAATGGATCCACCTCGTCTTGACGCTCTGAGATTTCAGAGATTTCTGATGAAGATTCGCTAGAGACAGATGACGAGTCGGACATTATAGTTATTATCTTAAGATATAAATTTATTTAGCCTAACAGCATCTATAGAACTTTCTCTTCAATAGCGCGATAAGGCGCATTCCTAGGTTTTACCGGAGGGTCTTGGACATATGAAAACTTGCTATTCCTTATTCATGGGGGAGACAAACAGCCTAAATAAAGAATTGTGCCTGATCAATCTCGAGAACTTGAAGAGAGGCTGTGTGGAAAATTTACATTTTGGTTCGTCAAATGGATCTGACGAGCCAATTCTGACCAGTGCTTGAAATAAAAAATGATAGTTGCCAGAATTTTATTAATTTTCTGATGAAGAGTATGATCAGAATTTTAATAAATGGCACAGGATCAAGTAATTAATTAAGTCGCTATGAAAAATTCAAATTATAAAAAGCATTACTGGCATCGTCTCCCTAAGGCAGTTAAGAGTATTCATTACCTTTACTTTATGCTTTAATTATCTCTTTAAATCTTCTATTAAAAGTTTGGATTTTTAAAAAATTAAAAAATTATTAAGGTGGTTAAGTCAATATGAAAAAAGTCAAAATTTAAAAATCATTACTGGCATCGTCTCCGTAAGGCAGTTAAGAGTATTCATTACCTTTACTTTATGCTTTAATTATCTCTTTAAATCTTCTATTAAAGGTTTGGATTTTTAAAAAATTAAAAAATTATTAAGGTGGTTAAGTCAATATGAAAAAAGTCAAAATTTAAAAATCATTACTGGCATCGTCTCCCTAAGGCAGTAAAGAGTTTTCATTACGTTATTTTAACGATTTAATTATCTCTTCAAATCTTATATTAAAAGTTTGATTTTTGAATTTTATTGTCAAAAGGAATTATTAAAAATTCTGATCATACTCTTCATCAGAAAATTAATAAAATTCTGGCAACTATCATTTTTTATTTCAAGTACTGGTCAGAATTGGCTCGTCAGATCCATTTGACGAACCAAAATGTAAATTTTCCACACAGCCTCTCTTCAAGTTCTCGAGATTGATCAGGCGCAATTCTTTATTTAGGCTGTTTGTCTCCCCCATGAATAATGAATAGCAGGTTTCCATATGTCCAAGACCCTCCGGTAAAACCTAGGAATGCGCCTTATCGCGCTATTGAAGAGAAAGTTCTATATATAGAGTTTACTTTTCTTTTTTGGCTGGCTCTTTTTCCATTCTTTTGATCATGAAGCTTTCTTTACTTCTTTTGATGTAGTCAGGCTTTATTTCCATGCTTGCTACGATTTTGGAGGCCATGAATCTAAAAGCTTCGGCGACACCACTGCCGTCTTTGGCTGAGGTCTCGAAATAGTGAAGTTTGTGAGACTCTGCTAGGTTTCTGCCTTCTTCTTCGGTCACTTGTCTATGGTTTATCATATCAATTTTATTGGCAATGATCACTGTTATAGAGTTATCAGAAGAGTTTTTTGCAATTTCAGCAAGTCATGATGTGACCATATTAAAAGAGTTTCTATCAGTGACATCATAGGCAACAGCGATTCCATGAGAACCCCTGTAAAAGTTGCTAGTAATAGTCCTATATCTTTCCTGGCCTGCTGTATCCCATAGTTGGATTCTTACTCTTTTATCTCCTAGCTCGATCGTTCTACTTTTACATTCGACTCCAATAGTGCTTATGTAGTTGTGGGAAAAACAATTTTCCTAGATGTAAAGTTACAGCAAATCTCATGATAAGGGAAGTTTTGCCAACTCCTGAGTCGCCTATTGTAAGAATTTTGAGAATGCAGTCACTGAGTTAATGTTACAAATCTTCGCTCATTTTAAAATATACTTTGCTGTGATGAATTAATTAATTGTAATTTAATAAATGAGGTGTGTCTATTTTATTTACTCCACCCCCTCTGTCAGTGAACAAAACCATTAGAAAAATCGCTATTTTTTGCCCAAAAACCCACATTCCGTTAGTGGACAAAAATTTTTTTAATAGAAAATGTTTATGGAAAAAAAATTTGATATATAAATGATAATTAGTATAATGAAATCTAAAGCTAATTCTGTTTAATTTTAAACGAATTGCTTTTTAAAACATAAATTTTATAAATTAAATTAATATTTGCTTTCCAATTTTGCGAATTAGAAATTTTTTAAATTTCAAAAAAAAAAATTGTATAAAATTTATATAGTCAGTGTCACTGACTATATAAATTTTTTTAAAAAAAATAAACCCTTCTGGGTGAACAAAATTTTTTGTTCATCACTGAGGGGGGGAGTTAGGAGAAAATATAAAATTTATCAAGAAAGTTCTCTAATTAATAATAAATTCAATCAATGTCATATATATAGAAGAATTCAGATTGATAAATGCATGAATTTATGAATGTACAGAATAAGATCAGAAAAATAGTATATTATTCTGATTTTTAAATTTATAATCAATTAAGGAGATTTAGATTAAGTATTACAAAGCTTAAATCGCAATCCCATGAGAAAAAATCCATATAAGAGACATTAGGATGCTGAAAGCATGTGAATTGTATAGAGCATATTGAATTGTACTTAAGCTTCCCTTAAAATAGAATAAGATATATATAAATTTTGATTCCAATAAAAAAAGCCAATCAATTTGTGCATCAAGGCTGTTTAAATAGAACTTATTATATTCAGTTATCAAAATTTTCCAATTTTGCTTCAAATAAAGGTTTTATTTCTCAAAAACGGTTATCATTATTTTATTCTGTTTTAAGCGAGTTAGAAGCAAAAGCATTTTGGAAACTTAATAAAATAAATATGATATTTTTGATTGCGTCCAATATTAATTGATTGAAAATTTATTAATTTATATTAAATTCCGTATTTCCTGATTGCTCTCCATTCATAAAATAAATGGCGTCATTACCAACTGTGCTCTCATAACTGGATGCTTGATTTTAGGAAATTGCTGTGAGCTAAAGAAAAAAAGGTATGGAAATAAGTTGTAGAAGACTTTTTTATTGCTTTTATGGGAATGACTCCCTCATCCATAATACCTAGGCTTTTCTGGTGGGATGTTTGGGGATTAGTTTTTACCCTAGAAACCACTAGTACTGACAAAAAGACATAGTTGATGCGGATATCAGCTTAGAAGCTCATTCTCATCCCAGCTAGTACTCTAGTATCGAAACAGGAATCACAGCAATCAAAACTATCGATGATAGGATAATGGCTAAAACCTGTCCGATAGTCTAGCAGGCTGTCCTGAACTATGGTTGCAGCAAGCTAAATTAAGGATGTAGAAATTGTGTCTTACGTTAGATTGGTAGCTACTCAATAGCTCTTTATTAGATTAAGATCTTGCTAAGGATTGCTCGCCAAGAATGACTCAATATTACCGCTACCAAAGCCTTGTGATCTTGCTGGTATCGTTTCAACTCCTGTCAATATATTTTGTTTATTTGTATCAAAAGGTATGCTTACACCCAAGTCAGTAATTATTTCTTCAGAAATAAATTTTTTCATTGCTTCCCATTTAATATCGCATTCTTGGCTATGTTCAGCATTCTTACAGCACTCAACGTTTAGTCTTTTAATTAAAGTGTTAATATCACAGTCAGCAAAAATCAACTCAACATGCAGTAGATATGATTCTAAAACAGCTGGATTTTCAAAATACTCTTTGATATAACTATTATTTCAGCTTTTATGTTCTGGTCTTTTATTCTTTTTGCTGCCATCAGTCTTTGGCCCTGATTCTGTTCTAGAAATTTTTTTAAAATCATCTTTGTGTTGTTCAAAGAGAATTTTTAATCTTTTTACTATTTTAAGTACTGTAGGACTTCTCACATTCAAGTCTTTTATAACTTTGCAGAGGGGCTTGTTTACTTCTATGTATCTGAAAAGCTTCTTGTGTGAGCGAATTGGAGCGATCCTGATATACTCTTTTTTAGGGGGAATCATTTTACCTTTTGAGTAAAATTTGGCCAAAAAAAGTGTATGTGGATGATATCGAGTCAGATTCTTTTTTGGCTTCGTTTCAATTATACTGCCTTCTCTGGCATTGGAAATGACACTTTGAGTATTGCTGTTAGAGCTGCTGCTGTACGAGCTGCTGTTGTAGAAGCTGCTCATGCTGTCTTCATATACATCTTGGTCTAATAAATGATTTGCTTCTTGACTATGTTGATCTTCTGCTTGGAAAACAAGTATTGAATCAGATATGGGCTCACCATTTATTAGCCAATTGCTACCTTCTTCAGTTAGATAAGGCTGCGGGGATTGATGAACACCAAAATTGTTCACATCTAGCGAGCCTAAATCCATCATGTCAGTAGCATTTGGTGATACCAGCGACAGTTCAAAAGGAGTTGAATCCTGAATTCCAACAAGAGATTTCGAAATATCTTGGAGGTCAAGCTTTCCTTCTAATTTTGAACAAATATCAGCTGTAGAGCTTTGGCTATTTTCCATATTTTATAGAATTGTCGATAATTTTTATAGAAATCAGAACTATAAAATATTCAATTTTTAATTCCTAGTCAGATAAATAAAATTTATATTATGGAAGTATTTTTAAAAACTTTAAGATTGGAAATTATAAAACTAACCCTTTTAATTACTCTCTTGCTTTTATCTAACCCTCCTTGTGTTAATTATTTATCAAGAATTATGTTTTTAAATAATTAACGAATGCTAGTATATAAATGTTTTGCTAAATTTTATTATATAATATTTTCAAGCTTTTTCCAATAATAGATTATTATAGAGACAGTAAACACTTAAAATTATTAACAAATCCATTTAACTTGATATCCTCAGCTTCTTTGAGTCTATATTTTATGCATTTCCTTTTTAACAGATATTATATTCTTAGTCTTATAAAAAATCAATGTCTTCTCATCTTTCTCATAATGTCATATTATAGCATCAAAAGAAATCAAGTCCAGTATCTTGAGCAGCTGCAGCATCAAAACAAGGTAAGAAAGTTAAGAGAATTAAGTCAGAACAAAACCCGTGAACATTTAATAAAACGAGAGCAAGGATTCCATCTCTTAATGAATGGAGCAAACGAAATAAGAATTAGGGAGCACAGACAAAGAGAAGAAAGAGAAAGAAGCAAGTCTCCTGTAATGAGAAAAAGATGAAGTCATAAAGCAGAAAGAAACGAGCACCATCACATCAATTCAGATGTCGCAAAACCAACTGAAATAATTGAAAGACAGCCAGATATTCAAGAATCCACAGCAGGGTCTTTGCGTGTGTTAAATCAGCCAAGCAATACAGTGACTGCAGGCTTTGAAGCAAACTCTCCAACTGGATCAGCTGTTGTTTCGCCTCGATTAGAATTTTCTCCTGATACTGTAACAGATTTAAATGAAGATGCTTTGATAGAAACAAAGATAAATGAGCGAGTGAAAAGCCTTTCTTCTGCAAAGAAAAAGAAATTATTGGAAATGCTAGATGAACTTGAAAAGGAATAATGATAAAAATACTAATAATTGTTTTATTCAAAATTTATTACTATAAACAAATTCTAGCTCTCAAAATAGTTTATATTCGTATCCCTTTATAATTAATAAAGTACCTAATTTTGTAAATTTTTGAATAAAGACTTATGGTATTATAAATTGATACCTATATAAAAGTTGATATGCTAAAATGATAATATTTAACTAGATGGCAGATAAAAATGAAAGTTTAGAAAATGCTGTTCTGATTGAATGGATTGTACTCAACTCAATTCTATTTGCTGTAATTGCTGTTCTTCTGCTGAAACATTGTCACGAAAAGAGAAGAAAAGTTAGAGAAGGGCTGCTTAATGATTAAAAAAATAAATATAAATATTCAGAACATTAATAACTCCAAATTTTTAAAATGAAATAATTTATCATAGCGATGGCTTATTCAACCATATCTTTATTTGCTATTTTAATAGTAGGAACAAACTCAGCAGCATTTGGATTAAGAGACAGCCCTGCTGGGAACTCATGTGCATAAGTTTTCTCATTTCTGGTATATAAAGGTCTTTTCTGAGAATTATACACACTTAGATAAGAATTTAACAATGCCCTCTTCACCTCAAGACCCAAATTATCCATTTCACCTAAGAAAAAGGATGCTGATTTTATATCGTTTTGGTCAAGGGATTTTTGAATAAAATTTTCATAAGCTTCTGTGTTCAATTTTCCAAAAGTTTTAACTGACTCTTCATAAGATTTTTTTAAATCACTTCCCTTCTCTAGGCTATTTTGATCTACATGTACAAGATTTTCTTTATTTTCATTTGCTTCCTCTTGTTTAGATTTCGAGACTTTTGGTTTCGAAGTTTTCTTTTTAGTTTTCTTGCTAATGAACTTACGTTTTGCTTCATCGATTGATTTTCAATCTTTAGGAGGCTTCAAATTAAATTAAAAGATTGCACTGGCCATAATGGGGTAACGCACTAGCCGTCACCCACCTTGGCTCCAGAATGTCGCAATTGGATTTCCAGCTAGATGAGCTCCCTAGGTAGAGCCACTACCTGTAGAGTGCCCGTTGGTCTGATGAGAGAAGATCATGCTATATGCAAGACTGTCTACCCCATCTGGCAGGACAGAAAAACCTTTGTGGGAGAAACAAAGTTTCCCTCTTCTTCCAAGTATCCCCAAACTTGAAGGTTTACTTCAAAAAGGGGCAGAGGCCCTATTTTCCCATTCATCAGGATGGCTCCTACCTGTTCATAGGAGTGTATCTCAGAGATCAATTTTCATAAACGTCACCATTTTATTTTTGAGGCTTCAAGGAACTTGGGAGATAACTAACTCCCCACCTCCTGGGACGAACAAAACTATATTGGAAAAATCCCTATTTTTTGCCCAAAAAACCCACCTTCATGAGCGAACAATAAATTTGTTAGATATACAAATTTGTTATAAAAAAAATCATATATGAATAATTATTAGTATAATGAAATAAATTCTATTAATTTTAAATAAATTACATCTAAATTTTGCAAATAAATTTTTAAAAAAAAAATAACCACCTCTAAGCAATAAAATATTTTTGTCGCTCACAGATTGGGGAAATAAGCATAAGATCTCGGCTATAGACTTTGATATTGGCATTTTTGTCTTGAGGTCTCCATTTCAATACCATTAACAAGCTGACAACTACAAGGAGGACATAAAAGCTCACCTGGATATACATTTTTAAATTTAAATTAAGATATGAATTTACTAACGAAATGAGTTTAAATAAATGGGGAAATGACGTAAACGTGTGATAGGTGTAAATTAATGTTTTCAAAGAATATAAATTATGTTCAAATCGAAAGGAATAGAATAAATTTCATATATTTTCTTTGTAATAGAATCTAGCCGATTTTGAAGATAGGTAAAGCAAAAAGGTTTATTTGGCTTACTATATATACTCTCTGATAAATTTTGCCTAAAACCAATTGTTGGAAGATATAAGAATAATTTTTAGAGGTCCAAAACTTTTACAGAGCTTGCATAGCCTTTATTTTGAAAATAAAAAATTGAAAAATTATTTATAAAATTCAAAACTATTGAAGTATTTGAGATTGAAGCGTCAATAAATAAAAGCTAATCCATCTTTTATTATAAAACACTAGATTCAATTTTATATGATTATATTGAGAGCAAACTCTTTCGATACAAATTGGGCCATTTTATAGAGCATCTACTTCCTCCATTGATTATTTATTTGCTCAATTAATATATCCAATAATTTAACTGATCATGCTTCATCACTCAGAGAATCAGAACACCTCTACTAGTGATAACTCTGGCTTCCAAAGGAGAAGGCAAGCTAAATCAAAAACCGTCCCAGCAACACTTTCATCTGCCAGAAATAGCCTTTCAAATAAAAATCTTAATACTTCTGAGGACAATTTCAACGATTCTCTAAGTGTGCGCTTTGAAAGAGTATCATTCATTGCTCAGTGCAAGTCAAGGTTAATTGCAAGTGAGCCACAAGCGAGAAGTATACCAACTTTTTCGACAAAATTTTTAAGAACAATGCCTTACCCTAGACAATTTTCCAGTTTAATCGACGAGCCTAATTTTGGTGATATTTCTGAGTTGGATCTTCAGCTAGAGACAGATCCAATCAGCGAAACTTATCCAAGGAAGTTATCTCCCTTATCAGCCAGAGTTAAGTAATTCAGTAATGATAATGAGCCATTATTTTTTCACTAAGCATATCTTTAATAAAAGTAAATTGGTCATTAAAATTACCATAACTTATTTTAATTAAAATATGCATTTTTATTTATTAAAATGCAATTATTTAAAGCTAAAATCTCATAAATAATTTAAATTATAATAATCAACTTTAAATATCCCATTACGTTAAAATTTTTAATTCAAAATTAACCCCCAATTATTCAAAATTTTTCCTCAATTTTTCAGCATTAAAATAATCTGACTTAACCGTCTTTGCTCCACTGTAGAATTAAAAGTCTCCTAAATTAAATTTGTCTAATAAATATGGCATCAATTATATACACCCTTGTGGCATCAGATGATTCCACAACTCCTCTAGCAGAAGTTGCCGTGGCAGAGGGAAACTTCCAACTTCTTGCCTTAAAACTTCTAGCTAAAGTAAAGCGCAATTCTTCAGCTTCATACGCATATGAGAACAAATATATGTTCCACTATCACAACGAGAATGGCTTCACTTTTCTCTGCATGGCTGATGCAGGGTTTTCTAACAGAACTGCCTATTTATTCCTTTTCGATGTAAAGGACCGATTTTATGAGAAATTCGGTGACAAAGCTCGTAATGCCATAGGGTTCAGCGCGAATAAAGAGTTTTCAGAAATTATGAAGCAAAGAATTAACTATTTCAACAGCGACCCATCTGCAGATAAACTGAAAACTGCTAGGGGAAATATAGAAAAGACCAAAGATATTATGATTGAGAATATTGACAAGGTGCTCGCGAGAGGGGAAAAAATTGAATTGCTTGTTAGCAAAACTGCATATATGAGTGAAAGTGCAGTTACAATGAGAAAACAAGTGAGGATTACATAGGCTGTCAAAGTGAAAAGACACATGTGATGGAAAAACGCTAAACTCACTGTATTGGTCAGCGTAATTGTTATTGTAAGAAATATTCAGATCATTTTATTCTTCGTGATTGTTTTGGCATGTGGTGGATTCTCATTCCCGAGATGCAAGTAAACTTATTATTTAACGAAATATAGGGATTACAAAAACTTTAAATCAAGCTTTGATCTTTCTAATGCTGTCATACTTTTGGCTTTATTCACTGTATTTGCAGGCTTTGGGAGCCTTACTCGTTTTGCGATATTTCCTAGGCGGATTTGAGAGGCATAATAAGGAGAGCTCATCATTTTTTGATTGATTTCTTTCATATCCATTATAGGCTCACAAGCTGTATTTCTTCTTTCATTCCCTTTTAGAAACGCACTGAATGGCCTTGACGATCTTTGTGAATTTGGCCTTGTTTCAAATTTCGAGTTTGCTAGCAAGTTTTCGTATTTTTCTCGGATTGTTTTAATTTTTGTAAGTTTAAGAGAAGGCTCAAGATTCTGGGCATCTTTTAAGTCTGCATAAAACTGCGCTGAATTGCTTCCAAAAGCCAATCCACTTGAAGAGTCAGCGATGACGCATTTTCTTATTTCATCAGTAATAGCTACTTCTATATCTCTTCGTTTTTTAAGCTCTTCAATTTCTTTTGTTAATTTTTGCTTATAAGTGAAAAACATTTCTGGGCTATCTCTCAGTTGGGAGGATAAAGAATTAGATGATGAGGGTACTGATAAAGAGTTTGCAACTTGGGTAAAATAGTCTTCAATATCTTCTTTAGCACAATCTATAAATGTCCATAGTCTAGAATTAGGTATCAGGTTATCTCTTCAGTTTATCCCTCCTTGTATTGCTTTCCATAGCTCTGGGCCTGCGTCTATAGTAAAAGGCAGCTGAAGCTTCAAGCTGTTTTTCATTTTTTGGTGGAATTCACAAAACAGCAATTGTGGAATAGGGTCTTCAGATTTCTTTTTTCTGATCTGCAAAGATTTCCTTGATCTCTCATTTAGCTGTTTTTTGCTGCTTGACTCTCTAACTCTATTAGTTTTTCTAGTATTCATAATTTTCGAAAACTTAATTATAGGCGCTATACATCCTTCATACTTACAAATTGGCTCAATTATTTCTTTATTCGGAGAATTCGGAGACTCCTTTTTATCAAGCTGCACAAAAAGATATTTCGTCCCATTTCCAGTATTCCAATTAACCAAAGAATAAATATATTTGAAATTTTTGATATCCATTTCAGGGAAAATATCAAGGGTCAAGCTTAAGCAAGAATGAGGAATTAAATAAGCTTTTTTCAGTTCAATTATTTCTCTTTCTGTTTAAATCTTACGATTTAAAGGCCGGACGTAATATATATTCTGATCATTCATATTGTATTTCGGGATATCAAAAACATAGAGATTGTGGTCTGATTTCAAGTCTGAAAGCTTTGCGATGCTCAATACCCATTTCGTGGATTTTGAGGAAAAAGACACGATTTCTTCACTGAATTTTAAGTTTGAAATAGAAGTTGTGGAGGTAATTGATGACTTGACTTCTTCTTCATATCCAATAATGCCTTCTTCAGCAATTTCTTTGAATTCTGCAGAGAAATTTTGAGCTGTGCTCGTGTAGATTAGCAAGCTTAAAGGCTTAAATTCACTTGAGCCAAGGTAAGAAATGCCTAACGTGTTTTTTACAGCATCTTGATATTATTTGTTCATTTGGATATGAAATTTCAGAAAACTCTTCTTTGGGCTGCTGCATTGACGTTAAAGCCTCTAAAAGACTATTTCCTTCCCTTTCATTTGTATCTATTTAATCAATACATGCCAAAACGCCATTCTTTATTTTCGCAGAAAAATCATTACATTGGAAAATTATTCCTTTTTTGAGCAAAATTTGCATCTTCAAATTTTCTTCTATATCTTTTTTAATTTCTGAGTTCGGGAATGCCGAGATTTCTTTTACATTTGAATTTCTGAATGCTATAGACTCTACCATCATCGTAAATCGTTTCCACACATATTCTTCTTCTAATGATACCTTTTTCCGTTCAACTTCTCTTGAGTCCATTGAAATTATTTGTTTTACCTTCGCTTTTTCTTTTTCTAGCTGAGAAATAGAGCCAAGCATTCAGTCTTTAACGGAGTCCAAAATCTGTTCATATTTCGATTTAACAATTCTTGATCTTGCTTTTGCGCTTAATCTTCCTTTTTCTAATAGTGAATCTACCATATCGCTGAATTTTTTCTTTTTCAGCTCAACATCGAATGATTTTTTGGAAAATCGGCGTTTTATAGACTCATTTCATTTCTTGTAGTAAAATTGGGCTTTTATTGCAGAATCGATATCTTTTTTGGAACCTGGAATATGAGAAAGGAACTCCCCTATGCATTTTTCAGTTTTTGTGCCATCAGAGCGGTAATTTAGAGGGCGATCAAGCTCTAGAGCCCCTTTTAGGGAATCAAATAAATAATCGAGCCCATTTTGTGATATTTCTTCTTCAATTTCAGAAGACTCGGAGTTTGACATTGAGAATTTTAATAATTATTTAAGTTTACGAACGTAAATAGCACTAAAACAAGCAACGATCTCCTTCTTCTTGTCATTGCTCCTTTGTTACCCAAGCTTCTGGCTTTCCTTGTAATATTCTGGCAAAAGCTGTTCCTCCCATATAGACTAAAAATTTCCTATAGGGTGGGTCTTCAATCTTAATTTTTACTTTAGTAGGTTTTTCCCCATGAATAGAATTCTGCTGCTTCCTCATTTGTTTATACAAGGCTTTTATATCCCCAGTCAGCCTATCTACCATGCCCGGAAACATGGAAGTCCCCCCACTAAGTATCATTGATCCTAGCAGCGCTTTCCTATTATCAATTGGTGACTTCATCACAGACCTAAAGACCAGTTCAGCAATCCCTTCTTCATCTCTTCCTATCAAATTCGGTTTAAACAAAGCTTCAACAGCTTCAAACCTTTCTTGCCCTATTCTAATCCATTCGCCATCAGGCAGCTTATAATCAATATCATATGCGCAGGTATTCCTGCACAGTTCTCTATCTTCTTCTAAATTACAAGACACAAAGCAAGTTGCTTCTTTTATATCCCTCACTTGTTCAAAGTCATATGAAGTATTAAAGTTATAGCCTTTCCTTGTTAGATTAGATTAGATTAGATTAGATTTAAGATGTGTCTTTATAGTCCCTACTTCCATGCGTGGCATTCCTCCGCGCTCCTTGGGGAGCCGTGCTGGCACGAGCGAAAAGGATGGACTTCCATCACTGGTTCTCTGAGCCCAGGCCGAAACCCCTGGTTTCTCGGTAGTGGGTTGCCCTATTGAGTCGTCAGCCGACTGTCGCTGGGCACCACCATTTCCAACTCAGCCTTCCGCCCCGAATTACGCCAGTCTTTGCCTCCGGTTGGCCAGATCGCCCTCGTGAGAGGACCCTTTTAACTGGAGAGACTTGCGTCCTTGAGTTCTCTAGTCTAGCTTCGCCTCCCTCTTTCCCGGATCATCTCCAAGAAAGAACTCAACCCCTTGCGGGATTCGGGGCTAAGCAACCAATAGCCTAGGCAGGTAATTCACCCTGCCTCTTTCGGACACCGAGTCTGGGCCTCGGCGCTACTGGCAAAAAGAATGCGAAAAACTGCTAACCCGGATCGAGTCCCAAAATCAGCGGAAATTGGGCTGGGCCTCTCGCCTCGAGGCTAACTCTCCCCCTGAGTAGTTCTCCGCATCCAAAAACCATGTCCGGTATACATAAGGACACCCGCCACGGAAGGACGGGTCGCTCGTCTCCGCCATTTTATGTATATCTTTCCTTGTTAGTAATTCTAACAAATATTGAGTTAAATCACGCCCAGCTAAATCAATTCTTTCTATTTGTGATTTAAATACAGTGCCTTCGCATATTGGAATACAATGAGTTACTCCTTCTCCGGAATCTATAATTAGACCTGTCATGAGTCCTTGGGCATATAAAGCAAGAGTGGCTTGGAGTTCGACCTTCATCCCAGCAAAGTCAAAGGTCTCAAAGACAATTTCTGCCATTGTTTGTCGATTGGAGCTTGGATTCAAAGGTGCTTCAGTTAGGAGTAAATTTGTTGATGAGCAGTCAATGTGCATCTAAGTGGTTGGTTACTTTGTCAGTGAATGTGTAATCCCAGAGCTTAAGCATTCCATCTCAGTCTTTTACTATACCATGCTCTAATGGTCGAGATAAGTCAAGAGAATGCTGAAATGGCAAAGCTTGATCTCCATAGTATTCAGTCTATGTAAGATTCACCGCATAGTCAGAGCTGTTTGAGCACTCACTTTCGAATTTTTTATTAGGACGACCTATGATGCAAGGGACTGTATAGTCTGGGTAATTTGTATTACTCCAACCCACTTTTAGATATCCTGTGCCATTATCGCACACAAGTGCATCCATTTACAGATTATAAAACAATGAAAAATGCTATTCCTCTGTAAATTTGAGAAATATTATTCAATATAAAAGAATCATTATAAAGAAATTACTTTATTTCTATATTTATATACTAAAAATTTCATAAATTAATTTATCCAGCATCAAAAATTTGTTATAATCTAGTTATTTCATTTTATATAAAAAACTCTCTATATTAATATGGGACAAAAGCAATCGAAGCTACCATGTAGTTACTCAGATATAGACTTCCTTTTTCAAATGAAAAAGCAAAACCAAATCAAATTTTTTTCACAAATCCAAGGCTTTTCTGAAATGTCAAGTGAGTGGATTCCTTATATCCGTGACAGACTGTCCCAATATAATCCTTACATATGGAGGGATGAGTTATTAAGATTCGTCAACACATGGAACGCTCATCAAGATGTCAGAAGTAAAATCTCAATTGCTTGGCTTTTTTATATGAGAAGCACTCAGCCGAAGCCGAAAAAACAAGTTACAAGGACACAGCTGAGGGATCACACTGGAGAATGTTTAACTTTTACTATGCTGGTGGACGATAACCCATATAAAAACTTAGTTTATGAACAGCTGATGAAAGATGAAAGCAATGCTCTGTATCATATGATTAGAAGATTTGGAACGGCGCTACAAATGGAGTTTACCAATTATGATCCAACTAATGCATTTAATGAATTAAAAGACAGCGTAAAACAAGATGCTGTTCAGAACGCTGAGCTGATTACTAATTATATCAAAAGTTTTATCTCAATACTCACAGACTCCCTTGACAAATTTTATCTAAACTTAGACCAGCATATTGATATAGAAGCTCGTGAACTAATAGCAACTCATGCTGTCGTTTCAAGTGAAATCCTTGAAATTTTAACCAAAATCTATTTAGAGGCTTATAAAGCTGACGAAGACGATTATTATGAAAATCTGCAAAGGCTTCATAACTTAGCTTAGCTTAATTATCTATAACATTTAACGTCCACTACGGGGTAGCCATTTTCAGGGCTTCCACCATATTTATCCACGTGTCGGGCCCATGGACTCTGAATCGATCCACAAGGTTAGGGAAGCAAAGGCTTCATAACAGTAGGTTGAATTCTTTAAGCTTAGACAACTCATTGAGACTTAACAATGGAGAAGGCTATCTTGAAGCTTTTGAAAATTTAGTAGGAATTTCTTGCAGTAAATCCCTAAAAGATATGTTAGACGAGGTTAGCCACTATTCAAATAGCATTAAAAGTGCAATTGACAATTTTAATCCAGATAAAAGTGTGCTGCTGGAGACTGATAAGTTTATTGAAATATGTATTTTGGTTATCTGCAAGGCTAGTGCTCCAAATCTCCCCACAAGAGTAAGGATTGCTGAAACATTTTTGCATTCTTTCTTTAGAAACCAAGAAATGGAATATGTGCTAAATACGCTGCAAGGAGCATTGAAGTTGCTTCAAACCTGCATACCTTAAGTATAAGAATGATGATTAATGCTGTTAATTAATGCTAATATAAAACATTATTTGACTTTATATTTCTTAACGCTTAAAAATATAAAAAAATAAAAAAAACATAAAAAAATATAAAAAAAATCATTTTAATATTTTTAGCAGCCAAAATATGGAAATCAAACGCCCAACGAACTGGGCTGAATCAATATCATCAATTCTCCGAAAAACTGAGCTAAATCTGCTTAAACTTCAGCGCACAAATTATCATCATGATGAATACGCTAGACCTCCTTCTACAATGACTCAGCTTGATCTTTCAATGGATCAGCGGCAACGTTCAAGCTTTTTTGAACCAACTGATAACGCATCCTTAATCCAGCAAGAGCTCTCAGGATTTAAACAGTCAATCGAAAAACTATTCACAGAAAAATACAAGCAGCATCAAAGCGAAATGTACAATTTAAGCCTAAGAGTCACTGATTTAGAAGATAAACAAATTGCATTTGAAGATCTTAAAGAAGAGCTTCAAAATACACTTTTAGCAATAGGAAGAAAAACAATTGGAGAAAATAGAAAATTCGATGACAATACAAAGAATTATGCCACAAAAGAAGATTTGAAATTGGTAGAAGAGTCGTTTCAGCATATAAGGCAGCATCAAATTAACAAAATTGAAATGCAGATAAGGGACATTATGCAGGAAAATTTAGGGATAAGAGACTATGTAAATAACATTGCTGATGAAAAAAATAAAGAAAACTTAAAAAAATCAATCTCGCCATATGAAATAAGGTCGATCAAGGAGGAAATTCAATATGAGACAAATGTGAAAATAAAAGAAATTGAAAGAAAATTTTGTAATGATATAGAGAGAGAATTAGATTAGAGAAGTTAAAGGGGTTTATTTCAGCCCTGGTCAGTCGAGCTTCAGCTTCGCGCTTCATGTGGCGCTAGTCACTAAAGCCACCTAACGCCCTTTTCTGTCGATGTCACCATTTTTTTAATGACGTCGACATCTTTCGGGGAGACTCACCCGCACCTGCTGGACCAAAAAATTGCAGCAAAGGACTCTCTTAACCCCTGGTAGTGCTCAGGGTATGAGGGGACCGTCCCGTGCCTCCTTCTGGAACTACCCTTGCCATTTGCAGGCATCATATTGCTCCTCCAGAAGTATCCGATTGGTATTGCGCCGTCGGTCTCTCTCGTCTGTGGGCTGAGGAGAGGCCCAGTCAGCCCAAGCCAACACCCACCCGGATAATCGCCGTCAGCGACCCCGTGGCCCTTCGGGGCCACTTTTTTAAATTTGTGACCCCAAATTCTGGATTTTTTGTTTTGTTTGTCGCAGCACAGCAACGTGTCGCCACATTGCCTAACGGCAATTATGTAATGATATAGAGGATATTGCCAAACAATATAGGCAGCAAAATGAAGATCATTATAAGTCATTGAAAGAATTGGCTAATGCTGCTCTCCAAAAATAGGCTCCATATTATTTGATTGGAGCATTTTCCTCGTGTGATATTTCCTCGGATTTTTAGTCTAATTTTTTTCCTTTTGGCATTTAATAGAATTTTAACTTTTTTTTCCCGACAATCGTCACGAGGAAAAAGTTACGACTAAAATCTGAGGAAATTTCACACACGAGGAAAAAGTTTCCATTAAATGACTGGCAACACCAAAAAATATGATTCACTTTCAAAATTAGTTGACGAAGCAAAGCAAAATTCAGGAAAATTGCAAAACACAATAAATTTAGAGCTCTCGCAAATAAAAAATCAAAGCTCCCAACCTGATTTTAATATAGTTAATGAGCTAAAGCAGAATATAGAAAACGCAAAAAATTATGCATCTGATGAAATAGAAAGGATTAAAAAAGCATTAAAATTATTAGAAAATTCTATTGATTCACAAGATATTGAACTGGAAATTGAAGGCCTTAAGAAGCGTATTGATGTCATACCAGCACAGCCTGTCTTACAAGATTTATCAAATTTCGTTTCAAGAGAGGAGTTTAACCAAATAAATGTTATCAAAAAAGATCTAAAACAATTAGAAGACACAATTAAGAGTCATGATCTGAATAAAGAAATAGAAGCGCTTACTCCCCTCTTTAAATTGGAAAAAAATATTGATAAAATTTCCATTTTTGACTAAATACCTTTAAATTGGAGTAAAATAATTTAGTTTTTATAGATAAAAATAATAATTTATATTTAAAACATGGCCTTAAGGTCTGGACTGTTGTACCAAGAGGGAGGCTGACACATGTCGCCATTTAATTTATTATTCCACTATAAAGGGGAGTTAGAAAAGAAATATCTCATTTTCAACCTCAAGATTTATCAAATTTCGTCACTAAATCTTATTTAGCAGAACAAATAGGCACAATCCAGCCAAATCAAGAAATTTCCAATCAATTAATTTCTATCCATATCAAACTAAAAGAGCAAGGCGAAGCTTCATCAAAATTATCCAATAAAATTGATGATTTAGAGCACCATTTAATTCAGATAGAAGAAGAATCATCTGAAGAAATTAGCCTTGAATTAAGCAAAAAAGAAGGAAGTATATTAAAAAAACAAGAGCAGCAAATTGAAGTAAAGCCTGAAGAAAATAAAGAGTATAGTGGACTAGCGACCTTCGGAAAACCTGAAGAAAGCAAGGATCCAGAAGAGTTAGTAGCAATTTCTTTTAATAATTTAGGTGAAAGTGATGATGATAGCCAAGGGTTTATTTCACCATTGATATCTCCCATGAATCAAGTCGTTGTTGGACCTATTGGATCGGCAAAACCTATCAAAAAATTCCAGTTTTCTGAACCATTGGTTATAGAAGAAGATGCCAGAGGAGAAGAAAGTGCTTCTCCGCATCAAAGAGCGAATGAAAATAAGAAGGATCTTGATGAATACATAGCGGAGTTTACAAAAGAACTTATTAGGACAGAGCTTGAAGATGGCTTGCTTGTCGTTAAAGAAGTTTTGGATAGAGTGCCAAAACCGAAAGTTGGTCAGAGGCATGAAAAGTTATTGCCGAAGAAATTTTAAATTTTAGTATTTATAACGTGATTTTATAGTAATTTTAGAATTAATAATTAAATAAATTATGTTAATTTAACATTTTTATAATGAATTTCATAGAATTTTACTAGAATTATTACATTAATAAATAAATCATAATGAAAGAAGCCATCGGGCAATTTATGGACAAGTTTAGGGATATAAGTGAGCAATACCTTTCACAGATAAGATCGCTAAGCATGGGCTTATTATTAGGAGGGCTTTCATCACTATTTCTTATATATCGTCCACACATGATTTTTACCTATAAAAATGCAAGTCAAATTCCTCAAAGATTTTTTCAGCTTAAAAATCCAAGACTAAAAGGAATATTACAAAATCATATCATTGATTCAGGCAGTGCTCAAGAATTTCTTTTTTATCATACCCCTACATTGAAAATATGAAATAGATTTTCCAAAAAAAATAAAAATTTAGAAGCTGACGATTTCATTAAATTTAGAATGGCTGGGATTGGTTCAATTAATTCTGAAGGAATAAAAAGAATTGAAAATCTGATGATAAGAAAGGCAAAAATTGAAATTATAGGCAGAGATAAAGATAATAATATAGTGGAGGCAATTTTATTTGCAAGAGGAAGAATTTTTGAAAAAAATATGCCCTATGAGAAAGAATAAAAAAAATGGATGTTAAAAGAGATATCTTAAGAAAACTGTTCTAATACAGGATATCAACTTCTGGCTATTAGAAATGAGTTATGCTGAAAAAAGACTGCTTTCAGATGCAGATCTAGCTATTTTTTCCCAGAAAAAACTTGAAGATTTAAATGAAAAAATATCTAAAATCCAGAAAAAGGAAAAATGGCTATCCTTCCTCAAGCTGAAGCAGCTTTTCTTCAAAAAATAGCTTCAAAAACACAATTTAATCTAACTCATGCTAACTCATGCTAATTCTTTTCGATTAGATTAAATTAAATTACTAATTTTAGGTATTAAATATCGCCTGAGAGTCATCTTCCTTTGATTTCATATAGCACCTCACAATTACAGGAAACAGCAAAACTTTCAGCACAAAATCAAAGAAACCCATCACAAAAGAAAACCGCTTCGCATTTATTGCAGGATCACTATGCACTTCAAAAACAAGAAATTCCGAGTCACACGCAATCCATAATAAATCAAATAAAATCATTGCAGCAAGCGTAATCATCCCTAATCTATACCTTTTTGTGTCCCATCCTTTTATCATCCCCATAAATCCCCAGCAAGCCCATGTAACGTTTCCAAAATCAGGCTTATCAAAAGACGTCCCAATTCCCAATATCGCGACCATAAAGATCCCTATAGTTAAAATTGTGTTCCAATTTCCCACTGACTATATATTTTTTACCTTAAAATGTTTGTCTGTAAACTCATGCACCTCATGCACCACTTTGCTTTCTAGCCTATCGACCCAGCTTTCTTTGTGAAACATTCCTAGAGGATTTGTTCCAAGTTTTCTTAGCTCAGCCTCTATTCTGTCTTTTTCAGCGACGTCCTGGACGACATCGTTTTCCATTCCTGAAATAATACCTTCGAGATATTCAGTTTGTCTATGTATTCATTGGATTGCGAGCATAATTCTGGCATTGGTAACTCGCCCAGTTAGTTGATACCAGCCTTCATGCTTTGATTGGTCTCTGAAATCTTGTAAAGGGATGGAGCAGGTTCCTAAGAGGTCGTCTTTTGAGACCGTTCCTTTGTTAAAGACTTGGACTAGAAGCTCTCCTGTTCCCATGGTTATTTTGAAACTGAAAGTTTCATCCCAGTTAGGGTTTTTATCAGAGGGTATAGGCTTTGTAGCGATTTGCTGACGTTCACATATAAGATTTACGTAAGCTGTAGGTCTGCCTGTGACTATGTTCAAGTTCTGAGCCTCAATTACTCTGACTGTAAGTGTGCTTCCTTCCATAATCCCATAGGTATTCATCTTTTCTACTTTTTTCGCTTCTTCTAACTGTTCTTTTAATGTTGCAAGCTCTTTATTTTTGGCTGCAACTGTTTGATTATATCTTGCAATGGCCTCAGAAAGACCATTAACTTGTTCAAGATATCCATTAATGAATTCATCAATACTCACCCCGCCATCCTTATTTACATCCATTGACTCAAATATAGCTTTCACATAATTTTCGCCGGGATCCTATATTTTAGTTCTATAAAAATCTTTCTATAAAATTTTTGCACTAACTCCCCCCCCCCCTCCGTGAGCGAACAAAACCATTACTCCCCCCCCCCCCTCGTGAGCGAACAAAAAAAATTTTTTGTTCACTCACGGAGGGGGGTTAATTTTTTTTTTTTAAAAAAAATTTTTATATATAAATTTTATAAAAAATATTTTTTTCGAAATTTAAAAAAAATCCTAATTTGCAAAAATTGGGAAGCAAATACTAATTTAATTTGCAAAATTTATGTTTTAAAACGCAATTTGTTTAAAATTAAACAGAATTAGCTCTAGATTTCATTATACTAATTATCACTTATATAGCAAAATTTTTTTTCTATTAAAATTTTTTCTATTAAAAATATTTTTGTTCACTCACGGAGGGTGGGTTTTTGGTCAAAAAATGGCGATTTTTCTAATGGTTTTGTTCGCTCACGGAGGGGGGGGGGGGGGTTTAGAAAAATCGCCATTTTTTGACCAAAAACCCACCCTCCGTGAGTGAACAAAAATTTTTTTAATAGAAAAAATTTTAATGGAAAAAAATTTTGATATATAAGTGATAATTAGTATAATGAAATCTAGAGCTAATTCTGTTTAATTTTAAACAAATTGCGTTTTAAAACATAAATTTTGCAAATTAAATTAATATTTTTGCTTCCCAATTTTTGCAAATTAGGATTTTTTTAAATTTCGAAAAAAAAATATTTTTTATAAAATTTATATATAAATTTTTTTTTAAAAAAAAAAAAATTAACCCCCCTCCGTGAGCGAACAAAATTTTTTTTTGTTCGCTCACGGAGGGGGGGGGGGGGAGTAAGTTATATAAAAATATTTATTTTTCATATAAAATATTATTTTCTTAAAGGTGCTTTGTATAAAAAAATTAAATTTTCGTCTACTTCATCATTAATACCACGCAAAAAATTCAAAATTTCTTCAAGTGAGATCGCTCCACTTTTATCAGCATCAATTTCAATAAAAGCCTTTCTCAGCTCCAGCTGTCTTTCATGCGAAATTCTTGGATCTAATGCAAACCTCGTGTTGACTTGAAAAGGCGAAGTCTTAATCTTCTGGTCCACGCTCGCCAACGCCCATTTTGCAAGATTTAGAGGATTTTTCGCAATCTCTTGCTCCATTTATATTAAATAAATTTGATCTTTAAGACTTAATTAAGACCAATTGCTTGACTAAAGAAACTGACTCCAGTGACAGTACGTCTAACAAGTTTGAGAGTTTCTGTCTAACTCTCCCCTAAGATAGAGAATTTTTTACTGGGAAAAATAGAGAAAATTTCTATTTTTTACCCAAGAAATAGAAATTTTCCCTATTTTTCCCAGTAAAAAATGTTCCTATCTTGGGGACTAAGGGAAACTTCTTTCAGGATATCATTAACTTCTTCTCTAGGGAATCCTTTTAATGATTCTAGGCTATTTATGAATTCTTTTAAATCGCCTCTTTCTAAGGCTAGTTCAGCATCTCTTAATAGAGAAAAAGTATCATTATCATCAATTGTCCTCACATTTGGCGGCACAAAATAATAGGCGATATTGGCAGTGACGTAGCTCCATATAGATTTTGATTTCATAAGTGCTGCTTTTCTAGCTTTATTTGCGGACTCTTGGAAAGCTTTGTGGAGCTGACTCATTGTAGGGATGCCGTTATCAATCATTTCTGGGTATAAATCGTCAATTGAGGCAAGGGCTGATGCAATTGTTTGGTCATCTTTTGCTAGTTTTTTGATAGCAGCAAGATCTTCAGTTAAAGAACCCTTATCACAGTTCATAGTTTTTTGGAGATTTTCTATATGAATATGCAGATCTTGGATTTGGCTAAGTTTTAATATAGAGCTATAGTACTTCTTCTGGATTTCTTCCATATCATTAATTTTGGCCAAAATTTCGTGAAGCTGTCTGATACGGTCTTCTGTGGTAGCTTTAAGATCTTCATTAATTTGATGGATTTCTTGTTCATGTCTTTCCACTAAATTTAAGGTTGTCCTTTGTTCTACATAAGTTTCATCAATTTTAGCTTGGGCCAAGAAATGCTGCTCGGCGTCATAAATTTCTCTTTCAAGGATTTCTTTCCAGTCACGGTCTCTGAGCTCAATAACAGCTTTTGCGTCATCTTCGTGTTTTTTGATGGTTTCGTTGGCTTTCGCTTTGATGCTGCGCTTGATTTCTTGGATTTTTTCGAAGAAGATGTCAAAGTTTCGCAGTTCTTTTTCTTCGTGCTCTTTTTTTAGATCTTCTTTTAGCTTGTGAAGGTAATCTTTTATGTTGTGGGCATTTAGTTTTTGGAGATCTTCTGGGTTAATTAAGGATTTTTCTTGTTGAGAGGGCATTTCTACATGCAAGTGCTGTTCTGGCTCTGTAGATGTAGATTTAGAAGTTTTTGGAGGCTCGTGGACGTGCTCAGTGGGTTTTGCAGGCTCGTGGACGTGTTCTGTAGCTTTTTCTGGCTCATGGACGCGCTCTGTTTCTTTCGAAGATTCGTGGACATGTTCATTAGCTTTTGGAGGCTCGCTATGAGGACTGACTTTAGGAGATTCTTGATGCTGAGCATGATCATGAGACTCTTTGGGTTGTTCAGTTGCAAGAGAAGCTTGGACTTCTTCTTTAGTTGGATTTTCAAGCTTTATTATCTGTTCTTCTTTAGGCTCATCAACAATCTCAACTTTATGATGCTCTTCTTTTTTGGCTTGCTCAGGCAGTTTCTGAGGTGCTTCTTGCTTGAATTCTACAATATGCACAATAACTTCAGGCTCTTCTTTAGGAGTCTCCTTTACAGTCTCTTTTTCTTCTTTCTTTTCAACCTTTTCTTCTTGTACCTTTTCTACTGGAGCTTCTTTCTTTAAAGGTTCAGGCTTAGCAGCACTAATTGTCTCAGGAAGAGACTTTTTGCTATCAGTTGTTTCTTTTGTTGCTTTCGGTCCATTAAGATTTTCACTTACAAAATTCATGAACTTTTGTCTGTCGTTTACTCCTTTTACTTGATTAAGCGCAAATTCTTCAGGAGTTTTGAGGGTTTTTGGCTTTTCTTCGACTTTCGTGTCTTCTTGGAATCTTACTTGAGGCATGTCTCTGAAAACTTGGCTTAGCTGTTTATTTTCTTGAACAAAGAAATACCCATATGCTCCTGTTATTCCAGCAATAACGAGCGCTGCAAGAACTTTCTTTCCGCCACCACCACCTGTTGGGGGTCTGATTGGGGTTGAAAATAGTCTTCGAGTGCCTTGCCACATTAATCTTTAAAATTCTAGCCATTTAAGATCTATTTTAATGATATCATAGAAAACGCTTATTTTGAAGAAGCTTGTAGCATCCTAATAGATTTTTCTATCTTTTAGTTTGCTAATAGTATTTTTCAGCTTTAATATTAACACAAATATTTTTATATTTAAATTATAATTATATATATAGGGAATATTTATGATTTTAGCATTAAAATATTATTTATTTAATATAAGCTTCGATAAATATGTCAGTCGTTCTTCATTTCTTTGAAGTTCTATTTACTGTTTACCTTTCCGAATGTCTTCAGTTTTAATATTCTCCTGTGTTTGCAGATTATTTGGAAAAGTTTTTAAATACTCCAATTCTTCAGAATTCACAGAAATAACTATCTCATTTTCATTATCCAATGTGTCCTCAACACATTCGCTTTCTTCACAATATCCTAGCTGCATACAAACATGGCAAGAAGGTTGGTTATATTTATGATAAAGAATCAAAAACCTACTGTTAGAGTCTTTTACGCTTTTTACTCCTTCACAAACTTCCCCACAATCAACACAATTTATGTCATTTTCTTCAGATTTTTCAAAGTCTAATGCCTGCTTACAAACTATTTAGCGTTTACCTTCACAAGGCTTCAAACAAGCTAAAACCCCGATTGTCAAGAATAAGAGAATTTTCATTTGAATTAAATATGTCTGTTAGCTAAGTCCTAAACTAATCCTTAACAATAAAAAATGTCCTATAATTTCAAAAGAATTAAAAAACAACCTTTTTCTGTTCATTTTCTTATAAATAATCCTTTTAATTAAAATATTTTTTATATATAAAGGCAATTTATGGTAAAATTCTATATCAGCAAAAAGTAATTTTATAATTATCATTTGCCTAAATGGAGTTACGAGTTGGTGGAAAATACAGAGTTGGCCGAAAAATCGGCAGCGGCTCTTTCGGAGAAATTTACCTCGGAACAAACATTCAAACTAACGAAGAAGTTGCAATTAAGCTGGAAAATGTCCGATCTAAGCATCCTCAGCTGTTATATGAATCAAGACTATATCGAATTCTTCAGGGTGGAGTAGGCATTCCAAACATTCACTGGTATGGGGTAGAAGGCGACTACAACGTGCTCGTCATGGATCTTTTAGGCCCATCTCTTGAAGATTTGCTTCAGTTTTGTGGCCGAACGTTTAGTTTAAAGACTGTTTTAATGCTATCAGACCAATTGATCACAAGAATTGAATGTGCTCATTTATAATGAATAGGCGCTATTACCATTAAAATAAGCAGAATACAGTAAATAGTATATATGCATTCTAAGAATTTTCTTCATCGTGACGTGAAACCTGACAACTTCCTTATTGGCTTAGGAAGAAAAGCAAGCCAAGTCTACGCAATTGACTTTGGGCTGGCAAAAAAGTACAGAGATCCCAAGACAAATCAACACATCCCATATAGAGAAGGGAAAAATCTGACAGGAACTGCCCGTTATGCTTCTTTAAACACACATCTTGGTATTGAGCAATCTCGTAGGGACGATTTGGAAGGCTTAGGCTACGTGCTTCTCTACTTCTTAAGAGGGTCGCTGCCTTGGCAAGGACTTCCAGGGAATAATAAGAAGGAAAAATACCAAAATATTATGGAAAAGAAAATGAGCACCTCAGTGGAAACGTTGTGTGCCAATTTCCCTGCTGAATTTTGCACGTATTTAAATTTCTGCAAAGCGTTGAGATTTGAAGATAGGCCTGATTATAGCTATTTGAAAAGGCTGTTTAAAGATTTGGCGTTTAGAGAGAATTATCAGTATGATTTTATGTTTGATTGGTGCGCTTTAAGACAACAGCCAGAAATTGAAGCTCCACAGGTACAGCCAGCTCAGAATCAGCCGGCTCAAAGGAATATACAGCAGGAAAGTCCGGCGCAGGAAGAAACAAAGCAGCCAAGGAATGTAATAAGGCCAGCTCCAAAAGTTACACAGCCTGCACCAAAAATAGTAACAATACCTACAAGAGGGATGAGATAAGGTTTTAAATAGATTATATGAATATTGGTAAATTGAAATCTTAATTTTATTAGTGTGGGATACATTAAAAATGGAATTTTCGGAAGGTAATTGATATGGTGCCATATTCAAATGATTTTTAAAAATTTCTTATATTATGCTTGGAGTCCCTATTTATTAGGTTAATTAGAATTCAAAGTTCTCTGGGGTTTTTGGCCTCCTTTTTGGAATAAAAGGCCTTTCTATCTCAATAGGGCTAGCTGCATTATTTTCATTTCGCTTCGCTAATTGATTTGCAAAAATTTTATCGAGTTCTGAAATTAATTGTTTTACACTTTTTTGTTTATATTCAATAGATCCTCTCTTGTTATTCTGGAGTTCTTTTGCTTTTTCTATTTTATCATCCAGTTGATTTATTTTCTTTTTCATTTCATCAATTCTTTTAGAATTTTCAGTTGATTTTTGTGGAGCATTAGCTTCTTTGAATTTTGGAGTGTTGGGCTTAGCAGCAGTTTTATCGTTTGGAAGCTCTGCATTGGTATTATAAGTTCCAATAGAGTCACATCTTTTAGATTTGGATTCTGCAGTATTTTTGTCAATATTTTCTTCTGTTTCTTCTATAACAGTGCTAAATAATCTGCTGTTATCTTGGGAAGTAAATTTTGTGGTATCTAGATCATTTTCTTTAGAAGTAACTAATTCACCGATTTCGACGTCTTTTCTGCAGCAATCTAAGTTAAACTTGGAGAAAAATCCACACACTTTTTGCAGCATGAAAATTAAAATGATTATTCGCTACAGATAAGCTATGAAAAAGGCAATAATTTTTAAACATGGTAAACAAAAATTAAAATATTGGTTATAGTTTATTATTTCTGCTGCTTTTTAATGATTTGCTCATTTTTTTAGGCTTTAAAACCGCTTTTTCCAATTCGCTGATTTGATCTTGAATGATTCCATCTATCATTCTTTTCTTTTGGTGATATTCGTCGATCTTTCTTTTCTATATAACCCATACCTGCTCTTCAACGTATTTTCTTCTCATTTCTTCTCTTTTTTTTAGTTTTTTGTCATTTACTAGTGCTCTTATAGTTTCTATTTCTTTAGGTCTTTTTAATTCTTCATGGTACTCTTTTAACCTTTGTTTCTGTCTTTCATAGTATTGTTTTTGTTTTTCTTCAATTCTTTTTTGCCTTACAATTTCTTGCTCCTCAACTCTTTTAAGCTCTTCAATAATTTCAATTTCTTTCTTTAATTTTTCCTCTCTATATTTTTCAATTTTTTCTAAAACTTTTAATTTTTGATATTCTCTATCTATGCCTTTTTCTTTAGGACGTCGAGTGACTTCAGCTGAGTTTCCATTAATTTTTCTGTATCTAATATAAAACTCTCGAGGCTCTGGAGAAAAGTGAATTTGTGTCACATTAGAAGATTTAGGAGTTTCCGATAGACATGTAAAGCTAGTCATCGGAGAATGAGATCTGCCTCGAGAAGCAGGCTTTATTTCTATCGTTGAAGAATAATGCTTACAAGGTAACTTTAAAGTACATATAGGACAACGGCCTTTTGAAGGTAACATAGATTTAAGTTTGCAAGCTGCATTATAAAGGTTCTGTTTTCTGATTTCTTCAAGTGCTTTATTAAGTTCACTTCCTTTTTTCTGCATCAGAATATCAATGTTATAAGGATCTTCATTTGGTTCAGCGTTATTTTCTTTCGTTGGAATATAATCATTGGCAATTTCAGTATTAAGTATTTTATCAAATTGTAAAGACGAGAGATAATCTGAATCCCCTGCTTGAGTAGTGTTATTCTAATTGTATGATACTTCTAAAATTGCTAACTTTTGGGATTTTTCTGTTTCTGGCTCCAAAATGGTCTTAGGAAGAATCGCTACTTTTATATTAGACTCCATTTTCTTACTAGTATCTTTTACTTGCAGATGATGCTGTTTTTTTAAATTATTAATCACTATTTCAATTGACTATTAACTCTCTTTTATTTATATAATATCTTGCAGACCAAGCTATGATTTTTCTATATATTTAATTTTTAATTTTTTCAAAAACCATTAAATATATTTTTTATATTTATTAAACAGAAATTATATATAGCTCATACCCCTATATAGATTTCTTTATAGAGCATAATGTCCTGGCCTCTTGAACGAGCAAAACAGACTCTCTCAAAGAGACGAGCTCAATCTCTATATCAGTAAGTGTTAAAAAAGTGCCATGTCAAAAAATGGTGGCAAGTGTGAAAAAAGTGGACAAGTAAACGCGCCGATTTTAAAAATTGCTTTATTATTAAATTAATTTAAAATTAAGATACCCAATTAGACTGAGAGCACCCAATCAATCAGGTTTTTCTGATATAAACCTAATCAAACACCAAATGTAGTATTTCATTGGAGAGAAATAATGAAATCATAAATATCTACGACTTTCATGCCTCGAAAAAAACTCAAAAGTGCGACTCCCCCCTTTAACCCATCAAAAGTCTCCAAGAGTTCTTGGTTCAGTTGATACATCTCTCAAAATCTCCAATAATTTTTTGACTTATTTTCGATGCAAGATGTCATCAAGATGGCGTCGTTCAGTATGGAGAATCTGATATGAGTAATCCTAAAGAAAAAAACTCAAAGAGCGACTCCCCCCGTTAGCTCATCAAAGGTCTCCAAGAATTATTTCGTCAGTTGAGATATCTCTCTCAAAATCTCCAATAATTTTTTGATTTATGCTCGATGCAAGATGTCATCAAGATGGCGTCCAGTATGGAGAAACTGACTTGAAATAGTCTATAGATAAAAATTCAAAAGTGCGACTCCCCCCATTAACCCATCAAAGATCTCCAAGAGTTATTGCTTCAGTTGAGATATCATTTAAAATCTCCAATAATTTTTACCTAGAGAAAAATTCAAAAGTGCGACTCCCCCTTTAACCCATCAAAGGTCTCCACTAGTTATTGCTTCTGTTGAGACATCTCTAAAAATCTCCAATAATTTTTAGACTTATTCTTGATTCAAGATGGCGTCGTCCAGTACTAGATGTCATCAAGATGGCGTTAGTATGAGAAATTGACATGAAATAGCTTATAGAGAAAAATTCAAAAGTGCGATTCCCCCCTTTAACACATCAAAGGTCTCTAAGAGTTCTTGCTTCAGTAGACATCTCTCAAAGTCTCCAATAATTTTTGGACTTATGCTTAATACAAGATGTCATCAATATGGTGCCCAGTATGGAGAAACTGACTTGAAATATTCTATAGAGAAAAATTCAAAAGTGCGACTCCTCCCTTAACCCATCAAAAGGTCTCCATTAGTTATTGCTTCTGTTGAGACATCTCTAAAAATCTCCAATAATTTTTAGACTTATTCTTGATACAAGATGTCGTTCAGTATGGAGAAGCTGAGAATGGCATCTAATTTTATTAATAAATTTTATAAATATATCATTTATTATTTATGTATTTATTATTATCATTATTATTAATTTATAAGACTTTTTAAAAATTGACGCGTTTACTTGCCAAATTTTTTCTCACTTGTCACCGTTTTTTGACATGCCACTTTTTAGCACTTACTGATATAGAGATCGAGATCATCTCTTTGAGAGAGTCTGTTTTGCTCGTTCAAGAGGCTAGGACATTTTGCTCGATATAGAAATCTATAAAGGGGTATGAGCTATAAATTATTATCCTTCAATTGTTCATATTAGAATCACAATTTTGTATATAATCATTTTACATTACCATTAATTTGCCTTCTCTATATTATTAAATAGCTCCTAAATTAGTTTTGCTTCGTTCCTCGGCTTTTATTAAATAAAAACGAATTTTGGCTAATAATTTAAGATGGCAACCCTCTCTAAACGACTATTTGAAAGCCTCGAAAAGCTGAATGAAATGGGCCAGCTGCTACTGGTTGCCAATAACATCAGTGGAATTAGTGAAGGAGAAAGAAATGCCTTTAAAGAACTTGCCATCCAGAAACATCCAGGAATGCTTGCAGGCCTCGAAGTCTTTAAACTAGATAGAAATACTGATCTCCTTGTCGACACCTGGAGACGCTTTATTGGTGAAACGACACCTCAACGTCAAGCTACTCCTCCAGTCCAATCCTCAACTAAAAAGCCAGAGGTCAAAGAAGAAGCCAAAACCCACTTGACAAAAGGTGATTTAGCCCAATTCTTTTCAGTCAAAATGAAAAATAAAATCCCCGACCCTAACAGAGCTGCAGATGCTGTAATTGCTCTATTTGGAACTCAAGGAGAAGTTGAAAAAGAAAAGCTTCTCAGCTGGATGAACAATGGTGGGCTCAAAAAATTTATCAAGTTTAATAGTGAATCAGCTGCTGGCAAATTTATAAAAAATGCACTTCCTGGATTAAAAAAAGCAATGAGCCCTCTATTTGAGCCTCCTAAACTTGCAGAGGACGAAATCGTAAAACTTAGAGACATCATAGGTCTTGGAGGAGAAAAACCAAAAGTTTTGGTAAACGAAATCAGAAATAAAATGGGCAAAAGACCAGGAATTTCATTAGAAGAATTCACAGAAATTATATTAGGGGTTGAGCAAACTCAAGAAGGCTGGGAGCAGATGAGGAAAAAAAATGCTATAAAGATGCTTTTTGAAATTTTAGACGAAAATAAAAACGGCCAACTAGATAACGATGAAATTCTCAACTCAGTCATCATACTGTGTGGAGGGTCTCCTGAAGATAAAATTGAAGCTGTATTTACTTTATACGACGTAAATGGAGATGGTCTTATTTCATTTGATGAATTACTTGCACATCATACTGCAGCCTTTAAAATAATGTTCGCAGCTCGTCCTGAGCTAAGATCACAATGTGGGGAAACTCCTGAAACGCTTGCCCAGATTACTGTTGAAAGTATTTTCCAAGAAATTGACGTGAATAATGATAGGGTGATTACTCTTCCTGAATTTAAAGCTTGGTATAACAAAGAAGCAATAACTGATGACCTGAAAAGTGATAGAGATGCGAAGATTGAAGCTTTTACTAACAGAAAAGAGCAGCTGATAAATAGGCTGAGAGAAACCAAAAAACACTTAACATCACCTGAAAATATCGACTTAGTGATGGCACAAAAAGAAGCAACAGGACTTGGTGAAGTTAACGTTTATGATGCACTAAGGATGTTTAAGGAACAAAACACAACCGGATTTTTCTCAAGGCAGCAATTTAATGGAATTCTAAAGGATTTAGTCAATAAGTATTCAGGAATCAAAGTAAACGAAGAAGCTTTCCATGGAGTTGCATCTCAGCTGTTTTTGAAATTTGATAATGATGGAAATGGAGTTGTTAGCATGGAAGAACTGTTTTGTGGGCTCTCAGTATTGTGCGCAGGAAGCTTAGCTAGCAAGCTAAAAGCAGCAGTTGAATGCTTTGATCAGTCAGGAGATGGAGAACTGCAATTTTCAGAAGTTGTTAGATATTTTAAATCAGTATTTAATATGCTGATTCCTGATGATATTACTGATATCAAGCCTTCCAAAATTGCTGCAGCCACTGCTAAGAACTTGTTCGCTACAGTGGGTGCCAACATTGAAAGCGACGGAATTAGTTATGAGATTATCAAGAATTGGGTAGATTTGCATCAACGAACAGCTCTTTAATTTAATTCTTATTTACTTAAATTTAAATAAAGTTTAAAAGAAATCATATTTATTTTAAAGTTAAATATGTTTAATTAAAAAATTCTTAAAATAACAGAAAGAGTTTCATTGTAAATCCATCGAACCAAAATATTCCAGGTCTAATTTAAATTAAACTTTATACAGTATCATTTAAATTAAAATCATGCAATTATTGTATATCCAGTGATTGATTATTAGATTTATCATAATTTTCCCTATTAAGGTTTCTGATATCTTTAATCATCATCTTAAAAAATCTTCTATATTGAGATTTCATGGAAGGGTCTTTTTTTCTCAAGTTATTTTCAATAATGAGGGTGAGTTCTTCAGCTTTGTTCCGCTCGAAACGGTTTTGCATTAGGATTTTTATTATTTTTCTGCAAGCAAGCTTTCTTAGATCAGGATTGGCAACAGAATCGTCAGTGCTTGATCCATGGTTACTTAATACTGGGACATCATAGACTTCTTGTTCTATTTTAGTACTTTTTGGCTGAGGCAATTGTGCTATCTCTTCTGGGGCAGGCTGTTTTTCTTCTGCTTTTGGCTTTGGTGCTGGGACTATTGCTTCTTTGATTTCTTCTTTCTTCATTTCCTTATTTGGCAAACTTTCAAATGAAGAGTTATCAGAAAACTTATACTTTTATAAGAATTTAATCAAAAAAGTTAATTTTTATTGAAATATTTTGCATTGAATAGAGAAAATGCGATTTTATTTGATATAATTAATTAAAAAATTGAGTATATATTCTTTTCTTGGCACTTTAATTTTCTCACTTATTCCCAATCTCTCACCAATAATCTTTCTTTTCCAATATAAATAAAGCTTATGCCCTAGCTTTGCAAGATTTCTTAAGCTAGGATCAGAATTATCAATAAATTCTTCTTTAAACAGTTTAACAGATTTCAAAATATCACAAGATTTTAATAAAGATAGGGTAGGCTCGATCTCTAAAAGCATTTGAAAATATATATAAAGATTCTGAGCCGTCATAGACTCATTCTTAGTCGCATGGGAATTCAAATATAAAAATCCGCTGATTACTTTTTCGATCTTCATAATCTTGTTCTAAATGATTGTTACAAGTAAGCTAGAAAGATTATCATCCTTTGAGTCAAAATTATTTTCAGAAATTTTTAAATCTAAAGATTTTTCAATGCTTTTTAATTCAGTTGACAGATCATTAGGTTCGGCCTTTATAGCAGAGTCCTTTCTTTTCCGATGAAAAGCTGGCTGATTGATATCACTATTGACTTTGCTTAGGCTTTCGATAGGTGTTTTTCCTCTAAAAAATGCATTTGCAACTTCAATGCTCTTGAGTAGATACTAGGTAAATTTTACTTTATTTTTGGAAGATGAATAAATATCGTAGTTTTCTTTATAGTCGCATATACTTGTAATAGGAAGTATTGAGCTATCTATCAATTACCTCGAATTTTCACCAATAAAATTCACAAAAAACTGTCGCTGAGTAATTTTCCCGGTATCTTCATCTTCAACCTCTTCAATCTCAGATATCTTATTAGAAATTACTATGGATGGTCACCATGGATACCCGCGAATTTTAGCCCAAACCATTTGATCTTTTGCAAAGGTCTTTCGCATCAGTTAATGTAAAATATTGGCCATAGATTTTATGTGTCGAAGTCTATTTAGAATATTTTGGGCTGAATAATAAAAATTATATTGTAAATTTGACAATGCATTGACAAAAAAATATCAGTTCTTTGCTTAAGTAAATGCCCGGGGATGCTAAGATATTTTTAAGTGAAATATTTCAAATAAAATAGATTTTGCTTTGACGAGGATTTTTTAATTTCTCCAATTTTTCTTATATTTTGATTCAAATTTCTGCTATTCAATTCTAAACTCAAGAATCAAAATTACCTAAAAAATAAAATTTAAGGTTTTAACTATAAAAATAATGAAGATTTAAGTTAAAACACAAAATATTTTGATTTTATTTTCTAAAAATCATTATTTAGATTAAATTCAATTTTAAAATGATTGTGGAATTAATTTTAAAGCTATTCTAGTAATGAATAAGTTACAGCCGAAGAATGGGTTCCGAATCTCATATCATGGACTAAAGCACATTTTTCTTTATGTTTTGTTATTTTCGTTACAAAATTCAAATCAAACTCAGAATCCTTCAAAGCTAGTATAGGAGGAACAATTTTTTGGTTCAGTGATAATATTGCAATAACACTTTCAGAAATCCCTGCAGCAGATAATAAATGGCCAATACTAGATTTAATACAGCTAACTTTTGCGTTTGGATAAGATTTTTTAATAATTTCTGCTTCAACAGCATCTTCTTCACCTCCAGACCCATTCGCAAAAATAATTCCTGGTGTAAATTCTTCATTTCCAGAAGCTTTTAAAACTGCAGCATTTTTTTCTTCCAATTTCACATTAAATTTGCTTCCAAATCCATTAACTTCCGCATAAATCCTAGCACCTCTTGCCTTCGCATGCTCAAATTCTTCCAGCACAATTGAAGCAGCCCCTTCTCCTAAGATTGTCCCATTTCTTTCTCTCCCAAAAGGTCTAATTTCATTATCAGGTGACAAAATATTCATCCCATTCAGAAATCCTGCTAAATTATCATCAATTTCTGGGCTTCCACCAGAAACGACCATATAGTCTGCTTCTCCTCTTTTAATTGTAAAATATGCATCACCGATTGATTGTAATCCACCTGCAATTGAAGAGCATGGTCCTTTTGCTTGAGCAATAACTGCTGCATTAGAAGCGGCAATTCCTCCAGCGATTTTGAGTCAAAATTGTCTATCAAATGATGATGAAATAAGAGGTTCAAAAAGGTCTTTTGTAGAGCTGGCTAATAGGGATTCAACGACTCCACATTTTACTTGTTCAGACTCAGTTTCTGGGGCGTAGCCTGCGTCGTATATAGCTTGGATTGTAGCGTCAATGAATAAAGCATTTTGAAGATTTTTGGCTTGCTAAATGAAAATTACTTGTGTGTTTTCGAGAGCGGATTCGAGTGAAAAACTTTGAGGGATTTTCCCGGCAGCTTTTATGTAGGGAGAATGAACTGGGATAATCCCGATTTCTTTACGGCAGAGAGCGTTTCATGAGTCTGCAAGTGTCAAGCCAATAGAGCTGATCATGCCAAGACCTGTCACTACGACCCTTCTTTTCATATAAAATGGTCATTTTAAAGCAATTTTTGAAGAGAAAATGATGATTTTAACTACCCATTGGACAAACTATCTTGAATTTTTACTTTTTAAAATTTTTTGAAGGCCTTTAAGATGCAATTAATAATAATATCTATTTTATTTGACTAAGATTTCACTATTATTTAGGATTTTGCGAAATATTCTTTTATTTTAACTGTTTTTTCTTAAATGTTTTTATAAATATTTTATTATTTTATTATATTTTTAAACCGACAAAGAATGACAAATTCTCATAAATTCCACATATTTTAAGCAAATAAATGTCCTATTTCCCCATAAGACCAGTTTGATCATTTTTTCTGAATTCCAAGCCTAGAACTCTAATTAACGGTGGCATAATTGACTTTCTTGATAAAATAATTAACGAAGAAACCCAGATTCTAACCTTTGAAAGCGAGCATGAAGATTTAGAAAATTTTGCACATAAGCGATTTCATTCACAATCAAAACTAAATAATTATAGTGTTTTTGACTGTAAATTACTGATTCCTCCTATAATTAGAGCCAAAAAATTTGCTTCATATTTTTTTTCGGAGAATAATTATTAAAATTAATTTATAAAATTATCGATTCTAAGGCGCTAGTGTTAATTAAAAATATTTTATTGACACTTCTCTGTAAAAGAGAAAAAGCTAAAGGTAATTTTTTATTTTGGCAATATAAATTAGGTATCAAAGCTATCATATAGAAATTATTACTTTTAACTATAAAAATTTAAAGTTGGGCTAGCTGACAAAAAAAATGGAAATTTACTGATATTTATTTCGATTTAAAGAGGAGTGAGATTTATTGCTAAATGATATCATTTTTTATTTCCTTCTAACTTATCTTTTATTGGACTATCGACTTTATTATTGCTAATTTGACTTTCAACTTATTTACCATCTGACAGAAGCTATACCATTATTGGTTCTGTCACTATTTTAGCTGCAATATTGATAAAATTGTTTATTTTTAGTAGAAAGATGCATAAAGAATCTAGTAAAGAAGCCAAATATGCTTTATCCATTATTCATAATGGATTATTTGCAGAGTATGATAAAGTTTCATTAAACCCAGGAGATATTATATTAGCTGAATTTAAAACATCAAATATAAACAAGCACAACATGCCAAGAGAAAAACATTTAAAATCGAATAACTTTGAAGAACTTCAATCACGAATAATTATCTTTAAAGCTGATAAAAACTGGCTAAATAACGAAGAAAGGCTAAATATCTCACAAAACTTCGCAGAAGACTTAATTATATCTGAAATGGAACTTGAATCAAATTTCAATTTAAGGACTTTTTCTTACCTTATCCAGCTTTATACCTATGCAATTATGTTTTACAAAGATATAAAAGAGTCAAAAAGAAAAATTTTCAAACAGCGTCTTCAATCATTATTATTAAAAATTGATTTAATTAAGCTTTCAAATTCAGAATTTCAGCATAAAGTAGATTTTTCTCAAAAACATCTAAAGGTATACTCAAGGTTGCATAAATCTAAGCAGAGAAGGCAACCTTCAGACGATTTTTGTATTGAATATTGGCATCCTTACGAAATTTCAGAAATTCATGAAATAAATGCTGAAGAAACTATTGAGAGACATGACAGCAGCAATATTTCTATTTGAAATAGAGTTCAAGAAGATATGAGAAATCAAGCACAAAATTTAAGCTCAAGGATTGATGATAGAAGAAAGAGTGTAATGAACCAGTCTTTTAATAGTCTGAATATGTCTAATCTGTCAGATAGATCTGATTTGGAAGACTTTGAAGTGAAATTTGAACTATATCAAATAGAACTTGAAAAAATGATGGATCAATTTGTTGAGAAGGCTCTTAAAGAAACGATGGAAATAAAGAATAGATATAGAGAAAGTGTCAGGAAACTGGAAGATATTGATAATATTTTTGTTCAAAATAAACTGAGGGTAGAAGCCGAAAGGATGATGAAAAAAGAAACTGATGAAACAAATCAAAGAATTGATGAAGAAAAAAAGAAAACAATTTTGACTCTAAGGCAAAAATTCAAATTATTATAAATTAAATTATATAGTTTACTCCACTCCATATTTAAATTGGAACTAAATATTAGTAAAGTTCTCAACCTTTAAACTTAAATCAATTTTTTTTACAGTTCTTCTTCTGTGAGCGAACAAAAATATCTTGTTTGCTCTAATTTATTTTAAAAAATTATTATATATAAGTTCTTATAGTATATTTTTTTTACAAATTTAAAAAAAAATCAAAAATTTTATAATTTTTTTTTCATAAAAAAGTTTTATATTAAAAATAATTTTTGTTCGCTTACGGAGGGTGGGTTTTTGGGCAAAAAATAGGGATTTTTTCCAATGGTTTTGTTCGCTCACGGAGGCCGGGAGTAAGTAATCGATTGCTCTCTCATTAAAAGACATTTTTTGCAGGGAACAACAATTTAGCAGGTGAACACTCATAGAATTCAGACTTGAAGAAACTTATGAAATTGCTAAAACTCTTTTAGAAACGATGCTTGCAATTTAAAATTGCTGGGATTCCCAAATTATGGCATTTATTTGTCAACTTGGAAGAAATTAGAAATGCTAGAAATTTTATTTTTAGATCAGAATTTAAATAAAATATATTCAGAAAAGGCCAGACCGAAAATTCATATAAATTAATTTAATTTTTAATCTCTCATTAAAATTTGCAAAAATAAGAGCTAAGAGCTAATGAATTTTAATAGCCTTATTCATGAATTTGCTGGAAGGTAAGCTATGAAACGATTTCGCAAAAAATGAGTTTCATACTTCTCCAAGTATGAATTATGATTTGATTGGAAAGCCTGAGACTGATATGAAATTGAGATTAAAATCTATTAACTGGCTGCATAGTTTATCATATATAAAGAAAGATACACGAAATATTCTGTCAACCATAATTAATTCAGGAATATGAATAAAGAAAAGAGACTTTAAGATTAGATTTAAGGAGTTCGATTAAAAGTCCGAATGTATGACGAAAAATATTTTCTTATGAGACATTTTCAATAACCAGATATTCCGAAAACTCTTTGAAAGATATATAGGCTATTACCTAAAATTGCCGGCAAGGGCGTAAGGATAGAAAGCTTCTCTCTCCAATTGGTCTGCCCAACTCAGGTTGGTTTGCCTGACTGGAGAGTTGGTAAGTGAACCACAAGAGGCTCATTTGCCAACTCTTCAGTTGGTTTGACCAACCTAAATTGGCCAGACCAACTGGAGATTAGAGCTCTCCATCCTTATGCCCTTGTCGGGAATTTTAGGTAATTACCTATATTATTATCATCCAATAAAAATTCAGCTATATTTGATTAAGCTTACTTTTAAATGCTTTTCGCAAGCCAAAATGATACTCACATATAGAACAGCAGATTTTCTCTTTTGAGCGTTTTGCGTGCCAAAGCCCTTCATGCAGATTGATAGATTTTAATATAATTATGCTAAATTATTTGCATTATCTGGTGCTCTTATTTCTCATAACACTTGTCAGGAATAATCTTTTGATGCTTGAAGACTTTAAACTTTTACATAAAAATCAAAATTTTTCCTCATTGATATTTGAAGGAAAAGAGAAATGGATCAAGCATTAACTATATTTAAGATTAAGCATTCATATACCAAAGTCATTAATATAACCCGAATCAATATCAGTTTCAGCTATATTTCTAAAAAGATTTATCAAGTTCAAAAATTGAATTTTCTCTATATATTGTAAAGCACATCCCTGAGCTTTCTTGGGTTTAAAAGTATTTGCGCACTAAGCAAAAATCATTTGCATTGACGTTTATCATTAATTATTAATAAATTTCTATACACAAATTCAGAGAAATCAACATTTAATCTAGGTAGCTATAATCTAATTTTGCAGTATATCTTCCAATAAAACAAATTTCATATTTATCTGAAAAAGCATATTTGCTTATATGTTAGACATAAAAGTAAAATGGACTCAAATGAAAACAACAACTCTATTACTTCTCAAGAGATCCAGCAGTTTTCCCCCAACCACCTAAGTTTTGTTGACGAAAAAGAAGCCAAAGATCACTCATTCTCAAAGACAAGGCTCTCCATTTCAACCCCAACAAGCTATATCTCCGACAATAGTTCTCAAAACTCTCCATCCACAAAATCTCACACAAAATCGAACTCCTGGATTTTAAAGCCACTTGTAAACTCAAACAACAATTTTGGGCTTGAAAAATCCCGGTTTATTTCACACGTGGACGATCATTTTATCTGCAAAATATGCTCATATGTCGTAACCAATCCAGTTGAATGCGAGTCGTGCGAAAACCTTGTCTGTAAAAACTGCTGAATAAATAATGGGCGCTGTCCTCATGAATGTGAAGAATTTTCGACAAAAAAACTCGCCAAATATGCAGCTTCTGTGTATTCGAATTTCAATTTATGATGCAAAAATCATGCACTTGGCTGTGCTTTTTCAGGAATTATCCCTGATGTTTTGGCACATGAAATTGATTGCTTGTATATTTTTGTGAAGTGTCAAAATCCGCTGTGCCAAAATGATTTACTAAAAGCTGATAAGTATCAAGGGCCAAATTCTTTGCTGGTTTGTAGTGATGTATGCAAACATATCGTAGAATTTCATCAAGAAAATTTTGAAGACCCACTAGAGGTGCTTAAAAACTTCTCTTTTCATTTAGAAGAAGCAAAGAAGATTATGGAAATCGAGATAAGAGAAGAAATGAATGAACAAATACAGAAAATTGCGAAGAAAAATAAACAGATCAGTGAAGCGAGCTATGAAAAAGAAAGGCTGGAAGAAAAAATTCAGAAACGGCTGAGCTATTATCATTCTGGGAGGTGGAATGTCAATAGTAGGCTTTGGAGCTGCTGTGGGAATACCAATAAGTATTCCAACGGATGTAGAGAAATAGGCGATTAATTATATAATATATATAGTAACTTTAATTAGCCTAAAATTTTGCAAAAATATTTCTAATTCATGTTAATTTATAAGCAACTTCATTGCCAGCATTGAGTTTAACTAAAGGAAAATAGTTTAATTTAATTTATACATATAAATCAATTAGTTTTCTTGTGGCTTTGGATATTTAATAAATTAAATTATACCTGTAAAATACTATAAGAATTGTAAATCTCACTATGCCCAATTGGCTTCAATTATAATTTAAATATAATAGTTATTATTCAATAAAATGAAAGAATTAATTATCTCAGGCTTTTTACTAGGAGTTTCAAGAGCAGCAACAACAGATACAGAGAATATACCAATTAACCCTGCAGCACTTTCTGGAATTCTCATTGTCTTAATGCTTTTAGTTTTCTTATATGTAGGATTAAATGCACTTGGGAGTATTGAAGGTCCAACTACATACTCAAATGTTCCTCTTATAGTTGGTAAAGAAAAATAAACTTATTTTACTTAAGTGTTTAAAAATGATAAAATTATTGTTATAATTTAATCTTCAGTCAATTTTTTCTTATCCTTGAGATGAGCAATATATAGCTTTTCAAATATTTATCTTAATAAATACAAGACTTATGGTTTCAGTGTCTTTTATAAAATCATTTATGTTATATAAATAGCATTGGCTTGAGAAGGCTGATATACAATTTTATGATAAATTTAATTGTTTAAACACAATTAAAGAGCTTAAACCGTATATAAATAAGAAAAATGTCAAATATCGCTAGACAATTAAAATGCATGATTTGATATTATAATTTAATTTAGTATAATTTATTCACAATTTTAATTAATTATAATGACTTAATACAGTTAAAATTGTTATATGCGCATTTTCCCTGAATTTCCTCCTGGGCTAGTAAAATACGATGCATCTATTTTTTGCTTTGAAACTTCATTAAAATCATCAATATAATCATGAATTGATTTCGGAAAAGGCAAGAAAATTTTCATGTTTTTGGAATTTACATCAAATCCTCTAGCCCTTGATGTCATAGGACTTGTAGAATGTGATGAAAAACATGAAGTCCACGAAAGATCTGCTTTATTTCCACTCCTTCTTTGTAATGTATTAGATAAATTCAGCTTTTTTCTTTCTATTTCTTTTGCTTTACTCCTCTTCGCTTTAAATAGGATCAATTTATAGGTAAAATTTCAATATTTTATAGTATTTTTAGCCCCTAAATTAGAAAAAAATATAAAAAAATTATAGGTAAAAATATTAATTTCTATAAAATAATTTTTGACTTAATTTAATGTAAAGAAATATTATTTAAAGACTTTCCACAATGAAGCGATTAAATTTTTAAATTAATTCTTGATAAAATTTAAAGCATTTCATTCCATCTTTATTTTTATAAATTTTGTATAGAAAAATTTAATATAATTTTTTTAAAATAAAATGAACCCTCTTTAAATTGGAACAGGATTTTTTGTTTATTATGGGTAGTTAGCTGAATTGCTGACCCAAACAACAAATGCATTCGCTAATCTTCTGATAAACACTTTTTTAAAAAAATAATCAATTTTCACGTATTTATAAATTCTCGCCCTTTCACTTTTGTCATAAATTCTGCTAAATCCAGCATAAATATAGTCTTTTTGAGATCTTTTGAAAACGCATTGTAGGAGATTAATGAATTTGTAAACCTTGCAATCATTTTTAAGATTTTTTGCATAGGAATAAATAACTCTGAATGATTTCTTTTTATCGTTTATAGAATGAAGCTGGAATATTTTGGAGAGTTTCATTAGTAATGGACCTGCACTATGGAGGCTGTTTCTTTTTGATTTTGGTTTATAGCTGGATCTATAAGTAAATGCTTTGGTTCTAATAGAAATCATTACACAAATAAATAAAGAAGTCACCGAACTGTCCTCTCCCTGATACTCAGACTTTGAAGACTGCGCGCCTGATGTTAAACTGAGCAGATGCCGTTTCCTAGTCACGGCATTTGCAATCCAGCTAGGTTTTGTCTCCTCTTCCAGGAAAGAGGACTTAGCGTCTTCGGAAAAAGGCTTTTAGTCTATAGGCACCAGTTTCCACTAAGAGGCATAGCTAGTGCAGATATTAGCTAGGAAGTATATCGCTAGCTGGGGCTCCCGTTCCTAATGCAGAAGCGTTCAAGCCCATAAACTACATATTCCGAGACAGCGTCAAGACCCTGACCGATTGCTGTAGGAGAGATATCTCTGATGGAATGCTCAAAATTCAAGGAGTTTCTCTTTCAGCTGAGCAAGTCTTCTTCAAAAACTCCTTGGAAAATGTGTAAACACGGATGCCCTAATATTTTATGATAGAATCAAAAGAACATTTGAGAGTTTTTTTAAATTTTGGCTGCAAAATATTGTTAAGGATGATAAAACAAGCTTTAGCTTCTAATGTCTTTATTGGCTTAGTATAGCGAGATTGCAATAAGCTTTTTTCTTTTATATTTTGATATTTCAAGCGCTTCTTTTGAGAAGAATATTGAGCGATTTTATCAAATCCGCTTTCCATTTGGCTTTGTTTTATTATTTTTTTAATCGCCAATGCTAATATTTGAGCTGATTTTTTTCTGAATAATTTTTTTTCATCATAAAATGGATCATCTTGCAATAGTCTTGGCTTAATAAATTCTGTTTCTTTTAGTGATTCAATAGAGTCAAATGAGCAAATTTCAGGGGATTTACTATTAATTCCCCTATGTCTGATGAGCAAAAAATATTGCTCATTAGCCAAGGGGTTAATTTGTTTAATATTTATATAAAATATTATACAAAAAACTTTAAAAAATTTTAGATTTGCATATATTTGTTATGAAAAACTTAATTCAATTTATTAAATTGATGTTTAAAGACTCAGGCTGTTTAAAATGAATAGAATTAGCGGAGATCTCACACTATATTATTAATTATATATCAAATATTATAATAAAAATTTTCTTGATCATTAACCTAAGATTTTTCTAATTGTTTTGCTCGCTAACCAAGATAGAATGGGAGTAAGCGGCCTTGTCCAGTCTTTTAAAACATTTAAAATGAGTGCTTCAAATAAGCAATTAATCCAGTACCTGACATCAGACCTCCTTTCCTCTGTAAAATTTTTCCAATTATTAAATTTCAGATATTTGATATAATGATTTTGATTCCTCAAAATAACTTCACTGAATTTCTGGATTTTTTTGATTTTTATTATTATTTTGCTTTGGATTCCAACTGATTCTTGCAGCTCGATATCAAAATCAGCATATTTTGAAGGCAGAGGCTTGCAAACTAAGAATGGACGAGGACGAATTTCTGTATGATTGGTAACAGAATTTAATGAAAATCTTGAACTGTCTCTAGTATAAACTTGAGATGGTGACGTGTCTGCTGTTTTTATGCTCTCAATAGAATCAAATGGATTTTTCTCTTTATATGGTGTGTAGTTTGATGGGTCAAATGATAAGTTTTCTCTTCGGTGAGTTTTATTGTCAGCAATTTTAATCCCCAAAGAATTAATAGGGCCAAATATACTAAATTTTGAGATGTTGCGTCTTTGATTAAATACTGGTGAAGAATCTTTAGAGCTTTCAATATCAGACTTTTCACTAACAGCTTCTATAGGAACTTTGTTAAGTTTTGAAGGCTTTGAAAAATTTTCTTTTGATATAAAGGGGAGAGTCTCTGTTTTTTTCTTTTCTTGCTCATTGAATATATTTTGGGGGGTTTTAGGTGCTTGTGCTGGTAAGTTAATTATAGAGTCACTAAGCCGATTGTTTTCAATAACTGGGTGGCAGCTATCTATATTAGGTGAGCTCACTTCTTTTTTGGGGCTTTGGCTGAGAGCGTTAGACTTTTTTGGCTGTGTTTGCGAAAGTGCCCTTAAGTTTCGTTTTTCTCTATTTCTTTCTGCAAAGCCTCCAGGTTTCTTTGGCATTTCAAGTTTTATAGCTTGTTTCGCTTTTTTCCGTGCTTACAAGGAAAATCTAACTTAAGGACGGGAGTTGGTATTTTAGACAGGTTTTGCTGTCTTGGACTTTTTCAATGGATGAAGGTCTTCCCTTATCTTTTAATTTATTTTAAAATCATTTTTGAGGCAAATAAAATTGTTTAATATAATATACTTTATGCATTTATGTCTATAAAGATGAGAAATTTTCCAATAAAGATGGACATAATGATGGACAGTAAATTTAAATTTTCTCCAATCTTTATCCGATTTTTCTCTACAAGAATGCTATTAAATATGCTTTAAATTTCCTTGAAAAGGCACCACCCACATTTGTGTCTGTAATCTACATCAAGACTTATTAAATTTTAAAATATAAAGATAGACCCAAATATAGATTATAAAAATTAAGCTTTTTCTTCAAGTTCTTTATGAGTTTAACTTTGATCTTGTAACTGTAAGCATGCCTTTAATATCCTTTAATTTTCCCTGGAAAGGCATCGCCCACTTTTTAGTATATAATCTTCATCAAGGATTATTTAACTTTCCTTCAAATATGGTTTTTCACAATGATAAATTAAAAATTTTCTCCAAGTTCTTTGTGAATTTGCCTCTGATAATCCAGTTGCAAGAATGCTATTAAGTGTGCGTTTATTTCACTAGAAATTTATATTCATCTAAATGATTATTTAATTTTTAAACAAAGATGGCATTCACAATAATAAAAAGTAAAATTTTCTCTCCAAGGTCTTAATTAATTTACCTCTGATATTCCTACTATAAGCTTGCTATCGAGGTGCTTCAATTATACCTCAAAGGTATCACCCACTTTTGTGTTTATAAAATCATCAGACTCTATGTGAATTTTTAAAGAGGGCTTTAACATGGGAAAGAAAATGACATTACTCAGAGCCCTATATAGTTTTCCTTAATATCTTAAGCATAAGCTACATCTTGAAGGTGCTTCAAATACTCCTCAAAGCCATCATCCACTCCTATGCCGATTTTTAAATTTTTTTTAGGCAGTTCAAAAAATTAGCTTTGTTAAAAATGTGTCAAAAAATGATGTTAACACACCAAATTCCAGCAAGAAATAGGTAAAAGTATGAAGTGCATTACTCTACTAAGTAAACTAGGACTTGAAATCCACTGTTTGCTGCTCTCAGCCAATCGCAATATTGCTGCAATAGAGCATATTATATTAAACAATTTTATTTGCCTCAAAAATGTTTTTAAAATAAATTAAAGAATAAGCTAATCCCTTAATCCATTGAGAAAGTCGTTTAAAACACCAAATCCGTTCTCAAAATCAGATTTTCCTTATCAGTACGGAAAAAAGCGCAACAAGCTATATCGAATCTTTTTCTTGGCTGTCTGCACTATTTTCCTTAATTTCTTCTCTTTCTGGCCTTGGACTACTTTGAGTGCGCTTTTCAGATTGCATATTTCTTCTTAATTTTGCAATGTTTTTTGGAGGTCTTGGAACTTTTAAATTGTCAGGCGTCTGCCTTTTATCTTCTTTCTTAGGAATTTCACCTTTTTCTAAACTTTCATTAGATGTATTAATTATATCTTTTATTTCTTTTTCATCCCCAGGCCCAAAAAGGCTTAAGCTGCTTTCATCACATATTGATCTACTCGATTCATTATCAGGGTTAAAAGAGCCAATTGTTTTACTTAAATCTTCATTATCACTCTTTAAATATCCAAATATTGAAATGCTTGATAATTGAGAAAAGGAAAGTTTATTTGAAGAACTCTCAATAGGAGACGCCCCAAAATCGACAAGGGCTTGATTTTGGATTGTGCTTGTCTTAAAGGAAGGAGTTTCTGCCCCAATTTTTTCATCATGATTTGGGCCAGATGCTCTGATTTTTTGATGCTTTGTATCATTCAAAGGCTTTTCAAATCTTTCAAGCTTTGAGAGTCTACCGATAATTGCAGTGAATGCCTTTTCAAGGAAAAAATAAAAAAGGGCTTGCTCTAGTCCGGCAATTACTTTTCTTGCATTGTATAAGTTTCACTTCTTAGTTTGTGATTGCTGTATTTTTGAGGAATCAGATTTGTTTCTTAAATGAATTTGAGTTTTTTTCCAAACTTTAAACAGAGATTGGCATTTTTTAATATCAGCCTTCTTAATTAGCCTACAAAGTGCACTCTTTGATCTCAGCCTAGCCTTCCCTCCTATCAAAAATTTCCCAAAATGCTTCCCCAAACATCTCTTAAAAATCTTAATACAATTGTTCAAAATCCCAATCCATTTGTATTTATTCATCATCATTTTATTTCTCCAATCCAAAAACGTCTTTTCTTTAATTAATTTTTCATTTTGATTTTTTAGCACATCGCCCATTTCCTTTGTTCTTTTTTTCTTATATGCTGAATAATCAGCATCTGCTTCGCTAACTCTGCTGAAAACTAAATCACAAGATTTATTCTCGTCAATGCATGTATCATTTTTTCTGGGCTCTGGAGAGCTAAAGAAGCTTCTTATTTTGTGCTCTGAGACCTGAGATGGGTTTAAAGCTGACTCTCTTTTGAATTCTTTAAAAATACATTTCATCATGTTAAAGGAGAATTTTACCTTTTTCGACATAATTTTTCTGGCGATTAAAGAAAATCTCAATGTGAATACAAGGCCTCTTGGTTGAAAAAAGCCATCACTGTTGTCAGTTAGTGCGTTCAATATTTCAGTGGCATGCTCTTCGCCAAAGCATTCGTCTAGAAGCATAATGAGCTCAGAAATCAGAGTTTGAACTCTCTGTTGGCCTTTTAGCTGCTGTTGGCAGACATCACTAATTAGTAAGACTGCTTTTCTTAGCTTGACTTCTTTTGATTTGTCCATTTTATAAATTTTACATATGAATGCCTACTAAAATTGCACTATCTATATAATGTGACTTTTAGGAGCAGCTTAATAATTTATTTTAAATTTGGTAAGATTAATTGCTGCACGTTAATTATGCCATTTTCTCAGGCACCTTTGTGATATATAATTACAAGCCGCTTGCTTCTTATTTTTAAAGAAACTGAGTATTTTTAAAATTATGTTATTATACTATTCAATCTCATTCGTGAAAAAATAAAGGCTATGTCGTTTGAAGTTCTTGCCTAATAGTTCAAACGAAATATAGTAATACCATATTTAATTCGATAATTTTGGAGGCGTTATTAATATTCTTAAGTTTGTGGAGTCAAAGCTACTTGATTAAGCTTAGTACTTATGCTCTAATAACCTTGTTTCGGGTAATTTAGAACAATAATGTGAATGTTTATTAGCAGAAAAGATTATTTTCTTTACAGCGAAAAAATATTTTTGTATAAAATTAATTTACAGCGGGCAATTAATTAAATATTAGTAGAATAAATTTTGGCTTAACTAAAGTAATTATATTAAGTTAACGCATTTTACCTGGTAAAACACTGTCCGACATTGACGAAATTTTATAATAAGTGCTTTTTTCACTAAAAAGATGTGTTAGAAATACAAAAACTCCCATTTGTATAACTGTAGAGCCTAAAATAACTACTTTGTTTCTAAAATAAGGTGCAAACAGCCATGAAATGATAATAAGAGCAGGCAAAGCTAAAAAGTAAATAGTCGCCAATGCTGCAAATTGTGTAACAAACTGGCTCATTTTGCCATGAACTTTCGTCATTAAGCCTCTAATTAAATAAATAAACCATCCCCAGAGCCCAATTCTTATTAAAATCAATAAAAATCCAATAATTCCTTCGTAATCACTGAATTTATAATATGAATCATCTGTAATTCTTCCTAGTCCCACGATTACCAAATTAAGCAAAACCACCATTAGTCCAACTGGTATATACACATCAGCATCAGGAAATTCTTTTTGCTTTAAAGTCCAGCCAGTTGCCATTAAAATAAAAAGAATAGTAATAATCAATGTCGAAACAATTTCTAATTTCCCCATCCATGAGTAAAAACAAAATTTTCTTTGTTTTACGTTTTTAATTTTTTATAAAAATATATATTAGTATTTTTTTTTTCACTGTTTAAAAAATTGCTAAAATTGAGAAAATTGAGAAAATTAATTTTTAAAGTTTATGTTTTAAAATGCAGTCTTTTAAAATTTGACAGAATTAGCTATAGATTTCATTTTACCTTCAGAACAGGTATGGCTCGATCTTAAACTCCCTCCCCTCCCCCTTGACGGTTTCAGTTTGAACGAAATTGTTAATTCAAAATGACAAGTCCCTCACTAAGCATTTGGCAATTCAAATTCAATTTGTAGATTTCAATAAAGCTAAAACCTCAAGGGATGGGTTCTCAGGTCGATCTAAAACCATGCTCACGGTATATATTAATCATCAATTATATATCAAAATATTTTTTCAAAAAATTTTTTGCTCTTCACAAAGGGTAGACTTAGGCCAAAAAAATAGGGATTTTTCCAATGTGTTTGCTCGCTCACAAAGGAAGGTAGTAAAGACTGTGAAAAAAAATCAAAGACTGTGATTCCTTTACCATTGTAAGAGTATACCCAAAGGTGGATGCATTGGAAGAAAATTCCTCCGAACTGACAGCCTATCGATGAATTAAAAAAAATTACATTTGTTTCGATATCATTAGTTTTCTGGAACATTTTTATCAGCCTGAATATGTTTCCTGATAAGGCAATTAGATAGAGCACTAGCAGAATAGGATATAGATAGACTAAGCCATTATCTTCAGTAGAGAACTCAGAATGCCCTTCATTCACAAAATGCATTTCTACCTTAATCCTTGTTTTGTCTGATATATTATTTTACATTGAATATTTCTTTATAATATTTTTAAATTTAAAAACATGATTTTTATATAACATGGTATAATTTGCCTTCACAGTCAGATATAGCAAAATATCATATGTGCGGTCTTAGCTTCTGAGATAATTTACCATTCAATTGTTCTGACCACTCTCCATTTGGATTAAGGAATAAAAATCTTTCTCTCCTCGATAAATCCACTTTTGTTTTGCAGTCATTTGTGTCCATAACTTCATCCCAGTTATCATCAATATATACACTTGCGACCAGTGATATATCGTCCTTATACGTCTCATTTATAGGCTTATTGAATTTTGCTTTCAATTCCCATTCCCCAGCCCCTACATCAACAGCAAATTTGCTTATATATTTCCACTGCTGGCCAGCCCCTAAAGTGACAACATTTGATATATACTTCGCAAATGACGCAGTCACAAATAATAAAATGATCAGCATCATTTCAATATTTATTGTAATATCCAGAGCTTTAATGGGATTTTAGTCATAATTTATAAATGATCAGGAGGTTCTTCAGGTTCAGCTTTCCTACACTTTATACCCCTGGCCCAGTAAAAACTACCCAAAGAACCAAAGATGCTGTTTTAATTGACTATGGGTCAAGGGATCCTACATTTAGCAGGATGGTTGAAGAAATTAAAGTTAAGGTACTGAGGATTGCTGAGCTGAGCGAAACAGAATATACAACGATTATCATGCAAGGACCTGGATCATATGGAGTTGAAGGAGCCCTAGGAGCAATTAAAAAAGATGGGAGCGAAAAAATTCTTGTGGCAAGAAATGGGCATTATGGTATGAACATTGAAAAAATAGCTAGGACACTTAAAATCCCTTATAAAGTGATAGAAAAGCCAGAAAATCAGTCAATCACTCCGAGTGATGTAGTAAATGCATTAGAAGATAATATCACCCATTTCTCAATGGTCCATTCTGAAACCCCTACAGGAATGCTTAACCCACTGAGTTCAATTTGTCAAGCTTTAAATGAAACCAAGCCAGGGCTTGTAAAAATCATTGACGGGATCAGCTCTTTTGGAATGGCACCTATTGATTTAAAATCAGCCAAAATCCATTATTACTGCACATCATTCAATAAATTCTTACAAGGACACCCTGGTTCTGGACTTGTCCTTGCAGAGCTAAACCAATTAAAAAAGACTAAAGGCTTAGCACATTCCTTATCTCTTGACTTATATGACCAATGGGACTATCAGCTTAAAAATTACGGCCAATTCAGATTTACTCCTCCTACACATATGCTGGCAGCTCTTCATGCATCTTTATGTGAAGCTGAAGAACATGGAGGAATTCAAAGAAGGCTTGAGATCTTAACTCCCCCCCCTTTAAATTGGAACAAAATAAAGGTAAAATTTCCACTTTTTTGGTAAATTAACCCCCCTTTAAATTGGAAAAAAATTGAATTTTATAATAAAACATTTTATATATAAAAATCATAATTTTTATGTAAAAATTTTTGATATAAGTTAAATGTTTCTTCTTAACTAAAATTCAAAATTTACTTATTTCTTGCTTTATTTTAAAAGAATAGAGTATAAATAACATCTTATTTAAATAAAATTAGCACTTTGATCGATAAATTTTCTAACAATTTTTTTTTTTAATTTTGTTTTAAAAATAAAAATAATAATTTTTGTGCAAATAGTTTTGATACCAATTAATAGTGGCGTATTAACTAATAATGAAAGTTTAGTACATCTTGCTTTATTTTAAAGGATAAAGAGTAAATAGCATGTTATTAAATAAATTTATTAATCTAATTCGATAAATTTTTAAATTTTTATATAATTTTTTTTTTTAAAAAATTTTTTTTACCCCCTTTAAATTGGAACAAAATTTTTTGTTCCAATTAAAAGGGGGGGGGAGTAAGAGAAAATCAAAGAGTGATGCATTCAGAGCTTCATAAAATAGGGTTTAAGCCTTTCCTAGCTCCTGAAAACCAGGCTTTGTGTGTAACTACATATTATCAGCCTAGCCATCCTAACTGGGATTTTAATACTTTCCAAAATGCGTTGTGTGAAAAGGGAGTTTGGATTTACCCAACCTGCGTCACTAAAAGTGCTAGCTCCGTTTTCATTAAGATTTTTTATTTATTTAATTAATTTTTTAAAAATTAATTATTTATTAGTTAGAATTATAAGAAGTAAGACATTTAGAGTTTCAGTATTAGGAGATCATGACACAGAAAGTACACTCCATCTTGTAAACAGCATCAAAGAGACTCTTAAAGAAATGAAAATAGAGATACCATTGAAATAATTCATTCAGAGTAATAGTGATTTTAATTTAAATATGGAAGGGACATATTGGTTTTACAACTGCCATGAACAGAGGAGACTAGATGAGATTACTGCACTAGGATACAAGTGTACGGGGAGGCTGTGGAATGATTTGGCGAATATAATTCAAAGCCTTTCTGCTTATATGCACCCTTCTTTTAAAGAACAACTAAGAGACATGTCTACATCATCTGGTCAAGAAATTGAGATACCTAATTTCTTACTCCCCCCTCCGTGAGTGAACAAAAAAATTTTGTTCACTCATGGAAAGGGGTTAATTTTTTTTAAAAAAAATCCTAATTTGCAAAAATTAGGAAGCAAATATTAATTTAATTTATAAAATTTATGTTTTAAAACGCAATTTTTTTAAATTAAACAGAATTAGCTCGAGATTTCATTATACTAATTATCACTTATATATCAAATTTTTTTTCATAAAAAATTTTTTTCTGTTAAAGAAATTTTACTTTTATTTTTTACCATTAAATGACCAAAAACAAAACTTCGAGCTGTCCAGGAAACGCTGAAATTTCAGAAAATGTGCGACAAGGGCTTTCTTTTTGGCTTTTTAAGGCACCAACACAAATACTCCCAACAATAAGCGACTCCAGCTTTTGCGAAACACCACTGAAAATTTACCTATCTAAATTCCTGGTTAATGGAGATAGAGATGAGAAGAGAGAACTATACATTTCGATGATTTTGGGAGTTGGAAAGAACATCAAGGCCAGGAGACATACTAAAGGCAATTATGTTGCCGTCTGGTGATGCACTGGTGACCTTTATTAATGAACCAGCAAGGCACACGATGGCAAAGAAAGGCTGAGTTGCGGTGGAGCGCTGTGAAAGAAAGCTCATGGCCCTGTTGGACTCTCGATGAAGAACGGAGAAATTAACTTTACCCGATACTCGATAAAAATTACAATACCAGGGGAGATCTCATTAGAAGATGCCATCAGCGAAATTAGCAAGAAATGCAGAATAGTAGAGGTGATGGTAGATAACACAATAGATACCGGAGAGGAGGAAATAATTGTTCATTTCAGCCCAAACTCGAGGTACTTGCTATATGGCGAGTTTGATAGCTTAGAATCAGCTCTTGACTTACCAGATGAGATTGAAATAAAAGGTAAAAGTATAGTACCCCCCCCCTCGTTTGTCGCATTTTCTAGTTTTTTTTTAAGGGAAAAAAAAATTTACAGGACCTCGTTTGTCGCATTTTCTAGTGCAAATACATTTGTCGCAATTTCTAGTTTTTTTAATTTTTTTTTGATGTCGCAAATCTTAGTTTTTTTTAAAAAATAGTTTCTGATTAATTTAATTGAGTAATTATAGAGGAGTTTACCTTACATTTGCCTGCAGAGGGTTAGCAGGCCCGAGTCCTTCCCAGTCCTTCCCACTTTACTCTCCCCTTTTTAGAGAATAGATTAAATTAGCTTATTAACTCCATTCTCCTTGCGCTTCAATGACCTGCCTTGCTCTTCATTTTTTCACCTTAAGAATGGAATTTTGCACTTCCTCAAAAGAAATTTTCGTCCCATGGCTCCTGAATGGCAGCAATTAGTCTGGCTTTGCTGTCAGGCCTTCTTTTCTCCACTTTCCTCTTCAAATTGGCCCAGATCATCTCAATTGGATTGAGATCTGGGCTCTTCGGCGATTGAGTCTTCACATCAATCCCGTTTTCTCTGCAATATTCCATAGTCTGCCTTGCAGTATGGGCTGTTGCCCCATCCTGAACGAAGGTGTAGTCTCCATCTAAAGGTTCAATATAGCCCTGGAGAATGTCTCTGATATAGACCTGGGCATTGATTGCATACTTCTCCTTCTTTATGAAGAGCATTTTGCCAAAAACGATAGAAATTCCTCCCCAGATCATAATTGAGGTTTTTCAAATTGATAGGCTCTTCAATCGTTGCGTTTATCCCTTCTTTGCACAAATTAGAGTTACGAAAAAGATGCACATAGCACTCATCACTGAAGATCCATGAAGCGATATCTGAGTCAATCAAAGACCTAGCCCAGGACATTCTCTGCTCTTTATGAGCTTCAGTTAGCTGTAGAACAACCCTCTTCTTCCTATAGACATATCCCCTCTTCTTCAGCTCTTTTCCTAGTTGTTCTTCGCTGATGTCAAACTGTCTTTCTTTTGAATTGGGCCCTCAAACTTGCCTTGCTGACAAAGCCTGTATCCTTCTCACATTCCTTAATGACCTCAGCAAAGTCTTCATCACTTCAATGCTTAGGGGAGATCTGGATAGTGCCTCTTCTCTTCCAGCCGCTTCGTCAGATTCACTCTCAGTATTCTCTGCAGCAATTCGCTCAATAGTCCGTTTAGAAGTCCCCAAGATTATCGCAAGTTCTTCGTTTTTAAAGAAACCTACGTCAATGATCCTCTTGACTATGCTCTCTCCATCATTCCATTTTCTTAGGAGGAGGCGATAGTCCATGGTCCACAAGCTTCCGCCTGAGCTCTAAAGTGTGCTCTTCAGGATTGAACTTGTTGGTGTAGTGCCTGATCGTCGTCAGGCTCATGTCCTTGCCACAAGCAGCAAGACGCTCTTGGATCTGCTTTGCATTGAGCCTCTCTCCATAGGCCATGCTTTTGAATCATTGCCGGGATTTTTATCGGCTGGTCCTCAATTTCGCGCAACTCCATTAATTAATATGGAAGACTAGAAATTAAGCTATCAAATAAGGAAATAGGCATGAAGATAGGGGAATAAGAATGGTGAATGGCAAGTTGTGAGGCTTAAGCAATGGGAGCAGGTAATGGGAAGCAAGCTGTGGGGATTGAGGAATGGGAGCAAGGATTTTGAAGGAAGAAATGATGAAATTTCACTAACTGATCCCTTGACGAATTTTAATTTTTAGGAATTTATAGAGAGAAAAAAAAGCTAGAAAATGCGACAAGCGAGGTCCTGAACCGATTTTTTTTTGGCTTAAAAAAAACTAGAAAATGCGACAAATGAGGTCCTGAAAATTTTTTTTTTTCTCTTATAAAAAAAAACTAGAAAATGCGACAAATGGCAAAAAACTTGAAAATGCGACAAACGAGGGGGGGTACTATATAAGGCTAGGGCACGCAGGAACGCTGTTCTGTGAGGTTTGCCAACAAATGGGACATAATGAATCAGGCCACAAGAGAATAGCAAAAAGAAGAGCTGATAGACAAGGGAAAGAAGAGCTGATGAAAGAAGACTTGGAAAGGAAAAGCTGGGACTCGACACGAAGGAGAAGATGGTGATATTGGAACAAGCCAGGCAAGTAAACAAAGAAAAGAGTCTGAGCTGAGAGAGGCGTTGCATGGAAGAAATGGAACAGTCATCGTTACAGAGGTTTGAGCAGGAAGATTCAATAAAGGAAATAAGCTGGAAGGATTGGAAAGAATGATTGATGATGCTGCAGAAAACAAGGAGCTGAAACAAACTATTAGTAGATTGGCTGAAGAAACAGAAAAGACAACAAAATTGTTCAGGGCATTGGTGGAGGGTGCAGAGAAAGTCTGTAAACCGACTTACATTAAATATAATGCGGAAAAAAGGCTGCGATAGGAGTCATATATAGACTCAGAGCTGGCTTTAATTACACTAACGGAAATGCATACGTTAGACATCTACAAAAAGACGGAAACTGCAAGGAATGCAAGACATGGGAAACTGAAGAGCATGTTATAGAAGAGAGGAAGACACTAATAGTAAGATTGAGGGAATTGGGGCTAGAAATGGAGGCAGGAAGTCATGGTCTGACAAAGTTGGCATTATATAGTTGAGAGACAGAGAAAAAGCTGAAGCAGATGGAGAAAGAAGGAAAGCTTGCAGAAGTGAAAAGAATAGATCTTGCTCTAAAGATCTTTCACGCAAAGTTGCTAGTAACTAGGGCAAGAGAATTTCAAGAGGAAAATTATAGTGCAGACAACAGAGAGAGATATGTTCAGAGTAGATTAGACAACTGATTAATTAAGAGGCCATAAGGCCTGGGGCAGCAGTGCGCTGCTGCTGAATTTGAATGGTAAAAAATGGTTAAAAAAAATTTTTGTTCACTCACGGAGGGTGAGCTTTTGGGCAAAAATAGGGATTTTCCAATGGTTTTGTTCAATCGCGGGGCGGGGGCGAGTTAGCAACTTCTTTCCATTTTGACGTTTTTTCATTCAAGATTTTGATTTTTACGCTAACTACAGATCCAGTGAGAATGCTTAGATTCAATAACTGTGGGCTAAGTGAAGAACTTGTGGATATGTTGCAAAGCATTATTCATTTAGATCATATTAATTGGATCCAGCTCGACTGGAATCCTGGACTTCCTGATCGAAAATATATAGATTTTCTGAAAGAAGGCACAAAACTGCAGACTCTATCATTAAGATGCTGTAATCTAGGAAATGAAGCAATTCATGGGATCTGTGAAGCGCTGAAAACAAATAAAACACTTAAAGCCTTGGATTTGTATGGAAATTGCTTCAATACATTGACTAGCTTCGCAGGTGTTTTAGAAACAAATAGATATCTGGTGCACTTAAATTTGGCAAAAAACAATTTGACTGATGATCATATTGCGCCTTTTATAGGAGTGTTTGGGAGATTGCATTTCCCTGATGATAAAGTTGAAGAGTATAGAAAAAAAGAAAAAGATCTTGCAAAGGCAAAAGCACTGAAATCAAAGGGAAAGCAAGTAGAGCCTGAACCACCTGCAGATGAGCTGGTTCAGGATGAAGAATCAAAGCAATTTTATTTGATAAAAAATAAGGTATTCAAAAGACTGAACTTATCTTTAAACAATATTTCAAGCGATCATTACTTGAGGCTGCTTTTGCATCAGGTTTTGCCAAATTTTAAATTGGTATTACAAGTGAATCCAATCCCGGAATCAGTTAAAAGGCAGCTAGCGATGGGATTTGCAGATATTCTGATACTTAACTAATAATAAGATTTAGCAATTTTTAAAGTTTATAATAAAAATAAAAGGGAAATTTGTGAAAAATTAGAGTTTAAAGATTACACGAGAAAACTAAGAGCTTTTATAAAGGGAAAGTTTATTATTGTTTGAGTTCTTAATTGTATTTTCACATAATTAGTTTAATTATGCAGAGATGGGTGAAACTTCGGTTTAGTAATTAAATGCGACCGTATTGAATAAATTTCTTAATAATTTGTCTTATCAGCAAATGCTTTAAAGTTACGATGTATGAAACAGCTCAAAAACATATCTTTAATATCAGAATTTTTAAGTATTTTTTGATCAGAATTTTTTAAGAAAAAACTTACTCCCCCCCTCCGTGAGTGAACAAAAAAATTTTGTTCACTCACGGAGGGGGTTAATTTTTTTTTTATAAAAAAAAATTATATATAAATTTTATAAAAAAATTTTTTTTTCGAAATTTAAAAAATTACTAATTCGCAAAAATTGGAAAGCAAATGTTAATTTAATTTATAAAATTTAAGTTTTAAAAAGCAATTCGTTTAAAATTAAACAGAATTAGCTCTAGATTTCATTATACTAATTATCGCTTATATATCTATTTTTTTTCCATAAAAAAATTTCTATTAAAAAAATTTTTGTTCACTCATGGAGGGTGGGTTTTTGGGCAAAAAATAGGGATTTTTCTAATGGTTTTGTTCACTCCCGGAGGGGGGGGAGTTAGTAAAAGAAAACCTTAAAATAATTACAATTTTGTCACTTTAAATATTAAATTTACCTCTTCTATAAGTAACCTATCGATTATTATCGTAGCCATATCATAATTATCATGGATTCTGCAGTACCTTTTTTACGCAGCTAATTAATATAAAATTACAATTATCCTATTTCCTATTAATAGCCCCATTCAGGCTAACCGCTTCCCATCCTAAATCTTTAAACCCCAACCGTCTTTCTAACAACCTTCAACCCTTATCCTACCAGCTTTCACCAATACACTCTTCTTATCTCTGACTGGCCATTTCCATATCAATATGAGAATAATTTAAGTCTATATAAAGCCAAACCGAACTTTCTCCATACCCAGGCTCTTCTGATTTGTTGTTAAAGTTTAAATTTGAAAATCCATATTAGCGCAAGTATCTCACGTCAATAGGAACGTGTAGGGTGCATATTTATAAAATGAGTGGAGTTCTTACGAGATTCATGAATAATGCAGAGAAATGTGGGATTTGCCTGAACCCTGTTTCCTATCAAGGCAAGCTAAGTTGTTGCAATCACAATTTTTGCTTTGATTGCATTACGAAGTGGTCTCAAGTAATGCTAATTTAGACTGAAAATTCATGTCCACTATGCAAAGATAGGTTTCATACAATTACAAAAATTGTCAAACGAACTCAGTATCGTAACACCAGGGCGGATCGCCCTGTGGTAATTGAAGTGAGCCACAAAAATCAATGCGCTGCGATGAGAGAAAGCGAAATGGTCAATATATTAGAGCTCATGCTTACACATGAACTTGATCGTCTCTTTGAATTATTAGATAGATTAAATGTATAATGAGTCCCCTATAATTTTACATCTTTATTACCTTAATTCGAATAGCAAAATCTTAGCCGCTGCGAAGAAACTCCTATTTAGAGAGATGATTTATGAAAAAATTAGAGAGCGAGGGTTCATTTATTTGGGGGTTTGGAATGATGGTGACTCCTCAGCATTTTTCTTACTCCTGTGGGGAGCTGTATTAATGCATTTTCAATTTTAAAATTTAGCTTGTAATATTTATAATAAATAATAGAAAAATAAGAATTCCCTGTAAGAGTAAAATAGCACCCAAAGAGAAGAAATCCCGATTTTCATAGTAGATTTTCCATTTTATAAAAAAAAATTTAGCTATGCTGAAATAGAAAATTATTTGCCTTAAACGGAGTGTTAGGGATAGAAATGAATAGCAGCGGCTTATACTGCTTAATAGTTAATAACAATATCTTTAATCTCAATGGAATTTCAAAGATGGCAAAAGCTGTTGCTCAGATTTTTTGAAGTTGGAATTTTGTGAAACTCTGGAAATTATAACTTAAATATTCCAAATATAAAACAGGTAAGCCCATTATATATTTTTGATAAAATTAGTCTTAGCCTTGTTATAAGGTTTAAAAATAAAAACACTCTTAAAATTCATACTGTTTGTAGCTAAATTTTCTTTTCATTAATAAAATAATAGTAATTTTTAAAAATGCTGAATAAAAAACTATAATAATAAAATGGCTACGTACGGAAATTGTTGTGTTCGGCAACCCTTCCTCCTTTGCGATATTTAGTATTATTGGGCTCAGTTTTACAAGATTTTTTTATTAAATTCTTTGTCAAAAATCTCAAATCCTAAATCCGAAAGTAAAAAATTAATTTAATTTACAAAATTTTTTGAGTGCAGACTATTTAAATATTAAAGTATTTATTGAGTAATTATTTAGTAATTATTACTTATATATCAAAATAAAGTTTTTTCCCAGATAATTAAGGATTTTTTTAATGGCCTCTCACTCATGGTGGAGTTTATACTTATGTGATCAGAGAACTCGGCCATAATGCGCCATTCTGCATAGATACGCTAGAAAGCGTGAATTTGTATCTAGGAAATTATCTGGCAAATAAATTCTTTTTACTTACCCCGATCAAGCATCTTCATAATAAGAAATATAAGAGATATTGCTGTATTTTCGCTCCTACCTATTAAAACGCGATTTATAGCATTTTTAATACTTTATTTTGTATCCCTACTATATAAATATAGTGCCTTGTCCAAATTTTTGGGAGGCCTCTGGCATGGAGACATCCTCCACATGCCAGAAATACTTCCACATGTGAAATCTCAGAAATATAGTGGCTTCACATATGGAAATATTTCTGACATATGGAGGATATCTCCACATGCCAGAGGCTTCCAAAATTTGGGCAAGGCTCTATACATTTATATGGCTATCAAATTTTGCTAATATTTTTGTATTAAATTTAAACAGATATATCATACTTTATATATAAAACAAGCTATTTAAGCATATTAAAATTTTTAAAACGCATTAATTTAGCGTAGTCATGCTAGATATTGTATGTGTCTATGATACATAATGATGCTTGAATTAATTTGTTTTGTGTCTGTCTATTTTAAACAGAATTCAACTGGATTCATGTTTAAAATGCAATAATTAAGAAATATTCAGCGTATTTCTCTATTAGCTCTTTATTTATTAGTCTTAAAATGTTTGCTATATAAAATTTTGTATATAGAGGGATATAAAATAAAGAGTAAATATATTTGCAAACATGCTATAAATCGCGTTTTAATAGTGTAAGAACTAAAATACATTGCATATCTCTTATATTTCTTATATCAAGGGATGAGGGTGAGGTTATGTATATGGCCAGATGGCTTCAGCCCTGCAGCGCTTTCTGAAGGTGTAAAAGCAGACTTAGTAAGCATTGTAGTGTCAATGAGAGAAATCACTGAAAAAGCCTGAAAAGTGGACGGCTTACGTCATCAAAGTTTTTTTGCTTAACGCAAGCCAACAGAACCAAAAACAATCTCGAAAATCATACTGACTGAATTGGGACGTGAAAGAAGCATCTTTAGCGACATCAAAGTGATCTGTAACGCTGACCCACTAGCTACTGGAAAAGTCAGTGATAATTGCACAATATCCAGCTCCCTACTGAATACAAACTTTTCAGCAAAGGTCATCCCAGAATGTGGAAATTCTTAATGCTCATCAATTTGAATTCCAAAAATTGATACCTAAGGCCAATGAGTCTAATTCACAATAAGAAGCCTTGCCGCGATGTCAGGCTCTGTGGTCTCTTTAGTATCCAGCCTAGACAAAAGTTAGAAGTTGGTCAAGAATTCTACATGCTTGAAGCAACGAAGATGAGAAATATCATCAGGACTGAGAAAAAAAGAGTTTTCAAGGCTTTCCTATACAGCGCCGTGCACAGGGTCCAAATCTATCAGGTCTTATTTGAGCGCGATTAAAATAATCTTAGGCCAAATAATAAAATATGGGCTTATTTACTTATGCAAGAAGCTTTTCCAGGGCAATTGTAAGATTTCCAGTGGCCAATAAATTTCATTACACAAAGCCTCTTATGATTAGATCAATCGTTCCTACTTGCACAACAAACTTTTTAATAAGAAGTCCAGGAATACATACTGCTATTGCTTCAGCTGAATTGGCTGGGAGCCTCTGCTCTCTTGAAGATGAAGATGAGTCAGTAATCCAAGCTGAGATCACGGTTACTAGAGTTCGGTAAAACTAAATAAGCATTCAAGAAATTCCTTCAATTTAGATATTTTGGGTCATTAGTCAATTATAAAATTTATGCTCTCTATCTCCTTGCTTAATAGTAGGTATTTTTGCTTAAAATTTTATAGCTTTTTATATTAAAATTTTTGTTAAAAAAATAATATAAATAAGCTTTAAAATATAGAAAAAGTCATCAAATTAGAGAGAAGTGATGAAAAAATATTCAACATCATTATTATAAGTAATAATGCAATTATAATCAATTTTTACATTTTATAAATGAAAATTTAATAAATCTCACTATTATTTGTTGTCGAATAAGAAAGTAAGAAAATATGCTCAAAAGTTTTGGAAAAAAATTTTTCTAATTTTTATTAAAAATTGATCAATGATTAGCAATATTTCGACGAATTTCTATTTTAAAATAATATTTGCGAGATATCTCTTCTATATTGTATTAAAATTTCCAAAATTACTTATTCAATCAAATCCAACTTAATTTTATATTATATCAATTAATTATTATATATCACTACACAAATTCATAAAAATAAACAATCAGATCAGTATATTCCTATTTAAAAAACTAAAATTTTTCACTTATTTTTCTACACTATCCTCTCAAAATAGCAATACATGTGGAGGCATTATCCCCAACCTAATATTTCGAATTCCCTCTCAAAAGATCACCCTAGTTTCAAGAGTTCCATTCACCATCTCGCTCAGCAGCTTAATATAAGCAGCTCCAATTTTATCCCTAGCACCATCGAAAAGGATGACAAGCACGAACTCAACTACGCCCTATCTCAAATTTCCTCATTAAAAACCATCTTAATAGAACTAGCTGAATCTGTAGCAGAAGAAATAGAATTTGTAAAACAAGACTTCCGAGATGAACTAAAAGAATCACGTGACGAGCTTTTTCATATCCTAGAAGAAAGCTTTAAAAGCAATAAAGAAGCTGAAGAATCCCATCATCAGCTAAATTCAGCATTAACTCAGACGACAAAACAAGCATTTCAACAAATCCATATAATGAAAACGAAACAAGATGAAATACTAAATGATATGGACAGCTTAAAGCAAGGGTTTATTGATATACAAAATGACCAAAACGATTTTTTTGCAAATGCGCAAAAATTAATTGAGACAAATTCTTTCCAAGTGCAAAACCATAGTGATATGCTGAAATCTATTGAAAAAATGAAAAATTCGTATGAAATTGAGAAAGAGTATGAAGATAATAAACAAAAAATAGAGAGGATTAATTATGAAATCAAAGAAATTCAAAATGAAATTTATAATTTGAAGAAAAAACCAGAAAAAGCAGAGAGTATAGATAAATTAAAAGAGATTAGAGAAGAATTTTTGGCACTTAAAAATGATGTGGAGAATAAAATTGCTAATATGCAAAGAGATATTATTAAAACTACAGAGGATTTTATGAAAGGGCTAAGAGAGATAAGCCAAGAACCTTTGAAAAATAGAATTGAGTTTTTAGAAGAAATGACGACCACCCAAAGAAGAGAGCTTTTTCTCACAATTACAACAGCTGAACAAAATTTTACGAAAAAACATGATAAAATGGTAAAAGCTTTATATCAAATCGCGAGGCATATTAACCTTCCTGAAACTACTTTAGTTATTTAATTAATCCTTAAACATAAAAATTTATTTTATATACTAAAATTAATTACATTTAAATCTCTAAAATATATTAAATTTATTCTTCATAATTTCCTTAAAATTAAATAATATAATAAACTCTTTTTGTTGCATTTATTAATTTAGCTTAAAATTTCTATTTATTATTCTCTAACATATTTTCTCCTTTTCCTTTAATAGCTAAAATATTTATAAATATTATTTAATTTAACTCTAAATTTTTTATTCAGATAAGATTAGTAAATAGCAAGTAACAATCCGCATACTAAATTAATATGGACTCAGATTCAAGCGGCAAACCTGACTCTCCCATAAACCGTCCTGGCTCGGTCGAAATTCAACTTCAATTCGGTACTCCACCAAATGTGGAGACAGAGCTTATAAGCAACGTTACAGATCCTCATCTTGTCTGTAATTGTGTTTCTGAAGTTCTTTTAATTCTCCCATCCTTAATTGAATTGATCGTTATCGGTCGATCAATTTGGGGTTTTAAGAAAATATATATATCTAATTATTATAAAAAAAAAATTTTCTTACTCGCCCCCCTCTCCGTGAATGAACAAAAAAAATTTTTGTTCATTCACGGAGGGGGGTTATTTTTTTTTGTAAAAAAATTTATATATAAATTTTATAAAATTTTTTTTTTTCTCTCGAAATTTAAAAATTCCTAATTCGCAAAAACTTGAAAGCAGCAAATATTAATTCAATTTGCAAAATTTATGTTTTAAAAAGCAATTTGTTTAAAATTAAAACAGAATTAGCTCTAGATTTCATTATACTAATTATCATTTATAACCAATTTTTTTTCCATAAAAAATTTTTTCTATTAAAGAAATTTTTGTTCACTCATGGAGGGTGGGTTTTTGGGCAAAAAATAGGGATTTTTTCTAATGGTTTGTTTCACTCACGGAGGGGGGGAGTTAAAATATTTTTTTGTATGGTCACTAGATATATACTAGAAATCGCATTAGAATGCATGGGTACAGCAGTTATCTATGATTTATTACTATCTAATATAGTAATTTGATTTGAGGCAAGTCGGATAGCAGTCTCATGTTTGGCCAAAATCTTTTATTCAAGGAGTACTTAATTTCCCCCAATTTTTGGAAATTTTCAATGGAATCACTCGATCAAGGACGAGAGGGAGCTAGCGCCTTTGGTTAACTATTTAAAAACGCTTGGCTACCCTTTAGACAACGCAATGATATGATATTATTCCCCTACAGCCCGCTTAAACGTGTACTGTGGGAATGATCCTTTACCATTTTCTATATCAATCCCTATGTTTGAGCTTAAAGATAACAAACTTTCTTTAACTTGCCGAGGAGCAATCCGAAACAAATTCGGGACTGTCGTCACCTTAGGCTCCACTCCTAGCACCAAATCTAAGCCCGAAGAAGAAGGATCAGCCGATCACAAGTCCTCAAGACGCACCAAAGAACGAAAAATCGGCTATATCATTGAAAAGGTCAGCAAGTGGCGAAAACTTTATAATGGGACACCTAATAGCAAAGGAGAATTACAAAAAATGACCCTTGAAGAAGCAGCTGCCAAGGTAGGGATTTCAAAGAAATCACTTGACGATTATTTGCTTCAATTAAGGTTCGGAAGAAAATTTGGATTTAATTTTCAGGAGCATAAAGATGATAAAGTTGGGATTTTGAGGGCATATGTTAAAAAATGCAAGTCACTGCATAGCTATGCGAAGAAAATTGAGGATGGGGAGCCGATTCCTGCAGATGTCATTCAAAAACTGCAGGAGGCTGGGACGCCAGCTTGCAAGCATAATAGATGCTGCGCACCTAACTATTCGTTGCCATATAAGCATTCAATTAGAATTAAATTAAGTCTTTAGGGTGTCAAGTGCCACTTACAGTAAAGAGAATTGGTCTGTCAACGAGTATTGTCACAAATCATCCTAGCACTTAAATGGCGCATCACATGGATAGGAATTCTAAAGCAATAGCCCTACCAACCTGGTTGCACATCTCACCCAGTGGATATGACGTCACACTGTCTAGCTCAGCTTCTGTGCTTGTTCCTCCTTTGGTCACCTTCCTCAGGTGTTCTGAGGGGAAAATCCCGAACCTTTTCATTGTTTTTGGAGCATTTCCTCTAGCCTTATGCAACTAAGGTTAAACCATTGCTGTTGTGCAAAAGTGAGAAAAATATTGCTTACAGAAATATTAGTTTGACCGACCTTTATTAAGTTAATATTGTTGCCTAACTTAGCCAGGAGCGTTTCTTCAGCCAAGCTCTACGATCGGGTCAACTTGCCTTAGGATCCTGGGATAACATTGCTGGCAAGATGGACCATCATTAAGGCGTGTAAGACGAAGACTGGGCAGTCTAGACCTCACAAGTTCCTGCATGATTCGAAGTCGGCAGAGAGGTCGATCATCTCAGGCAAGATGGAAGTAAACCTGCTCATCGGACTCAAAAGGAGGAGAGATGCAAGTTAAATGGGCGTAATCGCATTGAAGAAGGTGCTCTTACGAAGACATATGGGCAAGAAATGCTAATATATATAGAGGTTGCTCGATGAGGGCGCTCAATGCGCCATCATCGGGCAACTTCTATATATAAAATTTCATAAGTGAGAAAAAATTATCATAACTAATTTCTCTCAAGCCGAGTCACTTTATTATGCCGTATAAGCATTCAGAACAGCAGCCATCATTACCGCTAGTCTACCCAAATTATCCTAGTTTTTAGTTAAATTGCAGAAATTAAGGATAAATTAAATTAAAAGATAGTCTCTTTTTAAAAAATGCTAATTTTTGCATTCTTCAATTCTGCAATAGACTGGCGATTAAGATTCTTTCTGTCTGATGAGGACCTGCTCTAGGGATTGGATTCAGCTTGGAGGTTGATTTAAGATATAAAAAACTTGAACTATTTTGGGAAAGGAAAAATTGGAAGAGGCAAAGCAATCAAAAAATTTTATAAAAACGGCAAAAAATTTTAAAGCTAAATTTATAGCCAAATAATAAAGGAAGGCGCAATTTGATTGATTATCATTTCAAAACTATAACAGTATGTAAAATAATTATAACATGGTATCCCCTTTCTGAATACACTTCCAATTTTGCGAGTTTTTTAGCTGCCTTGTTTTTTACGGTCTCCAAAACAGTTTCGTCGCTGTTTACTATTGTGCTTGTTTTCAGGAGGTTCCAACTAAAATCCCACTAATTCTCCAACTTAGGATCTAGCAATATTTTCTCTTCCATTTTAACTATAAAATAAATTTAATTTATTCAATAATCCCATGATTTCTATAGAATTCTTCTTTGAACACATCCTCATGTGTAGGCTCATACAATGGCTTTATCAGAGCAGTTCCTTTCCTAAAAATCTCAGGCTCATTATTATAATTAATCCCAAACTCTGTAAAAAGCCTTTCATTTTTGACTGCACTTGTAGACCCTTTTAGCTGTTCATGGGCTTCTGTAGTAGTTTTTCCACTATGTACAATAGCCCAGAAAATTGTATTATAAAGATTATTCACATGGCAATCGGCTTGTCTTCATCGCATATAGTCCATCATAATTTCATCATTCGGATAGCATACAATTCTTCCATCAAAAACAGGTGGATGCTGCAATGGGATGTCAAAAAACCTATTCCAATTATAAACATAAGCACTTGTAAACATTGAAATCACAATACTTAAAATTTTTTCAATCCTCCTCCCATACACGTTCGATTTTTTACTAAAAATAAAGCTATACTCATCTGATTGTCCATATGCAACCACAATATCAGGAAGCTGCTTACATACATATATTGCTGCTTCATTCATAAGAGATAGCGCCCTTATATCATTAGGCTTCACAAATCCATGGGTTTCGCAGAATTTTGTAAAAGAATTCCCATCAAGCCTTGCTACCATTCAGGTTGATGGCAAAATTGTACTGTGGACCTCAAAATTTTTGACGTACTCTTGTCTGGATTTTGCCATTATAATATGGAACAATTAGCTCCTGATATCAGAGCGCTTTATGAAAAAAGGCTTTGGCATGAACTTACAGAAAAACTGTTAACTTTAGATGGGACAGTGCTTAGCAATATTTGGCCTCATATAATCCAGTTTTCGGAAAGACTCAATCAGGTAAAACTTGTGATTCTTGCAATTAAAGCGTCAGAGTGGCAAGACCCTGCATCAGCCCGCGTATTTCTAGAAAATGTGCAGGCGACTGATATACAGTCAGGACTTTTATTGAGAATTGCGATCGGGAGCCAGTCATTGAAACAAGGCAATTTGTCTGAAGCAACACAAATGTTAGAAGCTGCCCAAAAAGAAGTCGAAGTGCTATCAGACTTAGACAGCGTCTTATATTCTCATCTATATGGAGCCCTAGCTGAAGTTCATAAAGCTAAAAAGAACCCTGAGCTGTTTTACCGCTATAGTTTGCAATATCTAGCCTACACTTCTCCTGAAGACGTAAAAGATAGAGAAAACTTGGCTTTTCAGCTTGCAGTCGCCGTTCTTGTCGCTGAAAAAATATACAATCTAGGAGAACTTATGCAGCAGCCTTTGTTTAAATCCCTTGAAGGCAGCAAACACCATTGGATTTATGAGCTTTTACATTTATCCGACCAAGGCAACGTCAGAGAAATCGAAGCCAGATTCCCAAGCTTCCCTCAGGAGTTAAAAACGCCTGAGCTTATCAGAAAAGTCAGGATTTTGGCTCTTATGGAATATATCTTTAAAAACGATAAATGGCTGCTAGAATTTAATGAGCTAGGAGGAGTTATGGACGTCCCAGAAAATGAAATAGAATGGCTGCTAATGAAAGCTATGGCACTAGAACTAATTAAAGGAGAAATTGATGAGGTCAGCAAGACAGTGAGGGTAACGTGGCTTCAGCCAAGAGTTTTAGACTCATCAAGAGTTCACTTAATTCAACAAAGACTAGGAGAATGGAAAGGAACTGTCAATGAAGTCTTGAAGCACTTAGAAGACCAGTCTAAAGAACTTTTAGAGTAAAAAATTCTATATCAGTTAGTGTTTTTTCTTCCTGAATAAGGATTTTATCTTCGGGCAGCCTTCTATGTAGTTGACCACGTCAGGGTCAGTCATTTTGCCTTTTTTAATTTTTTTAATAATTCGTTCTTCAGCGCCGAGCTCGTCCCAGTCTTCTTCAATTGCTTTTCGCTTGGCTTCTCTTTTTTCTGTCCTTGATCTTTTTCTTGGGAATTTTTCGGATTTTTTGTTGAGTTTTTGTTTAGCTTTTTGTTTTTCTAGTAATTCTTCTTCTTTGCGCTTTAATTCTTTTTGGCGGATTGATTCTTTTATAGGGTCTTTGTATGTGATGGTGGATGGGTCTATATCTGATTGGATAAAGTTTGGAATTTCTTTACCCAAGATTTCTTTTACACGAGGAATGCGTAATAAATAAAAGGATCGAGCTAAAAATCCAATGTCTAAATTTCTCTATTAATAAAAATAATTAAAAAATAATTTTTTTTATATATAAATAATTTTTTTTAAATAAATTATTTATGGAGTAAATGTTTTAGCTCAAAAATGTAATGCAGCTGATGCTCTTTGTAGTATCTTATATAAGCAACAAAAGCTCGCTGAGCTTTATCATAAACTTCTCTATCTTCAATTACAGTTTGGCTTGCTTGGTCATGATCAAAATCTAAACCAACGCTTGTGTTTTCTAAATCAATATTTCTCAGCCTCATAAACTCAAGAAAAGTTAGCTCATTTTCAATCAAAAAAATCAATGTCTGGCCAATTTTATTTGCCCTTGCAGTTCTTCCTATCCTATGCACAAAAAAATCTGGATTTTGAGGAGGATCATACTGTATAATCCAATTTACATTCGGAAAATCGATCCCTCTTGCAATTAAATCAGTTGTCAATAATACTCCTTTTTCTGACTCGTCAAATTCTTTATACACTTTTTCACGTTGATTTTGCTTCATTTGGCCATGAAGCCTCATAATTTTTAGCCTATTTAATTGAGGCAGCCTTGACAATAAACACTTATAAAAATTCGTGCTTGCACAGGTTGCAAAAAAAATAATGATCCTTTCCTCTTGATGGGCAATTAAAAAATTGCATAATGCTGGGAGTTTTTCTAACTCCCTCCGTGAGCGAACAAAAAAACTTTGCTTGCTCGCAGAGGGATTAATATGTTTTATTTTAAAAAAATTATATTTTATAGTAATTGTTTTCAAAATTTAAAAAATCCATATTCGAAATAATTTTAAAGCAAATATTAATTTAATTTGTAAAAATTTATGTTTTAATATGCAAGATGTTTAAAATTAAACAAAATTAGCTAGATATTTCATTATAATAATTATTACTTATATATCAAAATTCGCTCGCAGAGGGTGGGTTTTACCCAAAAATAGGAATTTTTCCAATGACTTTGTCCTCTCACAGAAGGGGGAGTAAATAATTATGGAAGCTCATATAGTAATTTGTTAATCCTTTAGGAAGCTCATGCTTTACTGAGCCAGATTTTGTGCTAGATATCTGTGATTTTACTTTAATTGTAATATAAGCAGGGTTTCTGAGTCCAGCTTTTATCAATTCTTCGACTTGGGTTGTCATGGTTGCAGAAAACAGCCCAGTTCTTCTCTGTTTAGGAAGCTTGTCAATAACAAAATGTATGGACTCTTTAAACCCAAGGTCTAATAAACGATCAGCTTCGTCTAAAACAAGAACTCCAAGGTCTTTCAAAATAATTAAATCACTTATATTTAATAAATCCAAAATTCTTCCAGGGGTTGCAATAATAATATTTGCTCCTTGATTTTCAATTTTTTCGATATCTTCTGGCTTTGAGTGGCCTCCAATAAGGCATTGGAGTGAATATGGATTTTCAAGGTTTTCATTAATTTTGACTGCGACTTCGTGGATTTGGTTTGCGAGCTCTCTAGCTGGAGCAAGAATTATTCCAAAAGTACCTTTGATTGGGCCTTGTTCCATCAATTTGTGGAAAATTGGAAGAAGGAAGGCTAGTTAAGTTAAAAGTTATTTTAGCCATAAGAGGGTAAACCCACTAGCTGTCGCCTATCTTGGCTTCAAAAGGCCGCATTTTGGATTTCCGGCCTGAAGCGCCTGCCCAAGGGATTATCTCCTTATGTTAGGGCCACCGTCTGTAGGGTGCCCCGATAGTGCCTGCAAGGGAAAGCCATGAGGTAATCAAAACCTGTCTAGTCAATCTGGTAGAGGCAGGAAGGCCTCGGGGGAGAAACAAAACTTCTCTTCGGCGAAGCTTCCCAAACCAGAAGGCTAACTTCAAAAAGGACAGAGACCCTGTTTATAGTTTCTTCAGGATGGATCTTACCTACCTACTCCATAGAGAGTGAGCCTCAGAATCCAATTTTCGTACATCACCCTATGATTTTTTGAAGGAAGGTAAGAGTTTTGCCCGATCCTGTGCATGATTCTACGCATATGTCTTTGTTTCCGATAAACAAAGGGATGCCAGCTTTTTGGACTGGTGTAGGTTTTGCAAAGCCAAATTTCTCTGAGATGATTTGTGATAAAGTTGGATTTAGCCCTAATTCCTCCCAATTAGACATTTTAATGCCATAAAGCCATATAAATCTATTTACATAATCGGAATAGACTTTTGAAAAAAGCCCAAGGAAGTAAAAATACAATAAAAATAATTTTGATTAGAAACATAAACTAAGCATAGCTATTATATTAAATCAATTTCTCATTATGGTAATTTCGCTAGTTTTGAGCTGTTTTATAGGCAATTTAACTTAATTTAGATGATAAATAAAATAATATTTTCCTTAAATGCGCCGTAAATTCATAAAAAATTATTAGTCAATATTTTCTGCCATTGCAAATTTACAACAAATTCAACAAGCACAAATAACTTAAAAACGCATATCTGACTATTTAAGCTTATATATAATTGATTCAGCAACAAATAAAATTAATATATATAAGTCAACCTCTTACTCCCTCCGTGAGCAAACAAAACCATTAGAAAAATCCCTATTTTTTGTCCTAAACCCCACCCTCCGTGAGCGAAAAAAAATTAATTTGATATATGAATGATTATTTATTATTATAATGAAATCTATAGTTAATTCTGTTTAATTTTAAACATTTTGCATTTTAAAACAAATTAACTTACTTTTTACTTCTCAATTTTTAGAACTAGAATTTTTTAATTAAAAAACAAATTTTAATAGAAAATTTATATATATAAATTTTAAAAATAAACAAAAAATTTTTTTTGTTCGCTCACGGAGGGTGGGGAGTTAGTTATTTCTTAGTCAGAAACCTAATTGAAGTAAAACGAATAAGTTTATAATATGCCAATTTCCCTAAATTCTAAATATTTTTACCTAAAATTAATAACCCTCACATTATCTAAAAATTTATAAATGTACGTGGCTGAAAGTGTGCCTACAGACAACAGCCAAGGCGACTATAAAAACCTTGATTCCCTTCCTGATATAATTAAAAATATGGCGTCTTCGTCTGGATGTGGCCTCCCGCCACACATACTCGACTCATATTTTAATTATATCCGGCAAGGTTTTGCCATTCAGGAAATGGGCAACAAAGCCATGGTAAGCAATTCTGCAGAGCAGAGCCTGGCCCATGTCCAACTACCAGAATGGATTTTATCCCCGAGAGGTAAGGGTGTCTAGGTTTGGAAAGGGGAAGCCCAGCGGAGTCTACAGGCAATGCCTAGACCACTCGGGCAACTCCCTATCGTGAAACTGGGCGTTTACGTCCCAGGACTTGGAATTTCCCTTAATGCCGAAAGGTGACCAGAAATTCCATTTTTTGGAATTTCGGAAAGCCAACTCTCGTCAACCCAAGCAGCAGGCCGCAGAAGTCCATAGCCGCCCACTCAACACCTAGCCGCTATACGCGGGGAAGGAGTAGACGTGTGCCCTCTTGGCAGTCTTTATGGCTACTAGGACCGCGCCGCAAAGCAGGTGAACCCCTAGGGGTCCGTGGTGACTGCGTAATCAAAACGGCAGACGCCTTCTAATGTTAATTAAGATTAAGATTAAGATTCCCTTCCTGATGAAAACGATCAGCGGCATAGCATTGGAATTTCTCGCTTCAAAATGACAGAAGATACTCGCCCATTAGAATACACCCCAGAAGAATTCGTAAAAATTTGTAAATCTCAAATAAAGGTTTCTTCCAGAAATAAAGCAATAAAATCCAAGCTGTAAATTCTATATAGAGGAATCTCAGACTCCCCAAGGCTTTCTCAGTATAACTCAGAGAAATTTAACGAAATGGCACAACAGCAGCTTGAAGAATTAAGAAAACAGCGTATTGAGATGCCTGTAAACCCAGAAAATGAAAGGACTGAAACTGAGGTTGTGATTGACCAAAATTCGTGTTTTTCTTGGTTTATTGTAAAAAATAAAGGCGTCCAAAATACGATTCCAGACTATGAGCTTCAGGAGTGTAAGGTTGTTTTCACAGAAATGCTGAATAAGAGCGAAAAATCGCATGAAGCATATTTTGGGCTAGGAAGGCTTATGGCACATGAGGGGAAGTATGTTGTGGCTATTCAGCATATTAAGAAAGCTTTATCAATAATGCCTCAAGATACAATTTATAATCTTTGGTATGCCAAGTTATAGAAATAAATGCATTAATATTGAATAAAAGCCTTATTTAATAGAAAAAACTAGCATTTTCTGCTTATTTTATGATATTAGCCTCTCTTATTAGGCATACATAGCTTTGAATATGAGACTTCCCAATGATCGCCGCTCAGAAAAGCAAGCCCCTCCAAGTCCTTCCTTCTTAGACAGTAACCCATAAATAGGTCTAATTTGCTGTGGAAACCGAGAAAAAGAAGAGCCCAAAAATGTTTATAAAGACTCATATAAAGTTTTGAGCACAGCTGAAAAACAGCTGGAAGTGCTTTGGGCACTTATGGAAATTTCCATAAAAAAGGTGTTTTCTGTAGATACTAATATTGATTTACCTAAATATTTTGCTTATCAAATCAAAGAAATTGATGACTATTATGGATATCTGGCTTGGAGCGAAATACTATTTGAAGACGAAAAAGAGTGACAAAAAGGGCTGCATGTGCTTAAAGAGCTTGTTAATGGATACCCTGATAGACCTGAAGCTTATATCAAGCTCTGGCAGCATTATTATTACACTGTAAAGGACTATGAACAAGCTCTTGATATTTCATTTGAAGGATTTATCAGAGTTGCTGACCCTGAGTACACCCACTATTACACCTTATTCTGTATAAATTACGCTAAAAGCTGCTATAAAATGGGAAAACTAAAAAATGCAATAGAAATTTTGCAGCAAAAATTTATAGAAAATCCAAGTTATCCTATTTTTTTATATCATTATGGAAGAATATGTACAAAGTCAGAAGATCTTTCATTTAATGGCAGCGCTATAGGAGCCTTACAAGAAACTTTAAGGCTTTCTGATAAATATCGCTATGGCTGTATTTATTATTGATTATCCAAAGCATATATGTTAAGCCGGCAGCATATTGAAGCATATCATGCTATGAAAGACTCTTTAAAGCACTTAGACCATTCTGAAAAACGCAAATCGACTGAGCTTAAAAGAATGATCCAAGAAATGGGTCCAAACATAGCAGCCTATGAAGAAATTGAGCATGTTTTAAAAAATAATTTAGTCAATGAAAACCAGGAAAAGTGCTTTAGGCTATGCAAAGAAATTTCAGTTTACCAAAAATTGACAGGAGAAGTTTTACATGCTAAATTACTGTGGGCTCAAGGGCTTGAAGAAGATGCTTTAAGGGAGCTTGAATCTGCAGCATATATGTCTAATACCAAAATGCTTGCATATTTTCAGCTGCTTAAATATTTAGAAATGAAAAAAGAATACAAAACTATGAAAGCTATAGGACAAGAAATGATATTAAAATGTAAAAATTCCCAAGTCCCAGCCCCAGTGTGAATGAGGGCACATATTTTATTTGCAAAAATTTTAGTCAAAAATTCGCAAGTCTCAAAAGCTATAGTTACCTTAAAATGCTTGGCAAAGGTATTCCCTATACTCCCGTATATAGAAATTCCTTATACAAAAAAGAAAAATAAAAATGGTGAAGTTGTACGGAAATATGACTCTGAGGCGCACTCCCTATGGAGCAGTTCAGATGCATCCTTACGAAGCTGAAAGCAGGTCTTCTGTCCCTTTTGAAATAGGCCTTTAGGTTTGGGAAGCCTTGCCGAAGAGGGAGGTTTAGTTTCTCCAAAGGTCTGAAGGTATTCCTGTCCCTGCCAGATGGGCTTGACAGGTTTGCCTACCACATGGCCTTTCCTGCAGGAGGTGGCACTGCCCTAGAGCTTATCGCTTAGACATATGATTCAAGTCTAAATCCAAAATTGTAACATTTTGGAGCCAAGATGTGCGATGGCTAGTGGATTTACCCGGTTATCGCCAGCATAATAATTTAATTTTTTTAAATTATACAAAACGACTTAAAGACTCAGACACTATCCAAGATATAAGTCAAGCTTCTATAATCCCTCGAGACTCAGTAGATTTTTATAACTTTGGGAGCCCTAGGAACTCATTTATGAATATCACGATGCCTAAAAATATTGACTCTATCAAAAAAATGAAAATTCCCCATTCAAACAGAGAATTTTTATTTAAATTTTTAGAAGAAGAGGCAGCTCCACAACCAGATCCATCTGTGCCTGCTCATGGGAGGAAAAAGGTGGCCCACTTTAGTGACGTGATGAAGACCCACAAAAGCTTTAAAAAATTCAATAGTCTGGCAATAAAAACTGAAGATGAAGAAAACCTTGAAAGCATGGAGCCGATACCTATTATGACTCCTACCCCATCAGGGCCAAATTCACTATCAGGATTTTCCGTTAGCTCTGACCCAACATTTCTGTATAAAATTGGCAAATATTCAGCCCAGTATAGACAAAATATTAATGACGGACTGTGTGCGTTGGAAGACTATTTATCGTTATTAAGATATGAGAAAAAAGAAAGTTTCAAAGAAAATGCTGCGTGCAAAGCACTTTATTGGAAAATTATTTTACTGCAGGAATCAAACCAAAATGAGCTGGCCGTAGAAATTATTAATGAAATAATACCGCAGCTTGAAAAAAAGAATTTTAAAGCAAAATTTGAAAGCCTTCAGAATATTAGAGCCAATTTGAATAAATAACTTTAAATTATTAACTCCCTCTTACTTGACTGAAAATTTCCAAAATTGTGAAAATTACTCAATTCTTGATCGAGTGATTTTTATATATCAAAATATGCCCCTGCCTCAGATCAAACTACCTATCTTTTAATAGTAATTAATATTAGAGAATATATCTTGTAATCGATCTATGTAACTCTAATCCGATTTATAGCATATTTACTAATATATAACATACTTTATTCTTTTGTGTTTGTGCATAAAATATTTTTATATGAAAATTATAATACTCAAAATTTTTAATGCCCATTGTTCGATAGAGGATCGTGAGGAATAAGCATTTTAATTAAACGAGCCTGAAACTCTTTACTCCCCCCCTCCGTGAGTGAACAAAAAAAGTTGTTCACTCACGGAGGGGGGTTAATTGTTTTTTTTAAAATAATTTATATATAAATTTTATAAAATTTTTTTTTCTTCAAAATTTAAAAAAAAATCTTAATTCGCAAAAACTTGAAAGCAAATATTAATTTAATTTATAAAATTTATTTTTTAAAACGCAATTTGTTTAAAATTAAGCAGAATTAGCTCTAGATTTCATTATGCTAATTATCACTTATATATCAAAATTTTTTTTTCTATATAAAAAATTTTTGTTCACTCACGGAGGGTGGGTTTTTGGGCAAAAATAGCGATCTTTCTAATGGTTTTGTTCACTCACGGAGGGGGGGGAGTTAGTGACTCTCTAAGGGCTAGCGCGTTTTTTCTGGCTTCCCAAATGAGATTTTTTCTTGCCCATTTTAGAGAAAAAGCAAAGCACCTTTGTACGGAGTCCCGACTTTTTATGTCGGCTGTCAAAAATTTTACTCCAAATGATTTTGCTAGAGCTTTTCCTTTGCCTAGTCTGTCCCTTTTTGTTACGAGAGCGACCATGATGCATCCAAACATTTTATCAGTTTTTGACTTTAGAATTTCTAAAGTTTCTTTGAGATGCATAAGAGTTTCAGGCTTTTTTGGGTCATAAAGTAGGATTGCTGATGAAAAATCAGGCAATTCTGACTTCTCTTCAGGAAATGAGATAATTTAAATGAAATTACTTTGAAAGTAAAAAATTTTCTAAAAAATAATAAAAATTTTCACTTATTTTAAATATCTGGTATTATAAATCTAGTCATTATTTATAGTTCTTCGAAAATTCAAATAATTAGCATCTTCTAGGACGGAGGAGTGAGAGGAAAATTATTTCATCTATTTCTAAGCATAGGGCTGGAGGGGGAAAACTAAGAGTATATTTATACACTTTAGGATGGATTGTCTGACTATGATTTGGAGGCAAGTAGGAGTATAGATATTGAGATATGAAACTAGTCTTACCTACCTGAGGTGCTCCTATGACTAAGCACCGTGAGCTGATTTTCATAATAAGGATCACTTAATTGTTCGCGCTCTTCTCTATGTTTTCCCGGTTTTTCCTTTTCAATTTCGAACTGGCGGGTTGTAGTTTTTAATTTTATGATTTAAGTTTGATTCTTCAAATTTTGGATTTATGACGTATTTTATATCTTTTTAAAGCTAGATATTATAATACAATTAAAACTCTCTGGATTGCATATAAGATACGGCTAAATTGTCTGTTAAATATTTTGAATATTGAAATTTCAAAAAGGTTCATAAGTAGAGAATGAGCTAAGAAGGACTAGTTTATTAAGGTGATCAATGTGATTGTTTATAGTTGCTGGTGAATAATTGAAGAAAGGGCCTTTTTGTTTAAAAATTTCTGAATTTCTTGTTTCATATATATGACAATTTTATAATTTAGCTTAAAATAAATTAGCATAAATAATAAATGCAAGCTGATTATTTTATCCCTATGGAATATACATTAATTAAAATATTTAACACAATAATCAGTTCTGAATTAATTTTGATAAAAAATCGCATAAATCATAATTGAAAATAGAAAATATTATCATTATCATGGCTTTATAAGCAAGCTATATTTATCTTTATTTCAATATACTTATAGACTTTAAATGGCAAAATTTTATTCAGAGTACTATCAGTTACCTAGATTTAGCGTAATTGAAAGTTTTTATGAAGAAGTCCAAGAAACTGAAAAATTCCGCTTAAAAGAAATCAGTGCAGCAGTGAAAATCCAAGCCCTTTGGCGAATGTATCGGCAGCGTAAGCACTATCTCGAAGAAAAATGAGCAGTCAAAATAATCAAAAGAGTTTACATCGGTTATCGCACCCGCAAAAACTTCTGAAAACTCATAAATCAGCAGCTTGCTCATCACCGCTTAATGTTCTTTTCATCAGCAGCTACAGCAATTCAAAGAATTTACCGTGGATTTTATTCGCGAAAATATTTCCATGACTTTGGAGCTCGCAAAAAATATCTGAAACACATTGAAGGGAAAAATGAAAGGAGAATTACTAAAATGCATGAATATGCAAAACAGCAAGAAATTGAAGAGCAAAGAAGACAAGAAGATTATGCAAGGATGGAATTTTATAAGCTGGCTAGTTCTTTATATAATAAAAAAATGGCTTCACTAATACTCTTGGAGAGAATTTTATCCTTTGGTAATTTTATTATTATGGATTGAGTTTTTTCTAGTGTTCTTTATCCAGCTGAGCTAGGAACACCCTAGCGCATTAACTAGAGTGGCTAGTCCATGGGTTTTAAGGAGCAAAAAATTTTTTAATGACACAGCTGAGGAGGTAAATCCTTAGGTGGATCACGTGGATGAGTCAAATAGAGAACAAGAGAATGCTGTCCGTGAGGTTTGATTTTCGAGCAAGGATGAGAGTGCTCTATGCTTAAATGTGGAAGAAAGCTGCGAAGTGATATAAAAGGGGCTGCAATTATACCGTTCTATGGAATAATCAACTCTCCAAACACTGATAATTAATTGCGTAAGTAATTAATAAGTAAGACTAGTTCTTTGCATCATTTGACGTCTACTAAAGCAATTCCTGGAGTATATCGTGGATTAGAAGAGGTTTCTGACTTTGGGAAACATACTTTGAAAACTTAAATGAAATAAATAATTATTTTTATTCAATTTCTGCAGCACATATACAAATCTATTTAAAAAATTTAAAAGAATGATTTATTTATAGGAATCAAACCCCTTGATTTTCTTTTTAAAATAAAAACAAGTCTTAATTTATTAAAAATGAAATTAATGTCCACAAACTTTAAGAGAAATTATATTAATATATAGTTTTCTGACACGATTTTCTTATTTTTCTTTGTTTGTATTAAATAATAAGAATACTTCTTATTTAAAATTAATTTATTTATCAAAATTAATTTGCTATCTCATTGTTATACTTAGAAGTTTCAACATGGACTCCAAGCCTAAATGTACTCACCATCCAAAGGACGCTGATTTCTATTGTCGAACTCCTGACTTCCCCTATAAAAGTGAGCAAATCATTGGAAAAATCCCTATTAGGGTAAATTAACCCACTATAAGAGTCTAAGAAAAAAATTAATATTAATAATTTTTTCCAAATATTTTTATATATATTTAATATGTTTTTTTTTATAAGCTAATTCTATTAAAATCTAGGTTGCTTCCATTTTAAGATTGCAGATTAGAAAAAAAATTATATATATTATTTTTTTTAAAAAAAACATTAAACCTCCTTCAGAGCAGCTAAATATTACTCTATCTTAAAAAGGATGGGGGTAAGTGTATGTATGGCTACTGTGTAGGCTGTGGAATGAACCACTTAGGGCACGATTACCTCAAAATAGATGACCCTTCCCTCCCAAGCATCCTTTCCTGCGATATCTCCGTATTTCTCCTAAACCAACAAAAAATCTATGACCAAAGCTACAAAGAGCACGAATCTATAGAGCTGAACCTGCGCCAAATCCAAAATGAGGTAAGCCAGGTTATAATGGACATCGAAGGGTATTTTGTTGATTTAATGGAGTCCTTAAAAGCTAGAGAAATCGAACTTATAAGGGAAGCATCCTCCAAAGGCATGATTATTGAAGCAGAAATTCGAGAAGATCTTGAAGAATGCGAAAAAGTGATGAAAACTCAAAAAAATATTCTCGATAGCTTAACTCAGCTAAAAATCAGCTTTGACTCATTAGATTTTACTGAAAAAATTGAAAAAACTTATGATTTGCATACAAAATATGCAGTCCCTCCTCCTCACAAGCAAAATAGATTTTATTCTTTTCATGCAGGGTTTGATTATGACCCTTTTTTTAAGGACGAATTTCAGAGTATAGGAAGAATCCATACTAGGCAGGACGAATTTAATGGCTACATACAAAAATCTTTTAATTTCTTCAAAGAATTTGCAAAAGACATTTATAAGTATGATATAACTCACCAAGCTTGGGAAATCAACCCTAATGTGAGTATGCCGAGGCTTCATCACTTTAATGTTGTTTACGCTAAAGATAGAGATGAATACCTTATGGTCGGCTGCACAGCGAATCAAAGTAAACTTATCAAATATTATGCCAGTCAAGACAAAATTGAACAATTTGACCTTGGCTTTGAATACCCTCAATGAAGGGTAATCATGAAAAAACTCCAATGGGTAAAGAATTATTTTATAAAAATATCAACGGAAATACTGAATTTTTATAAGGTAAAAATTTTATTACACCCCTCAATGAAGCTTTTCCTGCTATTATTGAGGAAAACTATTTTTATTAGGAGGTGAAATTAACGATTCCAGCACACAAATATGTAAATCTTATACACCAAGGAACAATACATGGTCTAATATAGCAGATCTTATTATCGCGCGGGATTCATCATCAGTTATAGGGTTTGAAAATAAATATTTATATGTCTTTGGAGGATATTCTAATGGAATTTCGTTAAAATCAATTGAAAGATATCATAAAGATGCTTTGAGATGGGAACTAATGCATGTGCAGATGCCGGTGCCCCTAGCGTTTATTTCACTTGTGAGTACAGGGATTGATATGGTTTTATTTGGAGGAGAGTGCAATGAAAGGAGCTCTGACCAAGTTTTTAAGTGAAATGGCTATAATGGGTTTATAGAGTGTCCTAGGCTTTCTGCGCCATTTACATGTGGAGGATCTGATATTGTGGTCTTCGTGGCAGGGAATGTTTACATTATTAGAGCTGATGATTCTGATTTCCCTACAGCTGAAATTTACCCAATTAGCAATATTAATTTTAATTCAGCAGACAATATGTAATTAGTATTCTCTATATTTTATTTATGTACCACAAATATACAAAAATTCCATATTTTAAGTAAAAATACTAAAATAAATTCAGCTCATATTTGCTAATAATCAGCGAAATAAGCAAATATGCCTATTTACAAATCCTCTATGGTAGCCTTATTCTATTTATTATAAGAAAATAGTACCATAAATAATTTCTATAAATCTGATATGGCATATTTATTGAAAAACAACCTTATTCATATTTACACTTTCTAAAAATTTTAATAGTTCTTTTTTTCCTGGGTTATTATTTCTTGCATAAAATCAAAAATATCTGTTTTGAAAATGCACATGATTATGTCACTTCTTTGTAGCGTTCTCCGCTTGCTTTCTTCAGTATGGACTCATGCTCTATGGGTTAGTTCAATTATAAACAATTCACATGCTTTCCCAAATATCGCTGGAGTCTCAGCATTGATCATTTTGACATCTTCGTCAGCTTTCATAATTTTTTTGACTCTTGCGAGTGGGATTTCATGGTGGTTTAGCTTTGATAAGTCAGATGTGACGATTTCATCTAATTGTGATTTTATTAGCTTGTTTACACTGACTTCAAGACTATTATCTGCTTGTTCTTCATTAGTGTTGAATCCAACTGAGTTCAAGCTGGAAGAAACACCAGAGGGCATAGGATATAAATTAAATAAAGGAAATTGCTCTGAGTTTTGGTCTTTCGGTTCCATTTTCTTTTATTTATTAAGTTTATTTGGAATGTTTGAATAAATTGTTTCATTAAAAATTTTGTTATCATTTATATCTAATTATAAAAATAAATTTAAGAATTTGATATTATTTATTGCTTTTTTTCTAGGGAGTAATCATAAAATCCTTTGCCTACTTTTTTACCAAGCCATCCTGCGTTCACATAATTCACTAGCAAGCAAGAAGGTCTGTACTTGGAGTCTCCAAGGTCTCTATGCAAAACCTGCATAATATACAAGCATGTATCCAGTCCTATAAAATCAGCTAGTTCTAGTGGCCCCATCGGCACATTGGTTCCAAGCTTCATTGTTTTATCTATGTCTTCCTTGGTCGCAATGCCTTCACTGAGTACTTGAATAGCTTCATTAATATATGGCAATAGCAGTCTATTTGCAATAAATCCTGGCATATCCTTGCTTTCACTAATAGTTTTTCCCATTAATTTTGCTAATTCCTTAGTCTTATGGACAGTATGGTCGCTAGTTTGGAGTCCTCTAATCATTTCTACTAGTTTCATGACAGGGACAGGATTCATGAAGTGCATTCCAATGACTTTATCAGGATATTCAGCATTTGCCGCTAGTTTTGTGATGGAAATTGAAGATGTATTGGTCGCTAGAATGGCGTCTGGCTTAAGGATAGGGCTTATATGTCTAAATAGTTTCATCTTGGCCTCTACGACTTCTGATATAGCTTCTATGACAAAATCGCAGTCTCCTAATTCTTTGGATTCTTTGATGTAATGGATTCTGCCTTTTACCTCTGCAAGATTAGCTATTGGATTTTTGGCTGACTTTTTGTCGAGCCAGTCACCAATGAACTTGCGAGACCTTTCGATTTGTTCATCATTGGAGTCCATAACTTTAACAGTAAGGTTAGCATTCAAAGCACCAACGATGGCAATGCCACTACCCATTTGGCCTGCGCCAACAACTCCGATGGTTTTCATTGATCTTGTGATGAGTCTCAGCATTTTATATATATTCTAATTTCTTATAATTACTTATATAAAAAATCATTTTTTAAATATAGTCTTATATATCCAAAAATAAAATAAATTAATGTCTTATGGTTCATTTATAAATCCCTATATCCAAAAAACATCGGCTTCTTAATTTTTATCTTAAAAATCCTTGATATTATCTGCTAAATTAGTAAATAAGTTTATTTAAGCGTAAGCATCTTCTAATGTCCTAAACCCAGACGAAATATCATCAATTAACGAAATAAAGAACCTTTGGACATTTTCTTCTGCGTCTTTTGGATCTACAGAATCTTTCATCTTGGAAATCTTCACTAATTGATTCTTAAGCTGGACTTCAATGACAGCCCATGAAATCTTGTTTTCTTGTGGGCTTTCTCTGATAACCTTTTTGGCTAAATCGTGGAAAGTAATAATAGCTCTCATCATCCCAATTGTTTTATTCAAAGGCGAGGTATAATCCATCTTGGAATAGGCATTCTGTTGTAAGAAATCTTCTCTAATAACTTTTGCGATTTCTAAAGTCGTTTTTTGGTCCTCAGATAATGAATCTTTACCTACCAGCTGGACGATTTCTTGCAAATCTTCTTCTTCTTGTAAGATCTCTTTGAATTTAGTTCTCAGCATTGAAAATTCAGAGTCAAACTTATCGAAATAAGACTCAAGTTGTCTTTCATAGTTGCTGAACGAAATTGACCAATTTACACTAGGGAAATGTTTTCTTTGAGCAAGCTTCTTATCAAGACCCCAGAAAACCTGGACAATGTTTAATGTTGCAGTTGTGACTGGATCAGTAAAATCACCACCAGGAGGACTGACAGCTCCTACAATGGAAACTGAGCCTTCTCTTGCAGGGCTTCCTAAACATGTAACTCTGCCTGCTCTTTCGTAGAACTGAGCTAGCTTAGCTCCTAAATAAGCAGGATATCCTGCATCAGCAGGCATTTCTGCAAGTCTTCCAGAAATTTCTCTTAATGCTTCTGCCCATCTTGAGGTTGAGTCAGCCATCATACTGACGTTGCAGCCCATATCTCTGAAATATTCAGCCAAAGTAATCCCAGTATAAATAGAAGCTTCTCTAGCGGCGACTGGCATATTTGAAGTATTGGCGACTAAACAGGTTCTTTTCATAATACTTTCTTCTCTTCCTTTGAATATTGTATAATAAATTTAATATTATTTATAGATTTTGGCTCTCCAAAGCTATTTTATATATAGAAATTTCCCATAGATGGCGCTGTTTGCCTTTGATTTGCCCACTGGGGAAATTTTTTGGTTCGACCAGTACCATATGGTTTGGTCAAACCAAAAAATTTTCTCATAGGCAAATCAAGGGCAAACATCGCCATCTATGGGAAATTTCTATATAAAAATGGCTATAGGCAGAAAATACTATAATAAATATAGCTAATCCAGTATAGTCAGCTCAGGGAAATCAGTTAAAACTTCAGCCATTTCATTACCTCTTTCTCCACACCCCACATAAATAATGCAATCTGAATTAGAATATTTCGACAACGCTTGAGAAATACAAGTTTTTCCACACCCAAAAGCCCCAGGAATGGCACAAGTTCCACCTCTGCAAGATGGGAATAAAGCGTCAAGCACTCTCTGTCCAGTCAGAAGTGGGACATTTCCTTGGAGTTTTTCTACAACAGGTCTTGGCATCCTGACAGGCCATTGATGGCACATTGAGTAGCTTTTTCTTTCCCCATTAAATTCAAGTTCTATCACTTTTTCATTGATATTATATTGTCCGGGTGGGGCTATAAAGGTAACTCTTCCTTGAGCTCTAGGTGGAATCAATAGTCTATGATTATCAAAAAGACCATTTTCAAAGACCATCCCAAAAATGTCACCTCCACTGATTAAAGACCCTTCTCTAATGTTTTTTGGCTCAAATTCCCAAAGCTTGTTGCCATCTAAAGCAGGGACGTCGACTCCTCTTGGAATAAAGGCACTGTGGTTACTGTTGATTGCAATGTCTTTTAAAGGTCGTTGAATACCGTCATAAATTGTTTCCATTATACCAGGACCCAGGGTAACACTGAGAGGGGAGCCTGTTCTGAGAACTGGGTCGCCAACTGTAAGGCCTGATGTGTCTTCGTAACATTGGATACTTGCAGTGTCAGCTTCAAGTTTAATAATTTCACCGACAAGCTTGTCCCAGCCTACGCGGACAAGCTCAAACATTTTAGCGCCTGCCATACTTTGAGCGACGACTAAAGGCCCAGCGACCTTGTAGATTGTACCGTACTTGTTCTCAGCCATTGCTATTCTGTGCTAATTTGAATATTCATTGATACTGCTAATAATTGAAATTGAGATAATTTTGTATCAAATTGAATATATTATTAAGCCAGCACAATATAGAGCCAATTATAGCTAGAATTTAAGATATAGTTGCTTAACATATTATTTATATAAAGAAAAGTAAGAAAAATTAATATGAATAATAAGAGAGAGTAAATTTTTTAGTAATGGATAATTTGTCTAACGCCTTTAACTTAAGTTAAAAGTAGCAGCTTATAAAATGCAAATAAATGATATAATAAATAATGGTTTCAAATAGAATTATTGCTATTTATCAATATTTAACTGATGTTTAAGATCTGTAGTATTTTTTAGGTTTAAATATAAAACTTTATAATGAATATTATTTTCCATGCTTTTGTATCATTAATTTATTAATTATTTTTTGACTCCCTTAAATGGAAACAAAATATTGGTAAAAATTTCAATTTTTGATAATTAAGTCCTCTTTAAATAGTGCAAAATTTTAATTTCTTTTAGTCAAGAATAATAGCTGTAATAGCCTTGATACCAATTTAGTATCGTAAAATAAAAAAATTAAGTATAAGTTGATATTTTTAAAAGGGAGAGTGCTATTATAATGCTATTTAAATAAGTTACATATAATATTTATATTAATTATTTTCCAAAAAAAAAAATAAATATTAAGGAGGGGTAAATAAATATTCTTCTGGAGAATGTATCAGTCATTCTGGCACCAAAAGATTCTTTAAAGATCTGACAATGGTTTTTCTATTATTAAAAGCAGATAAATACTTTATAGTGAGCCAAAGCCCAATCTAAATCTCAAAAATTTTATAATTGCAAGGTCATTTTCGAAGAAAAAATAAACTTACTAAATTAATCATTAAGAGTGGAGCTCATTTTCTAAATTTGCATACTCAAACTCGAAATCAGCTTTTTTCTTCTGCGACCAGCTATTTTCGAAGTCGAAATATGTATACATCCCTTTTTCTCGGTCTTCTGTCACTAATTTCGGCTCCCCACACCTCTGGAACCAAGTCTGAAATCGCTTATGATAGATCCAATCTTTAGATTTCAGCTCTTTTGCTGCCAAAAACTGCTGATAAGTCCCTGGCTGATGGTAAAAAATAAAGAATAAAGAATCCACTTCTAATTTTTTATACTGAGAAGGATGCGTAAATAAAGGCCTTTTAGGATAGCTGGGATGTCCTTGGTATGAAGATTTTACAATTTCTAGCTTAGATCGCGTTCGGTCTTCTGGTCGAATTTGGAAGTTAAATGCATTTTGCAAAGCTCGTTTTGTGGTTTCCATATCTTTGTAGTCAAATGTGTCCTAATTTTTAAGTACTGTTTCTATTGCTTCTTCTGGCTCCTCTTCTTTTGTTTCTTGGATTTTATCGATTTGGTCGCCTGCTATTTTTTGTAAAGCGTCTTTGGAATTTCATACTGAAATCTTACTATTTATGAATAAAAAATAGTGAAAAAAATATTTTTATATTAAAAAAATATATAGAAAATATTTATAAATAGAAAAAAAAAATTATAAGGGAAGTTAGGTAATTCTTGTGGCTTTGAGTCTTGCTTTACAAGTGGAGGCATCACCTTTGGCTCAATCTTTTTAGGTGGCGCCTGTTTTTTCTGAGCTTCATGTGGCTCTTCTTCAATTATCTGGGGCGCTGGCGACACAGGAGCTCCAACAATTTCAAGTTCAGCATATATCTGTTCCATTTCGGTATCATAGGTTTTATCATTGATATTTTCAATAAAAACTTCAAATAAATCTTTCAATTCTCATAGTTTGTGCATAGGCAGCTGATCATTTTCAAGCGCTCTTAGTACAAATTCAAGCTTGCTATAATGGAACCTATATGCCTGCAGATGATTTGATAATTCTTCAATTCTGCTTGAATCAGGTTTTCTGCCTTTTGCGATTTTAAAAGAATCTAGCTCAAGTTCTATAGAAGTTATGCTCTCCTGAAGTTGCTGAAGTGCTGATTTTATTATTTTAATTAATTAAGCTATATTTTTATTGTCATAAAAAAATTGATTTTTAAATTAAGTTCCTTATTATATTGTCTTAATTAAATTAGTTTTCTATAATTAAAATAGTGTTTTTTTGAAATTAATAACTAACCATTTTATATAAAACTGATTTTATTCATTCTCTTGCAGACTCCCTCTCTTCTTCTCTTGGATCTACTTTAGGAGCAGCAGATAATCCAGTTTTAGAAAATGCTTTAGTCTTATTTTCTCTTTCGCAATTTTTAAAAGTCGCCATAAGGTCTTCTATAGTTTTCCTAGCATCTGTTATCTGGTTTTTATCTCTGATTTCTATACATAAAAATGGTGACGACAGACCACCTGACCTCTCGACCCTATTTCTTCAACATCAGCAGGCAACGGCCCAGTGTCAGAGATTTAGGTGGAAAGGGGCCGGTAATCCTTTATGCATAGTCGGGCTGGGTTTTCTTCGAGCCCGAGGAGCTAATTCTCGGACTTGAAGTTTTTCCTCCAGGACAACCATTGGAAAGGGCAAGGTCGACCAATGTTTTGAGGGCAATATGACCCTCAGACCCTGAAGACGGTATTTGCCCAACGAGAAACTGGGAGTTTCGATCCAGGTGGTTGGCCCTTAGACTCCAGAAGCCATGGAAGTCAAGACTGGTTGTGCGAATCCCTTGTTTGAGGCAACAAGGAGGGTGTCCGCCGAGGCTCCTCAGGGGCGATGAGCGTGTAGGGGTGCGAATCCCCGGCCCTGTAAGGCAAACGGCTTAATCTAATCTAATCTCTGATTTCTGGATTTGTCTGATACGCTCGCAAACTTTCACGTACCCTTTGGAGTTTTTTGATTTCTTTTTTCAATTCTGATTCATATCGCTCTTTTTGAGTTTGATTTACTGCGGATTGAATTTTTTTGAGAGTGGAGTTGAAAATTTCGACGCCTTCTTCTACGCTTTTAAGCTTTTTGTCAATTTCTTGCTGTAAATGCCGAGCTTTTGCCATTTATATCTTTTGGACTTTAACATTCTTATCTTTCTAGATAAACCTTAAATTTTGCTATTTAAATTTAGCTCACTCCTATATTTTTAAACGAACATTTTTTATTTGTTATTAATTATTAATTGGGTATAACTTAAAAGAAAATTAATTTATATAAAATTTATTCTTTATTTTTTAATTTTCAAAATTTTTAATTTATAAAATCCTTCAGAGTTTACTTTACTTTTACAAACAATTTTTATATGATATTTTGGATTTATTAGGATCTTAAAGAATATAAATGAAAAGAATGAGGAAAACAGAATAATATATTTTTTTTTAAAAATGATAGAAAATATTATATTGATTAAGAAAAGAGCCATAAGGCTTGAACGTTGGAGTAATCCAACGTATATAAGATGATGATAGAAATAATTATAAGATTTTTAATTTTTTAAAGATTAAAACATTTATAAACTTTATTCGCTGTCTACGCGGAAAATTTAAAAAAAAATTTCGTTATTAAAGAAGTGAGTAGGTTCTATTAAAACATTTAGCTATATAAAAAATATTAGATTTCTATTTAGTAGGTTAAGTACGATTATTTTAAGAAATATAAAAATTGCTAAATAAAAATTTTAGATTGAGGATATTATTTTTAATATGAAATGAATTGAAATTAAATAATTTGTTAAAGGCCTTATTTTATCTTGCTTAAAGAAATAGCGATAAAGCTAGTGTGGTAATGGAAGCTCCAATTGCAGAGTACACATACGCTCTACATAAATTTTACAAATTTAGTTGAACGTTTCCAATAGCGAACGTAAAAGCGATAAATGTAATTATAAAAAACAAATTACAGCTCCCAATGCTTCTTCATGTAGCTTCTTCCTCAATCAGCGATAAAGCTTCCAGCTTTTTCTGAATTTCTGACTTATTGTTTTTATTTCTCGCCCTCCGTAAATAAGCAAATGTTTCTTTGGAAGAATATACCTTGAATAAATATTATTGATTAAATTATTTTAATATATAACACAATGATTTTATAATAAATCTCTTGCTAATTCTATTAAATAATAAATTTCATTTATACAGCTAAATTTTTACTTTCAAACATCAAATTAGAATTTTTTGAAGATCAAAAAATCTTAATATATATATAGCCTAGTCCCTGCTTTGAATCGAGCTTGACAGACGTCGGGAAACGCCAGATGGGAGTTGACTAGCCAACTTTTGCGATAGCAAGATGATTTGCCATGTGGGGAGCTGAATTTGCCAGCAAAAGTTGGCTCGTCAACTCCCCACTGGTGTTTCCCAACGCAAGCCAAGCCCAATCCAAAGCAGGTATCAGGCTATAACTGCTTATAATCAATGAAAGCATTCCTACTGATTTACAGTTTTCCTATATACTATATGCCATAAGATAAAGGCAACCAGTAGGAATGTCTATATTCTCTATAAAGGGATATAAATTTCCAACAACAAAAAAACTTCAAAGGCAAGCAGGTAAATATCTTGCACTCAGGATGGAGTTACAATCTCCTAATTGTGCCTCAACAGCTATTGCACTTCTAAATGCTGCTTACCTATTATAATATCTTTTCGCATTAAAAATCATCGCATAATATAAAAGTATTTCCGAAATAGATAGACTAAAAGCAAGAAAATATCCCCAAAATTCAGATAAATCAAGCTCAAGGACTTTTCCATAAAAATCTACATATACTTTACAAATGCAAAATGCTTGCGCAGAAAAGCTGCCTAAAAGAACCAATAATAGCGTAGTCTTTGTAAATTCAAGCTGATACTTATATGTTCGATCCATTTCTAAATCTTTATAATTAATGGAAATCACAAGATTCAATATCCACACAGCTAGCTCTCTAATAAAAAAAGCCATAAACAACGCAGATTTTTTAGCAATGGATATGGAATTTGGTGGCATAAATACTCGATCTTATTTATTAAATACAAGTTTAGACAGCACAGAACACAGATATTTAAAACTAAGAGAAAATGCAAAAGAGTTTTGCCCACTGCAGCTTGGATTGACTGCATTTAATATATCAGGCGCTTCAGCTGAATCATCAACGTTTTCATTTTATATATCACCGCTGGAATTTTCAAGAAATAGGCATGGGTTTTCGATTAATCCGGGATCAATAAATTATTTAGCTGACTATAATTTTGATTTTAATAAGGCATTTAAAGAAGGATTGTGGATTCATAAGGACTCGAATTTTTCAAAAAAAAATCTGACGAGGAAAGGGAAAAGGATTTTGGATAAATACAAAAATTTTTTATTGGAGGGGATTGAAAATGGTGTTGATATACCTGTGGAATTTATAGATTTAGAAGAGCTTGAATTTATAATAAAATCTATTGAAAAAGATTTTGGGGTTGTAGGAACTTTGTGCGTTAAAGATAGAATTCCTTATGCTGTTTAAATAAAATGGTGATGCTGAAGCAAATTGGACTCTATGGGGTACTCCCTATTGAACAGGTAGAACCCATTCTGATGAAGCTCAAATAGAGCCTCTGACCCTTTGAGAAATAGGCATTGAGGCTTGGGGAAAATTTGCCGAAGAGGGAAATTTTGCTTTCTCCCAGAAGGTTTTCCTGCCTTTCACCTATCACATTGCATTCTCTCATTGGGACTATCGGGCACTCTACAGACGTGGCTCTGCCTAAGGGAACTGCAGCGGCTCAGGTCTGAAATTCAAAAGGGCGGCTTTTAAGCCCAGGTGGGCAGTGGCTTGTGGTATTATCCGCTTATGGCCAGCATAAGTTTAACTTAATTTGTGCTGTTAAATTTAAGAAAGGGCAAGCTGAAAACGACGACTGCGGAAAACTATTTTTAGATATTGTGAACTCAATGGCAGGAAAACCGTTAATTGGGCATAATATGATAACAGATTTACTCCAATTTCATGATAAATTAATAGCTCCTTTACCTATGTCTGTTAAAAACTTCGCCTTAAAATTGAATTCAAAATTCCCAACTATAATCGACACAAAGTATATAATCCAGTCCTCATCTTTGCTAAAGCACTATGTATTATTTATATAGTTTAATATCACAAAAAAGCAAGGAGCAAACCTATCAGAGTGCTATAAAGCAATAGAAAAAGACTCAGAATTTTCTAATTTAAAAGTTACTCAGCCATTTAACAATGAAGAAACTAATTTTCATAATGCTGGCTTTGATTCTTATATTACAGGAGCTCTTTTTATTAGAATTCTCCAAATATTAAAAATTACATTTACGAAAAATTTGTCTGATTTGGAAAATATTGTAAATAAAATCCCTATGTCAGGATCAGGGAGACTGCCATTGAATTTGTCTAAGCCTACACAATTTGAATCATTTGAAAATATTTATGTGTTAAAAAATCCTGAAAATATTCCTATAGAAAAAATAAAAGAAGTTTTAAGTGGAAATTTTGAATCTATAGCGATTTATAAAATTTTTTGGACTGAAGAGTTCGTTTATGTGGTGCCATCTTCTTTAAATGCATTAAATAGAATGAAAAAAATAATTTCAAAAACTACTAATTTAGATATTTTTGGGACAAAGATAGAAATAAGCCCATATGAGGATTTTGTTGAATTGGATAAATCACATTGGCTGACTGAATAGGGCTATTGAGGCCATCATACAATATTATTTATTTAATAAATATAATAATTCGAATGATACCTTTATAAATATTCCGCCTAGCTTTTGTATATGATTTCTTATTTAATTAAAAAGTATAATTATTTCAATCTCGTTTACTCCCCCCCCCATCCTTGATCGAACGATTGACTGTAAAAATTCCTAAAAATTGGGGAAATTAACCCCCATCCTTGATCGAACGATTTTCATATCATGCAAATTTTTATATATATAAAAAATATAATAGTTATCAAAAGCTTGGGAAGATGTACCTAATGAAGTTGTTTTCAGAGACTTTGAGACGATAGAAAGCTTCGGAATCAACCATTTAAAGTAATTTAGTCATCAGCATGGGCTTAAAAAACTCAATAATCTAATAAAATAGAGATTTTTTTTTAAATTTAAAAAAAACAAATTTTAATTTAATAAGTAACAAATTAAAATTTATACAGTTTAAAGGGGTAACTAATAAATTAAAATATAAAAAATTGGTATTTTTTGATGAAATTAATTCAATTTTTTGCTGTAAAAATAATTATTAAATATTCTTAACCCTCTTATTTAAAAGTAAATAAAAAACAATTTATATATATATTTTTTATTTTATATATAAAATTTTTTTCCCAAAAAAATTTTTTTTTAACCCCCATCCTTGATCGAACGATGGCGAGTCGTTCGATCAAGGATGGGGGGGGAGTTAGCAATAAATTTGACATGCGAAAGAAAGCAGTATTATTACATATAAGTATAATATTTAATTAGCAAATATAATGCTAGAAATTTTATGTAGACTTTCAAAATCACTTAACGAGATCTGAGACCTAGTAGTATATCAAACTATCAAGCAGCTTTCTCTTTTATCTCTCAAAATAATATAAAGTGTGAAGCGCCATTTATTTGCTCGAATAACTATAGAGGATTCAAATTTTCGTCTATAATTAAAGTTTCACTTGAAATAGCCTGAAAAATTATTTCTTTTATATTGGAGCTAAATTTATTCTGCTTTATTTGCGAAGCACATAAATAAGGCTTAAGGTTAAAGTTCAAGAAACCTATAATTTTTTTATCTAGACTAAAATAAAACCATCTTGACTATAATTTTTATTTTTATTATGTGGGTTATTTTTTGTAAAAAATTAATAAAGGAAATATATTAAGCTTCTTTAAATATTTATATTAAAAATTCGACTAATAGCAGCTATTTTCCTATTTTATAGAATAAATAGCGGCAAATCTTAATCTTAATTAACTCTAGTTCAAGCAGCTCACCGTTTAAGATCGGTTTCCCCAACTGAGCCAAGCTTTTCGCCTGAAAAAGCAGTTTTCTCAGTACTTTAGCTTGCCAGTTCTTCAAGCGCCAGCATCGTGCTTGTATTTTCCTGATGGTCTTGAAGTGCTATCTACAGCATCCCTTGACATTGTTTGGTTCATCTTTCAAGCCCATGACCACGTGTCCCACGAAGCAAAAGCTAATCTGAAAATCGGACTTAAGGCTATATGCCACTCCTTATCTAGTATTGCTGTCCATTTCTAGGCTAAGAAACTTTACTATGTACTTAAAAATGTTCTAGAGGCTACCGGCTGGGTATCCAATTCTAAGCTAAGATATATACTTAATTAAAAATATCTGCAAGTCATTAACAAGAAATTTTGATTCATCCAATTTACATATTTTATTCAAGCTATATAATTAATAAATATTAGCAGCACCACGATTCTTGCTTTTTAGGTGCCGCTAGCTTCTGTCCTTGCGCTTTTTTCGCTTGAATTTTTGGCAGCCTTTTTGCAATATTAATAAAAGTTTCTGAAATCCCTTCCCCTGTTTTGGCAGAAACTTCAGAGAATAACAGAGAATGCTTATTAGCTAAATCTTGGCCCATTTCTCTTGAAACACCTTTATTTAAATCAATCTTGTTTGCAGCCAAGGCAATTACAATAGATGGTGCTGCATTATTGTGAAGCTCCTTGATCCAATCTTTAGCACCTTCAAAAGAATCAACAGCTGTGGCATCATACACAATAAGTGCGGCAGAAGCGCCTTTATAATACATCGGGGTAAGTGATTTATAGCGCTCTTGGCCAGCTGTGTCTCATAAATCAAATTTATATGTTGTTTTATCGTCGACATTTACATGTTTTGTATAAAAATTGGCACCGATTGTAGGGTTTGTGGATTCTAAAAAGGTATCTTTTGCGAACCTGTATATTAAGCAAGTTTTGCCGACGCCGGAGTTGCCTAAAATTACGATCTTGTAGCGTCTTTCTTCAGGCTCGACCATATTATATGCTTTTTAGGTATTTTGTGGGCTTATTTGAATTATTTTTATCCTATTTTTCATATAATTTAAGTAGAGTTTTTATAATTTTATTTATAATTATTTAAAAAATAATTATTTATTATGAAGTATTTTAGATAAAATTTATAACTTATTACCAAAAAATTAAAATTTGCTACGCTTGGTTTTCCATTGTATAAGCCCTGATAAGTTCCCACCGACTACGTCGATAAAGTTTTCTATTGCACAGTTAGCTTGAGCTATCCCAAGATTAACTCTTGCTGCATCAATTAAGCTGCGGTCTTGTAGTTTTCTTGCTAACTCTTTAATAAAATAAAAATATTTAATTTCTTTTAATATAAAAAAATTTGCCTGTATTAAAAATGAGTGTAAGCTAAAATGTTTATCAAGAAATTCCACAGCTTTTTTAGGCTGTCCTTGCTTTTGGTATAATAATCCTAAATGCAATGACGCTTCAGCCTCAGCTGAATGTTTATTATTTTCCGATGCTTCTTGGTTAAGCTGTTCAAGGTTTTTAATAGCTTGCGAAACATTTGACATCTCCTGATGCGTCGCCGCAATTTTCGCCAAGGCATTTGTTACTCCATCAAGGTAATCTGCAGATCTGCTCAATTCCAAATATTTTTGAAAATATTCCAAAGCAGTCTGATAGTCTGTATTTTGAAAATAAATCAATCCCATCCTATAGCACGCAGTTCCTTGCGCTATCAAATCATCAGCATTTTTAGCACTTTCTAAGCATCTTAAATGGTATTCTAGCGCCTGCTCAGTTTTCCCTTCTTCTTCCAGCTTATCAGCCTCTAGTCTATATACTTCTATAAGAGATCTGCTGATTGTAATAACTGAATGCTTTAAATCGTGCATTTCGCCTATTTTGGCTCCTCTTTCGTACATAGAGATGGCGAGTTCTATTTTTTTAGTTTTGTAAGCACAATTTCCGAGCCCTTGGTAAGCTGTGGTTGCTTCATAGAAAAGTTCTCGTTTATTGGCAATTTCGGTACAGCGGTCATAAAAATAGGTAGCGGCGTCATAAATTTCCATTCTTTCGAAATAGTTGCCAAGCTCGTGGTAGCCTTGGAAAGAGCCTGGGTAGTCGCCTTCTCGGTTTAGCTGCTCAGCAGGGATTAGTCTTTCTCGTAAGTCCTTGATTACTTGTTCTTTTATTTCGAGGTTTTGAAATTTACCATGGGTGAGGTAGAATAAGTCGATATAGGACTGTGGGTAGCCTATTTGAAGAGTTTTTATGCATGCAGTTTCTCTGTTTTCTCTGCCAATTATTTGAGTATGGCCATCTTGTGCTGATCCTGTTAAATTTCTTCGAGATGCTGTACCAGATCTGGAAGAGACTTGAGGTCTTGATTTCCCAGTTGCTGGGATCTCAGAGAGGTCGAAATCTTGAAATTGAGTTTTTCCAGCAGTCGTGCGCTTTTCGACAGCACCCATAATTGGAGCAAACTTGCGGCCTAGTAAAGGTTTGGGATATGCTGGAGGTTCAGGCTGAGTCTTCGAAGACATTTTTGATAATATAACTTCATTCATAACTGATATAAAATTAAGATAAATTTAGAATGAAAGATAAGGCTTTAAATAAAATTTGATGAGTCAATGATAAAACTCTGTATTTATTATAATTAAATATTATGTGCATGAAATTGCACTTTATTCGCAGAGGTTTGTGGAGTGGTTTGAAGAAAAACATAAAGAGAAATTCGAAGAAGTGGATGGCAAAATTAAAAAGTTTATTTGTTCAGTGATGAAGTGTCGAGAGAGAAATGCTGAGTTTCAGCGGTAAATTAACGTAATAATAATAATTAAATATTATGAATATATCTTATAAATAATCTCTTTTAAGAGAATATAGACATAAGAAATCCTTTTAGCTGATTAAATAAGATTTTTATAATATTTAGATTATTTCGTATTATCTATCTCTATCTCAGTTGAAACGCGCTTAATATTTCAGTTTCGGTTACATTCATATTAAGAGCTTGCAGTTCTCTAATAGTCTCATCTCTATCTTGTCTTTGTTGAATCCCTGGCTCAAACTTCTGTGGACTTTCATGGAATTTTGGACTCATAATAGAATTATCTTGATTTTCTTTATAAAAAAAGTCTTGTATAAATTTATCAAAAATCAGCAATAAATTTTTAATTTTCAAGCAAAGTCCTTTAGCGGATGTCCCATATCCCTCATCTTTTTCTTTAGAAAGGCATTTAAAGCATAAATTAGAAATCAACGTGCTAATAGCAATACCAAATTTCCCAAAACATAGGATTTTTTCTCCATTGTCAAACTCATTATTTATAAGCAAAAATAAAGTAAAAGCTTCAATTCCTTTGAAGCTTAAAAATGAGATACTCATTAAATCTTTAAAGCCAGCTAGCTTCAGCCCGCACAATTTCGAAAATAAATAGCTGGTACTGACTGACAAAAATCTTGAAAAATATATAATAAATGGCACCAAAACAATAACGATAACAGAATAATCATTATTTATTGTGAGGTAAAACCCAATAATGATATACCCCAATACCTCTGAGCACGCATTAAGGGTAATCAAATTATTTGCCAGCACAATCCTTGATAAATCATTAATAAAATGATATTTTACAAGCACTAACCCAGATGCTAAAAGTGCTAAAGGTCCAGATAAGCTAATTCCTTCAGCTAATATAAAGCTTAAATAAAGAACCAAAATAAATGGGGCAGTCTCTATAATATCTCACACTTTTGACGCTGGGGAAAATTTAAGCAGCATAGTAAAACCCATCCCTATTATAATCCCAAATCCTAGGGATAGAACTAATTCTAAAAAAAAATACCCAAAAACAACCCCAATATTTTCACTTGTTATTTCGTTTGTGTATTTAATAGATAAATATAAAGGAAACGCAAATATTATGGTAAACATGCTTTCCCCTTGTAAAATTATATGGTTTCATTGATCTTTTACTAGTCCTAATAATCCGCTTCCACAAATATACATAGCTGCCGCAAAAACTGCGGCTTCTGTCACATTTCAGCTTGATTCAATCGCCCAAAATAAGCTGCAAAGCAAAATTAGTGTGGAAAAGAAAAACATTATAGTTTGAGCCTTCTTTTGGCTGGGCTATGCCGACGTCTGCCATTATAAGCGGTGAGCTGGTTTTGCCAATAAATGTTAATGCTAATAAAATCAACTACCTATAAAGAAATCGGTAAGTCGAGCCAAAAAGAGGCTCGGGCTATATCCCTCCAATTAGCACAAAAATTAAAATTGTTCCTATTTCTTGGTAAATAAATCCTTTATAACAATTGAAGATTCTTTCTGAAAGAATTATAGGTAGCAAAGCATAGTAAAAAAGCGAGAGGGTAAAGTTGTAATCATCTAAAATAATTGAGCTGACTTGGCATACAGAAAATAATAGTCCAAATATAATACCAAAAATCAAGGAGTAAGACTTTTCTTGGAGGATTTTGATGTTTCGATTTCTTGAGATGTGCCCAATATATAGGATGAGAAAAGTAAGGGCCACAAAAAACGCAACCTCAAATTGGACTTTCATTACTTGAAAAATTAATATACTTATTTAGGATTTTTTCACTATAAATTTTGCAGGTAAAAAAGGCTTGCCAAAACATGGTTTTAAAAATTTTCATAGCTTAAGGATAGGGAAATATGCTTATTTGTGATAAATGAAATTTGAAATAAATAGAATTAAGTAAATCCTAAAATTATCATGATCTAAAAATAACCTTTATTTTATTCCAGTTATAAAGAAGAGAATTTTTTGGCTCTTTCAGGGGAACTCAAATTCAATTGATTAAAAGTGATTATCTGAGTCAGAAAAAATAAAGTAAAATATTAGTTCAATTGCTGAATTATTTAATTATTCATAGATCTACAATTTTGCAGTGCTTTGAATATTGCTTACTTGCCAACAAATATCTCATTTGGCAGTTAGTCAGCTTTAATCTGCTTTTCCGACTTTTTTTTTGAAATACCATGATTCTCTTAATCATATGTATGATAAATGTTCAACTAAGTTTTCATATTTACTGAACTGATTATAATTACTGATCAGCTTGGATACAGAAGAGCGAAAGCCGATTTAAGGCAAAGCAATTCTTATCCTAAAATCCAATATAATCTTAATCTTCTTATTCCCCCCCTCCGTGAGTGAACAAAACGATTTTGTTCACTCACGGAGGGGGAGAATTTTTTTTTTAAAAAAAAATTTATATATAAATTTTAATATATATTTTTTTGAAATTTAAAAAAATCCTAATTCGCAAAAATTGGAAAGCAAATATTAATTTAATTTATAAAAATTTATATTTTAAAAAGCAATTTGTTTAAATTAAAAAGAATTAGCAAGAGATTTCATTATATTAATTATCACTTATATATCAAATTTTTTTTCCATAAAAAATTTTTGTATTAAAAAAATTTTTGTTCGCTCACGGAGGGTGCAAAAAATAGCGACTTTTCTAATGGTTTTGTTCACTCACGGAGGGGGGAGTTAAAATTTTAAAATCTTATATTTATTATTTTATTACATTGTCTAGAAACCAGTCGTTAACTGAAACCTTCTTAAAACAAATGATCTTACTTCTTGATACTTCAGTTAATATTTACATTGGTTATTATATATTCTGATATAATAAATCAGGAAATAAAATGTTTTATTGATAAATATTTGTGATTTTATTTAGATTACATGATATATTCTGCATGGGATACAATTAATTTAGCTTGGTCCATGCAATTGCATGGTGTGTTATTATTTGCTGTGTTTAGTAAAATGCTTAGGCTTCTTACGTTTTTAACATATCTCTCTGTCGGCGATAATTCTGCAGTTGAACTGCTGAGTGTTCTTCTGGTAGATAGAGTAAAACTAGGAGCTTCTCTTATTTTTCTTTTTGATGCGCTTGCTATACAGCCCATTTACAATTTTATTAACTCCCCCCTCCCTCCGTGAGTGAACAAAAAAAATTTTGTTCACTCACGGAGGGGGGTTAATTTTTTTTTAAAAAAAAAAATTCTATATAAATTTTATAAAAAATAATTTTTTTTCGAAAATTAAAAAATCCTAATTCGCAAAAATTGGAAAGCAAATATTAATTTAATTTATAAAATTTATGTTTTAAAAAAGCAATTCGTTAAAAAATTAAACAGAATTAGCTCTAGATTTCATTATACTAATTATCATTTATATATAAAATTTTTTTTCCATAAAAAATTTTTGTTCACTCACGGAGGGTGGGTTTTTTTGGGCAAAAAATAGGGATTTTCTAATGGTTTTGTTCACTCAGGGAGGGGGGGGAGTAAGTACAAAATCACTGACATTTTTCTAAAGAGTAAAACTGATAATAATGAATTGCTAATATTCTAGCTCGACAGTAAAGCAAAGGAAATTTATTAATTTAGAAAATTATATAATAGGAAAGAATAGGCTTTCTGCAATTTTTTGTTATAAAAATATTATTCTAATTAAGCGGAGTAAGTATAAAATAGTCCTATTATATACATTAATAAAAGTAATTTTGGAATTTTTTAATGCTTATTTTTAAATTTTTTGATGATTATGATATAATTTAATATCTCTTTTCAAAGTTCTGAACAAATATCTAATAAATATAATAGAGAAAATAGATAGATAATATTGATTGATAATAATAAATGAATCCTCTCTTACTTCTCCGGTTGGTTAATGATAAAAATCATTAGAAATCCCTTTTTTAGCAAAAATAATGCCCTGCTAAAAATTATTTTAATATTTATTTTTTTGCTATGACTATATTTTAATGTTAATCTAATGATTATAATGATGAAATCTCTGATAAATTTAAGAAATTAATAAAATAAAATTTTTAATATATAATTTTGAAAATTGGCACCTTGACCATGGTTAATAATTTTTTGCTTACTGGGGGCAGGGTTAAGAAATATTCCAAAAGGTATCAAGATTGCCAGAAACCCAGCAGTTTGGGGATATGGATGGGGTCATACTGTAGTTGTGAATGTATTGTCTCTTCTATTTGGAGGTGTTTGCTTAACTCCTCAATTACAACAAAGTTATCATAATATTTTTAATTAATATTTTAATATCCAGAGCAAATTATTATAATTCCAGCTCACTTTGTAATAATAAAACATTTTTTGATAAGGAGTAAGTATTTGTTTTAATCAATTTCCAATTACAATCAGCGGATCAAAACAAGTGGATTATGAAGCAATCCCAGACCTAGCAACCGGGCAAATTCTTACTTTCCAGCGCACTAAGCTTAGATACATTGACTTTATCTAACCTAACTTAACTAGGCATCATTGGATTTAAGCCTCTTTAAAGATTTATCATTATTTCTTATTTCTCTCACTTTAATCTAATCTATTCCCTACCATCCTTATTTTCCCTCTAAACTAATTTATAATCCTAATTTTTTCCAAAAATTAATTCTACCCCACACCTATTTTTTTCCCCTCACTAATTTTTTTATATATTCCAAAAAACCCTCACCAATCCGAAGTTTCAGAAATGTCTATTCTGTTCATCCTTTATAATTATGGAAAAAGTCGCAGACAATAAACTTTCCACTTATTTTATCCCTCTGACTCAAGATCAAATCAAAAATGAAGATAAGAGCATTGACTATTACGAAGAGTTTTGTAAACTATTTGTATACAATTTATTACTAAAGCAAAAAGTTGAAGAGCTTGCAGTTGATAAAGAGCGCTTTCAGAAGAGGCTTGCAAGTCTAGAAGAAAGTTTATCAAATGGGAAGAAAAAAAGATATAGACGCACAGCTGATAAAATTGAAAGGCATTATACTTGCCAAGTATGTGGGAAATCTTATGGGTCAGAAGCTTCAGTGAACAACCATCTCAAACTTAAGCATTCTTCATAAATAATGAAATTATTGTAAAGGAACAAATGAAGGTATTTTAACTGTAATTGAGTTATTATGCTGTGTTATATTGAGTTATTTAATAAAGAATAAATTTATATTAGCTATTAGTCATCTAATTAAAAATAAATTGTATATGTTTTATTATTCTCAAATTTTACTTCAAATCTAAATAATAGTTAATATAGGTGACAAAACAAGATGTCCCAAAATTACCCTCGCTTAGCCTCAATCCAGGAAGAAAGTCTTGTCAAAACCTCAGTCCTCGTCCGTGGAATCTCCATCATTATGCTTCTATTTATTATTCCTCTTGAAGGTCTCTTAGAAAGCCGTTTAATAAGTTGAGGAAAGCACGTCGTATATGATTTTCAACAAGATAGAACTGATAATGGGAAAATGTTTTTTACAATAGTGTCATACCTTGGAGGTGACTGAACTTTAATTTTTATTTGTCCTGCAATTTATCATTTTTACGATGCCAGAAGAGGAATAAAATTGATTTTAATGATAAACTTTACGATGTATGTCACAAGTTTTCTCTCATTACTTTACAGAGAGCCAAGACCTTATTGGGAAGACAAAGATATTAAAGGCGTGCTCTGTCTGTCTGGATTTGCAAATCCTTCTTACCAAGTGATGCTGGGAACTGTTATTTATGTTTCTATCGCAATCGAAATTTTTCATAGAAGCAGATTTAGGATAATCGCTTATGGGATTGTAGTTATTATAGCTACAATGATTAGTATTGGCGGAGTCTATTTAGGAGAAATTTTTCCCCATCAAATTCTTATAACTTTGTGCTATTGCTTTATATATGTTACTGTCGCATTTGCGTTTGATAAAACTATGATGGATTTGTCATTGAAAAGCAGTTTTAATTATAAAACCAATAGGACGTATATTGTATTTTGATTCATAGGGACAATGATGTTGTTTTTAGGGGTTATTGGAGTTTTTCAAATAGTTACGCTGAATTCAACAGTCAATTTAAAATGGATAAGAAATGCTACTAAACACTGCTCATTAAATTACGACGTAAGCGGGGCATATTCATTTTATCATTCAGCATGAATTTTCTATAATTTTGGACTGGTGACTGGGGCTATGATTTCTTCAAAGAAAATTACCATGTTCTGGGGTTACACAAAGATATGGAAAAAAGTTATTAGGTTTCTTATCACAGCTGGGCTGTCAGTTGGGATTAAATTATTATTTAATCAAATTATCCTTTTAGTATTATTTTATTTATTTTCTAATCTATCATTATTAATGCCAAATTTATATATTTATGTATAATACTACAGAAGTGGTAACCGAATATATCTGAAAGCATGCCCTTCCATTATTTTTAATGTCATTTTTATATGCAGGACTCCTCCCCCGTTTTTTTGCCAAACTCCAGCTGCTTGTAAGCCTAGACCCTACAATTGATGAAGAAAATGAACTTAAATCCATTCATGAAAACGAAATGAAATTAATTTAATATGAGTAGTCATATTATTTTCCCTTAATTATAATTATGCTTTTTATTTAATAATAATCAATGTCGGAACAAAAACTTTGGGAAAAAATCTTGCAAGAGTCCTCCCAAAGAGATCAGCACCCTGAAGGCAACCTTATATTGGTCGGGAGAAGAGACTGCGGAGTAAAGCATTTCATATCGGTTGTGCAAAAAGGTCCAGGCTCGCTCGGTAAAAACTCAGTATATTCCCAACTTATAGCTCCAGATGATCCTATTCCTATCACTTCCCCAATTCACTATTCTCATATAAATGCAAAGAACATTGAAGATCCTCAATCTCTTAAGATATCTCGAATTAATATTTGAACATTAGATCATCCCCAATTAAAAGATCTTCTTGAATTTGCATTAAAGCCAAAACAACTCAATAAAGGTTTAATAAAAATTTTTTGATTTTTTTTAGGTAAAATTAATTATTTTTTAAAAAAAATTATTAACCTCAATAAAACTATATTTGGCATCGTTTTAGACTGATCACAGCCATGAACCTTCTTAGAAGACCTCCATCAGTGAATTGAAATTTGGCATGAAAAACTGGGAAAAGTTTTAAGCTCATTGCCACTCGACGACCAAGACCAAATGGTCCAGGGTGTTGAAAGATATATGAAAGCTTATAAAGACCCCTCTGAAGAAACAAAAGAAGAAAAAATTGACGAAGCGGTACAAGAAATACCACTTCCCGAAGGGGTATTACAGGTAAATTTAGGAGTTCCTATTGTCATTATTTGTTGTAAAAGTGATTTAATATGGTCTGTAGATAAAAGCCGAGACCAATGTGAGCGAATTTTGGATTTTACATTAAAATCATTAAGGGAGTTTGCAGTAACGTATGGAGCATCCATTATTTATACATCCTCAAAAACAGGAATCAATGTGAACACTTTTTACAATTACATTGTGCATAGGCTTTATGGGTTTAGGTTTACCCAAAAAGCCCAGATTATTGACAGAGAAAGCATTTTTATACCTGCAGGGTGGGATTCACCAAACTTGATAAGGGAAATGGACTATCTAGGCATATTAGAGAAACAGTTTAATGATTTATTGCCGAAACCGAGATATCGAGGGACGAAGAAAGAAGAAATCCCTTTTGTATCTGACCAAGATTTTCTACTCCCCCATGAGCATTTTCATATTAATTTTTTTTAACTTTATTTTATAAAAATACTTGTATTTATAAGATTTTTAAAAAAATTCGTTAAAATTAATAGTATTGTCAGCTTTTTAGGAAAAATGAAAAATCTCCTTTAAGGTTTAAGATACCTAATCAGACTTAGGCTATATAAGGTAGGTCTCCTAGACCATATTTTTTCTGGCCAGTGTTCTCTGTTGGGGTATAGCGATCTATTATGATGCATAAATTTATTTATTATTTAAAGTGTTAAAAAAAATTCGAAACTATTGCAATCACAATTAAATTATTTTTAATATTTAAGAAATACAAAAAATCATATGCAATCTTTTACAGCCAAGAAGCACCCCTTTTCTGAGTATATTCTCATAAAAATATTTGTTTCTGAACATATAATTATGTATAAATTCTTATAAAAAAAACATTTTTTCTTCTTAATAGTGCCTAAATCAATATAAGCTCTATATGGCGAGTTAGTGCAAGTCCAAGAAAGGCTTTCCAAGACAAGTAATGATAAAGCGAAGAATGTAGTAGATATCTTAAGGCCTGCAGGCATTTCTTTTAACACTTCTAGCGATAGTAACCCCGCTCCTGATAGTTCAAGTGATACTCAAGGAAGGAAGAACGAGAATCTAAAAATGTTTTATGAGATGCTACTGAAAAAAGGAAATAAAGAAGACTCTGAAGCCTAGCTATAGCATGATCTTTAATAAATATTATTCTGACACTTACTATCCTCTTTAAATTATTTGTTCGCTCTTAAAATGGGTTGGTTAATTTTTTTTAATAAATCTAAAATGCAAATATTAAAAAGAAAAATTTGTATTTGCCGATACAAGCTGTCTTAAAATTAATAGGATTAACTAGAGATTTTGCTATAAAAATTATTAATTATATATAAAAATGGAGTTAGCAAATTTCATTATAGCTTATTGCTCTATTTATCTTTTTTAATTCATTATAACACAGAATAATTCCTAGGCAATGCTTTTTTAAATAAATTGATTTAAATTTTTATTAAAATAATCCGATAAATTAAAACCTCTGTGCTTCCAGAGCTCTAGCAAATGCATCTGAAGGGTTCCACTTTTGGGCAGCCTTTTTTCTTTCCATAAGATTTTTAATAAAAGGTGTCTGGTCTTTTTCGTCTTCATCTTCTTCATAGTCTATTTGGATCTCTTTTTTAATTAAGTCTTCTACATATGGAGATTCCCCACAGGCTGTAAATCGCTTCATTCTTTTCCCTGGAGGGACGACTGTTTTTTTAGCAGTGACCCCTCTTTTAATTGGTAAAATTTCTTTGCTGTCTGAGTCTGTTTTTGACTCCGTCGAGTCATTTTCAATTTTAATTTTTTTCAGTGGTTTTGAATGTTCTGGAAGTTTTGTGGCTGTTTTAGCTGCAACTGGAGGGGTTTTTGAGACTATTTTAAGCTCAGGTTTGTTTATAATTTTAAGGTCAGGTTTTGAGGTAGTTTTAGGCTGAGGTTTTGAGATAGTTTTCGGCTCAGGTTTTGGAGGGTTAATCAGTTTGGGCTTGTCTTGAATAGGGGTTGCAATATTTGAGACTGAGTTAGCTCTGAAAATTATGGAATCGCTTAGAGGTCTAACTGAATTATGTTCAGGTTTCGCCTTAATATCTTTTTTAAACTTAATAGAAGATGATAAAACTGTCTCAATCGTTTTTGTTTTATCATTAGAGTTATCAGTCTCTTTCTGTTCTATCCCTTTAAACTTATTTCAATGATTTTCTAAGTGTTTTTGCAGCTCACAAGAGCATTTTCCTTTAAAGCTGCAGTCTTTTCACACACATGGGATTTGGTGTGGCTTGATAATATGCTTAATAAAAGTATTCATTGCAAAGCATTTAACTAAGCAGCTGGAGTATATACAAGAAAAGCCATTTTCATTTATAAAGTCTTCTTCTGTTTTATTATCTTTGGCTTTTTTTAAGACTTTCGAAATTTTGTTGATAATTTTTTCTTCTCTTCCTTTAGGAATTTTGGCTTCTTTGTTGTTTGATTTTTGAGTTTTGGATTTTCTACTTGGCTTTAAGGGTTCTGTATAAATAGTTAAAACGCTGTCTTCTACATCAGAATAAAGATACCATTCAAACTCTTCTAGCATTATAATTATTAACCCCCCTTAATAAATTAAATAGTAAATTAATACATTAAATATTTAATATTTAATATAAAATCCGTAACTCGTCTGATGATAATTAGATTGTTATAAGATTAAATTTAAAAAGTGCTAAAATGATAGAAAAAAATCAATGATGATGCTATCTTAATTTAATATTGATTGATATAATAATTGCCAGAGAATGGCGCTATTTGCTCCATTCTCTTGGCAATACTGAAAATCGGCTCCACACGGGAACGATTTTCCACGTGTGGAGCGATTTTTTCACACGAGGAAGTCAGGATTCTCACGTATGGAAAAAATGGCTCCACACGTGGAAAATCGTTCCCGTGTGGAGCCGATCCTCGGGCTTTTTCTATATATATGTTAATTCAAATGTGATGGATTATTCTTTAGCTTATTAATATTGTAATCTTAGAAAATTCTGAGGGTATACTTTTGAATTATAGAGGAATATTTAACTCCTGACTTTAAATTGATAAAAATAGATAATTTTTTTTTTTTCAATAAATTAATCTCCTTTTAATAATAAAATAATAGCTTCTATGGATCCCTAAATGGAAACTTATCTATTGCTTGTTCTCTTTAAATAAGGAGTGAGATTATTTGGAAGAATGCCAGCAATAGTCTTACTCTTCAATTAATTTCTTAATTATTTTGTCGAACTATTTAGATTAGATTATTAGATGGGTGTTTAGAGTCATCACTTCTCATTGGTGGCACTCTGTACGATAATAGCTGCATGGCTTCATAGCCGAAGTGGATGGCTTCCACCTCTGGTAACTCTAAGCCCAAGCCGAAACTCCTGGATTCTCGGCAGCAGTATTATTGGGTTAAAAATTTGCTGAGCAGCATCAAATCAGCAGATTTTGCTTAAATCCTCGCTGAAAGACACCAGATCTTGCTGGACTAACTTCTGACTCCAAAGCTATGCTTAGTTATACATGGCTACCGTTACATGAGAGGATGATTCGGGACACTATGGCTATTTTATGTATATATTTTGCCGAGTTAATTTTAATTAATAATTAAATGTATGCTCTATCTATCAATCACATTAATTTATATAAATAATTTTTACAAAAATTAAATTAGTGAGTGTATTTTTGAATTCTCTAATGAATATTATAAAAATCCTATATAAAAAATTAATTATTTTTTAATTAAACTGAATCTTAGGGTTCAGGTCAAATGACTTTGCCTTTTTGATAGTGTCCATTTCACCGAAAATTTTTGATAGTGAGACATTTGACCGAAAAAAAAAAGTTAATTTTCGGCAAAATATCGCTTTATAAAAAAATTTTCGACCAAATGGATTTCGATGAAATGTACACTGTCAAAAATCCACGGTCATATGGCATGGAGCCGAATCTTAAATTTGAGCTATTTTTTATATTAAATCTTATATATATATAAAAATACACTTCAATTCAAAATCCTATAATATAATTGTTTCTAAAAAACAAAAAATAACTGCTAATATATTATCGTCAAAATATAAATCATAAAACCAAAACAAAAATAAATTTATTAAATTTATCAGATCACCTATTAAAAAAATACATATAATCTGTAAATAAATGGGAAACACAATACAAGACCAAGATAGTGAAGAGTGCCAAATTCAGAAAAATCTCTTCAATTTTGAATGCCCAATAGGCCGTGGAGGTTATGGAAAGGTTTGAAAAGTAGAATTAAAAAAAACAAAGCAATGCTTTGCTATGAAAGAAATGAGCAAATTCAGGGTTATAAGGAAAAAAAGTGTATCCTCAATTCTTAATGAAAGAAAATTGCTTTCAATAATAAAGCACCCTTTTGTAGTAAATATGCAATACGCATTTCAAGATAAAGAAAATTTATATCTCGTCATGGATCTTATGACAGGCGGAGACCTTAGATATCACATTTGTAAGACTAGAAGGTTCACTGAAAGTCAAGCTAAGTTTTTCACTGTGTATTTATTTCTTTTTTTTTCAATTTAATTTTACTACAAAATAATACTATTTTTCCTATAGAATTTTTTTTAGAAAAAATTATTTTTTTAAATTTATGAGCCGTTTTCACAGCCTGTATTTTTAGTGGGCTTGAATATTTGCATGTATTAGGAATAATACATAGGGACATTAAACCTGAAAATTTAGTTTTCGATAAAAAGGGATATTTAAGGATAACAGATTTTGGCATAGCAAGACTGATCTCGTCTGACAACTCAAAAGAAACCTCTGGGACGCCAGGCTATATGGCTCCAGAAGTTATGTGTAAGCGTAATCATGGAATTGCTGTTGATTATTTTGCTTTAGGAGTTATTGTTTATGAATTGATGATGGGAAAGCGGCCATACACAGGAAGAAATAGAAATGATATAAAAGAACAGGCACTTTCTAAACAAATTCTGCTTAAAAAATCAGATTTGCCAGCAGGCTGGTCAATAGAGTCCGCAGATTTTGTCAATAAACTTCTACAAAGGAAGCCTGAAAATAGGCTAGGGACAAATGGTCCTTCAGAAGTAAAAAATCACGTATGGCTGAGTGATGTCCAGTGGTCTAGCTTGTTTGCGAAAACCTTGGTATCTCCATTTATCCCGTCAAATTCTGAAAATTTTAATGCTTCAAGTCAATTCGATTTTAAAGAAGAACTTGATGGATTCATTCCATTAGACTCAATTGATGAAATATTCAAAGGCTATTTTTATAATCAGCATAGTGGAGAGTATAAACCTGAGACTACTCAGTCATTTCGAGGTAAAAACCGTTCATGACTGTAATTTAATAATTATACCATGCTATTAACTTATGAATTTTATTTAAAATATATTTAAAAATTGAGGATATTCAGAGGAAATTATATAAATTTTCCATAAATATGACTAAAAGGTGAAATTTTTACTCCCTCTATGAACGAACCAAAAAGTTTTCTTTGTTCATAGAGGGAGGTTAATTTCTTTTAAAATATATATATTAAAATATTGTTTCTCGAAATTTAAAATAATGGCAATTAATTTGTAAAATTTGTGTGTTAAAAATGCGAGCTATTTAAAATTAACAAATTAGCTATATATTTTATTATAATAATTATCTTATATATATCAAAATATTTTTCATAAGAGCTTCGTTATATCAAAAAAAAATTTTTGTTAGCTAACTCCCCCCCCATACTTGATCGAACGATTGACTGTAAAAATTCCTAAAAATTGGGGAAATTAACCCCCATCCTTGATCAACGATTTTCATATCATGACAATTTTTATATATATATAAATATATTAGTTATCAAAAGCTTGGGAAGATGTACATAATGAAATTGTTTTTTCAGAGATTTTAAGACGACAGAAAGCTTCGGAAATCAACCATCCGAAGTGATTTAGTCATCAACCTAGGCTTAAAAACTCAATAATCTAATAAAATAGACATTCTTTAAAATTTTTTTAAAAAAAATTAATTTAATAAGGAACAAATTAAAATTTATACAGTTTAAAGGGGTAACTAATAAATCAAAATAATAAAAATTGGTATTTTTATGATTTTTTGCTGTAAAAAAATTATTAAATGCTCTTAACCCTCTTATTTAAAAGTAAATAAAAAATATATATATATATTTTTTATTTTATATATAAATTTTTTTTTCCCAAAAAATTTTTTTTTTAACCCTCATCCTTAATCGAACGATGGCGAGTCGTTCGATCAAGGATGGGGGGGGATTAAAGGTTTTTTTTCGTTCGGTGGAGTTAGGGTTCTACTTCAAAAAAGAAAATTAACGATCCCTAAGAAGCTAATACAGAGCATATTATGATTGCAAGGCCCTAATGATGCCAAAATAATACTTTCTCAAGGCAGGTGGTATCTTCAATCAACAGCTCTGGAAGAATACCTTCTATAATTTCTCAGATCCCGATATCATCTAATAAACTCCAATTATATGTAAACAACCAAATATAAATAAAAGCAAATCAATTCCATTCAAAATTGCCAGTGGCTAACCCAAAAACACTCTAAAGTATCAATTTTGCTCTCTTTTTCTTACCGGGAGTATTGAATTTTCAACTATCTAAAAATCAATCTATTTTGGTCAATTGACTTAGACTTTAATTATTAAATATAGAGAGTCGAATTTCTAGTCTCCAGACCCACAATTCTTCTCGTATATTTTAATTATACTTGATTTCACATGATTCGTAATACCAAGTGAAGTAGGGAAGCAAAAGCCCTGGGTTTTAAGCCTGAACTCTTGTCCTTATGGGGACTTATTCCTATAAGCTATCCACTTACTCCGTGGCGGAGGCTGAGGCCAAGAGGATACCTGACAGACTCAGGTGAGTTGCCTTAGCTTAAAAAAGAGAGTTCAAACCCAAACTTCAAGACTGGCGCTTATATCTATCGAGGACAAATTGGCTGAGCATGGGAAATTGAGTAACGTCTTCTAGAGCTCTTATAGGTACCCGTTGAATCAGCTATCTAGAATTTAAAAGTTATTTATTCTATCCCTTTCCCCAAAGGTCTAATTGTATCTTGATTTAAACTAGATCCCTTCACAAACCCAGTTTGAGTAATTTCACACCCAACAAGCCCTTCTCTCTGTAAATCTTCAGGCAAACTTGCCACTTTGAAGAACTTCAAGACGCCAAAAACGATAATTGCCCAGAAAGCAGACCATCCGAATATCACGAAAACCCCTACAACTTGTGTAGAAAGAGTATGACCTTCAGTGCCTTCCCAGAAGACTCCATAAGTATCTGTAATAAACCCAGGCAAAAATCCTCCAATAAACCCAGGGAACAAGAAAGTGGCTGTAATGTGCATAGGGTTATCGATTTTCAAGATCCTGTGGAAATGGACGCCTAAGAAAAAGACGATCCCAGCCATAATTCCACAAATTCCAGCTTGCCAAGGAGTTGTGTCAAACGCGGAAGAAGAAATAAGGACCTCTCCAGCAATGAAGCCTTGGAAAACTGAGATGTAATGAGATTCAAGGTCTCTTCTGGTAAAAGTGTAGAGCTTTAAGGCTTAGTTGGTGTTAATTAACTATTTTGATCGTTCTTATGAAGTATAAGAGATATGGCATGTTGAATGAAATGAAGAATCTGCATGCAATTAAAAGATAAATAAAATGGCATTCGGTTCGAGAGAAATTAGCTTTGCTAATTTTCTCTCCTTCATGGAATTTTATTTTATAGGGTTAGGTTTTCACTCGAGAACTTCTGGACAGCAATAGCGGTTTAACTCTGGGGATAACCAGAGGAACTGCTCCTCAGTCCTCTCAAGATTTCGGGCTTTTACCTCTCAGCACATCTCCATGGGAAGATGACCCTTAGGCGGAACACGCACAGGAGCTGAGTCGAGATAAGGGCGACTGCATCGCACCGGGAGAGACGTGCAGCAAGGCTGGTGAGCCAGGAGTTGATAGAAGGCTTGGCCAGGGCTGACCTGTTCCAAGATGGCTCGCCTACGTCACTAGTTTTGCCATAGGCTCTTTTTGGGCCGCGGCACTAGACACCTTAAACACCAGATAATTAAGTTAAGTTAAGTATGTAATTAAAAGGAAAGAGCAGTGTTTTATAGCAATAAGAAAGCATTATATCTGGCAGGTAACTCATAATAAGAGAAAAAAATCATTAAACTTAATAGTGCAAATTTTTTTTATGGAGGTTTAGAATCTTCTAATTTTGTGAAATAAAAAAAATTTTCACTGTTAAATTTATAATGTTTGTTTTTACTCCTTATTATGCCATTTTATTATTATGTAAAGCGCTTAAAGGCAACTATAGAAGACATGCCTCCACAAATCCAAGTATTTACTTCAGCCATCCCAAATGATGAAACATTAGACCCTCCAGTCATGTTCATCCCGAAAACTCCTAATATTGTAAGAGTAGCTCCAATTGTATAGAAAGCGTAATTTGTCATTCTAAAAGGCTCTCTCACTTGGCTTCCATCATATTTTCCAGCTCTCTTGCCACAAATTATGGCTCCAACTAGTGCAAAAGTGCCTGCAAATATGTAATCTGTTTGATTTTTTTAATAAATATATAGATTTTTACTAACACCTAATGAGTATTTATTATAAATAATGATAAATTGTAATTGCACCACCACCGTCAATCAAGTTATTTTCATCGCCAACCTCACCCATGAGCCAGCCCCAGCCCCATCCCCAGGCTACAATAACAGGCCACACCCAAACTATAACCCACCATGCAACAAATGGGTAAACGATATAGTGTGCTCTTTCCATAATCGCGCCATTGATTATGAAAAGAATGAAAAATCCTACAAGAGCTGAATAAGCTGCTGTGATTCCATGGGATCTTTTCTTGTCAAGAAGCCAATCCTCACCTCCAAAGTACGTTTCTCCTATGAAATTGCTATGATCTCCTGCATTTCCCCATGCAAATGCAAAACCAATCAACCACCAGGCTACAATACCAACTGAGAATTGGATTCAATTTTTGAACAAAATGTAATCAGCAAAATTTTTACGGGCAAGGCCGTATTCCATCATTGTGAGGCCAATCTAAGTAGGATTTACCAAGCCTAAATATACGAGAGAGTCAGATGTCCCTACGAGAATTGTCGGTGCCGACATTTAAAATTTATGGTCATATTTAGTTGGAAACCGTTTATGGCCGCGTTAATATTTTGGTATAACTACAGCGAGAAAGGGTTTTTAAAGATTAGGAAAATTAATTCCAAGGAATTAAAAGCTTGAATTAGTTCAGTATTATATTTATTTCAAAAATTTTTCAAATTTTTGAAAATGAAATTTTGACAATTATTAACTCTTTCCTTAGTGGCAGAAAGTCAATAGAAATCCCGCCCATGTGAGAGGAATTTTTTTTTAAATTATATTTTATTATAAAATAATTTCTAACTAATTATGTTGAATTTTAAGCAGCTTTAGTCTAAAAATAGATTTTCCAAATTAAATTAATTTTTAGTTTCCAATTAGGATTTTTTCAAAATTTGAAAAAAAATAACTCCCCTTCATAAGCGAGCAATATTTTTTGCTTGCTACAGAGGGAGTAAGCAAATCTAGAAACTTCGACTTTTGATGAGAAATACTCATAAGGTTTAAGAAATTTAAAAAGTTAATCTTATGATGCTTTTACCATTTCTGCTTCGATTCTTTGTCCTCCTCCTAAGACGAATCCTTCTTGTGCAATATCACAGTTTTCTAACTTTTTTTTTTAGATTTTTTAAAAATATTTTTTAATATTTATTTTTTGCATTTTTTTTTCAAAATATCCATTCTGGAGTAATGATGCCTTTTGTATCTCGTCTGAGAGTCTGTGCTTTTTAAGGAACTTTAGAATTCCAAAAGTAATAATAGCCCAGAAAGCTGACCATCCAAAAATTACACAAACACCAACAACTTGAGTTGAGAGGGTATGCCCTTCAGTTCCTTCCCAGAAGACTCCATATGAATCAGTTATAAATCCAGGTAAAAATCCTCCAATAAGGCCTGGGAAGAAGAATGTTCCAGTGATATTCATAGGATCATCAATTTTGAACATTTCACAACACTTAACACCTAAATCACCCTTACGATTACAATACAAAGTATTATTGGAGAAGGAGTTTTTCTATGTTAATGACAATTTTAAGCTAATTTTGTATGATATTGGCATTCTAATAAGAAATTTAATTAAAAAATTATCAAATTTCTGAAAAAGACCTTTAAAAATAATTTGCTCAACCTAAACGGGTTAAGAAGAAGGCAATTCCAGCCATGAGTCCACAAATTCCTGATTGCCAAGGAGTGGTATCAAAAGCAGAAGAAGAAATAAGTACTTGCCCAGCAATGAATCCTTGGAATACAGAAATGTAATGGATTCTCAAGTCTCTATGTCCCAAAGTAAGAAGTTTAAGAGCAACAATTGAAGAGGCGCCTCCACAAATCCAAGTATTTACTTCTGCAATGCCAAAAGCATTAGCTGTTTCGGTTTGAGCATAAATAAAATGGCATTCGGTTCGAGTGAAATTAGCTCCGCTAATTTTCTCTCCCCTCAAGCAATTTTATTTATTGGTAGGTTTTCTTCTGAGAACTTCTGTACAGCAATAGCAGTTTAACTCTGGCAGATAAGCCGAGGCACTGCTCCAAGTACATCAAGAGGCTCGAAGTTTTACCTCTCAGCACACCCGAGGAAGGTGACCCTTAGGCGGAACACGCCCAAGAGCTGAGTCAAGGAAGAAAGAGGCAACGCAGCCCGTCGAAGCCGGAACGCTGTATTTGTCCCCTCTCCTGATGTAACAAAGTGGATCGATTTAGAGTTCCATAGGCTCGACTAGAATAAATATGGTGGCAGCTCTGGAAATGGCTACCCCGTAGTGGACGTTAAACGCTATAGATAATTAAGTAAGTAAGTTTCGGTTTGAGCAATGTTAATGGACCAGACGCCCAAAATAGTCAGTAAAGCTCCAATGACATAAATTGGGTAGTGAGTCATTTCAAACCCGCTTTGGACGTGCTCTTGGTCAAATCTCCCAACTCTTTTTCCAATGATAATAGCGCCTACAAGGGCGAAAGTACCAGCGAAAATATAGATGGTGATTGCTCCACCGTAGTCAATTATATACAATTTTATTAATTAGGCGGATTTTAACTATTTTTTATATTATTTAATATATAATTTTATGAGGTATAGGTTGTTTTCATCTCCAACTTCTCCCATAAGCCAGCCCCAGCCCCATCCCCAGGCTACAACTACTGGCCAAATCCAAACCATAACCCACCAAGCTAGGAATGGGTAGACCCAGTAGTGCGCTCTTTCCATGATAGCTCCATTGATAATAAATATCACAAAGAAGCCTATCAAAGCGAAATAGGAAGCACAGGCGCCATGGTTACTAATCCTGTCGAGAAGCCAATCTTCGCCTCCAAAATACTTCTCACCAATAAAGTTGCTGTGATTTCCAGCATTACCAAAGGAAAAGGCATAGCCAATAAGCCACCATGCCACAATACCTACAGAAAATTGGACCCAATTTTTGAACATGAGATGATTTCCAAATCCTTTCCTTGAAAGGCCGTATTCCATCAATGTGAGACCAATCTAAGTAAGGCTTACAAGTCCTAACCCTATTAAGAAATTGGAAAATTCATATTTTTGGGAAATTGAACAGCGAGGTAAAAAATGTATTAACTCCCCCCCCCTCCGTGAGTGAACAAAAAAAATTTTGTTCACTTACGGAGGGGGGTTTAATTTTTTTTTTTTTAAAAAAAATTTATATATAAATTTTATAAAAAATATTTTTTTTTCGAAATTTAAAAAAATCCTAATTCACAAAAATTGGAAAGCAAATATTAATTCAATTTGCAAAATTTTGTTTTTTAAAAGCAATTCGTTTAAAATTAAACAGAATTAGCTCTAGATTTAATTATACTAATTATCATTTATATATCAAAATTTTTTTCCATAAAAAATTTTTGTTCACTCACGGAGGGTGGGTTTTTTTGGGCAAAAAATAGCGATTTTTCTAATGGTTTTGTTCACTCACGGAGGGGGGGGAGTAAGTATAAAATATTTAATATGTAATAAATGATTATTATAATGAAATCTATTAAATGCATAAAATTTTATTAATTTAAATTAGACATTTCTTTTAAATTAATTACAAATAGGATTTTTAAACCTGAAAATTAAATGTTATAACCCTTTTGAAAAGAGGGAGTAAGAATACTAAAGAGTCTCCGCTGCCATACCAATGGAGCGGGCAGTTCATAGTTCAATCAGCGCTTGACATTTAATATTATGGATGAAATTTTCGCTTCTAGAAACTATGGAATTTAAATCATACTGGGCGCCAGTTACTCATATGATTTTTCCTAACTAGATTTTTAAGGATTTTGAAAATTGTTCTAGCTTAATTAAAGCTAATTAGTCAAGCCAAGCTCATTAAAAAATATTTTAACAAAATAAGCCGCCTATAATTAGGGTTCAAAATTCAAGGATAATTAATGGTATATAGAGCAAATTTAATTCAAAATAGGTTCTCATGTTGTTTTTTGAGCAAATAAAATTTTTACTACAAGGCTTATTTGAAAGAAAGAAAGAATGATTTACTAGGCAAAAATAAGAGTATGATAGTCATGAATTTTTAAATTAAATAAATAAATAATAATTTTTATAGCTCACGCACCTTAATAGATTTCTATATAGGCGATTTGAGATAGATGGTTGAAATTGCTTCGCCATTCATTGCTAAATAAGTGATCTAAATAGCCCTGATTAGCGAAGATTATAGTAAAATAGTTTAAATTTTAACTAAAACTAAGTTAAAAGGGAATGGAACTCTTTAAGAAATACAATTTAATTAGAAGTGCATAGCAGTGCCTTTATCATGGTTTCCGGAAGCTTGAGACAATAAAATCTAACTATTTCTTGCCTCATGAGCAACAATTTTTTTACATCAGTCTTTGCCGATAAACTTATTCGACAAACCAATTAAAAATGAAAAATGGAACTTTAGACTAAATTCCTACAGAATATGTCCCTTTTGATGAGATCTAACTCCCCCCCCCCCTCCGTGAGCGAACAAAACCATTAGAAAAATCGCCATTTTTTGACCAAAAACCACCCTCCGTGAGTGAACAAAAATTTTTTTAATAGAAAAAATTTTAATGGAAAAAAAATTTTGATATATAAGTGATAATTAGTATAATGAAATCTAGAGCTAATTCTGTTTAATTTTAAACAAATTGCGTTTTAAAAACATAAATTTTGCAAATTAAATTAATATTTGCTTCCCAATTTTTGCAAATTAGGATTTTTTTAAATTTTCGAAAAAAATATTTTTTATAAAATTTATATATAAATTGTTTTTAAAAAAAAAAATTAACCCCCCCTCCGTGAGCGAACAAAATTTTTTTTGTTCGCTCACGGAGGGGGGGGGGGGAGTAAGAAAATTAAATCACAGTTAATGCAATTTCTTATTTGACATAAGACAATTATCTCAATGTCTATCGTTATTCAATTTTAAATGATTAAAAAAGCTATTTTTATAGAAGTTTTTAATGAAACTTGAACCATAAGCATAACTTTAGAAGTTTTTCAATGAAACTTGAACTATAAGCATAACTTTGCGAGTATTTCTTGCTGCCTAAAAAAAATGTTCCGACTAATGATTTTTAAATTTTTAACTTTCTCTTATTTCATTTCTCAATATTTATGATATTTTTTTAAAAGCCTAAAAAAACAAATTTTTATAGAAGTTTTTTGAATAAATTTGAAAAATAGTATTACTTTAAAGGTGTTTCTTACTGTCTAAAAAAGTTGATTTTTAAATTTTTAACTTCCTCTTATCTCATTTATTCACTTTTATGAATTTTTTCTAAACGTCAAAAAACGTTTTTCGATGAAATTTGAATTATAAGCATATATTTGCAGCTATTTCTTGCTTACTAAAAAAGTTTGTTCTGGCTCTTGATTTTTAAAGCCTCAATATCGCAATCCATATTTAAAATTTAAATAAGGACCCCCCTTCTCATTTGTCGAATTTTCTAGTCTTTTTTTTTATAAGAAATTTTTTTTTTTCAGGACCTCATTTGTCCCAAAATCTAGTCAAAAATGATTTGTCCAATTTTCTAGTCTTTTTTGCATTTTTTTCGAATGCCCTAAATTCTAGTTTTTTACTTTAAAAAAACTAGAAAATGAGACAATTGAGGTCCTGAAAATTTTTTTTCTCTATCAAAATTTTTTTGTCAAATAAATTGGCTTGGCAAAGTCGGATGAAAAATGGAGCGAACATAACAGATCCCGGGCTCATGAGACAAGAAATAGTTAGATTTTATTGTCTCAAGCTTCCGGAAACCATGATAAAGGCACTGCTATGCACTTCTAATTAAATTGTATTTCTTAAAGAGTTCCATTCTTTTTTAACTTAGTTTTAGTTAAAATTTAAACTATTTTACTATAATCCTCGCTAATCAGGGTTATTTAGATCACTTATTTAACAATTAATGACGAAGCACTCCAACTGTCTATCTCAAATCGCCTATACAGAAATCTATTAAGGTGCGTAAGCTATATTTTTATTAGGAAAACTAATTAAAGATATGGGTTTGCTAAAATAAATTATTTAATTTTTTACAATTGAATTTAAGAACAAAGTAGAAAATTTTGCTTGAAATAATAATAGGTCAACATATTTTTATAAAATCCCACGAAAATGGGCTCAGAGTATGAAGAAGAAGATTTTCTTACAGAAGCAGAAAGAAAAGCTAAACGAAAATTTCTAACTTGCCCTAAAAGCGTTTTTGTCTATAAATAAATAAATTATAAGATTATTTTTGGTGAAATTTAAGTAATTTAAAAAGAAATGATTTAATTATATTTCTATACAAAATATTACGGAGGGGGATAAGAGAAGAAATACTTGATATGCATTACGATCAAGAATTATTCACATGGTTTTTCGAGTCTAAAGAAAAAGGAGATATCGATGATTGAACTTTTGATGATCTTCAGCTTTGTGTAAGACAATTTAAGCTACTATATAGGCCAGGACAGAGCTTAGAAGATATAGAAAATCAAGCCAAAAAAGAAGAAGAAAGCAAAAATAAATCTCGCCAAATTGTCCCATCACCCAAAAATCAGTCTGCAAAGGACTCTGAAGAAAAGAAATCAGAAATTGACTACTCTATACAGCCTCATACCCCAAAGACTAACTTCAGCGATTCCTCAAACCCACAGGTCGAAAAATTGCCCACAGCCATGAATGAAAACTCAAAAAATTCTGAAGAAATAAATCAGCCTGAAAATGACCCAGAATTTGATGCAGATATTCTTGTCTGCCAAGACGAAGACCCTCGGCATTCAGAAGAAAAATTTTATGAAATCTCGTGCAGGCAGCTCCCTGAAACTGAATTATCACAATATGACAATTTAGAAATCGATATTTCCTTCCCTGAATTAGTCCAAGGAGGGTTATTTTCACCACAATACCTTGTCTACACAATAAAGACTTCTCCTTTTCAATGGTCTGTGAAGCGTAGATATACCGATTTTATTTGGCTCAGAGAAGTGATGCTGCTAGAAATCCCAGGGAATTTTATCCCTCCTGTGCAACAAAAAAAGATCAAAGAAAATATTGACGAAGAAAAAACAATAAAGCGGCAAATGATCCTCAAAAGATTTATAAAAACTTTAATCCGAAACCCATTAACCAGAAAATCAGCCCATTTATTAGAATTTTTAAAAGATGAAAACGCGAAAGGATTTCAAAATTATCGAAAACAGGCAAGCAAGGCAAAAAAAATTGAAAATATAAATCAATTTGTGTCTTTAGATGGGAAGCTTAAATGCAGCACTTCTCAAAGGAAAATGGAAATACAAAAATTAAATGAATATATAATGTCATCTGAAGCACTCAAAAAAAGAATAAAAAAACAAGGGATGTCTGTAATGGAAGACCTTAACAGACTTTCAGAGAGCTTAAACGGCTATGCAGAGCTACTGAAGCAGTTTGCCTCAATACAAGAAATTTTACCTTATAATTTGGGAAATAAAGATTTGTATTTGCACCTGCACCAGGCTATTTCAAATTGGTCAAAACATGAGCAGGAAAAAATTTCTGATATAAATGAATATTTTATGATGCATTTTAAGTTTATGTATAAAGAGCTGGATGCGTTAAAAAGCTTTTGAAGGAAACTTATATATTATATATTTGGTTTCTTATCAGAACGATCGAGCTCACCTTAGACGTAGTCAGGTGACGTCTCAGCTACTCACGGATTTGCTGTACGGTCCCCTTTCTCCAGGTTCCCAGGGTCCTCCTCTCCGGTTGCTGCCGATAGCACATCGCGGCTTGTGTTTTAGAGGGCATAGGTTTTGGACATATTTACCACTTGCCCATCTTAGCCTTCACTGATTCTGCTCCAACAGTTTGTCTTGACCCTTAGCAGGACACTCACGGCCAGGCATCACTGCAGGAAGAAGTCTTTAGCCGAGAAAACCCACCTACAGAAGGTGAGCTTTTGAAGGAAACAGAGCAGAATGAAATGAATTTTATGAAAAACGCAAATAGAAAAGCCAAGGATATTGAAAATATCAGGGCGCTTTATGGGAATTCTATCACTCAGTGTTTAAGTGAAGGAGAGCGTGTCATTTTGGACAGCGCCTGGCTAAGCAATATACATTTCTGGGAAATGGCAAGGCATCAAGCTGATAATACAATCCAATATCATCTAATTTGGGGATTCCTTATGGCGAAATTACTTGAAACTAGGCATGAAAAAATCCCTGAGAGGCCAAATATTCCACAAGGTAAGAAAAATACTTAATTATATTTTTTTTGATTAATTAATATAAATTTTAAAAAATATAAAAAATAATTATTTTATTATAGGCAAATCAATGAAAATAGGAATAAAATTACATTTATTTCTAAATTTTTTTATTAATAAAGATCCAGATGAGACTTGTAATCCAAAGGGTGCTATCCGGATCTGTTACCTCAGAAGGAGTCGTTACAGGAGCTATTGGCCCTGGCATTATGGTCTTACTTGGAATCTCTAGAGATGATACTGAAGAAATTACAAGGCAAATGGCTAGAAAACTCTTAAATATTCGTATATGGGCAGATGGAGATAAAGCCTGAACCCTCAATGTTATGCAAAAAAATTACGAAGTTTTGGTGGTTTCCCAATTCACTCTTTATGCAGTAATGAAAGGCAATAGGCCAGACTTTCATAATGCAATGGCAAATGAAGACGCAAGAAATTTATATGAATTATTTGTACAGGAACTGAGAAATGTATATGGGCCGGAGAAAATTCAAACTGGTGCCTTTGGGCAGTATATGAATATTTCACTATTGAATGATGGGCCAGTCACAATTAATATTGAATCAAAAAGTAATAGTCAGTAATACAGTTTATTATTCCTTTAATTTTTATATAATAAGAATCGATATAAAATCCCAAAAATCCATATTGTAAGTTTACTGGCATAGCTGATTGTTAAAAAAGAAAACATCCAATAATTAATTAATAAAAATTTATACTAAAGTAAAATGCACCCCTTGCAAGCTGCACAAGTCGAACCTTGTCCTGGTCCAGACAAGCCTGCATTGGTTTCTCTATTTTCAATTTCTTTTTCATGACTTTTCATATTTGGTTTAATTTCTTTCATAAATGATCTCGGCGGAGTCGTCTGAACTTCAGAGCTTACATCAAGTAAATCTTCATCAGAGCTTGATTCTTCAGAATCAATATTAGAATCCTTACCCCTTCATATTACAATTACAAATATTTATATTCCATACTATTTTTTTTAATTTTATCATATATAGGAAAGATAGGATCCACAAACTTTTTTTGAGCTGCATCAAAATCAGCCAGTCATTTTAGTTTGTCTCCTTTTGACGTTGAATCTACAGGTGAGGTCGGATCTGCAATAGTATTTGATTTTGGCCTAGAAGTATATACTTCAACAGATAATTGTTTGTGCTGCTCATTATTTTGCACAGATTTTTGCTGGAAATTAGTTTCTACTTGGTAAGGGACAGTCCCACTTCGATTTCTCTGGTTTTTTATATCACTTGTATCCTTGGAAATAAATTTTTTATCCTTGACTTTGTTGTCGTTTATACCTGGAGCTTCATCAATAAGTAAATCAAAATCTTTGGTGCTTGTGATTATTGTTGATTGGCTGAGAATATCATAGGTGTCTTCTTCATCTCCTGAGCCTTTGCATACGATAACTCTCTTAGGCTGAATTTTTGGTAAAAATTGTGGCTCATTGTGGACTTTTTGAAGAGAAACGTCACTTTCTTGGAACTTATTATCAATATGTAGAGTAGCTGCTGTATGAGACCTTATTTTATTGATGTGGTCAAGGCTCATACTTACACATATCATAGCAGATTTGTCTGAGCAGCCTTTTAATGGGAGCTCTAGTTTTTCTGCGTTAATTCCGAAATTATTTGCAAGATCAGAAAAATCATACTCAGCTTTTCCGATAGTAATAGATTTTTCTCCTTGGAGCTCTATAGATGAAAACTTCATTTGGATCTTATTAGCATTCAATTTTTCTTTCAAATGGATTTGGCCTTCAAATATTTAGAAAAGCAAAGGGCTTATTTTGGCTTATAAAGATAACAAATTATAATGATGATGTAGTGAGAAGGCATATCCTCTTAAAACTTGTAGCTGATGCCCCGAAATAGGGCTGAAACCTGGTGAAAGGGAAAAGGAGTCCATGAATGTGTATCAAGCCTGGCTTCGGCTTAGCTATAACACTGGGCCGGCCAGAGCTTATATCCAGGTTGGACTTTTCCCCATGGGGAGATAGAACTTGGATATGTAAAACGGAAGCTCAGTTTGTGATAGAGGAGTTTATAACCAATCGATGCGCGGTGGCCAATCCCCAGTCCAGAAAAAGCAACAAATTTAAAGCTGTGTGCGGACTGGCGAGAAGTGCAATAATCTTCGGGCTGGGGATTTCTCGATTACCCAAGTAAGTTAAGATTCATATATAACTTTCTTCGATGAAATCAAGGAGTTTATACATTTTTCTTACAAATAAATGGCCTATAGCGATCTAAAATAGTGATAAACCCATATAAGTTTAAAGCTAATAATTTTCCTAACATATTTTTCGCTTTTCTTGTGCATTGTGATCTCAAATGATAAGGGATACTCAAAAATTACATTAGAACGGATAGAATCATATTGCATTGGTTGTGTTTCTTCAAGCCCTCGTCCTCTTTTAGCAAGAACTTTTAGCTTTTCCTTATTAGTTAGTTTGGCATTCACATAATGGATGTTTACATTTAACTCGTATTTTACCTTTTCTGCTCCTATTTTTTGCAAGAATGCCATTATTTATTTCAACTATTGTCACTTTATACAATTAAATAGTGGGCACAAGATTTTTAGGAAATTGCTATATAAGGATAATCATAAGAAAACTTATTTTAGCTTTATATCTTAATAAAAGATACTAATATTAATAACAATTGTGATATTGCCATAAATATTTGTATAATTTAATTTAATTTTTTACTCCCCCACAAAACCATTGGAAAAATTCATATTTTTGGGTAAAAAAACTACCCTCCTTGAGCGAACAAAAAAAATTTTTTAACATAAATTTTTTATGAAAAAAATATTTTAATATCAAGTGAAAATTATGATATGAAATCTGTTTAATTGAAAACAGCTTGCATTTTAAAACATAAAATTCCGAATTGAATTATAATTACTTTACAATTTTAGCGAATTGGCTTTTTTTTAAATTTCAAAAAGAAATTTACTATAAAAATTATATATAAATCCCCCTCCGCGATTGAACAAAATTTTTTTGTTCGCTCACAGAGGGGGGAAGTAAGGAATTTATGTACTTGCTTTGTCGATAAAACTTTAGATAATTTGCAATTTTGAATAATTAATTATACGAAATTTATTTAAAATGATTAAGCATATAGTAATAATCAATATTATTTATGAGATATGGCAATCAATAAATAATTATACTCCACGAGTAGCTATGGCTCGATCCAGACTCCCCCCTAATCCCCCTTGACGGTTTCGTTTTAAATAAAACAGGAAAAAGAAATGAAAATTCATCATTTAAAATTGATGAGTCAAAATTGATTCTTCCTGTTTCATCTAAACTGAAACTATCAGGGGGAGGGAGGAGGAGTCTAGACCGATTCATAGCCGTGCTTGCTCTATATATAAATAAGATTAAAAAATATGAAAATTTTTCATTTTCGTTAATTGTGAATGGAAAATATACCAATATTTTGGCAAAACATAAGAAGCGCCAATGTTTAACATTCAAAAATCAAATACATTGACAATAAAAGATATTTTGATTGGCAGTGCCACCCCAGTTGTTTATACAAAATCAAGCAGCAAGCCCATAACCCGGCCTTCAACCAGTGTAAGGTCAAGACCTCAATCAAGATTTTCCGATAGCTCCAAAAATAACACCACAACTTTTATCACAAATACAATGAAATCTTTGATTAATAAGCCTTCTCAACGACATAAAAAAAATTTAACGACTTCAAATCATTATTTTAGAGATATCCAAACCGGCAAAAAATGATTTGAAAGACTTGATATGCCTGAAGTCCCTATGCTATTTTCACATCCTAAAAAATCACGTATTATCAAAATTTATGAAAAATCCAAAACTGCGAATTTGTCAGGAAAATTAAAAATTTTTGAGCAAGAAAACTCAGAAGAAAGAGGGATTTTTAATACTCAAGGGATGAAAATTATGAAAAGAAAAATTCAAAAAGCTAAAGAAATTCAATTAAAGGTCAATTTTGATGGTAAAGAAAGAGCTTTTGAAAAGTTTGATACATCATTATTGAAAATTAAAGAAATAGAAAATAAACAAAAGGAAAATAATTCTGAAGAAAAAATCATTAAATTAAAGCCAATTTCAGATAATCCGGTTAGAAATCATCGTATTTTGAGACCTCAGATATTAGTAGAAAAAAATTCAAATCTTAATGATAGTCCTTCAAAAGATACAGAAAGTCCATCCCCAACGTATGTGCCAAGATATTCATAGATATTAAACATAATTTTTTCTGTTAATTATGGATTCAATATTTATTCTGATTTCCATTTTATCTTACTCCTCATTCCATTATTGAACAAGAAATTGCATTAGATTACGGATAGGGATTAATTGTGTTTAAAAAATATATAAATTTTATAGTAAATTTTATTTTAAAATTTAAAACTCCCAAGTTACAAAAATTATTTAATTGTAGAATTTATCTAGCAGTTTAAATTTCAATACTAATTATCACTTATATCAAATATATTTTCATAAAAACAGTTTTATTCGGATTTTCAATTGGTTGTTCGCTCACAGACGGGGAGTTAGCGTCCTTTATCAGATTTTATTATAATAAGATGGGATGCCAAGCAAGTAGAGAAGAAATATAGGAGATTCCCGATGATGGCGCTCAATGTGCCATCATCGGGAAACGTGTCTTAAGGGTCCACACTGGAAATAGGTTCCACGTGTGGAGCCCTTTTTGACACGTGGAAAATCCTCACTTTCACGTGTCAAAAAAAGGGCTCCACACGAGGAACCCATTTCCAGTGTCGACCCTGAATTTTAGTTGCCCGATGATGGCGCTCAATGCGCCATCATCGGGCAACTTGTATATAGAATTTTAGCTGTTTTTATTGCTCACCTTGGTATTATGGCATTCATGTACATTAAAAATGGCGACGGCGATCCAGCCCTTTTTCTCAACACCTGTAGCCTGCGTTCGCGGGAACCTTGTGGAAGGGGAAAGGCGATCGGAATGTGTATCTGGCTAGGTTTTACCTTGGCACAGTGGAGCGCAACGTCGGATTATGCCGACCGCATCTCATTCTGACACCAGGGGTTTTGCCTCAGGGGAGATGGATTCCAGGGTTGGAAAGGGAAAGCTCAGCAGCATCGGGAAGGTACCTCCTGATCAATCGGGCAACTCCCTAGCGTGAAACTGGGCGTTACGTCCCAGGCTTTGGATTTCCATCTTGGCCGACAGTCCCTACAGAAAATTTGTTTTTCAAATTTCGGAATGGGCAACTCTGTTGACGTACTGCTAGGTGGCGTAACTCATCCAACTACGGGTAGCGAGTGCACATCCTCGTCCAGTAGGAGCAACATCTTGAAGGTCGTGATCGATTGGTGGTGAGCAACCGGGTGAAGCGTGAAGGGTGAAGGTAGGGCAGGGGAAACCCGCGCCAATACGACGAGCCTCTCATAATACTAATTAATGTTAATGTTAATGGTATTATGGCATTCTAAAAACAAAAAAATTACAGTTAAATTTACAAAAAAATCCTTTAAACCTAACCAAAAAATAAAAATTATTGTTAGTTTATATAATCCGTTGTAAAATTTCTTATCGGGATGATCGAACCAGAGGTTGTTATAAATCTTAAAAAAAACGATTAATTTTTTAAGTCTAGAATCTGATAATTCTGATAAAAATAAACACACTGTTGGTATGTAGACTGAAGCAAGAAAGCTGATCGATGACTAGAGAGTTCAGGTTATAATGCTCGATGTGCTGCAAGAGTGCATAGAGACTCGCTTTATCGTGGTTTCCGATAGCCTGAGATAGAGAAACCTGCCTTATACTTACCTCTTGATAGCTCATATCTTAATTAATCGAAAATATTCACACATGGCCATTATTTTGGCACGCCATATTATTATTAATATTTTGATTAAAATTATTATTCGCAAGATATTTGTGAATGCTAGTTTTCTATGTCTTTAAATTTTGTGTTTTGAATTTGAGCGTTTTTTTAAAAAATTATGTAATAATTTTTGTTCGCCATCTTTAATTTGAAGCTATATCTAAAATTTAAAAACACTAACTCCCCCCCCCCCCTCCGTGAGCGAACAAAACCATTAGAAAAATCGCCATTTTTTGACCAAAAACCCACCCTCCGTGAGTGAACAAAAATTTTTTAATAGAAAAAATTTTAATGGAAAAAAATTTTGATATATAAGTGATAATTAGTATAATGAAATCTAGAGCTAATTCTGTTTAATTTTAAACAAATTGCGTTTTAAAACATAAATTTTGCAAATTAAATTAATATTTGCTTCCCAATTTTTGCAAATTAGGATTTTTTTAAATTTCGAAAAAAATATTTTTTATAAAATTTATATATAAATTTTTTTTAAAAAAAAAAATTAACCCCCCTCCGTGAGCGAACAAAAATTTTTTTGTTCGCTCACGGAGGGGGGGGGGGAGTAAGAACTTTTTTCGCAGCAGCACATTTCTTTTAATAATTTTAAATATAAACTCACCTAATATAGATCTTTAATTTCCGCGTTTTGGATTTGAGCACAAATTTAAAAATAACATACTTATTAACTTTTATTTTCGCCATCTTTAATTTGAAGCTATATATTTAAATTTTAAAATACTAACTCCCCCCCCCCCCTCCGTGAGCGAACAAAATAATTTTGTTCGCTCACGGAGGGGGGTTAATTTTTTTTTTTAAAAAAAATTTATATATAAATTTTATAAAAAATATTTTTTTTCGAAATTTAAAAAAATCCTAATTTGCAAAAATTGGGAAGCAAATATTAATTTAATTTGCAAAATTTATGTTTTAAAAAACGCAATTTGTTTAAAATTAAACAGAATTAGCTCTAGATTTCATTATACTAATTATCACTTATATATCAAAATTTTTTTCCATTAAAATTTTTTCTATTAAAAAAATTTTTGTTCACTCACGGAGGGTGGGTTTTTGGTCAAAAAATGGCGATTTTTCTAATGGTTTTGTTCGCTCACGGAGGGGGGGGGGGGAGTAAGAACTTTTTTCGCAGCAGCACAAATTCTTTACAAATTTAATTACAATCTCACCTTATATAGATCTTTAATTTCCGCGTTTTGGATTTGAGCACAAATTTTAAAAATAACATACTTATTAACTTTTATTTTCGCCATCTTTAATTTTAAGCTATATATTTAAATTTTTAAAATACTAAGAACTTTTCTCGCAGCAGCACATTTCTTTTAATAATTTAAATATAAACTCACCTAATATAGATCTTTAATTTCCGCGCTTTGGATTTGAGCACAAATTTAAAAATAGCATACTTATTAACTTTTATTTTCGCCATCTTTAATTTGAAGCTATATATTTAAATTTTAAAATACTAACTCCCCCCCCCTCCGTGAGCGAACAAAAAAATTTTGTTCGCTCACGGAGGGGGGTTAATTTTTGTTTTTAAAAAAAAAATTTATATATAAATTTTATAAAAAATTTTTTTTTCGAAATTTAAAAAAAAATCCTAATTTGCAAAAATTGGGAAGCAAATATTAATTTAATTTGCAAAATTTATGTTTTAAAACGCAATTTGTTTAAAATTAAACAGAATTAGCTCTAGATTTCATTATACTAATTATCACTTATATATCAAAATTTTTTTTCCATTAAAATTTTTTCTATTAAAAAAATTTTTGTTCACTCACGGAGGGTGGGTTTTTGGTCAAAAAATGGCGATTTTTCTAATGGTTTTGTTCGCTCACGAGGGAGGGGGGGGGGGGAGTAAGAACTTTTTCGCAGCAGCACAAATTTTTTTACAAATTTAAATATAAACTCACCTTATATAGATCTTTAATTTCCGCGTTTTGGATTTGAGCACAAATTTAAAAATAACATACTTATTAACTTTTATTTTCGCCATCTTTAATTTTAAGCTATATATTTAAATTTTAAAAATACTAAGAACTTTTCTCGCAGTAGCACATTTCTTTTAATAATTTAAATATAAACTCACCTTATATAGATCTTTAATTTTCCGCGTTTTGGATTTGAGCACAAATTTAAAAATAGCATACTATTAACTTTTATTTTCGCTATCTTTAATTTTAAGCTATATCTTAAAAATTTAAATTTTAAAAGAAATTATACTTGCAAAATCCATTATATAATACATAGATTCAAAAATTCAAGCCATTTTATATTTTGGGTGTGCCAAAATAATGGCTATGTGTGATTATTTTCCATTAATTAAAATATAAAATACCAGGAGGTACATATAAGGCAGGTTTCTTGATCTCAAGCTATCGGAAACCACGATAAAAGCGAGTCTCTATGCACTCTTGCAGCACATCGGGAATTATTTACCTGAACTCTCTATGTCATCGATCAGTTTTCTTGCTTCAGCCTACATGCCAACAGTGCCCTTATTTTATCTGAATTATTAGATTCTAGACTTAAAAAAGTAATCTTTCTTTTTAAGACTTATTGCAACCTCTGGTTCGATCATGGGCCGATAAGAAATTTTACCAACGGATTATACCTTTTAATAAAAGGTATCTTGATAAATGACTTGAAATAACAAGAACCCTACAAGCCCTGAAGCCTCGCTCAAAAGATTTATATCAGCTTCATTCCCAAATCCAATCATCCGTTGAGCAAGAATTGCTAACTTATAAAGAGCTTGAGTCCAAAAAAGACAAAACTTTCAAAAAAATCATTCAACTGATGGAAGAAAACGAAAATCTTTCCTCATATGTAAATGCCTTAAAGCTCAAAAGCAACGATTCGACTGAAATTGCTTCTGAAGAATTTGATGAACTTAGCCTAGAATTCAATAATACAGCAAGAGAAAAGCTATATTACGAGTCTGGAGAAGAAGAAATTATCCTTTATAACGCTTTGACAATATCGACTTACAAAATTAACCAACATTTATTAAAATCATTTTCCAACTGAAAATTTTTTTCAGCTAAATTTCCACGTTTGCAAAAAAATGAAGAAAGTGCTGTCGTAATTGTAAAAAAATTAAAAGAATTCGAAGAACAAAGCCTTTTAGATATTAATGAGCTGATAAAAAAAGCTAACTTCCCCCCTCCGTGAGTGAACAAAAACATTTTGTTCACTCACGGAGGGGGATTAATTTTTTTTTAGAAAAATTTAGATTTAAATTTTATAAAAAATATTTTTTTTCGAAATTTAAAAAAATCCTAATTCGCAAAAATTGGAAACCAAATATTAATTTAATTTATAAAATTTATGTTTTAAAAAGCAATTCGTTTAAAATTTTACAGAATTGGCTCTAGATTTCATTATACTAATTATCATTAATATATCAAAATTTTTTACATAAAAAATTTTTTCGATTGAAAAAATTTTTGTTCACTCACGGAGGGTGGGTTTTTGGGCAAAAAATAGCGATTTTTCTAATGGTTTTGTTCACTCACGGAGGGGGGGAGTAAACAAAAGGAACAAAAAAACGCGAAACCTTTAGATTTGGTTTATACCTTTAAATTTCTTGAAAAATTGATGGACGATAAGTTTGGAGAAGACCAAAAATTCATAGCTGAAGGCAAAATGCCAAGAGATTTATCTGAGTTTTTGATAGAAAAAACATTTGCGAGGTATGATACTGAGGATTTAGGATATAAATTCTTAAATCAGCTTGTTTCAGCTCTGCATAATTTGTATAAAATGAGCCAAGTCTATGGGATTCTTTTCTGCAGACTATTAAATTTATATCATGAAAAACCTATTCCGTATAGGCTAGCTATTTATATCACTCAAGCCCGCGTGTATTTTCAGCAACTAAAGCAGTTAAAACCAGCAGACGAAACCCCAGGATCTCCTCTTAAAGGATTTTTAGAAGATTCATATGGCGGTGAGTCTCTGCTTTCTGATGTTATTGAACTTGTAGAGCTGCTTTTTAAAGAAGACCATATATGTGGAGCTAAAATTTTAGAAAAATGCAGACCATCTAATATTGAGGAAGGGGAGTATTTCTTATATATAATTTGCAATAAATTTTATAGTGCAAATATAGATATTGATGACTGAGTAGAAAATTTGGAATTTGGAGATACAGTTCATTACTCTACATTTATTAAAAAACTAAAAAAAATAGATGCTTTTGTTGATGAAGAAATGATAATTAAAATTTTAGATGGGGTCTTTACAAACAACACTATTAAAAAATCTGACTTATGCGACTTGTTAGATACAGAAAAATATATTGATGGATATACGAATCCAAGGTATTTTATAAATAAAGCAAGCTTTGTAAATGCAATTATCTCAGTATATGATGAAATCTGGATCGATAAAGGCGCTAAAATATACACAGGGTTTAAATCAAGAGAAGATAAAAATGGACTTATATCAGAGCGTGCGTTCATAGAAGCTTGTTTTGAGTTAGAATTGTCAATTCCTAGATATGAAATAGAAAATTTGTATAGAGAAGCTGCAGCTGAAGATGGAATTACTGGAGATGTCGCCTATAGTCAAGTAGTAAAACGTTTACAATACGGCGCTTTTAATGTTTTCAAAATGCCGGATTTTGAAAACTTCGCTAATGATACAAAGGAACGGAAAACGATGATGGGCGATATAAGGCCATCACTTTCTTCTATATCATTATCCTTGTCTCGACTGACAGTTTAATTTTGGGGTTAATTAATTTTATTTAAGTATAATTTAAGCAAATATTTTAAAAATAGTTTGGGTTTTATATATTTATTACTTTATAAATTAGAAGAGTTGCAATGATTGAATAATAGGTTAAAAAGGGTGTTTTTATAAGCAAACCTTTAGCTAGAATTTATGATTATAACCCTTATTTAAGAGAGCTTGATTAAGATGTTTTTGCCAAAATATTGGAAAAAAAATAAATAGATTAAGAAAATTAGGTTGCAGCAATAAATAAAAAGGATCCTAAAAAAAATTAATTCTTAAAAATATCAACATAAGTTTTTGGATAAAATTTGAATTTTTAAAGATTATCAAATTTATTCCTCACATAAAAAATCAAGCTTTATTAATTTTATTATCAATTAATCTATTATTTGCTTAAAATGATCACATATTATAAAATATTCATCTATAAATGCGAAGAGCATGGCGTGGAGAACGAGGAATTCGTAGAGGAGGCTTTCACCCCAGAGGGAGAGGAAAATACGGTATGGACGACCCTAATGTCCAAAAATCAAAAAAACTCTCATGGGCCCTTAGGCACGGATTCCAGCAATTAGGCTTAACCATGAATCAAGCTGGTTATATCAAGCTTACTGATATTCTCGCCCATCAAGAATTTTCCACTTATAGTCTTGAAGAAGTCCTTGATATAGTCGCAAGGGACGAAAAACAAAGATTTGGGATTATCTTAACCATTTCCTTCATTAATTATTTAAAATTAACCCATCTTATAATGAACAAAAAATTTCTGTCATAATGAGTTAGAAAAGAAAGAATATTGGATCAGAGCCAATCAAGGCCATTCTATAAAAGGCGCTGACGATAGTTCTCTATTAAGAGAAATCACCAACCCAGCAGAATTCCCTATAGTAGTCCACGGGACTTATAAGACAAACGTAGAGTCAATTAGCAAGCGTGGGCTTAATAGAATGCAAAGAAACCACATCCATTTCGCAACAGCAATCCCTGGAGAAGAAGAAGTCCTCAGTGGTGCAAGAGCTAACTGTGACGTTTTTATTGAAGTTGACTTACCCAAAGCTATGCAGGATGGCATCAAATTTTTTGTGTCTGAAAACAACGTGATTTTAACCTCAGGGATACACGGAATTTTGGCGCCAAAATATTTTAACTCCCCCCCCCCCCCCGTGAGCGAACAAAAAAATTTTGTTCGCTCACGGAGGGGGGTTAATTTTTTTTTTTTAAAAAAATTTATATATAAATTTTATAAAAAAAATATATTTTTTTCGAAATTTAAAAAAATCCTAATTTGCAAAAATTGGGAAGCAAATATTAATTTAATTTGCAAAATTTATGTTTTAAAACGCAATTTGTTTAAAAATTAAACAGAATTAGCTCTAGATTTCATTATACTAATTATCACTTATATATCAAAATTTTTTTCCATTAAAATTTTTTCTATTAAAAAAATTTTTGTTCACTCACGGAGGGTGGGTTTTTGGTCAAAAAATGGCGATTTTTCTAATGGTTTTGTTCGCTCACGGAGGGGGGGGGGGAGTAAGAAAATTCTTATTGATAGAGCAGAAGTCAATGTAAAAAGCAAAACCTTGGATTTAGATTATAGATTATTACAATAAATAATAATTTTTTTGTATATTTTTGATAATTATTTAATTGAAAATGGGGATATTTGTTAATTGTTGATACGAAATTTACGTGCTTGGAAACTGGAAAACCTAAATGTGAAGAAATAATTGAAATGAGAATTTCTGCATTGAACTGTAGAACAAGAAGGGTTGAGCATCAGTTTAATAGCTATATAAAGCCTGAGCTTATGTCAGTTCTTGGTGATTTTTGTATAGAAGCTACTAAAGTGGCTCAACAAATGGTTGATACAGCCCCACATTTAAGGGATTTACTATATTAACCTAAATTAATTTTTTTAATTTATAATTATTTTTTATAAAAATTTATTTTCAGTTCAGTCAACCCGAGTATAAACGATTTTCATTCTTGGTTACAAAACACAGGAATTTTCAGCAGCTGCTGGATTATAGCTGTCCACAAAGACACAGACATAAAATTGCTTATTAAAGAATTCAACCACAAAAGAATAGAAAACCACGAATATTGGAACCATTGGATTGAGCTCACAAACCTAATCCCTGACAAAAATGAGCTAAAATCCATCCCTGAGAAGCTTGAAATAGACTCCACTGGCAACCTTCTCGACGACCTAATCAGAAGCTTTATTGCTCTTTTTGAAGCCAATCTTCACATCTACGAAAGCGACGTCCAGCATCGCGCAAATAAAGCTCCAGTCAACCGTCCTCCTTACGCAAATCCGCCACTTCCTCCAGCCCGAGAAGAAACTAAAGAAGAAATCATCGAAAAACAGCTAAAAAGTGAGTCATATTTTTTTGATTCTTTATTAGTATTTTTATTTGATACTGTAAAAGATAAAGAAAGAGAAGTCGCTGTAGCCCTCTATGTCTGCCTTTACGATCTCAATCACAAAAAAGTATTTTCCCATCACAAGAAGCTGATAAAGCCTGATAAAGGGGTAGCATTTGACCACCAAGCAATTTTAGGAATAAGTGAAAGAATTTATTATGAAAAAGCCTCAAATTTTGATGAGTTCGAAAATTATTTGAAATCGCTGATTTCTCAGCCACAGCTTGGAAGATGTGCACTTGCAGCTTTTTCTGATAGAGAAATTAGAGAAATAATTCCAAGGACAGGATCGATTACTGATCAAGTATTTTTTAAAAGATGGATAAATTTATACAAAAATGCTTAAAATTTGGAAAAAATGAAGAAAATTATATAATAGGAAATTTAAAGGGAAAAGCTATATATAAATTCCTCACAAAGCAGCCACAGGACAGTGAAAACAATTTCGCATCACTAATGGAAGGATTTAATAGGCCTAAAGGTGCAAGACTTAACGGAGAAGCCAAGCTAAAACATTTAATTGACGCCTTGACAGTTAGACTGCTGAACATGGAAGAGAAAATCCACACTTCTAACTTCACTTATCTTTAAATTAAATTCCACTTTAAAACGCATTAATTAAATAACTGTCTATATTCCTCTGATAATTAAAATATGGCGTCTTCGTCTGGGTGTGGCCTCCGGCCACACATACTCGACTCATATTTTAATTATATCCGGCAAGGTTTTGCCATTCCGGAAATGAGCAGCAATGCCATGGTAAGCAATTCTGCAGTGCAGAGCCTGGCCCAAGCTCAACGACCAGAATGGATTTTCTCCCCGAGAGAAAAGGGTTCCCAGGTTTGGAAAGGGTAAGCCCAGCAGAGTCTACAGGCAATGCCTAGACCATTCGGGCAATTACCTAGCGTGAAATTGGGCGTTACGTCCCAGGACTTGGAGTTTCCCTTTTTGCCGAAAGGTGACCAGAAATTCCATTTTTTGGAATTTCGGAAAGCCAACTCTCGTCAACTCAAGCAGCAGCCGCAGAAGCCCATAGCCCGCCCACTCAACACTAAGCCACGGCTCATGCGCGTGGGAAGGAGTAGGTGTATGTCCTGGTGACTGGTTTATATGGCCAGTCTGGACTATACCGCAAAGCAGGTGAACCCTAATACTGGGTCCTTGGTGACTGCGTCAACACTACGGCGGACGCCTGTAAATTTAAGTTAAGTTAAGTCTATATTCCTCTGGGTAATTCCCTTTATATATTTTCATTACATCCGCAAATATCTTAGGCGCCAGTCTTGGGTCTTTTAATTCCATTTCTGCTATAGCCAATATTAATTTATCGACGCAGCTTAAATCTTCAATTCTCTCAATATTAGCTACAGCGTTTTCTACTATTGTCAAAAAAGAAGGCTCCTTTACAATCAGCCCAGGATTCTCTTGGCTCCATCTAGGTAGCATAACAGCAGCCCCACTTATGTCATCAGGCATCATTTCTACACTGTTTAGTGTATAGTAAATTAACTGTGGTTACTTGGCATTAGGCATCTCCCAAATGTAAAAATATTAATTGAAAAGCAATATATTTATTTTGTCTTAGAATTAATATATTTGGCATCCTAAGCCGGCTATAACGGTGCCTGAAATTATAGAATTTGAATTAGAAGAACAATTACTAGAATTTTTTCTATGTGTTAATTGTCTCATTTTAGCACTTTCTGAACTGTGGGAATGTCTGTGAGAATTATCAGAAATATGCAAAATTGTATTGGCTGGGGACTGGGATGAAGAGGAACGGAAATGCTCACGCTTTAAAACAGTAGAGGAGTCAAGAAGGTCAGTTAGATAATAAGGCTTTTTGGCATTTTTGATGAACTTGTGGTTTAGTAAGGAAGCAGTGTCAGGTCGCAGGCTGGGGTTCTTTTCAAGGCATTGGGAAACAAAATCTCTGAAAGCAGGAGAAAATGACTGATCGAGCTGAGGAGAAGGGTCAGTTTGGATACGAAATAAAGCAGATAGCGGAGGTAGGTCCATGTGTGGAGGCTTTCCTGTAGCCAGCTCAATTGCTGTGATGCCAACAGACCAAATATCAGCCTTATAATCATAGCCAGACTGTACGACTACTTCAGGAGCCATCCAATAAGGCGTCCCTACAAAAGAATTCCTTTTATTCACGCTTTCTGTTATTTGTGCTGTTACTCCGAAATCAGCAAGTTTTACTTGGCCATCCATAGAAAGCAAAATATTTGCTGCTTTTATGTCTCTATGAATTTTCATATTAGAGTGTAAATATGGGTAATTTTAAAATCGCCATGAAAATTTATTAAATTTTTGAAAAATAGATTTTTTATAAAATTTTGGAAAAAATAGATTTTTTGATAACATAAATATGATAAAGCAAGTAAAAGTTCTTTAAGGAGAATTGGGATGTAGATTTCTTGTAATGGCCCTCTAACCTTCAAAATATCTTTTACTGAACCTCCAGCTACATATTCCATAACAATATACAGCTTTCCTTCACACACAAATGATTCGTAAAAGTTCGTTATTCTGGGATTTTGACATTCTTTTAAAATTTGGATTTCCCTGTTTAAGCTGTCTAGTGAGTCTTCTGCATCCTGGGTTAAAATTTACAGTTAGATCTATAACTTTCATAGCAACAATTTCGCCTGTTTCTTTGGCAAAAGCTTTTAATACTTCACCAAAGGAGCCTTTGCCAATTTTTTCAAGGAGTTCATATTGAGATAAACGTTCAAGGTCCATTATATAATATTAATTGCCAAAAAATATCCAAATTTTAATTACAATAAATTGTGAAATAGGTTAATATTCATCCCTAATTAGAATAAATAAAAAAATTCCTATTGATTATCCTATTTATTATATGAAAATAATATAAAGATTATTTTTATTCTGATTAGGTATATTAAAATCAGAAAAAATTATTGCGAAAAATATTTACAACAAGACTAATTATTTTAAATTATAAAATTTTCTTTTGCTGGGCTTGCAGTTCTCTAATTTGTTTAATAATTGTTTTCTCCTGATCCAGAAAATAATTTTCTCTGACTTTTAAAAATTCTTCAGCTGTGTTATAATGGGTTCCAGTCAACGGGTCTTTATATTTCCCTTTTTCTTCTTTTTCGATATTCATATCATTTGCGCCTGGAATTTCCAAATTTTCGGCGGTCCAAAGTGTCAAATTTCTTTTCCCGCTTTTATTAGAATCCACTAGTCTTCACGTTGGCTGAAAAGTATTTTTCTTCACAATTGCGCTCTGTTTTTTATCTTCCTCTATATTAAGTAGCTGCCTCAACGAATGTGAATTATACATCTCCGTTATCGCGGCTTCTTCCAGCATTTGCCTTTGTGTAAACATCTTCATTTTAGACACAACATGATGCTTTTCTTTTTTCTTCTGCTTAATTTCTTTTTTTTTCTTGATTTTCTTTTCTGATTTTTCTTCAGTTTCTTTTTCTACTTCCTCTTCAGATTCTGACTTAAAAAAATCTTCATCAAAAATATACCTAAAATTCAAAAAATTAAATTTATTTTCAATATAAAATAGAACACACCTTATAGATTAAAAAATCATTTATAATTAAAGCAGATATATCGCCTTGTTCGCTTTCTGCCTCATATTCTGTATCGGTGTCTTTTTCTTTAAAATAGTCTTGATTCCAAAAAGCTTCGTCTAAATCTTTTTCTTCCCCTAGAAGCTCAGTCATCCTTTTCCCTCTTGTCGCCCTTTGTGGGAGTTCTCTTATCATTTTATAATAATTATGTTTGTCAGATCTATACAGGAAAATGAAAGGGAAAGCAGGATATTTCGAGCAGAAGTAAAAGATAACGTTGAGCTTTGTGCAGGCGTCAGTAGGTTGTTGCTGATGGACATTACAGGAGATTTCATATATTGTTTGTTAGAAGGAGATGGATGGTGCCAAAAAGCCCGCCTTTTAATGAAAGGGGATAAAGTGGTAATTGGGCCATGCAAAATTGCGGCCGTTCCTGAAAGATATAGAGCTTTTTATTCACCTGTAATTCCTGATAAATTTACGTCCCCTTTCTATGTCCATTATAGCTCAACTGACTTGGATCTTAAATTAGAGATTGAAAGGATGAATTTTGGTCCAAAAATTAATTACACCACCAGATCGCTGCAGGAATGTCAACAGCTAGCTCTTGCAAATTCTTTGTCGAAAGTTAGCATTATTGGTGTAATAATAGATTATGTCGCGGAAATTAAAATGCCTAATTTTCTCAAGAAATAAAATTAAAAATCGACGGAAGAGAGACTCCAAAGCAGCACCCTATGGAGCAGGTAGGACCTGTCCTGATGAAGCTGAAAATAGTGCTCTGTCACTTTTTGAATAGGCCACCGGCCTGCTGAAGAGGGAATTTTTGTTTCTCCTCAGAAGGCTTCCCCTGTCCTTGCCAGATGGGCTACAGAGGTTTTGCCTGCCACTTACTCCCCCGTTCGTAAGTGAACAAAACCATTGGAAAAATCCCTATCGTTTGGATAAAAACCAAAATTCTGTGAGCGAACAAACAATTTTTATGAAAAAATTATTTTGATATATAAGTGATAATTATTATAACGAAATCTCTATCTAATTCTGTTTAATTTTAAACAACTTGCATTTTAGAACTGAAATTTTACAAATTAATATTTGCTTTCCCAATACCGGAATTGTTTTAATTTTGAAAAAACAATTTGTATATATATAAATTTTTAAAAAACAAATTAATCCCCTCACGAAGGGCGAGTTATTATTTACTTATCGGGACTAATCGGGCATCTCCAAAAGGTGGCTCTAACCTAGGGAGCTAAACCTTAGGCTAGGTGGGTTTAAGTCAGATAGGCAGGCTAGTGGTCTATCCGCTTATAGCCTTATATAGCACTTAACTTAACTTTCTCAAGTATTTAGTAATGTATAAGTAAAATTTTTGAAACTATTTTTAATGATAATATTTATTTTATTGTATTTAAATTATTTCTAATAGTAAAATTCTATGAATTTCTAAAATAGACTTTTTATTAATTTTTTTGAAAAAAAAAAAAAATAATAAAAATGTGATGGAATAAGGACAATATATGTAAACTGAAAATAATTGACCAATCCTTAAGCCCAGGAGACTTCATTCAGCTTCACGTATTTGTAGAAACAACCTTAAAACAAATTAATATCGGCGATATAGTAGTAGCACATGGTATCACATTTAAGCATTTCCGAGGTAAAGCCCAAGGCACCCACAACAATAAATCTGGCCCATTAGCCATTTATAGTGCTAGTGACAACGAAACTTTAAAAATCACAAGCCATATTGGCCATTTCCAAGAAGATGAAGACCTCTATCAGAATGTGGTAAACCTTTATGACTGGGGAGCTTAGCTTAAACTATTATGACTAGCTCCCCGTCAGCTATTTCGGCCGTACGCCAAGGGGTTTGCCCTTCTCGAAAATTCAAAAAGTGAATTTTATTGTCAGGCTATCGGCCAGACAGAAACTTGTAGCCCTAGACGCAACTCCTGGTATCGCGTTAAAAAAACGCCCGATTGGCCAAGCAAACACCCTCTGAGCTTGCTGGGCTATCCATTTCAGCTTCCAAGTTCCAACTTCCCTCGAGGTAAAATCTTGCCCTGGATATGAGCCTACAGTCCGTCAGCCCGATATTGCGCTCATATTCAAGTAAAGCCCTTCAAGACATATCAGACGTGCTCTCCCTCTACAAGGTCCCCAGCGCTACATACAGGTGTTAAGAGACTAAGTTGATTCTCCATATATGACTGGGAAACAAGCCAACTAAGCTCAAGAGATTTATCAACAGGCCCAACATTACCAAGCCTTGGTGAAGCTCCTCACTACAGATATAAAACTTTAGACTTAATCTGCTACGTTGCCCACAAAAAGCAAGATTATCCTGACCCAAGCCAGTCAACTTTAGTCCTTTGTGACAGTTCTGGTTATCTTTTTTTGACAACTTTATCATGCTTACTTGTGAATATTAATGAAGATAAATGGGTAAAAATAAGAGAAGCCAAAATAAGCAGTGATCAAATTCAATTTGGAGACCATTCATCCATAGTAGTAGTTCCTGATTGGTGCTATAATGTAAAAATGCATATGCAAAATACCATCCCAGGACTGGAAACTATAAGGAACGAAGCCTTAAATTACCTTTATAAAACAATTAATCAGGCCAGCATAAATCAACAAATTATTGTTACTAGAACTAGGAAATCTTCAGTGCCGCTATTTGATGAAAGCCAGCTGCTAAACCCGCTGGAAAAAACAGAATTTTGTAGGCTGAAAGTGATTATTATACAAGTCCAGCCAAAAAATATAGAAGATGGGGTGTTTGAGATGAATGACGGGCTGAATTTTTATGGGATTATCAATATTTGGTGCCTTAATGATATTATTGAAGTTTCTGTGGCGGGAGAAAACTCAATTGATTTGTTTGGGCTACATGGGATTAAAAATAGAAGAGATTTTATTAATAAAATTGATGAAGTTACCAGACTTCTCGTTAAAGGAAACAATTGGGTTGAACTTTGTTTGAAAAGAAAAGTGGTAGGGAATAAAGTGATTCTCAAGGTAGTCAATACATTTTTAACATAAACCATTATAATTAAGCAAGAATATAGTTAAATATATATAATTTAGCGTGAATAAATATTTTTATAGCTAAAATAAATATTTTTTTAATTCAAATTTTCTATTATAAAGCTAATATTATAATATTTTTACAGAAATTGCAAATTTTGCTTACTCCCCCCCCCCCCTCCGTGAGCGAACAAAAAATTTTGTTCGCTCACGGAGGGGGGTTAATTTTTTTTTTTAAAAAAAATTTATTATATATAAATTTTATAAAAAATATTTTTTTCGAAATTTAAAAAAATCCTAATTTGCAAAAATTGGGAAGCAAATATTAATTTAATTTGCAAAATTTATGTTTTAAAACGCAATTTGTTTAAAATTAAACAGAATTAGCTCTAGATTTCATTATACTAATTATCACTTATATATCAAAATTTTTTTCCATTAAAATTTTTTCTATTAAAAAAATTTTTGTTCACTCACGGAGGGTGGGTTTTTGGTCAAAAAATGGCGATTTTTCTAATGGTTTTGTTCGCTCACGGAGGGGGGGGGGGAGTTAATATATTAACGTAATAATTTATTAGTCATTCACCTCTCATCGGCTCCATGGAGCCTCCCAATTTTTCAATTTCCTTCCTTATTATAATAAAAACTTATATTTTATCGTTTTCAAATACAAAAATTTTGACATGTTGAATAATTTGTTATTGATATCATGCAGGAACGCCTTATAGAAAATGAAGCTGAAAGACGAAGGACAACCTCAGTAGTTTCAACAGAACGATCATTCCAAATTCCTATCCCTGAGCCTTACCCATTTACTACTAATACTATTAGTACAAGTAAATATAATTGTCTTACATTTCTCCCAAAAAATTTATGAAATCAGTTCCATAAGCTCGCGAATATTTATTTTTTAGTTGTGGCGGTCTTACAATCAATTCCTGCAATATCTGTGTCTGGAGGTGTTCCTAATATTTTATTACCCCTTGTTTTTGTTATGACAGTCAGTGCGATAAAAGATTTAGTTGAAGATCTTAAACGTAAAAGGTCAGATAAAGAAGAAAATGTTAGACAAACCCATATTAGGGTGGGAAGAGACTGAAGGAAAGTCACATGACAAGAAGTCAGGGTTGGAGATATCATTCGTGTAAAAAAAGATGAATACTTCCCTGCTGATATTATTCTACTAGCTCTCCATACCAATGATTTTTGTTAATTATTTATTTAAATCTAGATGAATTTTTTTTCATAGATTATTGGAAAAATTTTTTTAATTCAAAATTTAAAATTACTAATTTAATAGTTCTTTAAATGATATTTGTAGTAAATTAGTTATAGCTTCTTTTGCATTTTTTCAATTTATTAAGAAAAATCTATCTATGAGGGCAAGGCTGGCTTCTTCTACATTCGGAAAAAAGCGAAATAAGCTATATATAAAAAAATTTTCTCAATCAGAATTTTTCATAATTTTTTGCTCATTCCTAGAGTGGAAGTAAATACAAGTGACGCAAAAGGAATTTGTTATATCGAAACAAAGAACCTGGATGGGGAAACTAATTTAAAGCATAAATCAGCTAGTAAAGATACCCAGACTCATTATGAAGAGGATTCTAAATTTGATGGGCTAGAAGCAACAGTTAGATGTGAAGGGCCAAATCCTATGATTTATCAGTTTAACGGGCTATTAACAATTTTAGACACTGTGCTAGTTTTAGCATCCGAACAGCTTTTATTAAGAGGAAGTTCATTAAAAAACACTGATTGGATAACTGGAATTGTAGTATACACAGGCCACGAATCAAAAATCATGCTAAATTCTCCCAAATCAAGGGCAAAAGCCTCTAAACTCGAAAGCCAAATGAACAGACAAGTCATTTATATTTTCTTTTTGCAGCTAGGCATCTGTGTATATGCCGCCACGTTCTACGCAATCTGGTTTGATACCTCAAAAAGCGACACCGAACAATACTTAGAGCTTGACAAATCTAATGACAACGCCGCCGCCCAATTTATCCTCCAATTTTTCTCCTGAATGCTAATCTTTACCAATTTTGTCCCAATTTCTCTATTAGTTACCCTAGAAATGGTAAAATTTATCCAAGCCATTTTTATAGCCTGAGACCTAAAACTCTATTATGAGCCTACAGATACCCCTGCAAAGGTCCAAAGCTCTAACTTAAACGAAGAACTCGGTCAAATCAACTATGTTTTCTCAGACAAAACAGGCACCCTTACCTGCAATATCATGGAATTCCGAAAATTTACTATTGACGGCAAAAGTTATGGCTCCAATAAGCGTACCCCTTTAAACGTCAAAATGCCTCACGTCGATTTCGTCGACCCAAATTTCGATAAAAATCACCCTGCAGCCCATGATTTTTTAATGCATTTAGCGACCTGCCACACTATTATAACAGAAAATAAAGATGGAGAAATAGAGTATAAAGCGAGCTCGCCTGATGAATTAGCATTAGCAAATGCAGCCAAGTTTTTTGGGTATAAATTCTTAGGGAGAGACCAAGATTTAAATGTTATTTTAGACGTAGAAGGGGAAGAAATGAAGCTGAATGTGCTAAATGTCCTGGAATTTTCAAGTGATAGGAAAAGGATGTCAGTTATTGTGAGGATGCCTGATAAAAAAATCAAGGTGCTTTGTAAAGGGGCTGATTCGATATTATTGCCAAGGCTGAAGCAGAGTGAGACATTGGACATGACGTGGATGAATTTGGAAGAGTACGCAAATGAAGGGTTGAGGACGTTGGTGTTGACTTCAAGGGATTTGACTGAAGCTGAGTATGATATTATGGGAATAAAAAAAGTATATTGATTAATAGAGAATAATAACTTTTATTTATAAGAGGGTTAATAATTATTATATTTCCTATGAAGGTATAAATAATAAGGCAGTATGTTATTTTTTATATAGAAATTGATAAATATAAATTTATATTGAATGGATGCTTGTTGATAGTTTCTATATATTGCTTGGAATGAAAAATACTCTGATGCTTTAAAAGATATCCACAACCGTGAAAAAAGGGTGGCCGAAGTTAGCGAAGAAATAGAAACACAGTTGACTCTTTTAGGCGCCACTGCAATAGAAGATAGGCTTCAAGACAACGTCCCAAGAGGTTAGGTTAGGTTATTAAGAGAAAGCCATTAGCCATACTGATGACGCAGTCACGAAAGGCTTCCTGTATTGGGAGGTTTATCCACTTTGCGACGAACTGTTTGTAGGTCTAGCTGCAAATGGTGCAGTTGTCTGATCCTTACTTGAGGCTTCAGTATTGAATGGAAGGTTTATGGCTTTATTTCGTTACTATGGGCAAGGTATAACTTGATTTAAAGGAAAGCTTCTTTCGAACAAACAAAAAATTTTTAATATTGAAATTTTGATATATAATATATTTATTATAATGTAATCACTTGTCAATTCTGTTTAATTTTATATAGATTTAAAATATAAATTTTACAAATTATATTTGCTTTCAATTTTTGCGAAATTGGGATTCTTATTTTTCGAAAAAAAAAAAAAACAATTTACTAAAAATTTATATATATAAATTTTTAAAAAAAAATAAACCCCCTTCTTTGAGCGAACAAAATTTTTTATTCCCTTACTGAGGGAGGGACTTAGAGACTTTTGAGTGCTGAAGTCTCTTCCTACAGCAGCTAAAAAAGTCTGCTCCTTTATAGCCTGGCAGAAACCCCGATTTTTAGACGAAGAAGAATGGCAATTTAATGCATCACTAAAAACATCCCAGAAACCATCAAATTTTTAAGAGAAGCTGGAATCAACGTCTGGGTCCTCACCGGCGATAAGGTCGAAACCGCCATAAACATCGGCTTTTCCTGCAATTTAATTACTTCTGAAATGGTCAGAATTATCGTCCAGTCCGCTAGAACCCAAGAAGTCCAAGAAGAGCTTCAAAAAGGCATTTTATCTACTAAGGCTGAGCCAAGCTCAAAATTTGTCTTACTCTCCCCCCCCCTTAAATTGAAACAAAAAATTTTGTTTCAATTTAAAGGGGGGTTAAGAAAATTTTTTTTATAAACAATTTATATATAAAAATTTTTTCAGAGATAAAATTTTATAGAAAATAAATTATATAAATGTAAAGAATTTCATGAAAAATTAATTCATAAATTTCTCAATCTCAAAGTGTAAACTTGCTGAAATGGTATTCTTCTAACTCTCCCCATAACAATTGGACAAAATAGAGTTTAATTTCTAAATCTTATATGCTTGAAGCATATTAAATAGGGTATTAACGTATTTACATATAAAATAATGATTTTTACCTATAAAATTTTCTATTATAATAAAATTTTGTTTCAATTTAAAGGGGGGTAATTTCCCCAAAAAAGTAGGAATTTTACCTATATTTTGTTTCAATTTAAAGGGGGGGAGTTAGTAATTACAGGAGATGCCTTGATTAAAGCAGTCAGAGCTGAAATAAAGCCATTATTAATGGAAATTACTGATAGTTGTAATGTAGTTCTTGCCTGTAGAGTAAGCCCACAGCAGAAAGCTGATATTGTTAAGCTTATAAGAGACTCTAAAGCTAGTGCAAGAACTTTAGCAATAGGGGATGGGGCTAATGACGTAAATATGATTACAGCAGCCCATGTAGGGATTGGTATCTCAGGATTGGAAGGCCAACAAGCAGTCAGAGCATCTGATTATGCAGTAGCCCAGTTTTCTTATTTAAAAAGGCTTATGTTTGTGCATGGCAGAGAATGCTATAGGAGAAATGCGACCTTGATATGCTACAATTTCTATAAAAATGTGCTGTTAGTTATGCCTATCTTTTTTTATGGGTTTTTTACAGTTTATTCAGGCCAGCTGCTTTATAATCAATGGACTTATCAAGTTTTTAATATAATTTTTGCAGCATTGCCAATAGTAATTTACGCTGTATTTGATAAAGAAGCGGAATATGAAACTCTAGAAAATGACACAAATCACTATAAGTTAGGCTTAAAAGGGAGGCTATTTACCACATCAGCCTTTTGGTTTTGGATTTTGGAAGCAACTTTACAGGCTTGTGCGATTTGTTTAATATCGATATTCGCTATATGTACAGTCTCAGGGGAATGGGAGTCTGGTAGGATGGATTCGATGTGGGTTTACTCAGTTTTAGTACTAGCACTTGTGATTATTGTGTGCAACGTAAAAATTATTCTTTTTTCTTATATTCACTTTTGGTTTTCTTTGATAATTATAGCGCTGAGTATTTTATTATATTTTCTAGTATCTGCAATTATTACTGAATGGCTTCCAATGGAGTCGTTTCTTGATAATTATGACGGAAAAGGTAGTACTGCTAGGATGCTAAAAAATCCAAACTCTTATTTGTGTATGATTTTAATTATACTTTATATAAAAAATGTAAATAAATATTAATTATTTTAGAAGAAAATACCATTCTTTTATAAAAAGATACTTATTTTTGCTTTTTTATGACTCCGTTGATATATAAAGGTGTTGAACTGACTAATTTATTGAGAGGGAAAGTTGGTAAAGTCAAAGATGTAGAATTGCCTGAAGACGGCACTGATATAGATGCAGAGGAAGAAGAAAGAAGGGATAGAGTACTTAGCGAGTTGCCGGTTGAAGATAGATTACAAGCTCAAGAAAGCTTATCCTACTTTAGGAGAAGACGTAAGTGATACTTTAGACACTGGCTTTGCCTTCAGTGGAGAAGCTGGGCATGCTCCGCAGTTAACTGAAAATTTGATATACAGAACTTCATTAGGATGGTAGCTTCATTTTTAAATTATTATATATTTAGCATAAGCTGAATTCTTATAAGAGTCTTAATAATTAAAATATTAAAATGATTTACAAAGCATGAGTTAATTTTCTTTATTTTCTTTACCTTTCAGCGTTTTTTGTGAAATAAATTGAAGCTTATCTAAATCAATATGGCTATTAGAAGGCTGCAATATATTTGTGCATTTCATTCAAGGGTCTTCTTTAATTTGTGAGCATAGTGGGCGCTTATTTGGGTCGCTTTGGAGTGTTTTTCTTATTAGTGATTTCGCGAGATATGAGACTCCGCTTGGAGCTTCATAATTTCCAATTAAAATATTTTTGTAGACTTCTTGGTCTGTTTTGCCTCTAAATGGATAGTTCCCACATAGAAGTACATATAAAAGGACTCCTAATGCTCATATATCAGCTGATGCAGCTTGATATCCTCTTCTAGCTATAATTTCTGGAGCCATATAGCTGGGGGTTCCACAAAAGACTGTATTCTTTTTGTCACTTGATACATAAGTTGAAAATCCAAAATCAATTAATTTGATGTTATTATGGTCTAAATTATTTTTTAAAAAAAATAATTATTTTTATATAATTTTTTTTTTTATATCTATGTTATTATATTTATCAATCAGGATATTTTCAAGCTTGATATCTCTATGTGCAATACCTAGTGAGTGACAATAATCTACGGCTGATAAAATTTGACCAAAAATCCTCCTACCTTCGTCTTCATTCAATTTTCTGTTTGGCATTGCTTTTAAGTATTTATGCAGTGACATTCCTCCGACATATTCCATAAATATATACAGCTGGTGCTTTGTGCTAATACATTCTTTCATTTTAATAATAAAAGGATGGTTTAGAGTACTCATAATTACAACTTCTTTTTTTACATTTCTTTTCTTGTGAGGATCAATTAGCTTGCTTTTCTCATAAATTTTAACTGCGTACTTACTCCCCCCTTTAAATTGGAACAAATTTTCAATTTTTGGGTGCTTTAACGCTTTTTAAATTTGATTATTTTTTTTCAATAGGGAATTTATAGGTGAAAATATTAATTTTTTATAAAATTAGTTTTTACCTAAAAAATTGAAAAAGTAGTGGTAAAAATATTATTTAAACAGTTTCTCTCTGTATAAATTAATTTCTTTATAAAAATAATTTAAAATTCAAAAATATTGAGATTTTTTTTAATTTTTAAAAAAAATTAACCCCTTTTTAAATTGAAGTAGGAATTTTTGCTCAATCTAAAGGAAGGGGCTAGTCAATGAAGGAGCATAAACCGCTTCTCTTACAATTGCATAGGAGCCAATTCCTAAAATTTTCCCAAAATCATAAAAATCTATTGGATCTTTTGCGATTTCAAGGTCATTTGTGGAGCCTTGAGTTGTAAGAGGAGTTTGGATTCTTGGGGTTTTAGACCGTTTTTTAATAATTAGCGTAGGTTTTGAATTTTTTGGGGATAAAACAGTTAGAACTCTGTTTGTTTGGCGAATATTATTTTTAATTATTTCTTCGTTATTATTGCTAGGAGCACGATCTGAAGCTGCATTTGAGGGAGAAGTATTAAAATTTAGCATAGTTCTGCTGAATAATTTTTGAGAAATTGGTTTTAAATTGATGAATCTGTTCTTAGGCTCTAACGGACATTTTCCTTGCATTTTTTAATTTAAAATTTAAATTATGTGTCCTTAGAAATCATATTATTCAGTATATTTTATTTAATTAATTGTAGCTATAGCTTCCTAATATTCTAAAAATTATTATAGGCGTTTCACCTATATTTTATTTTGCCATTTTATCATTATGTAATCAAAATTTAAATATCTGAACTAAGCCATTGGAATATTATATTATTATAAATATGCCACTTCGTTGAAGATTAAATAACAGTCGAAGTTTTATTAGAAAAATATAATAACAATTAGATTCATTACGCTTTACGTCTACTAATATAGCCTCTTCACCGATATAGGTTTCCCACTGCTACAGCTGCCTCCAAAACTGCTTTGGGCATTCTTGAATTTTCATCTGACCCACCAAAGTGTGGCTGGCAACCTTGGCTATGTTTAACAATGAGGATGCCAGTCTTGAAGTTTTGGCTTCGGCGATTAATAGAGGAATGTAAAAATTTTCAATGATAGATACCATTTCTTTATTAAACATCATCATATTCATATATCTATAGCTGCAATTGTTTTAATTTGTGCTTAAGTGGAGTTATGCTTAATCTGCTCATATTAGATATTGGTACCAATATTAAATCACTTGCCAGCAAGTGATGCATCAGGATATGCTTGGCTTTTTCTTGGATAATAATTGCAATATGAGACTTGATGATTTTTCAAGATCGAAGGTTCCCTCTGCTTAAATACATTATAGGATTATATGTAGGGTATCAAATCCTAATATGAAGCTACGCACTCTTGTTTTCTCGCTTCAATTGACCGTTTAATATTTTTGATTTGATGGATATTGCTATTGGTATGATTATTTATTTCACATATCAATAGCTCAGAACAGTCTCATTTCTAATGACTCCTTATTTATTTTTGATATACATAAAATGGCAATGATCTCTGACCCGTCTTTCTCCTGTGACGGCAACCCATACATATTCGGGCATAGTTTTTCGGAATCAGGATTTGGACCAGAAATATCTGGTGTCCTGCTGCGAAGACTTGAGCAGAATTCATGGATTTGCGGCCTGATCCAATTGGCAGTTACTCGAGACTTCTTTATGCCAGCACAGAATTGCCTGCTCAAGCTGCTACAGTGGTTGCCCCGAATCGCGGAGCCAGATGAAAATTTTCCAGAGATAGCCTGAAAAAGGGGAAAAACAGACTAGATAACAAGGCAGAATCTCCTGTTTAAGGGCTCCAAAGTCGGGCGATACCGCTAAAGGTGATAGGCAGGGTGGAATAACTAGGCAGTCGAAGGGACCAAGTTGGAAATGGTGGTTCTAGGCAAAGGTTTCAACCCATTAGGGCAATACCATTATCAAGAAACCAGGGGTTTCTGCCTAGGCTTGGAGTTGCCAGAGGTGGAAGCCACCCAATTGAGTGTGCTGTCAGGCAGCTTGCGCCTCACAGAATGCGACCAATGAGAAACGGGAAATCTAAGTGCCATCTAATAATCTAATCTAACCTTATTTATTTTGAATTTTATTTCTACTTACCTACACTATTATATATGGCAGCATAATTAATATAATAAATTGAGTACCTAAATTAAATATCGGCATTGTGTTATAGATTATCTGCTTATTTCAAATATATTGCAATCTGGCTGCAAAGCTACTAGGATTATAAGATTATGATAAATCGAGATCAAATCAAAATGAGAAACAAAGACTTTTAAATGAGAAATTAACCAATGACCTTCGAGAAAGCTCAAATTAGAAATATCACTAAGACTATGAAAGAAGGATTTCACAATAATCTGTCATTAATTTTTCTTATTATTATATTAAATGCTCATCTTTGCTGAGATCATGAAATGAAATAGCATTGATATATTAAATTTGTTAAAATTCTGCTGATAAACTTTGCATAACGATAGTAAATTCATAAATCTGTTTTTAGGATCCAGAGAACATTTCCCTTGCATTTTTTTATCATAATCAAAATCTTGTGTCCTTAAAAATAGCATGATTCAGAATGCTTATTAAATTAACAAAATCCAGTATCTTATTCTATCGGCCACGATTTCATAATACCAAACTGGTCTGCTACAGTATAAATAAGGTTTTAATTATTCTAGAATTATCTCATTCTAAAATTATAAATATGTCGTCATACGAAAGATTGAATAGCGATCAAGGAGTTGAAAGTGAAAGACAAAGATGCTCAAACACAAATAAAATCTCTTTATTTGTATGGATAGCTGTACTTATTTTGGTTGGATCTGTAAGTGGAGCTCTGACAAGATCTCAGATTAAAAATTGGTATACCACATTAAATCGCTCCCTCTCTTACGCCACCAAATATTAACTTAAATATAGAGAAGTCCGTAATTCCCTACCTCGACCAGTAACGCCCCACTCGGCTGTTCACCAACAACTTTCTCACGGCCTTTAAAGTGTTGCTACTTCTGTACGAGGATGTGCACTCGCTATCCGAAGTTGTATGAGTTGCCCTACCGTGCCGTTCACCAACAGAGTTGTCTTTTCCGAAAATTTGAAAAACAAATTTTCTGGTCTGACTCACGACCAAAATGGAAATCCAAAGCATGGGACGTATCCCAGTTTCACGCTAGAAAGTTGCCCGATTGACCAAGTGGATGTCCTTGGTATAGCTGAGCCTCCCCTTTCCAACCTTGGAAGCCATTTCCCCTGAGCTAAAAACCTTGACATCAGAATGGGCTGCGGTCAACCAAATTTTACGCTGCGCTCCACTGCATCAAGGAAAACCCTAGCCAGATACACACACCGATCACCAGACTCCCTTCCATAAGGTCCCGACATAATTGGCTACAGGTGTTAAGAAAAAGGGCTGGTTCGCCGTCGCCATTTTAATATATACCCCTCTTACGCCACCAAATATTGTGTTTCCGATTGCTTGAACAACTTTGTACACAATGATAACATGATAATAAAATGGCTCAGTGCGGAATTAGTTCTCTCCGAGGACTATTCCTCCCTTCGCTTTTATTATTATTATGAGGTTTAGCTCTCCACATGGACTTTTATCCGCAACACTAATATGGAATACTGCATAGGGTATTTATTTGGTTAAGTATTAAGAGACATATGGTTCATCTGCTTGACACACCCGAGTAGGGTGACCCTTAGGTGAAACACACGCAGAAGTCAAGTTCGGGCGAGGCAACGCGGCTAGTGCTGACCTTCTGGTCTGACGAGAGTGTCTTCTGAAACCCTTGCTAAACAAGATGGCCGCTGACGTCGCCGGTTGGGAGTTAAAAGGATGGGCTTATACATGCCTAAATCATCCTGAAGAGGAAAGACGCTTAAAATGCCTGAGTAATTAATGTAACGTATACAATGATAGCTATATGCGGCTGGATGATTTGGAAAGCACCATTGTTCCCTAAGATCAAGCTTATCAAGGAATTATACGTGCTGCAGCTAATTCTGAACTGGAGCTGGACGCCCTTGTTTTTTTCTTTTCATTTGACTGGCTGCTCACTTTTAGTTATAGTGATTATGGATGTCGCTGTTAGCTTAATTATTTATTTGGCTTATCAAAACCTTAGAAAAGTCTCATATCTCATGACTCCTTATTTACTGTGGATTTTATTTGCCACTTACCTAAACTTTTATATATGGCAACATAATTAATAAAAAAAATTAATTGACTGCCTAATCGGATAAATCTATATTTTGATATATAGTTAATGTATAATCAACTTTCTAATTATTAACTTATTTCAAAAACTACTGCCCTGGTCATAAAAATGTCATGAATTCGGAGCTTTAGAGATTTAAATAGAGACCAAGGCAACGATAGAGAGCGGCAAAGACTTATAAGAAGTAATAATTTACAAAAATACCCAATTCTTGGAGAAAGTCCTGAGTTAGGTACATCCCAACAAGCTCGTAAGGAGTCATTTCTTGACATGCTGAGATTATTCTTTTGTCCTTCATTCACGATTAAATCTTTTGTGTTTACTATCACTTGTGTACAGATTTTTATATATTTTCTGACAGTCGTCTGCTATTATAACTCAAATGCTTTTTTAAAGCCAAGTTCTGAATCTCTTGACTTATTTGGGGAGAAGAACACAGACAAAATGAAGAATCATTATGAATTATGAAGATTTTTAACTCCTGTATTTTTACATGCAAATCTCACACATTTAATATTTAATATGCTTATGCAAGTTATTATTGGAATATAGAGTAAAGTGGCGTGGCAAAACAACCCACATCTTAACTCCTGAAGCCGGCTAAGACCTGGGACATTGTGGAAGAGAGGATGGCATTCGGTAATGTGCATCCGGTATGTTTTACTTAGATTGGTAAAGTGCGATGTCTGATTAAGCCTACCGCAGCTCATTCCATATCAAGGTTTTACCTCTGGAGAGAAGATGGTGCTCAAGGCCGGAAAGGGACGTCCCAGCAACACAGTAAAGTTCCTCCTGGTCAATCGGAAACTTTTACCAGTGGGATATCGGAATTGCATCCTAGGCTTTGAGTTTCCAACTTGACAGATAGGTGACCAGAAAATTCAATTATTCGAAATTTTTTTTTGTAAGCTGAGCCAGCATAGTGGCCCAGTGTCTCTGACTCACTGATAGCGAGCTCAAATCCTCGTCCTTGAGGACTAACACAGAAGAGCCGTACTCGGACTGTCAAGCAAGCTATGGAGCGATTGTGAAGATGTGGCTTTTTGACCTCCAGCCTTAGGTCTCAGGGAGCTTTTCTATAATCTTAACTAACATTAACATTAGCAGATTATTATTGGATTTAGGGTTGAAGCTACTGTTGGGTTATGGAAAACAATAATTGTTTATTTTGGTTCTGGAATAGGAGGAATACTAGTTTCATCTCTTTTTTCACCTTTAAGTTTAGCTGTAGGGGCATCCACTGCTATTTTTGGGCTCACAACTGCCATTTTGGCCTGAATAGTGTTAAATTGGACAAGTTTAGAAGGAAATCCTAACAGGATAAACTCATTGATTTGGGTCATAATATTAATAGTCATCAACCTTGTTATGGTAATTTCTATTTAGCCATCAAGTTCTACTGATAGTTTTGGGCATATAGGAGGCGCTTTATTTGGGCTCCTTATAAGCTTTTTAATTTTTGACACCATAAATTCCCCAACAAAAAATGAAAATTTGATAAAAAAATGTGCAGGGATAATTTTGCTATTTTTCTCAATAGGTGGGTTTATTACATTTTTCACGCTAATAGAAACTAACTAATTTTTGAAAAAAATATAAATATTCAAGGTTATTATACATTTAATGTGAATAAGATCCATAAAACTTCCAAATTAAGCTACAGCAACATCAGTTTCTAGCTCAGTTGCTGCCGCATTGGTCTCACTTTTATTTTTCCTTTCTCTTAATACGTATCTAAATCCTTTTCTAAACTGCCTTGCTTTTATTTGAAACAAGTCAGGGGTAAGAGGTGGCAATTTTGGCATTTTTCTGGTGACTCTTTCAGTGTGAGGTGTATCACTCCTGACAAAATTCTGGACAATTGGCTCTGGGGTATGATAAGATGACTCTGATTTTTTAAGGGATGGAGAATTTTCAGCTTTAATTTGATCCTTTATTGGAGAATTTGCCTTTGAGCTGAAGTGGAACTCAGATATAAAACTATCATCTTCTCCGCATAGCTGAATAGGGCTAGCTCCAAATGAACCAATACTTTCGAAATCTAGGCGAACCGAAAAATTATTCTCTTCGCTGAAATCTAATGATTTATTTTCTTCTTCTTTATTTTTGATAATAATTTGATTTGTAAAGCTTGTTGTGCAGATTGGCAGCTGGGAAAATTCCAGATTTTTTTGGTTTTCTTTGAATTTTTGGTTCTGGTCAGCATCTCTGTAGTTATTTGAAATTTCTAAAGTATTAACATGAGCATTTCCATTTGTAGGAAGCTCCTTTGGATCTTTGTCTAGCAAGTCTTTTTTAATGATGCAAGGCAAGGCTCAGGAGCAAAATCTTCTGACTCTCCAATCTGTGAGCAGGCAAAGCCATTGAAAATTTCTACTTTTTCGAAAAATCAGTCTGTCAAACAAGCAAAAATTTTTTGTTCATGATGATTATAAAATGAAATCTTCGGTAGATCTATTATTTTAGATCGCTAATAAATCATAAGATTAAATTACATTTTATTTTTTTTAAATTTTATTTTAAATTTAATTTAAAATTTAAAAAAATCGTAAGTTAGTAAAATTTTTACAGGTTACAGAGGGAGGGTGAGCATTTTCGAGCATTTGTTTTTACTTTTCATATCCAAATCACTGTTATTTTATAGTTTAACATTTTATTATGTTATTATGAAGCAATAAATGGGCAAGCAATAAATTCACTTGAAAACAAAGATATTTATTGTTAATAAAATCTTATTAAGGTAGAGAGGCATTTGGAATATTATTTTAAATGGGTGAGTTTATAATTAAAACAAGATAAATTTCATTTTTTAAAATATGTTTATATCTCTTATATCATTATTTGAAAACTTATAGTAAAATGAATTAATTTTTGCCAGATTGTTTCTGCATAAAATGTCTTTAATATTTATAATTGATAAATTAAATTTTTCCTTACTATCCCTTCTTGAGCGAACAAAACCATTGGAAAAATCCCTTTTTTTGGGGTAAAAACCCACTGTGAACGATCAAAAAATTTTTAAATATGAAATTTTTTATGAAAAATATTTTGATATATAATTAATAATTTGTATAATGAAATCTCTTGCTGTAAATTTTTAGCAGCTCCCATTTTAAAACATAAATTTACAAATTAAATTTATATTGCTTTAAAATTAGTTCATTTTAAAATATTTTTAAATTTCGAATAAACATTTTACTATATAATTTTTTAAATAAAAGAAAATTAACCCTCATCTCTAAGCAAACAAAATATTTTAGTTCGCTCACCAATGGGGATTTAGCCAAATTCATCATAGTAAAAAAGTCACATATTTTCTCAATAAGATAATAAAAAATCAATTATAATAAAGTTTTAGAGGGCTAAAGACCTCATTTATTGCCCTATGTTTGAAATAATAAATTCACTTGGCCTTATATCATGAATCTTTTTTCTAGTTTCATCTTCTTCTTTAAGATTTTTGTGAGTTTTTCCTTGGTTTTGCTTTAGTTAGTTGTCTGCTGGTTTCCTCTTCTATGTCCACCTAAGGATGAAGATGAATTACACTCTTTTCTTTCCTCTGCACAAAACATGTAGCCTATAATAATTTTTTATTTTCAATTACATATATATATTGTGAATGATATATTTCTAAATATTTATACTATTTTAATTATTTTCAAACACTAATCTATTCTTTCGATGAAAAAATCTCGTCCATAAAATTCTTTTTATAAAAATATATTCGGTAATTTAAAATACTGAATTTTAGAGATATTATTAGCCTATCAAAAATTACAAAAAATCCTCAAGAAATACTTAATTTAGCAATTTTCATGAATAAATTCTATATTAATTATAACCACATATTAATAAATATGCAAAATTCTTATGGAAATTAATCTCTTTATAAGACAATAATCTAAATTGAAATTCTTCAGCATATTATATATATTTAGCATATATTAAAGATCTCATCTATTATCCTACCTTTAAATAACAGACTCACTTGATCTTTTATTCCAATCTTCTGATCTAGCGTCAACCTGTCCAGCAAGGTCTTTGGTAGTTACTTACAGGCTTCGGCTTACATTTTTTCTTTTCAGGCTCTTTTTTTGCAGATCCTGCAGATGTCGTTGAATTTTTCTCATCTTTATCAGTGCGTCCACTAAAACAATTTCCCATTTTTATATTAATAATTATTCAATTTTTTACTTGATTGATCAGTTTTTTTTCTTTTCCCTTTTCTCTCTATAAGACTTATGGTACTACCTAGTGTTTTTGACCTTTCTGTGCTTCTACTTTTTCTATTTTTTGAAGAACTTTCAGTTGATCTGTGATTATAAATTGAAGGATTTGTTTGGACACTGTTTTCAACGGTAGATGGTCTTGCTTCAAAAGGCATACTTCTTCTTGATCTTTTATATTTTTCTGCTAGCTGTTTTAGCTTGCCGTGGGATTCAGAAAATGGGATTAAGTTGTTTGGGTCTTCTGTGTAGAGTTTTTCTATTATTTTGCAAGCATGATGTCGAGGTATACCTATTAATTTTAGCTACTTTTTTTAAAAAAGAAAATATTTTTAAAATGCTATGACTTCGCTATACTAAATAAGTATAGCCTTTCTGTTTCAAGCAGATTTATATGCATACAAAGTTCAGCCAACTGCTGAAAATTTGTATATTTTTTGTCTTTTTTTAGCAAATACAAAAATTTAACGACCACTGGCTCTCATTGGCTTGAGACCTTAATATCATAAGCCTAATTAAAATAAATAGAAGTATTTCTATCATACATTTTTATATAATAATAGTAATGTCTTTATTTATTTTAATTAGATATACATAATATTATCCATAATAATTTCTTCACTTGTGCAAAAATTCCGAAAATCTTTTTTCTTCATAATAGGCTGTATTAATGTTTGTATCATCTGAATTATTCCAAATTCCCCATAGTACACATCAGCAAAACTTGCCTCAATTGTACTAATTGGTGACCCAGCCAATAAACTCCTTGTCTTCTTAAGCGGAATTCCTGAAAAATATTGATTTTCATAATGCATATGATAATATGCAAAGATTTCTTTTATTTCATTCAGCATTTCTAGGCAGGAATTTTTTGCGAATTTTTGAGCAGAATCAGAGGGGTCAAATGATGATAATTTTTTTTCAATGCCTTCGTAAAATTGTTTTGAGGTAATTTCACATTGAAGATCCAAGGTATAGCATTTTTTATTTGTGAAAATTTTATAGTCTTCTTTGCGGATGGATTCTAATATGTTCAAAAATTGGTCAAGCAGAGATTCATCGAATTTTTCATAGTAATCTAAAAATTGATTAAATGTGACTGAATCTATAATGCATTTCATTAATAAAAACCTTAAATTAATACCAAATTTATAAAAATTGAGCTCAATCAATCACTGTATAAAAAAAGTCCCCAAAAATTCGTCATCGTACATTTAGAAGTACAATTTTTTACTTTTTCCAAAAATAGCTGCTTATGAATTTTCCAATTATTATCTTGAGTATCCAAATACGTAAAATCTGAAAACTTGCTAATCCCTACAATAAATTCATTAAAAAATGCATGCCGAATCAGCGAAACAAAAATTTGGTCTCTTTCAGTGTCATCCCAAGTCTCCAGCAATTTTCTAGCAGTTTTCACAAACAGCTTATCCTCCAGGTTTTCTTCTAAACTTGTCATTCTAAACGTACTCAATCTATCACTATTCACATAATAATACGCTTTCGCAAGCTGGATTTTTCTCGAAATATTTGCTTTTACACAATCACAAAGCACTGATTTTTCTGAAGTATATAATATATTTGAGTCAATATCTAAAATCGTCGCAGAGTCGTCAGCTTCTATAGCTTCTTCAGCACTTATATGGTCACTATTAATCCCTATAAGCACAGGAGTTGGTATTCCTAGCACATCAACTCCTCCTTCAGCTAAAACAGGGATATAGCTTAACGTCCATTTCATAGGAAAAAGCAAAATTTTAAACGCTTCTAATACCAAATATAACAAATATTCATTACAGGATAATAAAAATGCATGCTTGTTCAGCAGAATGCTTTCTCAAAATTCAATGACGTTTCTTATATCAATTAAATCGATAAGGACAGCTACACAACTTTCATTGTGGGATAAGCGGGAATAAATCTCGATAGGGATCGCTATTTGGTCTTTTCCTATATGCAGGTTAATTTGTACATCTGGAGGAGGAATTATGGTATCATTAAGCAAAAAGCAGCAGGTTTTCATAAATTCTGTAGAGCTGAGCAGACGGGAAATTTCTTTATTTTCGTTTTGAAGGATATCTAAAGTGTGGAGATATAAAGATTCTAAAATATTTCGAAATAAATCAATATAGTTGCTATGAGTCATTAAGCATAAAGCTATTGGGACGTAATAGTCCTCAAAATTATTTGGTGGGGATGGATATTCTCGTGGGATAAAATCAAAAAATTTAGGCTTGTAAAGTCTGTTTTTTGACATCTCAATTATGTGTGGATTTATAAGGAAATGGATAAATTTGCCTTTAATCAGCCAAAAAAATTTATTTTTTAAAAAAATAGAAAAAAAGTATTTATTTATATACAAAAAAACATATTTTTTCATATGTAATGAGACAATGAAAATGTGTAAAAATTCCTTTTTCGTTTGTAATTGTTGTTGAGAAATATTTTGGCATGCCTTGAGTTTTTTCTAGACTAATAGTTTGGCTTGTGAAGATCATCTAGGTGGAAATTACGTTTATTTGCCCTGTTGTCACTGTATTTGAGGTTGGTGGGAGCTGAACGATCACTTCTGGAGTTCCTGACTGCTTCCCTTCTAAAAACATATCTAGGTAAAAATTACTGCGCAAGGACTTTAATGTGAGACCTAAAATTGCAATTGAATCGATAAGTCTAATTCCAGGTGGGCTGTCTTCTCTAACTCCTTTAGTCTTAAAATTAGTTCAAAAATTTCTTTCCAATTCCAAGAAAGGTTATTTACCTAAAAATAATTAAAGGGCAGAGTAAATAATTCTTCCATTTATCCAAATTACCATAATCTCATCAAAAATTCAAAATTCTATATAATTTAAAATAAATCATATATTTAAATACAGCTAAAAAAATTACTATTAAACTATTAGCTTACTAATAGTTAAATCTTATTAATCATATGTGGTGCCTTATTACACCGATCTTAAATCATCACGAAAATTCGTCCGGGTGTCTTGAAAAAGCTCACCAAGCTCCATATTATCCAATGACAGCCTATTCATAGTTTTCGGGGACTCTGAAATCAGCTGGTCAAGCTGCTTCAGCTGTGACTTATATTTTTCTAACAATTGTCCAATTCTTGTCGGCCCATTACTGATCCTTAAAGTTTTATTTATTTTCCCCACAAAGTGAAGTACCTGCAAAGCCATAATTTCATTAAGCCAGCATAAAATAGTCAAAGTTGGCTGTGGGCTCAGCAATGGTAAATCTGCAAGACTCATGGAGAGTTTAGGCATAACTGGAATTAACTGAAGATATGGAGGAGAGCTTGTTAAGAAAGTGTTAGAAAGCTGCCATAAGATGATCCCCAGAGGCGATTTTGAATGAATTTTCGTTATTTCTTTAAGAGCGTCGTGACTAGTGTCTGCGAGCCATTCTTTTTTTAATCTCATATGAGATAATCTTCCTGTTTTGACTAAGGTGCATCGAGCTGGAAACAGCCTAGATAAGTCGGAATCTAGTAAATTAAATAATTGTTCAAAGTTCAAGCCGCACCCAATAATACTTGCGCTTTCACCAGTTTTGCAAACTGACTCAATCGCCGCTATCGCAATGTTTTTAATTGTGTCAAGTCTTCCTACAAAATCAACAGTCACACTTATCTGCATGTTCTGTGAGGAATATATTATTGTATCGTCGTCAATTTGAAAGTCCCCACTTTCAACATAAGCGCCGACGATTACCATCTTTTAAAATTCATGATAAATGTACAATAAACTTCTCCATCAAAATTAATTATACCTAAAAAAATTAATTTTATTGAAAATTAATATTTTTTATTAGAACAAATTTAAAAAATGAGAAATTAATATAGATAATTATATTAGCCCAAATGAATTAAAATATCTTATGAATAAAATGCTATGTAAAAATGAGCATGGTCCAGCTTCAGTGTTTTGTTGTAAAAAACCACCTCGTCGTCAATTAAAATTTTCTTCCTATGAAAATAAGTAGTGTAATGCCCGTATCTTAATGATCTGCTTTTATGCAGAATCACTGCAGATAAGCTATACCTCTTAGTCCCGATTTCAACATTTTGTGGGATTTCTACCTTACTTGACACTTTGCTTGCATTTCCGGTGGTCTGGTTGAATTGGAACCTGTTCATTTTTACCACAAGGATTTCAGGAGGTTTTATTATTGTTTTGTAGCACGTAAGTTTTGGCCATGTGCAGTTTGGGCAGTCAGCTAAAATTTCTTCCATGCTTCCATTTATTTGTTCTTGTAAGGTCGATCCATCAATCATCATATGAAAAGTATTATTTCTATACAACATTAATAATAATTTTACTTACTTTTATTATAAAAAATCCAAATTTAAGGTAAAAATGTATATCTTCTTTTAAATCCCCGATAAAACTCAAGTTGCAGCTCTCACAAAAACACTCGGACTGCGTCGAAAATTGAAAAACTGACCCGTTAAAAGCTGCGAGCATAGCTATAAAAAATTCATGTGCGTCTTCCTGGACATTTTTATGTTCCCATAAATGGTCAAGTTCTGTTAATACAATTTCAGTAGAAATAGGCTGCTCAGAATATGAACGCAAACTTTTTATCATTAAGCCTAGCTGTGAGTCTGAAGTAATATAGAGAGGAACCATCAGGTCAGCGAAAACTTGAAAGACTGAATTTATATATATTAAAAATAACTGAATATATCATTAAAAAATGAGGCGAATTTCATGGATTTTATTTTAAAAATTATTTATTAAAAAGGGATAGCAAGAATTTCCTATGTTAATGAGTCCTGTTTTACATTGACAGAAGTGCTCATCTTCTTTATTGTACAGTGTGGAACACTTCAAACAGCAAACTTCGATTGAATTTTTGATGACTTTGAGCTTTTTAGTTTTTGGGACGAAATCGTAGTTTGGGTTTTTTCGCTTTCGAGTTCTGAGGCCTTCCATAATTTAAATTGCTTAATAAGAGAGTAATTGGCTCCCCTAAGCTTATTTTGGCTCAAAATGCAATTTTGGAAGATTTTGAAAATTGGGTGGAAAATATGACCAGGAAGAAAAAGAAGGCGAAAAGGTTTGAGATTGGGTTTATTGAGATATTATAAAATGGAGGTAGGGTTGCTAGAGGAAATGGCTTAGTGTGGATTAGAAGATGATGTGTATTTATAGTGCGCACCTATTGGATGCAATGAGATCTGGGATAGACTATCTGAAGGCTTTGAGCCCGACCGAAAGCTCCGATTTCTCGGTAGAGAGATATTTTCCTCTTAGATCAGAAATCATAGGGGATTTTGCCGAGAACTTTCATTCCCAAGCCTAAACTCCAGCATATCCACCCCTTCGAGACCCTTTTCAACTGGAGAGACTGCAGCCCTTGAGATATTCTTCGAAACTTATCCTCCCTTTATATATACATAAAGACACGCGTCAGGGTCGCTCTTCACTGTTCAATTTTATGATCCCAAGACTTATTAAAAATTAATTATAATGCCCCATAGTTGAAATCTATATTCATAATCGCTATGCTTTAACTCTATAATCTATTTATCAATTAACAACTATCTTTAGTTTAACCTATTCTATGGGTTTTATTGAAATAAAAAAATTGGCGCGAGAATTTTGTGACTAAAAATTGCAGTGCTCGCTATTGTAATAAAAAATGGCATCCATATTAATCATTATTTAAATTTAGAATTTTATACACATTTTTCTTGAATTTCGTTTATTTTTATTTTATTTTATTTTGCAATATTAATGCCAAAATTATAGACAAAAGCCATGTTTTAAATGTAAATTCAGAAAATAGTCTTGAAATTCTTTGATTTAATAAATAGAAGCGGATTATTAGAATAAAAATTATTGAATATTTGTTAATAAATGAATTTATTCTCTTTTAATATTAAGGCGTGATAATTCTATTTTAAAAAATAGAAATAGTCCTTTGGAATAGACCTCTTTAAAAATTTTATTATTGAAAAAGAATTTTAACACAAATTAAAGAAAGGCATGAGTTTATATTTATCGGAGAGAATTTTAGCTTAATGTTTTGCATTTTAAAATAAGATTAAGATTGCAATTTCTTGCTAATAAGTTAAATATATAAATTCTGTGTTCTTTTTCTTTTATGTCGTAATATGCCATAACCTACAAAATGATTTTAAATTATCAAAATATGCATATAGGGAAAGACGAGAAATACTATACGGGCTTAGGGATGGAGAGCTCCTCTCTCCAGTTGGTGGGCCAACCCAGATTGGTCAAACCAACTGGAAAGTTGGCAATTAGTCTCTTATAGTTCACCATATCTCCAGTCATTCTATCAGCCAAGGACCAGTCAACTGTAGAGATGAGCTCTCCATCCCTAAGTCAATATCTGGCTATTAATAGACTTTACCTATACTTGCGAATATCCATTAAAATGGTGACATGTGTCAACCTGCCCTTGGCGCAACGGTCCAGACCTTATGGCTATGGCGAACTGGGACGGACTCGAATCAAAAATCAAGCGCAGGCTTAAGAGATGTGTACCTGGGTAGGTTTTGGCTGCTTTCCTGTGGTTGGAAATGGAGGTGCTCAATAAAGTCTTTTGGATCCAAGGACACATGGGTATTCCTCTACCCAGAAACTGAAGGTTTCGGCCCAGATCACAGGAGAGTATTTTCCTGTAGCTCATATAATCATTACTTGGGGAGAAATATGGTGGCGTCATCGGGTCAACAGAGTGGATCAGGGGTTGGCGAACTTATTTTTCTCACAAGGACGGTCTAGAGCTTCAACCATAACAGCCTGGGAAGTGCCTCTTGAGAATGAAGAAATGGGTTCGATGGTATTGGAATAGCAGCAAGCGGTCTCGCTATGGTTATCAGGCTAGGGTCCGAGGTTTTGTCCAACGCTGCGACGATGGAATTTTCGCCTTAGTTTGTTTTATCTTGGGAGATGTGAGGAAGATTAACTTAGCTTAAAGTCCTAACTAATTTGTTTGCTTGTCTGTAGCTGTTGAGGGAAGATGCTTTGGCACCCGATAGACTCTAAGGAGTTGATCCATGGAATCAAGCTACTCCAATCGCCTGCAGCAAGATCCCAGAAATCCACAATCCACCACCCACTCAAGATTAAAGCCACAAGGAGGAGACAGAAGGTACCAGAAGTGGCTCCCATTATTGGGGATAGACCCTCTGAGCTGAAGTTGAAAAGCGGTAGAACCTCCCGTATGGGAGGTCTTTGATGACTGCGTCGCCAATATGGCTAACACCTAACTTTAATAGCTTAGCCTAACCTATACTTGCAAAATATTTATTTTTTTATAATATTTATACCAAACTATCAAAATATCAAAATCTATTCCTTCTCATTTATAGCAGTAGTTCATATTTCATTAGCCATGAAATAAATAAAAAATTAAATGCTTACTCATCTCAAAGATAGATATTTTACTACCCATTTAGTTTGCTGGATTTTTGGATTTGATTTTTGTAATTTTACTATTATTTTATGTTTTAGAATCGATACTGTTTAACAGAACAAAAAGAATAATTTTTATTAATCATCTATCAGAATGGCGCCTTCTTAGGTGATGGAATTCAAAAGTAATAATATTTAAAAAAAATTATATATACATATTACTATAAAATTAGTTAATCAGTATATTTTGCTTGATCTGAAAGAGAGTTAGAAGAAGTCTTCGGTTATTTTCGTCACTAGAATTAACTCCTACATTTCCTCCACGATTACAGCTGGCTTTATCGTCTCAAGCCCAAGAATTTGTTCTTGAGTCTCATAAAACTGTTGGCGACTTGATCCAAGAAATCAAGCTGGGAGATAATGCTATAAAATCAGTCAAGCTTTTATTTTCGGATAAAGAAGCACCTCAATCGCTTACATTAGGAGAAATTACGAAAAAGCCATTCAATATATCAATTGACAATAAAAGCTATCATGTTTATCCTGGAATTGGTCAATTTATAAGAGGAAAAGAAGAATTTTTAGGATTGTGCAAAGAAGCTGGGATTTCTTTTAATGATGCTAGAATTATTATCATTTTCTCTTAAAATAGCTTATATAAATTTTAGCTACATTTCTCTTTTCATTAAAATATTATAATAAATTTTCTATCGATAATGTAAATTTTCTTACTCCAGAGTAAAGAATTAATCAAAAACAATTTTTAAAAAATAATTTTTCTGCTTACTTTAAAGGAAAGGAGTTAATAAAGTATAGCAAATACCTAGAAAGACTTACCAACTCACTCCCTAATCAATTCACATACAGCGATTTACAAGCTGCAGCAGCTTCTGCGATTGAAGAAGATAAAGCTGCAAGAGAATCCGACATCGAAATCCTCAAATCCCAAATCGCGTCTATGGAAATCGAATTGGAGCCTTTAGAAAAGAAATTAAAAGAAATTGAAGAAATATCCCATCATTATGCGAAACTGGTGATTTACGGAGGATTGACTACTTTAATAGCTCAATGGGGAATTATTGGGTATGGAACTTTTATTTTATACGGCTGAGATGTGATGGAGCCAGTTTCTTATGTAGTTGGGGCAAGCTGGATGTTTTTAGGCTATATGTTTTTTATGAAAAATAAAGAAGGGTTCAAAATAACATCATTTACAGATATGCTATTCAAAAGAAAATTCAATAAATTGGTAAGCAGTGGACATTTGGACTTAAAAAGGATTGAAATACTGAAAAAGAGCATATCTCTGGTGAATCAGCAGATTGATCTTTTAAAGCCTTAAAGGGTTTTAATAATAAAGATACTTATTTGTCTAATAGAGTATTTATAAATATTATTAAATGGATTCTCAATTATTATTTGGTTCTTCTCAAAAAGACCAGCCTACTCCAGGGCTGTTTAGCCCAAAGTCTGCCCAATAAGCCACCTTTTCTCAGCTTTTTTTGCGTAGATCCTCGAGACCCTTTAAATGCTCCAGCTCCTCTACTCCATCATCTATTTAACTGAATTTTATAGAAAATAGCCAACCTTCACCAGATCTCCATGGCATGAACCTTTTCTTATGAACCTCAGAAAATCCTGCACAATTAACAGTTATTATTGACAATAATTACACTTAAACTGTCTTCAGATATTCTCAAAGAAAGATGTCTATTTTTCGCTAGATCTTACCCAATTGCCATCCAATCTATAGGCATTACGAGGCTACAAAAAAGACTTAATTTGCCTTAATTCTATTATAATTAATTTCTTTTATAATTTCTGATTATTTAAGAATTTGATTATTGTGATTCTTTTATTGAATCATATATAATACTGATTCCTTCATATAGCTGCTCTCTGTTAATCACCAAAGGTGGTGCAAACCTAATAATATTCCCATGAGTTGGCTTAGCCAGCAGCCCTTTTTCTGCCATTTTCTCACACAATTCCCAAGCTCCACTAGGTGTAGAAATTTCTAAAGCGTTCATAAGCCCTTTTCCTCTGACTTCTTTTACAAATCCCCCTTCAAGTTTCTTGAACTCAGCTCTAAAAACTTCTCCTAGTTCTCTTGAATTATTAATCAAATTTTCTTCAAAGACAACTTCAAGGGCAGTTTTAGCGATTTTACAAGCCAAAGGATTCCCACCAAAAGTAGAGCCATGCGAATTTGGGTCTAAAACCTGCAAAACTGACTCATCAGCAAGCACAGCACTTATAGGCATGAGGCCGCCTGATAATGATTTTCCTAAAGTCACAATGTCAGGCTTTATCCCTTCCCATTCGACTGCAAGAAGTTTCCCAGCCCTTCCAATGCCTGTCTGTATTTCGTCAGCGATCATAAGTATTCTTTATTTATTTTAATGCAAAATTATTAATAAATTCTAACACAATTTAATAGAAAAATGGATACATTATATTTTGTGCACAATTCCCTTACCTTTGTCAAATACCCTTTGCTTGGCACCACAACACCTGCTTCCCCTTGTATTGGCTCCATCATAAATGCAGCTGTATTTGGGTTTTTCAGTTCTTCTTCTAAAGATTCAATATTATCATAAGGTACCAAATGAAAATTAAGCCCTCCAAAAGGCCCAAAATTCCTATATCTGTCAGGGTCATCAGATGAGCCACAAGCAGCTAAAGTTCGACCCCAGAAATTTCCAGTGCAAAAAATGACCTTAGCCTGATTGTCAGGGATTCCTTTGACTTGGTAACCCCATCGCCTTGCAATTTTAACAGCAGACTCGCCAGCTTCAGCGCCTGAATTCATCATAAGGACTTTTTGGTAGCCGAAAGTTTTGCAGAGAAGCTCTTCAGTGTCGCCTAAAAGGTTGTTGTAGAAAGCCCTAGAAGTTATTGTGAGGACTTGGGCTTGGTCTATCATTGTTTGGACTATTTTAGGGTGACAGTGGCCTTGGTTCACGGCAGAGTACGCAGACAGGAAATCCATATACCGTTTGCCTGCGATGTCCCATACGTAAATTCCTTGGCCGCGCTGAAGAACGACTGGAAGGGGATGATATTTATTAGGCACGCTTTTAGCGTGTGCCTTGAGATAATAAATTTTGTGAAAAATCTAGGTTTTATTACGAAATTTGCTCATTTTTAATTATCTGCGACAGCTTTTATATAATAAGAGCATTCTAAAATAGGGCGCTTGGTATAGTTGTGGGCGCCATAATCCAATTCTTTTTGAATAAAAGGCTCACCACCCCTGGTTAAAGATTTAAGGCTGCCGGAGTTTCTCAATAGCATTTTTGATATCATTGTATATATTTATGTCATACATATCTAGCCACATAAATTATAATTAATTTTTAGCAGTTTAAATTTGAATTAAATAGGCTTTTAAGGCAGGTATTTGGGGGAATATTGATTATATGAGAAATGTATAAGATTTGGCTGTTTTTTATGAGTTTTGCTGCATTGGAGAAGAAATGAATTGCAAGAATTTAATGGATTAAGGCATAAATTAAGTTGCTTTGGAATGAGATCTATGGTATTTATATTATCTAGCGCAACTGATTATATTATAATCTTAAAATATTTAACTTGGCTAAAATACTCTATCTGAATTAATTTTAATCAAAAATTGTAAACTTATGAAATGCTCTTTTTATTAATAAAAAAGAATTTCTGTGCAACTCAATTTCTTCATACATCCGCCTAAGGGTATCCTTTCTCAGAAGAGTTAAGTCGACCAGCCTAATTATCCTAAAAATCCAAGGGTCCATGTTCGCGCCTTCACCAATTGTAAAACTTAATAACGTCCCACAAGGAAAAAAATAATAAAATTGCATTGAAAAGTTCTCTGAGAGAGCTTATTCTACATTCCATTTCTTATTATCTAATTGCCAACTCAGTTTATAATTTTCATATCTTTCATAAATGGAATCTAAGAAAAAGACCAAGCAGGGCAAAGGCAAAAAACCTTCAAATGTCGCAAAACTAGCAATGCAGGCAAGAATAGAAGCAGAGCACGAAGAAGAAGAAAAATTACAGCAAGAAGCTTTAAGAAAACAAAAAGAAGCTGAAGAAGAATTGAAAAGACAAGAAGAGGAGCGTCATAGACAAGAAGAAATTGAGAAACGCAAAAAGGAAAGAAAAGAAAAAAAACAGGAAATGAAAAGGCTGGGGCTCTATAGGACTCCGCAGCAAATAGAAAACGATAGAAAAGATGAAGAAGCTAAAAAGAGATTTCTAGAGTTGGGATTAGTCAAAACGAGTGACATTGTAACACCTATGGGATTACCGGATGGGAGAAATAGAAAGAAAAGAGAGCAGTTTAAGCCAAAGCCTGTAGAAGAAGTAAAAATTGAAGAGAATAAAGGGGAAGATGTAGAAGACGACTTAGTATCTGAAAAATTACCAAAACGGAAAAAATCAAGGGCGATCAGTGAAAATTCTGACGGGACTAATGAAGAAAAGAAAATTGAAGAAGCTAAAATAAGATACAAAGCTCCAATTGTCTGCATATTAGGACACGTTGACACAGGCAAAACCAAACTTCTCGACAAAATCCGACGCACGAATGTCCAAGCCTCCGAAGCTGGTGGAATCACTCAACAAATCGGTGCCACAATGTTCCCTGCAGACGCTATCGAAACCCTTACCCAGAAGCTCCCAAATCTCTCCTTATCAATAGACGTCCCAGGCTTACTCATTATTGACACTCCAGGCCACGAATCTTTTTCAAACCTTCGATCCCGAGGCTCTTCTCTTTGCAATATCGGCATCCTCGTCGTCGACATAATGCATGGCCTCGAAAACCAAACAATCGAGTCTCTTTCAATTTTTAAAACCAAAAATATTCCTTTTATTGTCGCGCTTAACAAGATTGATAGGCTTTATGAGTGGTCTCCAAGCAAAGATGAAGCATTTCTGACTACTTTTAATAAACAAAGCGGCCATGTTCAAAGCGAATTTATGAGGAGGGCTAAGGAAACTATTTTAGAATTCAACCATAAAGGCTATAATGCTGCACTCTATTATGAAAATCCTGATCCTGAGGAATATATCAGCTTAGTCCCGACAAGTGCGATTACAGGAGAAGGGATTCCGGATATGTTGGGACTGATTCTGAATATTGCGCAGACAAAGCTGAGGAGTAGCATTATTTATCAGCCAAAATTAGAAGCGACTGTTATGGAAGTGAAAACTATTGAAGGGCTTGGGACTACAATTGATGTGATTTTAATGAATGGGGTCATAAAAGAAGATGATAATATTATTGTATCTGGGTTTAATGGACCGATTTCTACAAGAGTTAGAGCTTTATTGACACCAATGCCGCTTAGAGAAATGAGGGTTAAAGGCGAATATCTCCATCATAAAGCACTAAGAGCTTCTATGGGTGTAAAAATATCAGCCCAAGGTTTAGACCACACTATGGCAGGTTCCCCTCTTTTTATAGCCAAAAATGAAGAAGAAATCCCACGCCTTCAAGAAGAAGTCCAAAAGGAAATCACAGAAATTTTTAAATCTATCAACAATAAAGACAAAGGAGTCCATGTCCAAGCTTCAACTGTAGGCTCATTAGAAGCTTTATTAGAGTTCCTAAAACAGTCTAAAATCCCTGTCAGCAGCATCAATATTGGCCCAGTTTTCAAAAAAGATATAATGAAAGCTCAAACCCAAATAGAAAAAGGGAACGAAAAACAATATGCAACAGTAATGGCATTTGACGTAAAAATCACCCCAGAAGCGCAGGAATATGCAGATTCGTGTGGGGTAAAAATAATTTCTGATAATATTATATACTTTCTTATATAAATTTTATTAATATCCTTATAAGGCCATTACTATACATAGCTCAAGGAAACTCAGGATATTTCACCTTTTCGATAGGTTCACCAAATATGTAGAAGACATAAGAAAACAAGAAAGACTAGAAGGGAAAGGGAAAGATGCCGTTTTCCCATGTCTGCTTAAAATTGTTGAAATTGTGAAAAATTCAGATCCCATTACTTTAAGGGTAGATGTCGTCGATGGTGTTCTAAAGGTAGGCACTCCATTATGCATCCACGAAAAAGAGGATTTAATTATAGGAAAAGTCGAATCAATTGAGCTTAATGATGAAAATATCGAGCTGCAGAGGCCTGGGCAAGGGAGTGTTGTCATAAAACTAAAAGGATTAAACCCTGAGCAAGATGCTTATGAGGCAGGTAGGGATTTTGAAGAAATTGATGAGCTGTCAAGCTGGATTACAAGAGAGTCTATTGATTTATTGAAGGATTATTATAGAGATGAGATGACTATGAATGATTGGAAATTGGTCAAAGCTTTTAAAATCAAATATGAAATCGATTAATAAACGTAAAAATCAATTAGGATAATCCCTTTTTTCTCATTATATCAATTAATTCAGAAATGCTTCTTTCGTGCCGCACTTTTTCGTTTTCCCCGTGGATCCTTCCTTTATTGCTTGATATAGTTCGCATTTTCAAAGTTTTTTTCCCTAAAAGTACATGAGGGTTTGATATGTTTTTTCTGTACTTTTTTACGGTTTGGTATCTTTTTGCTAAATTTTCGACGGCATAGCCGGATTTTATATCATAAAGTCGGTGGGAAAGACGCAAATTTTCGCTTGAAATTCTTTTTCTTTCTTTATTGATAACTCCTGATCTTAATGAGACTTTTTTTATAACAGGGGAGAGTTTTTTAATGGAATTTTGGCTTAGAAGCCCGTCTTTGATAACATCAGCGTCCATTCTATTAATTTCTTGTCATAAAAATATATTTTTATAATCAAAAATGCAAAATAAATAATCTATAAAGGTAAATTAAAATTATTTATTTTATAAAGAAAATAAGTATTTCAAAACTTTCGGTTGAGACACTATTAGAAAAGGATTTGTCATCAATAATTTCTCGATATTTTTTAAGTGGTGGCGAAATATACGGATAATCATTTACAACTGAGATTTTTTTTATCGACGTATTCATTATTTTCCTTATCGTGCTTTGGTGTTGAGTTTTTCTGAGTTCCCAATCCCTTTTTGCTATTGAATTGTTAAAAGTATATTGGTTCATTTTCAGAATAATTAGAGTTATTTTAAAGCTAAATTATACTAAAATAAATTATATTCCATTAGAAATCTATATTTATTTAATTTCTTAAAATAAATAGGCTTTTCAGCTACTTTATAATGTTTTAATTCCTTTTCCTTTAGCAGCGTCCTTCATTTCTATCACCTGTGACCTATTATAAAGCCCACTTTGTGATTGGTTGAGTCCCATCATTGACGCTCTCACCAGATCTTTTTTCTTTTCATACGCCAGTGCTGTAAACGAAGCGATAAGTAATAAAAATGCAAAGCACAGCCATATCAAAATAAACGTAAAACAAAGCTCACATTTAATTTCATAAGCTTGAACTGTCCAAAACGGGCCAATTAAGCTCCCTAAGAGTTCAAGCATCATATAGCTCACTGTATACTCTGAGCCAGGCCTATAGCCAATTTTACTATAAAATAAGCATTCTGTATTCCCAAGCCCAAATGGCAATGCAAAGCTTTGAAGCACCATAGAGACGATAAAAGCCCAAGTCGGGATAATAGACGTCCATATCATCAGTGCTTGCCCAACACCTATAAAAATAACAGCAATAAATACCAGATATCTGTTATCAACAACTGGGTTTAAATTGTATGATAAAAATGACCCAATTGTGTCAAGGAAACCTTCTATAGCAAAGGCAATGTAAACTCCGTCCACTGATAGAGAAAGCTCAGATACACATTTAAATTCGTGAGGTGTTGCAAGCAATAGGATCGGGAGGGCAACTTTTTTAAGGGATTTTGAGAGATAGAAAATAAACCCAAGAAGCATTACTGTGAATATTGCTAAATGCCAGTTTCCGACCTGGTTTACGATTTTTTCAGAATTGCTATAGCTGGTGATTGTTTCGTGTCTGAAAGTTTCGGCGTGGTCTGTGCCTTTATCTTTGGAATTCAGATTTTCTAATTCCTTTGCTTTTAATAATTAATAATCTTTCTATAAGGCATTTTTTCCTAATAAATGGAATATTCCTATTTTTTAAAAATAGAGTAAGCGAATTGATGGATAAAAGAAAAGCATCGCAATAATCATGATAAGGACACAAATTATTTGAATATACCCTGGGATTGTCCCAACATCGATTAAATAGCCAGAAACTGTCAAAGAATAATAAGACCCTGCAAATCCTAAAAGAGGTCCTAAAATAAGCCCAATTCCTTTATATAATTTAATAGATTTCGTAGCTTGCTCTCTTTTGGTTTTAACATAATAAGAATTTACGCAGATAATTTCGATTTTTGAGACACAGCCTATATATTTCTTACCTATCCATATCCCATGTAATGCTAAGGACGCAGAAAAAGCACATAACCCATAAAAATTCCCAAGATGAAATCCTACACAATAAAGGCAGCTTGCTAGTAAAGCTACAAATAAAAAGGAAATGTAAACTTTCCTATGTTATTTTTACTTGGAAAAGCATCATTGACGGTTCATGAACACCATAAGTTTCCCGATTATTTGCAAGCTTTCTAATGCAGCTACGCCTAGCTGGAATCAGCTGCTTGTAGCTTGTAACTAATATTAAGGTTACAGCGAGAATGTTGTACCATAGAGCAGGCACAATAACACCTAAACAGATTCCTTTCAAAAGATTGTTTAACTGCAAAATATGCAGTAATCTATGCTGCTCTTTAGATATATCTTGAGACATTTATATTAATTGACTATTTAAGAGGATAACTATTAAAGTTATTTAGCTTTGAAGCCGATAAACAGCACCTTATTAAATCTGTCAATATTTATTATTCTAAATATATATCATAAAGCTTATATATAAGCACCTAAACCTCTATTTTTCTTTATGAGTTTATTATAGATCTTTATTCTTTAAAAGCCTCAAATTGTTGAATAATTTTTTATTGAAGCTTCTAACTGCAATTCCCACAGCTCATCCAGCAAAAATCTAGCTAAATATAACTGCTTTATTGATATAAGCACGACTCAATAACCCAGAATTCCAGCAATTAACTAAAACTATTTACAATTAATTTTAAACTCCAGATAAATTACAACTACTGATCTCGTACTTTGACCTACCTTTGGGAGCAACTTTGTTTCTTTCATTTATGCTTACAAGGCATCTGCAGAGCCTTCCGATTAAATACATATATGTGGTAGAATTAGTTCTGTTAAGTGAATCAACGTCAATATCATTTGTTCGCGAGTTATCATTATCATGTATATTTAAAGGACTGATTTCGAAACTGGAATTGCTATTTAAGCGATTTGGAATTGGGAGCTTGAATTTTTCGTTTGAGTTTTTGTCAATTCCATTAGAGACTACAATTACTGGAGGTGAAAACGCATTCATATCTTCTTTTTAGAATTTCTATTTATATTACTCCCCCCGCCATCCTTGATCGAACGACTCGCCATCATTCGATCAAGGATGGGGGTTAAAAAAAATTTTTCGGGAAAAAAAATTTATATATAAAATAAAAAAATATATAGATATTTTTTTTTTATTTACTTTTAAATAAGAGGGTTAAGCATATTTAATAATATTTTTACAGCAAAAAATTTAATTTATTTCATAAAATACCAATTTTTAATATTTTGATTTATTAGTTACCCCTTTAAACTGTATAAATTTTAATTTGCTCCTTATTAAATTAATTTTTTTAAAAAAAATTTTAAAGAATCTGTATTTTATTAGATTATTGAGTTTTTAAGCATATGTTAATGACTAAATCACTTCGGATGGTTGATTCCGCAGCTTTTTGTCGTCTCAAAGCCTCTGAAAACAACTTCATTATGCACATCTTCCCAAGCTTTTGATAAATAATATATTTTTATATATATATAAAAATTTACATGATATGAAAATCGTTCGATCAAGGATGGGGGTTAATTTCCCCAATTTTTAGGAATTTTTACAGTCAATCGTTCGATCAAGGATGGGGGGGTGAGTTAGCATTATACAAAAAATGTATTTTAGCTCATTGATTTCAACTGCTAGAGAGAAATTTATGAATTTTCATTTTCTTGGGTATTTTTATTTACTTAAAAAATATTTTTCTCTTAGAACGCATTATTCTTTATTTATATTAAAAATGCTTGAAATCCTCTAAGCTTCGGTTCTTTCTCTATATGGAGAATTTTTATCGCTACCAATCGAGCAATCAGACACTTTAGCGGACTGAATGATTTGGATTATAGAAGAATCGTGCTCATTTTGGTCAGAATTTTCTCCAACTACCTCTTCTGACGCGTCTTCTTTATCAACTAAGCCTTTTGCTTCTCGTCTCTTCATTATTAGCTCATAAGTTGTGAGATCATTTCAAATAATATAAACATGGAAACCTATCAAGTAGGCATTAGCCATAAAAATCAAAAAACTTGAAATAATCATAAATCAGATAATAACTAAAATCACAATTTTCGCATTTTTTCCATATGCATCTTCACATTTATTTTCAAAATCATCAGAGTTATCAATTCCTAAATGGATTTCATAAGCGCAGCATATAATAAAGAACAGCTGGTTAATCTCGACTACAAAGATTAAAAGCAAAAAAAATATTTAAATGACTACTAATTTTTATCCAAAACTATTAAATTATTTTTTTTCCAATTAGGGATAAGACTTTTTTATTCAGAAAAAAATTATTTAATTATTAAAAAAAGGATTATGATAATTTTTGCGCCCAATACAATTGTTGACTCATTTACAATGATGATCAAATTTATCTGTACACCTATTGCACCTCATACAGTGTTTGCTATCGGCAGTCACTGGTGAGCTGCAAAGTGAACAGTAATTTGTATAAGATTTTGTGAATTTTTCTCTATTTGGCTATTACTTTTTTTTCTTGACGGAGAGGTATTCTAATACCATTGGATCAGTTGGGTTTGACGCGGTTAATATATACCCTAAAATAATAGTCAAAACTTGTAGACTTCCATATATGATCGACATGGAAATCTGAGCATTTGAGTCTTGAAATGGAATTATTAAGGCATAAAATACAAAAATAGTGACAAGAGTTATCACTCAGCTTGCTATTTGGTAGGGGTGGAATGGCAAGCTGAAGCCTGAGCTTTTGATTTTTCTATTAGATTTCATTTTATCATGATCTTTTTACAATTAAATTTTTAAGTTTCTTGCATAAAATAAAAAATTTATTTAATTTTCTTGCATAAAATCAAAATTTATTTAATTTTTTTGATTAATTTGCTCATCAATAGTCTTTCTAAAAGAGATGATGGCTCTTCAACAATTAGCCATAAAATCAAAGCGGCAGGCCAAGATGCCAAGCTTAATATAATTAAATACTTTACAAATAGCATTTCACTAATTATAGTCGATCCTTCGGTATTTCCAAAAAACCCAACAATAACTGACATATGGCACAAGTAAACTGCATATGAAATCTTTGCTAAATACCCCCAAAATCTGAAGGTCAGAATTTTATATATAAACCTCAACCTCCCTAAAAGCAAAGGCAGCAGAATCATTGCTAAACCAATCGCAAACCCTAGTCTACAAGTTCCGATAAACACAGCATTTTCTCCTGATGTTCATACATTACTATTTGTCAAATCTCTATATAACTGCCTTTGTATCAAAATTAAAAATAAAATAATCGCAAGACCTACACAGAAGCTAATTATAGCTCCAAATTTTGTGTTTCTGATATTTTTTATTATTAATGTACAAGCTGGGTCATTATGTGTATCTTCTTCTTTGTTCACATATAGTTTTGTATATCTCAAATACACAAATCCTATTAAGACCCCTATAAAATATGGAAGAAATCGAGTTCAAGGCTTTTTATAATAAACGCTATCCCATGTACGAAAATCCATATTCGGGTCAAGTATATTTGCCTTGAAATTATATTCTGCTGCGATAGTGATACCAATAGCGACCCCTCCAATTATAATAATCATATTAAGTACCCAAGCCAGCCACTTCGCAATCTTATAGTAAAGAAAGATATATAATTGACCTACTAAAAAGAATTGCATATCATTTGCCAAGTATCACCCAACTGCAAAACATGGATTTCCGTTTCCATTAGGTATAAAATTATTAAAAATAAAAGATTTGTCCATCAATAGTCTTCGCATTGCTTTATATTGTATTCTTTTATATAACTTCAGATAGGCCCGCTGCCCATAGATGGCCAAACTGTATTAAAAAATAGCATTAAGAAAGCATACAATGGTAATAGCCTAAAAAATCTATGGACATTTCTTATTGTCCAATCCATAACTCCTAATTCGCCTCTTTTCTTCTCTATATCATTAACTCCCCCTAATCCGTAAGCTAGCAAAACCGTTAGAAAAATACCTATTCTTTGGATAGAAACTCACCCTCTGTGAGCGAAAAAAAAAATTTAAATAAAAAATTTGTTTGATAAATATATTTTGTAATACAAATTATAATTAATATAAAAAGATTCTGTGACTTTAAAATTTATGATTTAAATTTAAATTTTTAATTTTTGCTTTTTCAGATTTTTTTAAATTTCAAAAAAAAATTATATAATTAAAACAAAATCAAACAATATTTTTTTGTTCGCTCACGGAGAGGGGAGTAAGTAATAAATATCCTAATAAAAAGCCACTGAAAAAGAAAAAAAAATCCACTGCAAAAAAGCCTCCATATATAAAAGCGACCCATAATTTCCCTGCTATTTCAGGAAGTTCAATCATATTTGTGACAATTCTAAGGCACAATATTAAAATGGCAGTAAGATAGGTCCTAGAGACCTGCTCTGCAGGTAGTGACTTATACTCGGACTTAGTGAAAGAGGTCGATCCTCCTGAGAGTCTAGAGTGAAGTGAAGAGGTCAGTGCTGAGTCTGGCACTGATCAGAGAAATCTTAGCGGACTTGATAATATTAACGGTTCGAGGTTAGGAAGGTCCACCTACTGTTGTTCAGAGCTGTTAATCAAGTTAGACCTCAAGCAAGGAGACTGAATATAAAGTGATTTCATTTAAACTTAAACTTAAAATTCTAAGGCTATAGAACCCAAAAACGTGAGAAGAAATAATTCACGAAATTGATAAGACTCTCAAGGAGTTTAATACGTTGCTATTATCACCTTTTTTAGTTGTTCTTATTTCAACTAATTTTGATAAGTTTGAAGTAATAGAGAAGCATCTTAATATTTCTAAAGAATTTGATAAAGAAGAGCTCTTGGTGTTTTGAGATGAGGAAAAAGTTATATTTTTAGTATTTTCAGTCAGTATAAATTTGGTTTTTATCCTTTCAGTTTGTGATTCATATATAGCATCATAGTATGTTGCAAGTCCACAAATAATTACCAAAGCAATAATTAGGAATATTGTAAATAGTCCACCAATTTCCATTGGATACTCAAAATTAACAAGAATTAATTAATAACTGAACTTTAATTATAGATTTTATAATAAAATAATAAGATTTATACATAGGAAGCTATTGTTTTATATAGAGACCATTTAATGAAGCACAATATGCAAGAATCAATTATTATAATTTATAATAATAGAATAATAAAACGAACAATTATCATTTAGCTGCTTTTAATGCAATTGGAACCCTCATAATCAGCGAATTTTCATTAGCATTCCAAAAACGAAATATTAATAGAGTTCGCTAAATTAAGATCAAGCTTATCCCATCATCTCTTCAAAGCCAAGAATTGCTGAGTATAGTAAATATATATACCAATATATAATGCTAGCCGTTATCAAGCTAAAACTATCTCGCTATAAAATAATAAAATAATTATTCACCTTATAAAGCTAAGTCCTATCAATTCAGTCACCTAAAGTTTAATAGTGCTCTATGAGAAATTTTCATACATATTTTTCTCACTCAAGAAGGGAGAGAGATTAGGCATTTTTGATTAGCTGTCACAGTGCTGATTAGCCAAAATAAAACTGCAACAGTCACCATTCATTACAAATATTTCTACTAAAAATCTAAGAAAATAGTTAATATATTACACTTCAGTTATATTTTTTGGATTAAATATAATCCCATTTATCAGAGCAGACTACTGTTATATCTATAAAATTACTTTAAGAGCTATCTAAATAATCCCTAATTTACCCTATTTTTAATAATTATTACTACATAAATTTAAAAATGGGAAGTGGAGCATTCAGCTGCTGTGACGCAATTGCAGCTTCCAAAGTTAGCGAATTTTCATTAGCATCCCCAAAAAATAAGACACTAAGAGAGCCTTCCGAATTAAGATCAAGCTTTATTCCATCATCAATCCAAAGTCAAGCAGAGTTCAGGATACCTAATATAGATCAGCACATAATGCTACTGCAGTCGTTATCAAGCTCAAAATCGCTTCGCTTAAAAGTAATAAATTCTGGAAACATTGAAAAAGGAACACTGTTAAACATTAGAGCGACTGGCTTGATAGGATCAAAAAGAAACTCAAATGACGGATACACATATTTTGGCTCAAAAAGAAAGCTGAATGGAGCAATTGTGAATGATTTTGTGATACCTTTAAAAGACCAAGAAACAAAAGAAAACCATCGAGGAAGGCATTTTGTGATTTATTATATTCTTTGCTATAATGAATTTATTATAAAAATGCCTTATTTTTTTTGCTAAAATATTAATAATCATTTAAAGTATAGAATAGACAAAGATTCCTATTGAATTCGAGACTTATCCAAAGGCTTCGGAGCCTTTGTAAGGCTAGACTACGCTTTGGTATTTTTTATATAGATTTTAAAAGACAACATGCTGATTAACTTAGGCGAAAGCTTCTTAGTCGTCAATTTAGTCTCCACCCCTGAATGCAGTCCGCCTAAGCTGAGTTTAAAAATGTACACAGGATCTGCTGGAGGAGAAGTATGATCTTTCCACGCAGCCCAGCATGTGAATTCACATATTTTGGTAGGAAGAAGCTTAAATTGTAACATAAAAATCGAAGACCCTTTGCTTTCAAAAATCCAGTGCTCAGTTTTTTATAATCCTGTGTCAGGGTGGACTTTAATGGATGGAGACGTAGGAAGCCAAAAATCTAGCACCAATGGGACTTGATTGTATTTAAATGAAGACTTTGAAATCTATAATGGCATGATTTTTAAGTCAAACCAAACGCTTTTCCAAGTAAATGCTACATAGGCTATGCTTATTTGGGGATCATAACTGTATTTTATTAAAAAATATTTTAAAAAAATTATAAATTTATCAATTAATTTATAAAGATTACAGTTCATATATATCGTTTTTCCTCTGGGTTAGTATTTTTTCGCAAAAGCAAATATTTATTTAATTTGGAAAATTTATGTTTTAAAATGCAATTTATTTAAAATAAACAGAATTAGAGATAGAGATTTCATGATGATTATTGTCACTTATATATCAAAATTTTTTCATAAAAATTGTTTGTCCGCTCACTGAGAGTGGGTTCTGTGCAAAATTAGGGATTTTTCCAATGGTTTCGTTCGTTCATGGAGGGAGTAAGAAAGTTAAAAAACCTCCTGAAATATTTAACGGGCTGCCTCACTGATATTGTTTTTATGTGTTTTCCGAGCTGAATATACCTGATATAATACTCAACTTTCTTTTTAAACGTATACTGATTCAAATAGTCAATAATTGCAAATGTATACCATTCAAACTCTCTGTCACTAGAAAACGAGTCATTTTGTTCCTTCCTAAACACTTGTAATAATATTGAATAATCCATAATTTGATGCTTCATTAATAAACTCGCATCTTTTAAGATCTCATTCAATAAGTGTTTCCTGTGTCTCGAAGAAACCTCAATTTTTCGATTTTCCAGCAAAAAATCTCGGTCCTTAAAAGGGCCAATAAAAGCTTCGTCAAATTTTTTGCTGGCTGATCTTTTGTGGGTTGAGCCTTTTAGGTCATAAAATCTAATCATGTCAGGCCTTTTTAGGTTTTCGATTAAAAGCAGCTCTAATGGTGCGAGCCCAGGGACTCTGACTGTATAAACTCCGTAAATCCTACATAAAAAAGATCCTCTGTTAAAATATATATGCTTATGGTATGCTTTGAGCAGATTTTTTACCAGGGTTTTTCTTTCGGCTTTTCTTATAGTTTTTATTACGAATTTCCCATCCTCGGTAAAAATAAATAAGCTCCCAGAACCTCCTTGTGCACTATGAACAGAAAATAATGTTGATTTATTATTTTGTGGATTTATTGAATTTTTAGTTGATTCTGCAGTTAATTGGTCGAGCTGTCTTAAATGTTGAAACACCTTTGGTGCATATTCCTCAACGAGGAAATAAGGAGAGGTTGCGATCCTCAGCCCATAAAGCTCATGACTTAGATTTCTATCAGAAATTTTATGAGGTATCACATTTTTATAATTTTCATCATTAAATGTATCATAGGTGAAAGCTTCATCCACCTCTTGAGATCGCCTTAAAGCTTCATAAATCCCATAGAGCAAGCAATAAGTGGTTTGGGAGCCTAAGTTTTTCTGCATCATTTGCGAGATAGGAATATTTCACATATCACAGTAAAGCTCGATATAATTTGAGGGAGCATCATGCCTGAGCTGCCTTTGTTTTATGCACCTTTTGGAGACATTCCAAAATAAGGGTTCGCCATTTCTGACGAATGCCAATATAAATCCAGAAGAACAGACTAAAATATGTTTATTTAGATAAGCTGAACAGCTTATTTTATAATATAAAGCCTTATTTTTATTAAAATAATTATTAATTTGTAGTAAAAATATATAAAAAAACACATAAATAAGCATAATTCCAAATTGCTGGGCCAAACCAGTGCTTTTATCAAAGAAATTTACCATTGCAAAAGATCATACAAAGGTAAAAATGATGATATAAGAAATGTGCCTCCGGAAATACTCCTTGGCACCTCCATGCAGTGAGGTATAATCCATCGCAATTCTTACTCACGAGTACACCAAAGATACTGCGGCTGCTAATAAATACGCCCCATAAATAGTTGCTAGTCAGCCATAGTTTCATAGCTCTATATAGTAGTCTGTCATGCTCATGCGGCACTCCCTGGTTTCTGAGTTTTCAACGGCATTATAAATCATCTGAGCAATCATTAGCAAAAACCCAAAAATATGATAATACTTCATCCTTGATCTGCCTGTAATTAAAGGGTTTCTTAATGTAATAAACTACCTTACTTGATATATTTTTATACAAAAACAGCCAAAAAACCTATTTTTTTATATATAATAACCCTATAATCAAGGTAAATTTTTATCATTATTTAGAAAAGAATAATGAGATCTATGCAAAGAAACAGGTTATAAGACATGACTGCAGTGACCGCACCACAGAACAGCGTTTGATTGATCGCACATGTAATACCCCTTGCTGTTTCTTCATCTATTGAATACAGACTGAGGATTTGCAGCACGATATGCGGGCCTTCTCCGTTTATTGACAAATCTGTGTCTAGAGCTAAAGCGATACTGTGATGACACATAGAAATCTCAAATATTGAAATTCAGGCAAGGATTTCTGATGGATGCTGATGCAGTTCTTTATTGTAATAATAGACTAAGGATACTCACACACTAGACACTAAGGATAGCGCACTGAAAACGAGCGTTGTCAGCTCAAAGCTGAATACCATATTCAGAGAAAATTTCTCAAACTAACACTAAATAAATTAGGAAATTGTCTGTGAAATGAAGATAAATTTAAGGATGGTTTGGATATAGCTGGATCTTGTTATAGGGACTGATTTTTGAAATTCAGCAACATAAAAGTGTCGAATAAAATATAAATCATCAGATAAATTTTCGACATTAAATATCTTCAAATTATAGTTAAATTTAGTTAGCTTGCTAACTCCCCCCCCCCCCTCCCGTGAGCGAACAAAAAAATTTTGTTCGCTCACGGAGGGGGTTAATTTTTTTTTTTTAAAAAAAATTTATATATAAATTTTATAAAAAATATTTTTTTCGAAATTTAAAAAAATCCTAATTTGCAAAAATTGGGAAGCAAATATTAATTTAATTTGCAAAATTTATGTTTTTAAAACGCAATTTGTTTAAAATTAAACAGAATTAGCTCTAGATTTCATTATACTAATTATCACTTATATATCAAAATTTTTTTTCCATTAAAATTTTTTCTATTAAAAAAATTTTTGTTCACTCACGGAGGGTGGGTTTTTGGTCAAAAAATGCGATTTTTCTAATGGTTTTGTTCGCTCACGGAGGGGGGGGGGAGTAAGAATAATGGTGGAAATTAATAAAAATTAATCTTGTGGGTGATGGGAAGTTAAATCAGTTTTAAATGAATAAGGAAATTATATTATCTACCCTTTTTATGGTAAAAATTATTATTGTAAAACAGTCTAATTTTGGTAATTTTGCAGCAATAATTTATATAGTTTACTTTTTGATATAAGATCTTAACATAAGAAAAAATCACAAGTGTGCATATGGATAAATTTTTGTCATTAAAGGTTATAATTTCCCTAACTTTGAAATATTGAATTTATGGGCAATCAACAAATTTTTCGGCTAAAATTTATTAAATACGATTTGATGTTTTAGTGTAATATCTCTTATAAAATAAATTGATATATTTGACTATTGAGTAATATTATTAGACATTTTATGAAGAAAGTCATCTTAACTAAAGCGGGAAACGAAAACACCACTGTCAAAATTTTGCCATGCAGAATTGATTACTCAGGCCCAGCTAATACAGAAGATTATTTGCCTGAAGAAGACTGTGGCTCTCTTTATGGCCGAAAACTCAATGGAGCCACAATCCCTATGCCAGATGGACTAATTGGAAATATAATTGAGGTTCGTCAGCTCCCAGATACTAAAGAACTCACCTCTATCGCCGAATTCAACAATATACAATACTGAAACTATGATCAGCCTGCTGATAAAAATGACCAATTACCGCAGCTGCTTAATTATATCGAAATTTTATCATCCCTGCACAACGCCTAATTGATTTTTTTAATAATTAAATTCTTTTCAATAAAATTAAATTATTTAATAGCATTATTTTTTACCAAGAAAATCTAAATAATTTCTCCTTGCTTAAATGACAAATGGCATACTTTTTACAGTAATTAATATTAAAAGATGGGCTGCAGCATCAATACACGAATGAAACGACCACAAATCACTGATGTACCACGCATAAGCCAAGTCGGGGAAATACAAATCAAAAAGGACCAATTTGTACAAGAAAATCAGCATCGTTTCGCTGAGGTCTACCAAATAGGAGAAAGCTTAGGTTCTGGGGCTTTTGGCGAAGTTAAAATTTGCTTCCAAAGAGACACAAGACAAAAACGAGCTGTGAAAATTATGAGGAAAGACCTTATGAAAAGTGAAAGCAAGCGAGACGACTTGGAAAAAGAAATCAGTATTTTAAGATCAATGGACCATCCGAATATAGTAAGACTATATGAGTTTTTCGAAGATCAAAAAAGAATTTATACCTGTCAGGGTGTTAGGGTGTTAGAGTGTTAAAAATTCTTAGACTAAGCTTGATAAATATTAATTTTTTTAAAAAGTTATATTAAATAGGCATACATTGTTATGGAGCATTGTGCTGGTGGTGAACTGTTTGATGAGATCATTAAAAGAAAAAATTTCCAAGAAGTCCATGCAGCACAGATTATGTATCAGTTATTTTCTGCCGTTGCATACTTGCATAGCCACCATGTTATACATCGAGATTTAAAGCCAGAAAATATTTTATTAGAAGAAAGTAACGACACTTTGAATATAAAACTTATTGATTTTGGCACAGCTGTTATGTCAAATAATAAAATAAAAGACGCAATGGGAACTGCCTACTATATTGCACCTGAAGTTTTAAGTGGCCAATATAGCGAAAAATGTGACATGTGAAGTTGTGGGGTTATTTTGTATATATTATTATCAGGTAGGCCTCCTTTTGACGGCAGAGATGACTCGGAAATACTCATAATTAAAATATGGCGACATTTTGGTTTCCGATTGAAGATTTTTATCTAGCATATTTTAATTTAGAGATTTGTTTCACGTAGTGAAATTACCCCAGCTGAGTCAGGGAAGTAAGGGCTGAGAGCTTTCCTATCGAACCCCTGACATTAGAGAATTTTATTTCATATCCTACTCCAGGTAAGAAGACATGGAAATTTAGAGTGCCTGAGATTTTTTAAGACTGGCATCCTCATTATTGAATGAGAGAAGAAGATCAATGCTGCCGCACTTTGGAAAGCTGATAGAAAATGGAATGAATGCGCCATGCAGCTTTAAAGGCATCTGTATCAGCAGGCTACCTAGGATTTTCGCTAAACGTGATAGATTTAATTAAGACTAAGACTCGGAAATAGTCAACAAAGCTCAAATCGGGAAATTTGATATAATAGATGATCCATGGGGAAGGATTTCCAATGAAGCCAAAAATTTAATAACCGGGCTTCTCTGCAAAGCAGAGTCCAGACTGTCAGCTTCTCAATGCCTCCAACACCCTTGGATTACTTCAAGAGCCCATCGACCTATTGCTACCGAAGAAATCATACAAGTCGTCATGAGAAATCTGACGACTTTTCATAATTCCAATAAACTGCGTGACGCTGTAAATACATTTATAGCTTCTCAATGCATTTCTATGCAGGATACACGACTTCTGCGTGAAGTATTTAGAAGTATGGATAAAAACGGGGACGGCAAATTAAGTAGAGAAGAATTGATGGAGCAATATGTATGGTCGCTCGGGGAGGCTGATGCAGAAATTGAAGTAACTCCTATTATTTTATATATAAAAAATTTCCAAAATATTAATAAATAAATAAAAATAAATTAATTTTTGTGAATATTAATGAATTTCTATATAAATAGAATTATGGAAGAGGTTGATGCAGACCATAATGGGTATATAGACTATACAGAATTTTTAAAAGCCACACTGGATATGAAAAAATTGCTATCCAGCGACAACTTAAAACAAGCTTTTAGGATGTTTGATAGAGATGGAAGTGGCAGTATTTCGGCTGCTGAGCTGAAAAAAATACTAGAAGGGGGAGTAATCAGCGATGATAAAGTATGGGATGATTTAATTGTACAGGCAGATCAAAATGGAGATGGAGAAATTGATTTGCAGGAATTTCAGGATGTAATTTTATCAAAAGTTTAGGGATTTTTTTGTAAATAATCTTATTTAAAAATTGTTAAATATTTTTAAAGCTATATTACTTATTTGGCAAAATACAAATTTAAATAGAGAATATCAGTTATTTTATAAATTTAAGATCCAATGCTTCGATGTGGCCTATCCCGCCTCCTACTTCTTGTTTCCTGAAGAACTCTCATTTTTTCCGCTTTTTCTGAAATTTTCGCTTGAAGCTTTTCCAATATTTCTCCCGGATTTTCAGCTTCTTGCTGTATTTCCTTCTGAATTTCCTTCTGTATTTCCTGCTGCTTTATTTCATTTTTTTTGCTCATTTTCATCAAAATCGGCGTCAAAACTCTATTTTCCCATTTTTTAATATGATTTTCAAACTGGCTCGCAAATTCCTCAGGCGACTGGCTTCTATAAGAATTTCTGCTTTCAGGCCTGGAATCTCTCCTTGACTGTAATTCATATAAAATATCCTCCTTAATTCTGCTGATAATAAAATTATAATCGCTGCTAAGCATGTTTGGTCAAGCACAGGTAGCAACCCTATATCCCCACCCCCCACCCCCCCTAAAAAGTGGTACCCCTACCCTCCCCCCCCCCTAAAAAATGGCACCCCCACCCCCCCTTTCACAGATGGCACCCCCACCCCCCCTTTCGCAGATGGCACCCCCACTCCCATCCCCCATAATATAGCATAAAATATATGAAAAAAAATGCCAATTTAGAGCAGACGTAATAAATAAAATTATTATTTTAAATATTCAAAATTACTGATTTATGCAATATCCACATAGCGTAGCACAATCGATTAAGGAGTAGATGGAATGGGGTGAGAATTTCCTATAACTAGTAAGCTCACAAAATCTGAAAAAATTTGTTAGCAAGCATAATAATGATTTTTGGTATTAATTAGCAATATATCCTGCATATATTTATGAACTTTGTGGAACAATGGCTAAAAGTCGAATTAGAGATCCAAAAGTAAAACTGACAATAGCAAATACTATTTTTATTAGCACTATTGAATCCTGCTACCAATTCAGTCCTGCAATCTTTGTACAATGGTAATCAGATTAGCTTTAATTTATGAATCAATAAATTTAAAGCAAGTTATTGTATTATCCTTGGTTAATTTAATAATTAATGCCATTATCTATATCTTTGACATTATATCTATAAATATAAAAAGCAAATTTAATATATTTTCTAATTAATTGCTAATTAATTTAAATTTATTAATTAATCATAAATATAAAGTAATTTGTGGACTTAATTTAAAAATATAGTGTTTTAATTGGGTTATGTTTAATTTATTCTGCTTATTTCCTATCAAATACTTCTATAGGATAAACCCGAGAGGGGGGGTGGGGGTGCCATCTGTGAAAGGGGGGTGGGGGGGGTACCATTTTTAGGGGGGGTGGGAGGTTCCCTTATTGGGGGTGGGGGTGTCTGGTTGCGACCTATGCTTGACCACATGTTTCTCTGTAAAGAATCCACGTGGGAAGCTAAAGATGATATTTGAGATCTCATGGTATCTACAGTGGTTGCCAGCATGTCGTTTTCTTTTTTTATGTCTTCCTGAGGCTTTTGAGGCGGCTCTTCTTCAAAAATCATAGGCTTGTTGGTGCTGAGATACTCTATTTGTAAGGATTTCATGGTTTCAGTTAATTCACATAGCTGCTCCTTTAGTTTTCGGTCTAAATTTTGAGGCTGAAAAGGGATTGGCTTTTGCTCAGGGATTAGAAGAGGCTCAGGGGTGCAAGTGGCTGCTGAAAAATCATAGCCTCTATCAGGAGTATACTGTTATAAATCAATGGCGAGTTCTTATATTTATAATCTTTTAACCAACAAATTCAGATTAAAATGAGATAGAAATTGAGGAAAGAAATGGATTTTCAGTTAAAATTTGTTTTTTGACCTTTGGGATTTCTTCAAAAAAATAAATTTGGTTTAAATAAGTCCTGCTTGCTCCATATGTTTCGATTACAACTAGTTTTAAATAATTGTAGCTCGCTGATAGCTGGTTTATTGGGAAGTATTGAGCCCCTGCCCGAAATTCCATCTGAAGTGTCGCTCATTTTGTGTAGTCATCGTTATTTTGACTTACAAATAAATCAATGATGGCAGGGTTTGAGTTATAAGCATGCCAACAGAATACGCCAAGACATTGGAAGGATGATGGTTTTTGGATTAGTGTGCTGAAATCTACAGTGAATGATTGAGGCATCCCTTCTCTTGAAAGCCAAAGCTTGTTATCTTTAGAATTCAGCACATTAGAAGGATGACATCCATGTGAGTATGAGCTGCAGTCAATGATTTTGGCTCCGTTTTCATAAGTTAAATAATTTATCCCTAGTATAGTGAAAATAAACATTCGGCTTTTCTTGTTGCTCTATTTCATATACTAATAGAAAAATGTTTTAGGCAGAGAATAATTTTTTTTTTCATTTTAATAGGTATAGTAAAACTCCACTTTCATCTTCAAATTCCATTCTTACACCCTTAGAATAATTAATAATTTTTTTTTTTTTAAATTTAATAGTCCATAAATTGATTTAATATAACCAAAAAAGTTAGATTTATTCATAAATAAAAATGATAAAATTGATAATAAAATTTACAATCCTTCTACGATGAAGGATTAATTATTTTGTTGATAAATTATTAAGAAAATTATTTGCTAATTGAAAAGTAAATGGCATTAGAAAATTAAATGATGAACTGGATGTAATCTTTACAAAGGGGCGGAGCCAAAAAAAGACTTCTTGAAGGCAAAAAAAAGGTAAACCAGTTCAAACGAAAAGTAATTTATAATCAGAAAATTTCTCAGTTTACAAGCAGGCCAGAAACAATTATAGATATAAGCCAAAAAAAATCAATCACAAGCTTAGCTAATCTCTGTTCAAAGCCTGTGCTGTTAGAGCAGCCTACTAAAGAGATCCCAAAAGAAGAAAGTTTTGATTCCCTATCCAGCAGAGACGAGTTTGGGGAGCCCCTAAAATTAATAGGCGGTATTCTTTTATATAGATGAAATCATCTATCTTAACTAATTACTATTGCTGACTGAATTAGCCTTTTATAATTCGTTTTAAGTAAATAATCCAATTATCAAAAATACATTAATTTTCTTGAGCGATATCTTGGCCACTTAAATCCTCAATATTTTCATCAGCAATTTCGACTTTTTCGATTGAAGGTGAATCCTGTTCATTTTCTTCTTCATATGAACTGTTTATTCCGAGTTGGCAATGATCGAATAACAAATTGGGATGGCTTTTATACTTATCAATACCTTCCATCTTGTATCCTATGTTTCCTAAGAGTGTATCAGGATCATTAACACTTATAGGAATCCCAGTGTTCATTGGCAGCAAAGGCAGATCTGCTTGGCTATAAGGAATATTATAAATATGCAGAAATAATCTGAATTTGTCACTATTATAAATAAAGCCTTATATTAGCAACTTTAATTCAACCCAGTATATCAAATGATGATGTATAGGTTTTAAAACACCCTGAAAAAAAGCTTCATGGTCTTTTAGCTGATACTTCAACAGTCGATCTTCCAGCCTGTATCATAAAATGAGAATTTACATCTAGCAGAAGTGGACGCTTTACTTGTACCAAAGTCCCAAATTTACTTTGATGGTCTTCAAGGTAAAACGCTCCGTCTTGGTATCTTATAAGGGCATGGAACCGTGAGACTGAAATATCGCTGACTCTAAGCTCACAGTCATTTCCTCTGCCAAGCTTTATAGCAGTTTTATTAGCAAGACTTAAAGCAAATAGACCCTTGTGAGAGACTTTGTCTTTATTCAGAGCTTCTAAAATAATATAGTTTCCAGGAGGTTTCGGGACTTCTATAAGGTCTATCACTTTTTCGCCAATTGCGATTTTATAGGGATAGTTTTTCATGCAGAGTTCACAGCTTAAAGATTTCCACGCAAGTGATATCATAAACTCAGCTTAAATAAGCCTAAAAAATCTAAAAAAGGCTATTTCTATTTTTAAATTATTTACAGTGCTTGTCTTATAATAATTCAAAAAAAATTAATCTTTTTGAATATATTTTCGTTGGCTTTTTTCACGATTTTTGACTTCAAGCACCTCCGCAAGCAGCTTAAATGAATATATTTCATAGTTCCATTGCATTTACAAGGAGATATCAAGGGGTTATTAGTTTGATAAACTTCGCTTAAGCAAATTCTGCAAGGCAGCTTAAAAGTTTTCCCATCAGTTTCGTCTTCGCTTTCAATGTGATCCAAGTCTTGGAGAATTTCTTGTAAATTGACTTTACTGTCTTGGTCTTGGAATTCTTTTTGATGCAGCTCTTTTACCCTGAATTTAATTCGGCCTAGTTTTATGACGTCTCCTTCACAGAGTCTATAGCCTTTGGGGGTGGATTTTAAGCTTTTCACGACAAGTCAAATTCGCTCGTATTGGGATCTGTCACACTTTTTTCCGTCAATTCAATCTGAAGGAGCTATTGCAAAATGGCCTATATGGGATTTTAATGAATTTTGTATCGGATTATTTATTTTTAAAAAAATCATATATTGCAATAATTTGAATTAAGGTGAATTTATAAGCCTTTAGTTAGGCCAAAGGGCCCTTGTAAATGCGAAAATATAGTATTAAACGGGATATTTAATTGAAAAAATATATATAGAAGATACCATCGATAAGTTTGATGCTAGCTAAATTTTTATAAAAATCTGTAGTATTTCCTTTAAAGTCTGAAGAAATTACTACGTCGTTAGCTGAACGAATCAAGACACAAGGAGATTGAATGTTAATGGTAGATTTTACGAGAGATTTAGACTCGTAATCAAATAATCCGTGTGAGTCTTTGAGCCAAGTGGAGACGCTTGCTGTGATTCTGAGTAATTTTTTACTTGCTCCCCCTTTTTGTGAATTAGTGAGTTTTAGCTTGCAAACGGCTAATCTATTTTAAGCTTATATTAGGGGTTTTTTTTAATAGTCATTAATTAAATATAAAATATAGTTTTCACCAATATTTTATATCACAAAAATATTTTGTTTGCTAGCAAAAGGGGTTAATTTCTCTAAAATAGATCGCTAGCCAAGGGGAGAGCTAATATCGCTTCTATTCATTTTCTTTTTTAATTAGGAATTTATCGATAAAGTTAAAATCTATACAATACAATTATTCCGAAAAGGGTAATTTAATGGTTTCAAAGGTGCTTTATAATCATTTGCGATGTGAGGGAATTCTTTACTCCCCCCCCCCCCCCCTCCGTGAGCGAACAAAACCATTAGAAAAATCACCATTTTTTGACCAAAAACCCACCCTCCGTGAGCGAACAAAAATTTTTTTAATAGAAAAAATTTAATGGAAAAAAATTTTGATATATAAGTGATAATTAGTATAATGAAATCTAGAGCTAATTCTGTTTAATTTTAAACAAATTGCGTTTTAAAACATAAATTTTGCAAATTAAATTAATATTTGCTTCCCAATTTTTGCAAATTAGGATTTTTTTAATTTCGAAAAAAAAAAATTTTTTATAAAATTTATATATAAATTTTTTTTAAAAAAAAAAATTAACCCCCCTCCGTGAGTGAACAAAATTTTTTTTGTTCGCTCACGGAGGGGGGGGGGGAGTTAGTAAGAAAAATAAAAAATATTTAAAATAATTTAATATCTGTGAAAAATTTCTGATTCCTCAGCATTTGAAGAACTGCTATAGCTTTCAAAATAATAAAATAGGCTTTAGTGTATTATATTTATTCATATAATAGCATTGCAATTTTATTTAAAAGCATATAAAATTAAATTTTTGCATTTTCAGAATAGAATGATAAGTTGATATATTATGAATCATAATTTTATTTCTTAAAAATTTCGTTTATAATTATATTTAAATCTTTATATTCCATAAAATAAAATTTTCAAAAATTAGCAGTATAGTGCTGCATAATTTTTTTCTTATTATGATACCTAATTTAATTTTAAAATTTTGCTTTATTTATTGATAAATTTATCAATTTTAATTTATTAGCTTGACTATTCGCAATATCAGTATGTATATTTTTTAATAAAATATAGCTAGAACTTTATATTACCCTAATCAAATATACCCACTAAGATTTAATAGCAATTTAATACAAAAATATTAATTTTATCTGAAAATAATATAAGCAGCTTGTAAAATATTTTATTATAAAGTATATGTGAATTAACTCTAAAGCAATATTTTCCCTGCTGCAAACTCGCTATCTTTAATTTCCTTATGAGGCAAAATAATAGTCGCATTCAAGAAAACTTCATCCTTTACCACAACATCTTCTCCAAATACACTTAAGCCTTCAATCCTTACCCTTCTCAAGGAATAAAATGGTGATGGGATAGGGACTCCAAGATGCATATACTGATAATGCGATGGGCCGAATGATGGGTGGCGAAAAAATGCTCCTAGTGAGCGAAGTAGATCATCTCAATGAAAAGCCTGCTGAAGCAGGGTGGTTTGTATAGCTCCATGTCAAATAACACCGTGTATATTTCTTTGGTCGAAATTTAACTTTTTTTTTTGGGTCAAATCCTCAATTTTTGCCATAATGTACTTCAGTGAAATATACACTATCAAAATGCACGATCATAGACCTGCAACGGTTTTTATTTTCACCTAAGGCTTCCTGTCCCTACCAGATGGGCTAGACAGGTTTTGCTCTTTTCTTATCGGGACACCTGAGGCATCTACTGAGGGGTGACTCTACCTAGAGCTAGTTTTGAGACAAGTGGCTCAGGTGAGAATCCAAATGGCGGCTTTCCATTTTTCTCTTTATCCTAACTATAAACTTCATTTACCCATCTCCCAATCTTATTTTTCCATCCAATAATGCTTCCGTTAATCCAGCTGTGGCTATTAATTTCAGTCCCTGCCAAAATCACTGAGTTGGAAATCCTTGTGCCTGATTTTACTTTGCAATTAGGGCCAATACACACATTCGGACCAATAATACACCCTTCTTCAATTTCAGCTGTAGGATCAATCATTACGTTCCCTGCAAACTTACTCCCATGTATAAGCTCCTGTGAATTCTTCTTTGCCAAATGTGCTAAATACAGCTCAGTCCCTGCCAAATAGTCTTTTGGGATCCCTATATCCATCCAAAAGCTTTTAAGTGTAACCGCACATAGCTGTCTATCAGCAGCCATAACAGGGAATATTTCTCTTTCTATAGACGTTGGTTTTGGCTCAATTCTATCTATCATAGAAGTCTTTAATAAATAAAGCCCAGCATTGATTTTGTTGCTGATAAATTCCTTACCCGTCCATAAATGAACAAATAAATTTTGTTCACGGGGTTAATTAAAAAAAAATTATATATTTTCTACGGTAAATTGTTTTTTTCAAAATTTATAAATACTAATCGCAAAAATTGAAAAGCGAAAATTAATTTAATTTATAAAGTTTATGTTTGAGATTGCAATCTGTTTAAATTACACAACAGATTTAGCTAGAGATTTCATTATATTAATTATATCATTTATATATCAAAATATTTTTTGTTCGTTCAAGGATGGCAGCTTTTTGACAAAAAATAGGGATTTTAATGATTTATGTCAACTTAGAGAGGGGGATTAGGCTTTTCCACAAATGACAAAATTTCATTGGCTTCATTGGTAACTATAACACCATATCGTGAAGGATCAGGGACTGGGAAAACGACTAAAGTCCCTTCTTTTCCATGGGCACGATGAAAATCGATCATTTCTTGGAATGGGTAATCACAGATTATGTCACTGTTAAGCACAAAAAAGGAGCCTTCCGGGTTGTCACGTGTCAAAATATCCTTAGCTAAAGCTAAAGGCCCAGCTGTGCCTAATGGGGTTGTTTCTTGTGAACAAATTATATTGACTCCGTATTCTCGGGCATATTTTTCAATACTTTCTCTCATCATTTCTGGCTGGTAGTTTATAGCAAGGACAATTTCTGTAACCCCTACTTTGGCGAGAGCTTCGATTTGGTGGCATACAATTGGTTTATTGCAAAATTCAACGCATGGCTTAGGGCATGAAAAAGTTAGCGGTCTAAGTCTAGTGCCGAATCCACCTACCAAAATCAATGCTTTCATAATATTCTGAATGCTATTAAATTTATCATTAAATGGTAAAATTATTTTTATAGATAATTTTATTGAATTTTTATATAAATTCAATTAAATGCACAATATAATTATTGAAAAATAATATTAGCACACCATAGTTCAAATGTGGAACATATTTATTATCAGCTTAATTTTCTGTGACAGATTCCATATTAAATAAATTACGTGTGGAAATTTGGTCTCTATAAGTTTATCTAATAATTATAATCCTTGTATCTGCTATGCAAACTTTTTAAAAATTATTTTATTTATTGCTTGAAATTATAATATTTTATAATAATTTATTTATTTACATAAATATATAAATTTGTACCCTATTCAATTCATATAGGCTAATAATCCTTCAATTTTAATATTCTCAATTACATTTAAAGAATTTTTTCTCCTATCATAGCCTAAAAAAGTCGTTAACATTACCTCCATTTTACTTTTTAAACAAATGTTTCTCAGAGAAAGGGAATCCTTGACTCACGCAAGTACAAATTTCTTAAACAGTGAAAAAGAAAACTTTAAAGTAGCCATTCGTGTCAGGCCTCCGCTTGAAAGAGAAATCGACCCAGCTTATGGTTTCTCTTCAATTGCCAAAGTCGGTAATGACCAAAACACTATTACTCTTCTTGACTATTTAGGATCAGCCACAAATGATATGGCCAGAGAGCAAGATATCTACGAAAACCCAGCACTATGCAACTATCATACCTATACTTTTGATCATGTTTATGATCAAAACGCCACACAAGTCGAAGTTTATGCTATTTTCTATCAATTTTCCTTTATAAAAATTATTTTTCATTGCTTTTATAGTTAATTATAAATGAGTACGAAACTACAGCCAGGCCAGCAGTTTCTTCAATTCTTGAAGGCTACAATGCAACACTGCTGGCTTATGGACAAACAGGCACTGGCAAAACATATACCATGGAAGGCTTCAAATACGACTCAAACGACTCACAACGAGGAATAATCCCCAGAGCAGTTGAGGATATTTTTAAATTTATTGAATCTACTGACAATTCTAATTGCAAATTCATGGTAAGAGCTTCATATTTACAGATTTACAATGAAAATATTTCAGATTTATTGAAAAATGATAGGGTTTCTCTACAAATTAGGGAGGAAAAGAGAAAAGGGGTCTTTGTGGAAGGACTGTCAGAATGGGCTGTAAGGTCGCCGAGTGAAATTTGTTCACTTATGCAGAAAGGGGAGCTGGCGAGGGCGACAGCTTGTACAAAAATGAACGATATGTCAAGCAGAAGCCATGCTGTTTTTATACTTATAGTAGAACAGCTGACTTCAGTTGAAGAGTCTACAGAAATCAAAGTGGGGAAGCTAAATATCGTGGATCTTGCAGGAAGTGAAAGAGTTAGGGTCACTGGGGCGACTGGAAAGCGACTAGAAGAGTCTAAAAAAATCAATCAAAGCTTATCAGCACTAGGAAATGTGATAGCTGCACTTATTGATACAAAAAATAGGTCGCACGTCCCCTATAGAGACTCCAAATTAACAAGGCTGCTTGAAGACTCCTTAGGCGGAAACTGCAAAACTACAATGATGGCTATGATATCCCCTGCCTTTGAGTCCTTCAGCGAGTCACTCTCCACTATAAAATTCGCAAACCGTGCCAAAAACATAAAAAATGCCCCAAAAATCAACGAAGATGTCGACCAGCGCACCTTGCTCCGAAAATACGAAATTGAGCTGCAGAAGCTCAGAATTGCCTTACTCCCCCCCTCCGTGAGTGAACAAAAAAATTTTGTTCACTCACGGAGGGGGTCAATTTTTTTAAAAAAAATTATTTATAAATTTTATAAAAAATTTTTTTTTCTAAATTTAAAAAAATTATAACTTGTAAAATTTGGAAAGCAAATATTAATTTAATTTATAAAATTTTTGTTTTAAAACGCAATTTGTTTAAAATTAAACAGAATTAACTTGAGATTTTATTATACTAATTATCACTTATATATCAAATTTTTTTTCCTTAAAAATTTTTCTATTAAAAAAATTTTTGTTCACTCACGGAGGGGGGGAGTTAGAAGAAAAAAGCCAAGGGGTCATCGACATGCAAAAGCTGATGGAGCTTGAAGAAGAAATGAGAAACTGCGAAGCCGACAAAGAAGCTGCAATAGAAGCCTTAGAAAGAAGGTCCCGGGAATATTTACAAGAAAAAGAAGAAAAAAACAAGCTAGAAGAACTGATTAAAAAAATGGACTCACAAATGCTGATTGGAGGGAAAAAGATTGAAGACACCCCTCAGTTTAGAACAGCCTTAGAAGAAAAGCATAGAGAAATGAGAGAAGAGTACGATAACAGGATGCGGGAAATAGAAAAAGAAAGGGAAATGATAGAACAAGACAAAGCACAGATTGATAGATATAAACAGCTGCTGCTAAGGCAAAGAGATATTATGATAGCGCTGACTGCGAGGCTGAATGAAAGAGATGAGACCATTATTCAGCTGCAGGAAGATCTGGATACTTTTGATAAAATCCAAAAAGAGTATGAAAATTCGTTGCAGAATAAAAATTCCAGGATTGAGCAGCTGGATATGATTTTGAAAGCTCATGGGATAGAAGTGCCAGAGGATTTCATGGTTCCTGATATAGTTCAGGAAAAAGAGCCCAGAAAATATCAGCCTTATTCTACTAATGAAATAAATATTGACCAAGATTATACTAGAAAATATATATTTGCCTTGATAATGTCTCTTTTTATTTTTTAATTATTTATATTAAATAATATACCATTTTCCATTACAAATGTTAACTGCTGAAGAAAAAATAAATGAGCTTTCTCAATTAATAGTTGAGAAAACTAAAGAAATTGAAGCTCTTCATAGGAATTTTTCGAAATTTGAAGAGCCAAAAGAGCAGATTGATACAATTAAAATTAAAGGGCTGATTAAAAATGGAATTTTGATGAAGCTTGATAGCTTAAAGGCAGGAATTGATATTATACAGAGTTTTATTAAGTAATGTTTTAAGATAGAATGATTAATTGCATTATTGGCAAATGCTGGGCAATGCTTTTAAATAAAATAAAATGATATAATAAAGAAGAATATGGTGAAATTAATGATATTTTGAAAGGCGTGTATGATACATGCTGAAGCACTCTTGCATATCTTGGAGATATTTATTTACCTAATTTAGCTCTGAATTTTCAGCATTTCCCTCTTTAGCTCTTATAACTTCAAAAACGAAATCTTTATCAAATTGTCAATTCCTCTTTCTTTTCACCTCGACCCTCCATCCAATCCACAAATCTTTGAAAATAAAGTGCAATTTCATGCATCATAGATTTTTCTCTAATAATTCCTTCAAGTACTCCACTAACTTCTAATTTCAATAAAATTTCCACTCTAATAGCTTTTTAAACTAACAGCCATTTGAAGATGAATTTCATCCTTTTTCATTCACCCATCTTCTAGTAAGAATTTGCATTGAGCCCAGCCCTGAGCCTAAAAATGTCTGCAACTGCCTGCCTCCAGAGGAAGGTAGGGAGGGTTTATTATACGGGGCCAGAAATCCGACCTCTCAACTCTCCCTTATGGGCGAATTTTATTAAAATGGCAGAATCTAGCCTAAATCTCTCTCTGGACTTGCCCAAAAGTACTTATCTAGCCTTGATTGACTCGATGGTCCCAATCTGGCCTGTTCTTCTGCTTCTCTCCAGGTTTTTGCTTCAGCATCTCTTCATAAAACCTCTTACTCCCCCCCCCTCCGTGTGAGTGAACAAAACCATTAGAAAAATCGCTGTTTTTTGCCCAAAAACCCCACCCTCCGTGAGTGAACAAAAATTTTTTTAATAGAAAAATTTTTTATGGAAAAAATTTTTGATATATAAGTGATAATTATTATAATGAAATCTCGAGCTAATTCTATTTAATTTTAAACAAATTGCTTTCTAAAACATAAATTTTATAAATTAAATTAATATTTGTTTTCCAATTTTTGCAAATTAGGATTTTTTTAAAATTTCGAAAAAAAAAAAAATTTTCTATAAAATTTATATATAAATTTTTTTTAAAAAAAAAAATAACCCCCTCCGTGAGTGAACAAAATTTTTTTGTTCACTCACGGAGGGGGGGGGAGGAGTTAGTTGCCCTGTCCACTCGGAAGGGCATTGTTAAGTGTGTGGGTTCATCTTGGAGATATAAAAGAACAGGATAAGCCAAAAGAAAATCTAGCCCCAAATACGAAAGAAACAGCTATTAATAGAGCAAGGGCACTTACAGTAGATGAAATACTTTCAATTAAAAGACAAGAAATGAGGAAAAATTTAAAGCAGATTCAACCAAATAATTATTAACTCCCCCCTCCGTGAGTGAACAAAAGCATTAGAAAAATCGATATTTTCCAAAAACCCACCCCCGTGAGTGAACAAAAATATTTTTAATAGAACAAATTTTGTACGAAAACAAATTTGATATATAAGTGATAATTAGTATAATGAAATCTCGAGCTAATTCTGTTTAATTTTTAAACAAATTGCGCTTTAAAATATAAATTTTATAAATTAAATTATTATTTGCTTTAGGATTTTTTTAAAATTTCGAAAAAAAAATTTTTCTATAAAATTTATATATAAATTGTTTTAAAAAAAAAATTAACCCCCTTAGTGAGTGAACAAAATTTTTTGTTTACTCACGGAAGGGGGGGAGTAAGTAAAATATTTAATTATACATCAAGAACATCAGAATAATATTTTGCTAAACTAAAAAAATTATTAAAAATAAAAGCTAATATTAGGCTGCTTTGCAAGATATAAAGAAATAACAGCAGACGCTATTATATAAGGCAATATTGATAAAGACATGCTGTAAATAATTTAATGCATAATTAATTAGAAAATAAGTATCAAAGCTGCAATAAGATAGTGATTTATTACTGAAAAGGTTATTTAATATTATGTCTTTCTTTTACATCAGATCGCATAGATGCTTGATGTTCTGATACAGCTTGGAAATGTGAATAAGGAACCCATGATTCAATGTCAAGTGCTTTATTAGGAACTGGGTGCTTCTGTAGATACCGACGATTGAGATAACTATTTGGGCTTAGTTTTTCATAGCCAAGCATAGCTGCAAGGCCAACACCGCTGCCCATCAAGATTTTAGATGTCAGATTTGGATCCATTTTTATTACACCTTTCTCAGTTTACTTTTAATAATTTATAATTAAGTTGGTATTTTATTATGACAGAATTCAGATATAAATCTTACGAGTGGCTCTGTATTTTATAATTAAAATAATAATTATTAAAATTTAATGGCCAACAATAATAAACTATTAAAATTATTATTTTCTACTTGACTATTCTTTATACTGATTATTTTATAGTAGATAGCTGTAATATTTAAAGCACAATTCTCATCTAGCTTTTTAAGCAAGGCTTTATAATAAGATTCATTGGGCTCCTATGCATTCTTATGAATTTTTAAAACAAGGTAAATCTTATTTATTTATAACGAAAATCTTCTCAAAAAAGGCATAGCATAAAATTCTAATGGCGATTGAGTCATTAAATGCCTTAGAACTACTTTAAAATTTAGGGCAAAATAAAGCACTAGTCTTTAAATTTTTTTTAATACTCTAGTAGGTCTAGTTCTATATTTCTTATGCTAAATTTAAATAGCCTTCGATTGCTATAACTTTAATTAAAAATAATAAATATGGAGGCATATCAATTTAAGGTAAAAGATTGCAATGTCTTGCTAATTTTAATTGACATAATTATTACTATGGTTTAATGATTACTTGGGTTATAATGATGACTGTGATGAGAAAGTTCTTCATCATGCATTATTGGAACAGATCTTAATCTTGGCCAAAATTTATCGCAAATTCCTTCTGGATTATGGAAATCCTCATGCACAGCTTCTCTTCCAGCTTCACAAACTATTTCAAGGTCATTTTCAAATATCTGACTTATAAAACTTGGTATCTCCTTTATCTGTATTTCAGCCCGAATTCTCCGGACTTCTTCTCCGACGTTCATAAGCTTTTTTAGTTTCCCAACATTAAATATGCATCAAGCTAGCAGTTTTGCTTTTTGCCATCCAGGTAAGTTTTCTGGGTTAAATTTTTTCTCGAATTCATCTACATCTACTTCTTTATTTACATCCTTAAGCAACTAATTATTGGAAAAATCCTCATTTATGGCAAAAACCACCCTGAGGGCTAACATAAAGATTTTATAAAATTATTTTGACATCCGTGATAGCTATTATAATAAATTCGCCAAAAATTCTATTAAATAATAATGCAACTTTCATTATAAAAAATTTTTGCAAATTAATTAATTTGTAGCATTCAGATTTTTTAAAATGATATAAATAAAGAGAAAGTTGAGTTAGTAGTATGTCAGCATCTTTAAGCACTGTGCAGAAATTGAGCCAATTATCATAGATATTTCAATAATCATCTTTAACTCACCAATATTCTAAAAACCATTTTTTTAAAAAAAATATACAATTTGATATATTAAAAACATATTTAGCATACGTTATGAGTAAGCAATTCTTTATTCAACTCAATATAAGGGAATGCATCTGAATGAATTAAATTAATTTTTGAAAAATCTCCATCGCAGCTTGCAGAAAAGCAAATAAGCATAAATTTGACTAGATTTTGGGACAAATGAGGTCCTGAAATTTTTTGTTTCTTACTCCCCCCCCACTCCCGTGAGTGAACAAAATATTTTGTTCACTCACGGAGGGGGTTTAATTTTTTTTTTTTAAAAAATTTATATATAAATTTTATAAAAAATTTTTTTTTCGTAATTTAAAAATATCCTAATTTGCAAAAATTGGGATGCAAAAATTGGGAAGCAAATATTAATTTAATTAATAAAAATTTATGTTTTAAAACGCAATTTGTTTAAAATGAAACAGAATTAGCTCTAGATTTCATTATACTAATTATCACTTATATATCAAATTTTTTTCCTTAAAAAATTTTTCTATTAAAAAGTTTTTTGTTCACTGAGGGTGGGTTTTTGGTCAAAAAATAAATATTTTTCTAATGGTTTTGTTCACTCACGGAGGGGGGGGAGTTAGAAAAAAAAAACTAGAAAATTCGACAAATGAGGGGGGGATCCTTACTAATTCATAAAAATAGTTTTTTTTACTGTATAAAATATAAATACTGCTGCATTTGGCCTAAACAGCGTAGTATCGAAAATCATGCTTTCTTTTTTTTGTGATAGCCCAACTGATGCTTAAAAATGGTTAATCAGTCTGTCCTCGTAACACCTGTAGCCAGATGGATGTCTGTGACCTTGCGGAAGAGAGAGTAGCGTACGGTGAGAGTGTCCAGTTTTAGTTTATCTGGTGGAGCGAGATGTCAGGTAGACCGACCGCAAGCCACATCCAGGCAAGGTTTTACCTTGAGGGAAGATGGGGCTTGGAAGTTGAAAAGGGATAGCCTAGCAAGGCTAGAGAGTATTCGTTTAGCCAATTGAGCATTTTCTTAACTCGATACCAGGAATTGTGTATTTGGCAACAATTTCTCTAACCAGAAAATTTTACATTTTAATTTTCGTGCAGCTCTGTTGACGTAAGGTGCAGGAACTCAGCGTCCGGGCTACGAATGCAAGACCTCGTCCTGAGGGAGCAACACATGCCTTCAGGCTGCGTAATCGGATTGCCAAGTAAGGTTAGAGTGAAGCAAATGATGTGAAAAGTCGATATGGCTAGCAAGGAGCTAACTTATAAATCCAAGGCAAGGATAGCCCAACTGAGGCTTTAAATAAGTCTGCTGAATGCTTTAAAGCTCTTGAGTTTATGACTACTTCATTTATTAATGGCAGAGTTATTTGAATGTGATCATCAATTTCACCTATTCCGCATTTTCCAAGGCTTATTTCTTGATGTTGTAACGTATTTTTAGCGCCCATTTATATATAAGATATGAATAGAAAATCAATTTTATTATTATTGAGCTCAAATATTGATGTTCTTATTTTTAAATTTTTTCTTATTTCTCCTAAATATTAAACTCTCCAAGCAAAAATATCAACTAAAAGCTGAAAGATTATTCCTCTTCTACAACCTAAATTGGATTTTAAGTCTTTTGCAAGCATTAAAATTAATCAACTATTATAAAGCTCAATTGCTTTAAAGATTAAAGATTAGCTAGAATAGGCCTTTTTACCAATACATGCATATATATATTAGCGCTATTACACACAATAAAAAATTACTATCACAAAAGTTATAGTATCACCGCCATTTCCACCACCATCACTATCATCCGAATTTTTATCTTTTATTATCTCTCTATAAAACTCTTTTATTTTTGTGAAGCTGAAAGAATTTTTTTCATCTTAAAATCAATGTAGTACCTACTAATAAAAATATCCCTTAAAAGCTAGAAATCAATATCTCTATAACCAAAACGAGGTAGCATTTGGAGTAAAAATTTCTGATTCACTATTGTAAAATAATAAATTAACTTTTCAAGCAGGTTCTAAGAAAATCTTAAAATAATTTGAAAGTCCTCATTTGAAGCCTTGTCTCTTTAAAAGAAATGAAGAACCGAATCGTCACTATCAGAACTTTCCTTTAAAAAAGCAGGAATTTATTATTTTTAGCTATTAAGATACTAATTTTAATTATTTTTTACTGTCAAAATATCTTGATATACTTGCTGACCAGGAGATTTCTAAATGAGCTGATTTTATCTTCTATACGTCTCTTAAAGATTAATAATATAAGAATAACCAAAATACTATTTTAAGGTAATTCTCCCATTTTTACAAATTCAGGTCCTCCGTCATCGACAAATATTGGTCCTCTCCTTCTCTAGTTTCATAGAAGTGCATATACCTATATCTAATAGGTACGTCATCCACACTTTGCACCTTCTTTTCTACTCCATCAGGAAAAAAATTTGAATTATCAACATTTTTCTTTGGCCTTGTGCTTTCAACTTCTGCAGGATTGGTCTATGCTTTCTTTCTGGTTACATTATCTTTTTTCTGCTGATCAAGCCAAAATAGCTTACTAAATAGCTATTCTAATGCCATTTTTATGTTTATTAATGGCTAATGATCATTGAAATTATTTAAATTATGGATTTTTTTCGATGAATGCTGAAATTATTAGTGGAAACAGAAATCTTAAATTAGAAATTATGGTCTGCCAGGCGTTGAATCTCGTTTTAATCCTGCCAATGCACCTAGTTGAGTTGATGTTTCAGGGAGTCTTGACTCCATATTTGTCTGATCTGCACCAATATCATCTTTTTGGGGTATTTTTATAAATAATATATTTTTTATATAATTAAACAGAGAATTATTTTAAGACGAAATCTTTTCTGGCTGCTCTTTCGTGCAAAAAACTATTCGGGTTAGAAAGTTGATATATTGCACCAGAAAATAATAAAATAACTTACTTACTTAATTATTTATAACGTTTAACGTCCACTACGGGGTCACCTTGTCCAGGGCTTCCACCATGTTTATCCATGTGTCAGGTCCATGGACCTCTGGATCGATCCACTTTGTTGTGCCAGGGCACGGTACAAATACGATGGTTCCGGCTTTGACGGGCTGCGTTCGCCTCGCTCTTCCTTAATTCAACTCCTGCGTGTGTTCCGCCTAAGGGTCACCTTCCTCGGGTGTGCTGAGAGGTAAAACTTCGAGCCTCTTGATGTGCTTGGAGCAGTGCCTCGGCTTATTTGCCAGAGTTAAGCTGCTATTGCTGTACAGAAGGAGAGAAAATTAGCAGAGCTAATTTCTCTCGGACCGAATGCCATTTTATTTATGGAAATAAAATAACACTTACTGCAATCAATGCTTTGCTATACACCTTTGGATCCATTTTTTAATATAAAGAAATGCTAAAATTTCTTCATTGGTAAGTCAAGAATTTTCTGATAGCTTTAATTCATATTAATCTGAACTTTTAAATCTGATTAATTTATATTGTTCTAGTTTAAAATAACTATCCAAATTCCATCATTTTAATAGAAAATTTTAAAAACAAGCATTTTCCTTGTTAATTGTTGATCCATATTTGTTAAAAATGCTATATTTTATATCTATTTGGGAGGAATATGACTTTTAATATCCTCTTTGACTTCTTTTTTCAGCTCCTGAGCTTTTTCTGAAGCACGGGGCATTTGGTCTTTAACTTCAGCAGCAACTCCTTTCTTTATCACCCTGACAGCTGTCTTTGAGTTCCAATAGCTGTTCGGGTTATACATCTGGTATCCAAGGAATAGTGCTGTTATTCCACCTATCATCCAAATTGTGTTGTTTCCCTTTGTTAGAACCATTTTTATTAATGGCTAGATTTAAATGGACATTTAAAGAACTTTTCAGGAGGAAAAAAGGAGTTGAAAACTGATTTAAGATACCAGCCTCTACAAAACGATAACTTTTATAAGGTAAAGTAAGTCTAAAAGCTCTGCTGATTCCTATTTGCATTAATCAAAAATTCTTATAGTGAAGTGACTAGCTTTTGATTGGGTGTTATAGCTAAAATAATCAATTAAAATCAAAAATTTGGCTTTTCTATACAAATTATTTATCAAAGTATATAAATCCACTAAATTATAAACTAACCCTAAATGGACCCATACTCTGAAAAAGGTCTCGAAGAAAAAATCGCCACAATCCGAGCTACTCTAAGGCGTCTCGGAAACTCATTAGAAGAAGAGGTAATCTCTATCCAAGGACTTCGACAAAGAAGAAATTTCGCACTCAAAATCCAGCCAAGACTCCTCAATTTCAAATTCTTTTAACATCCCTGCCACATTTGACGCTTTAAAAAACCACATCCAAGAATCCTACACCCCAGACGACCATTGGGAGCCTACACAGCCATTCGAATACGAAAAAGAAAAAAATATTCTTCTCGACAAACAATTAAAAGAAAAAGACCAAAAAATCCAAGACTTGCTTTTCTTACAAAGCGATCTAAAGGATTCTATTGAAAGAAATACTGAAGACCTCAAAAGGTTTCAGGAAGAAAACCATTCTTATAGGCAGCAACTAGAAAATTTAAACAACGAGAATAATGGTCTCAGGAGAATTTTAGATGAAAAAGACATAGAAATTGCGAGAAACAAGAATGAGATTGAAAATATGAAAAGGGAAAAAGAAATGACAAGTAGAGAGCTTGAAAGGACAAAAAGACAAGCGGAAAAAGTAGATGGGCTGCTTGATGAAATAACTAGGCTGAAAGATTTAAATGTATTGCTGAAATCTAAAGATGAGACTAAAAAAGAGTCAGATAATGGCAAGCTTATTAATTCTTATCAGCAGCAGCTAAATGTGAGGGATAGCCAAATAAATGAGCTGGAAAAAGAAAGGCTGATGCTTTTAAAAGAAATCGATAGGATTAAAGCAGAAAAATCTCAAAGCCCGAGTAAGCTGTCAAGAGATTTCAATTATTTAGAAGCCACACAAACTAGAGAAAGCACGTTAACTCAGCCTATGACTGATAGAACTCAATCTGTAAGCTCTTTATGCAGAGATATGATGAAAATTGTAGGTGTTTCGCATAGAAAAGATTTATATTCAAAAGTGGTGCATCTTTATCAATTTCATGAAAAATTCAAAAAAGACAAAAAACTTTTAAATAATAAATCTTTCTATAATAACTGCCTCAATAATTTTAAGGGTTATTCCGATTTTCTAGGTGAAAATAGCAGATTTTTTGGGTCAAATTTAATTAAATAGAGCATATGACAAAGCTGATAATTGATTGCTCTCCTCCAAATACATTCGATAAAAGCCCAAATGTCCATCAAATCTGGAAATGGCTCACCTGTATCCTTGAAGAATATATGAAAATCAGGCAGTCTCCTAACCAAAAAGTAATCAATGAATTATGTGAAATTTTTTCAGCTGAAACGCAAAATTTAGTTGAAAAAGTAAAGGATGTTATTGCAGAAAATTATAAACTCAAAAAATCAAGGAGCCAGGACAGCCAGACTAAAGGAAGGAAATTAAGCTAATTAATAAAAAATAATCGGTAAAATGACCAATAATAATTTTAAACTAAGAGCTTTCAGATAGCAATAATACTTATTCTAATAGCCTTTAGATTAAAGGTGAATAATTATATTCAGCCTTATTATGCATTATAAGCTGATTTCCAACGAAATAAAAGCTATCTGATTTAGTTTCCCATGGATTGTCAATCATTTGTTGTAGGAGGTCTTCAGGAAGTTCAGGAATCTCATATATCACTTCCCAAGAGTTTCTGGTATTTGGGATGCAGAAATCCAATGTAAAATCAAAATTCTTAACTCCCCCCCCCCCTCCGTGAGCGAACAAAACCATTAGAAAAATCGCCATTTTTTGACCAAAAACCCACCCTCCGTGAGTGAACAAAAATTTTTTTTAATAGAAAAAATTTTAATGGAAAAAAATTTTGATATATAAGTGATAATTAGTATAATGAAATCTAGAGCTAATTCTGTTTAATTTTAAACAAATTGCGTTTTAAAAAACATAAATTTTGCAAATTAAATTAATATTTGCTTCCCAATTTTTGCAAATTAGGATTTTTTAAATTTCGAAAAAAATATTTTTTATAAAATTTATATATAAATTTTTTTTTAAAAAAAACAAATTAACCCCCCTCCGTGAGCGAACAAAATTTTTTTGTTCGCTCACGGAGGGGGGGGGGGGGAGTAAGTAAAGTATCTCTAAAGTAATGTCTCTCAATCATTCGGAAGTTTCTTACCTCTCTGGCTCCTACTGTGAAGTCAATCGTGCTCCCCAATGCTCTGAGCTTTAAAAAATCAGGCCCCAAATGATATTTGATTGTCCTCACAGAATCGTCTTCTCCAATTGGCTCTGCTGGGGCTTCACTGTCATTTTGGACCTCAAAAAGAACCATTCCAGACTCTAAATCCCTGACCTTGAAGTATACGAACTCTATGTTATAAATATTCGCAGAAAGAGGACAGAGGAAGTTTGGGGTTGCTTCTCTCAACTGTAAAACTTGCTCAGGAGTGATATGGTCCATTTTAATTGTAATTACAACAAATTAGCTTAGTCTAAAAGAAAAATCGTCTGCTTTAGAGCTAGTGTCAATTCTTTTATATATAAAAAACAATTTTAAAAAAAAAAAATTATTTTAATATTTAAAAACAAATAAATCACCATCAATTCCTACCCTTGGAGATTGTCGCAGTGACGAATTTAAAGACTGATGGTCTAAAGGAGTTTTTGTTCTTGCTGATATAACATAAGTTCTCCCTCCACGAATTGGTCTTGGAGAAACAGATTGTTTCGATTTACTAGGGATCCTTGGAATTAATGGTGCAACTGGTGGCCTTGTTGATGTATTTATGCTTGATGATCTTTGTTCTCTTGGAGAATGTGGAGATACAGAACTCATATATACATTTTGGCGGCCTCTAACTGCAGATTGAGCATTTTCTGCTCGTGTATGTTTAAAATACGACCTTAAAATAGGTCCTTTGTAGACTAAATCATGATCTTTAGAAGAGCTTCCTCCTGTGCTTTCAAAAGGTTTTCTATCTAAAGTCTTCATCATTTCTTCATTTCTTATAGTTTTTATAAAGGTTGAGGAAAGTTTAGGCTTTTCTTCAATTCATTTTTTCTTGACTAAATAATAGGTTGTGGTTATATTATTGTGCTTATTGCTTTGCAGATTAATTCTGGCTGCTTCACTGTCAATTCCATATTTCGGAAGCTCTTTTAATATATCTTCATCAATTTGGACATCAGTTTCAATGTTAACAGCTTGTGGATGGTGCAGGCTGTACCATGGATGCCTTTTTATCATATCAATTGTGTATCTTTCTTCTGGGTTTGTATTTAAAATTCTTTTCATTAAATCTTTTCCATCAGTGCTTATTCTTTTTTAAAAAAAAAATTTAATTTTCTTATAAATCTGATATTATTTTTTATAAAAAATAATTTTGACTATTATTTCTGCTAATTAAGAGTATTTATATTGTAATATCCATTTAGGACACACATAAGTACCACTTAAAATTTTTTTATATAAAGCAGCAGTATTCGGATCTTCAAATGGCAGATATCCACATATCAGCGCATACAAAATAATCCCAGTACTCCAAATATCAACCCTATTCCCATGGTAACGCTTCCCCGCAATCATCTCTGGCGCTGCATAGCACGGGCTTCCACACGCCGTCTTTAACAGTTCCCCAGGCCTATATATATTACTAAGCCCAAAATCTATGATTTTTATGTTATTTTTTTCATCAAGCAACAAATTTTCAGGCTTCAAATCACGATGGCTGATATTCAGCCTATGCAAATAAGAAATCCCAGACAGAATTTGTTGAAAAAATTTGCAGGCTTCTCCTTCTTTTACGCGTCCTTTTGAAACTATATAGTCAAACAGCTCTCCACCGTTAGCAAATTCCATGATCAGATATAGCTGCTTGGTAGACTCTATGATTTCATAGAGCTGAATTACATTGGGGTGATGGACCATTTTCAGGATTTTTATTTCGCGAGAAACGCGTTCGGCGTCAGCTTGGTCTTTGATTTTTGCTTTTTCTAAGACTTTTATTGCGACTTTTTCTCCAGTTAGAATATGGACGCCAAGTTTCACTTTTCCAAAAGTGCCTTCGCCGATGGTTTTGCCGATGATATAGTTTCCTATACTGCGGCTCTGTTGAGAGGAAGGTCGGTTTATTGTGGAAGAGCTTGGAGAGGACCTAACTTAAATTTACATTGTAAAAATTTAATTATGTTAGGAGAAGAATAGTATATTAAGAGGTTTTTTTTAGAGAAGTTAGATAAACTGCAACAATTTATAGCGAAATTTATACCTTATAATATAAATAAAGCATTAAAATGTCATAAATATAAACATAAAGATTTAAAAATTACAGAAAAGGATACAAATTGCTGAAAAAAGGCTATATTTTATAACAATTTATATGGAAAACTCAGTAGCAATCCCAGTAACACCTTCTCTGCTCCACAACAATCTTTCCGCATCAGACCAAAGGTTGGCATACGTCACTAATGCTACAACCCCAAACCCACAAATCCACCTCATCAGTCTCCAATCCATAACCAGCCCAGAAGCATCAGTTTTTTCTACCGTGAAATACAACGACGCAAACACCATCCTTTATATGGGCTACGTCCGCTTAGGCCAAAGATACTTTTTACTTCTAGGTTTGGAGCAAAACATGCAGATATGAAGCGAAGATGGAAATTCCATGCTCGCTTATTTTAATAAAGGGGAACTTGCAGGAGCTGGGGCAGATACTTATTTTACTGGAGGCTATGGCTGTGAGGATTTGAGCTGTATTCTTATTGGAAGCTCGCTGGGGACTATTACTCTTATGAGAGTTTCAGAAGAAGGCCATACACAATATAGTCTTTTAGTATTTTTATAAAAAATTAGGTAAAAAAGCGATTTTTGGCATACTGGGGCATTCAAGAATAGATTTTAAAAAGATTTTGTACCCAAAATTGATAAAAAATAGCGAAAATACTATAAAAATAGACCCACAATCTACGATTTCTCCTGTAAGAAGAGCTCCTATATCAGCAATAGTCAGCCTAGGAGTTAAAGCCTTAACTTGTGACGAGCTTGGCGGGGTTACTTTTTGGGACCTCAGAGCAAACAACACTATTAGAATTCTAGAAACAGAAGGGGCTGGAGTATCAGGAACCGGCGCCTGCATGGTCTATAGATACGCTTGTGTTTCTTTCGGAAATGGAGAAATCAGGATTTATGACATGAATACCCATACAATCGCATTCAGTGTCTGGTCACATACAAGGTGGATTACAGGACTTGCAAGCTACCCAGAACGAGGGATTTTTGCCTCCTGCTCTGAAGACTGCTGTGTTAATGTGTGAACTTTACAAAGAGATGAGCTGGAATTAGTCCTTTCTAAAGAAATCCCTAACACCTTACTTACAGGGATCGCGATGTGTAGAGATAAATTAGTTGCTGTAGGCTACGATAAAGCAAGGCTATTTATATTATTTCTACTAAATTTATATAAAAATTATAAGCATTTGCCTTGTTTTATAGAGAAATCTGATAATAAGCTTATTATTAGACTTTTATGCTAGTTTATTAAAATTTATTATTGAAACAATAACATAAGTCTTTCTCATAATTTTTTACATATTATGCTAATTAGGCTTACCCGCTCATTTGCCAGGTCAGTCAAAAAAACAGTCCTTTTCACTGAAGCCAAAGAAAAAGCAGACGACAAAAAACCTCTAGTAAAGCCAGAGCCTGGAAAAAAAGCAGTCCAATTACAAGATCGAGCATGGATGGGAAAAAGATACATCGCCCTTGTAGACCTCCCAGACAAGCTTCACAAGTCAGCCCAAAAGGTCTTTTCTGGAAGGCCTTCAAAGACTATTAAAGAATGGGGATACAAAACAGCACAAATACTAACAGAGCTTCATGGGCTTGAAAAACCTCAGGATATTACTAAATTAAAGCCATTTGCCACCACTTATGAGCTGATAGGACCAAGGACGCCTGTAAAGGAGCTGAAAAGCTATAGGCATGAAAGGCTGCCGAAGATCATTGATGCGAAAATGGTCGCTGGGGAGATGGAGATACCTAAAATTGTAAGTGAAAAAGCACCAGCTGTGAGTTTGAAGTATCAAGAAGAGCATGCGATTGGGTATACGTGGAGAATAATGCCAGGATCTTATGGGACTGTGTATAGGTGTTTAAGTGAAGCTGTAACTAGGCTGCCGAATATTAACCCAACAAAGATTTTGGACTATGGAGCGGGGACTGGGGCTGGGTCTTTTGCTGCAATGACATTATACCCGAACACAAAAATTGTATACTTTTTTATAATTAATAGGAATTTTAAGTTTTTTATTAAAAATTAAGGATTTATTCATAATTTATTGTGATAGCTGCGGTAGAGCCTTCTAAAAATATGAGAACAATAGGGAAAAAACTAACAGAAAAATTACCTCAAATACAATGGTACGAAACTCTAGCGAATCTGCCTGGAATCGGAGACGAAGAAGGGCTATTTGATATTGTACTGTGCAGCTACGTCCTTGGCGAAGTAGAAAACGCAGTCACCCGCAATCTTATCCTAGACGCCCTTTGGCATCGCACAAATAAACTGCTCCTCTTTATAGAGCCAGGAACCCCAAAAGGATTTCGACTGATTTATTCCATTAGAGAGTGGGTTTTAAATACAATGACCAGAGAAGAAGCCAATATAGTAGCCCCTTGCCCACATGAAGGTGTATGCCCACAGGCCAGCGATAAACACGACTGGTGTCATTTTTCACAGTTTGCCAGTAGGTGACCTAAAGCTGTTATAGGAAAAAGCCCTAAAGAAATGCCGACTGATAATGAAAAGTTTTCGTATATTTTGCTTCACAGAGGGCCATTGCCGAGGCAGTATTTAAATAATGAAGAAGAAGCAGAGACACTGCAAGAAAAAAGCTTTTTTTGGAAAAGATTAGTGCATCCTGCTATTAAGAGGAAGGGAAATGTGATTGTTGATGTATGTGAAGAAGGGAAAAAAGGGAGATACATAGTCAGCAAGTCTAAGTATGATAAAGAGTCATATAGGTTTGCTAGGAAGTCGCATTGGGGTGATCTTTGGCCTTATAAATTTACTACAAAAAATATTAGATAATTTATTAATTTTATACTTTTGAAGCATATAAGCCTCAAAGCACTCTTATAAAAAATTAACTCCCCCCTTTCGTAAGTGGACAAAAAAATTTTTGTCGCTCACTCCCCCCCCCCCTCCGTGAGTGAACAAAACCATTAGAAAAATCGCTATTTTTTGCCCAAAACCACCCTCCGTGAGTGAACAAAAATTTTTTTAATACAAAAATTTTTTATGGAAAAAAATTTTGATATATAAATGATAATTAATATAATGAAATCTAGAGCTAATTCTGTTTAATTTTAAATGAATTATTTTAAAACATAAATTTTATAAATTAAATTAATATTTGCTTTCAAATTTAAATTTCAAAAAAAATTTTTTATAAAAAATTATATATAAAATTTTTTTAAAAAAAAAAAAATAACCCCCTCCGTGAGTGAACAAAATTTTTTTGTTCACTCATGGAGGGGGGGGGGGAGTCAGGTAATTTTTTAAAAAAAATTATTTTTTCGAAATTTAAAAAAATCCTAATTCGCAAAAATTGAAGCAATACTAATTTAATTTATTGTTTAAGATTAAGCAGAATTAGCTTGAGGTTTCATTATACTAAATTATCACTTATATATCAAAATATTTTTTGCGGGGGTTTTAGGCAAAAATAGGGATTTTTCTAATGGTTTTGTTGCTGAGGGAGGGTAATCTTTATTTAATAAATAATCTCATTTTTGCTAAAAAAGAAGTATATTAAGGTAAATTTACATAAATAATCATATTTAATCCCTGATGTCAGCACAAGCCAGCAGAGATAATCCATCTACCTCTCCAATAGACCTTCAGCAGCTTCGCAATGAAGTCACCCAAATATCAGAGCAGCTCGCTTCTCACAGCAGCCTTTTAAAAGAATTCAATGACCTGATTACCAAGAAAAAACGTTTCAGAACTGATCCTTCTCCTATCATAACAACTCTTAAACAAGAGTTCAAGGCAGAATTTATGGAAGACACCATGAGATTATTTACTTCACTAGAAGAGCAGCTTAAACTGATGGATTCTAACGCAGCGTCTTCCAATTCAAAATTCAACGATGCTATTATTGAGCTGAGAAGACTAACAGACTCAGTTAATGCCAAAGCAAATTTGTTGCAGGACCAAGCCAATAATTTGAGGGATGTTTCAGGGTCTTTAAGCGACGAAGTGCTTTATATAGCAAATTTATGTAAAATTGTTAATAATTGTTAATGAAAATAATTATAGCAATGCTTGATAAAATAAGGATATGAAAGATGTTCTTGCTTTAAAAGCAGAAATTAAAGACCTTGACAATTTAGATCATAGGGTTGATACTTTTACACCTCTGGAAAATTTTGTGATTTTAGAAGGAACTGTAAAACAGCTGGCTTATCGTAGTGAAGTTGCCAAAATTAATGAAGAAATAGAAATAATCCAGGACAGGCTTAATTTGTTACCGACAGCTGATAAGGTAAAAGAGTCTTTGGAAAAAATTAACGATGAGCTGAGGGGACTGATAAATTTGAAAATGGACTGTGAAGCTTATGAGACTGCTGTTTTTATGATTAACAAGAAGCAGGATGTGTTTGAAAATAGGATAGATGCTATATTGCTAAAAACTTCTAATTTCCCTTTTTGTTTAGCGAGCAAAACATAGAAAAATCGTATTTTTAGGAAAATCAACCCATGCAATTATTTTTTTTATATAAATAACTATCTATAGAATATTTTAACATGTATTTAATCTTTATAATAATATATATCTCAAGCTAGTTTAATAGAATTTTAAAACTGTGCGTCCTAAAAAACTATTTATATAACTTAAATAAGATTTTTTAAAATTGGGTTTTTAAAATTGAAAAATTTTTTTATAAAGAAATAAACACTTTTAGTGAACAAAATTCCTGCTCGCTACCAAGGAGTAGAATAAGGATAAAGACTCATTGACAAAAATGCTGAATGACTTAACTGGGATGTTTAATGCGAAACCCTGAATGATAGAAATCGATAAAATTAACGATATTTTGGAGACGAAAGCATCAAGTGAGGAGTTTAGAAAGCTGAAAATTGATATTTTGCCAAAAATTGAAGATTTTGGGAATAAGCTTGACAAGTTTTCAAGAGATTTAAAGTCTTTTGAAGCAGCACAAGCAAGATTTGATGAAATTATTTTGACAAAAGGATCAAAGGAAGATATATCACAAAAAATCTGATTTAAATCATTAAATAAGCAATTTTTTAATTAATTTAGTTTTAATATTAAATACTGGCCTAATTGTGATATTCTTAATAAACTTCCTTATAAAAAAAATCCAAAATTTCCAATCAACTCTCTTAAAACAAGAAGTTTTTTACTCCTCAGTTTCCGAACTCAACATAAAAATCAGCTCAACAGAAGAGCAGCTCAAAGAAATGCTGGTAAGCATAGAAAATATTATTGAGGACATCAATAAATACGGACTCAGCAGTCAGTCACAGAAAACCCAGTCCAGAGATTACGCCGCTCTTTATAACTCAATATCAGATCTCAAAGAAGCTATTTCTTCTAAAGCAGAAAAAACTGATTTATTCCAAATTTCTGCAAAAATGGCAGAAAAAAATGATTTCGAAAATTTAAAAAATAATTGCGACACTTTAGTCAGACAGTTCCAACAAGCAGTCCAGCTGCAAAGCGAAACCCTTAAAACAATGCTGAGAACTGCAGATAGTGCGATTAAAAAAGACAAAGTAAGGGTGGAATTGTCAAGAAATACTAATATTTTGCTTACTTGAATAAATAGCAGACTGCCTCCAGTTAAGCTTGATAATTCTGTTAATTGTGGGTCAAAATTATCAGCGCTGCTGCTGTCAAGGACTACGCCATCTCCTGACCATAAAATTGAAAGAGCGACTCCTAATATATGGAAACGGTCTTTATCAAGAAGAGAAAAAAGACTGGTGATATCTTCTCATGCTTATAGAGCATCAGTTGATTTGCCATAGTAATTGAAATTATATATAATAAACTAGATTAATCTAAATCAATGATTTTCATTTAATGAGACAGAAATGATTTATTTTATCAGTAAATCATAAGGCATGAGGTCAATTAGGCTTATGAATGGATTTCTTGTAATAAATATAACAATTGTAAGCCATAATATATTAATTATAATTTTAAGCCGAATTCAAATAATTTTCAAATAGCTATTTAAATAATCTCAAAATCAAGCTCAAGAAGTTTTTCTGCATAAATTAATATTATATTAAAGCCTCAAAACCCCTAAGAATTTAAAAAATTTATTTCAAAGCTTGCTATATTAAATTTCACATTAAATGGAGAACTCGAGAAAATCAGGCCTAGACTGCCCACCCCACCCCTACCAAATATTCACCTGGCTCTACAATTTTGCATCTATTTTTGTATTTTATTTTTTTATTGTCCCATCCCAGCCTTACTTAATCCAAATTTTGATGTCTTCACTATTTGGACTTTCCCAGCTGCTCCTTTTATTCTACGCTTTTCTCTTAACCAAATCTAACCCAACTGACCCGATTTTGTACAAAAAGAAAAAAATTAATTTGGACGAGACGTATATTACATTCTGCTCTTTATGCTATTCTGAAGTGAGCCCAGACAGTAAACATTGTATGAAATGCAATAGGTGCGTTCACAAATTTGACCACCATTGCAAATTTGTTAACAATTGCATTGGGAAAATATACATTAAAATGGCCATGGCGAGCCAGCCCTTTTTTCTCAACACCTGTAGCAGGTTAGGCAGGGGACTTTGTGGAAGGGATTTGGCGCTCGGTGTGTATATCCGGCTAGATTTTACTTGATAGTGGAGGGCAACGTCAAATTCGGTTGACCGCTGTTCAGGGGGTTTTTTACCTCAGGGTGAATGGTTTCCAAGGTTGGAAAGGGGAGGCTCAGCTATACCAGGTGTTCGCACTTGGCCAATCGGGCAACTTCCTAGCGCAATACTGAGCGTTGTGTCCCAAGCTTTGGATTTCCATTTGGCCATAAGTCTGATCAGAAATTTTGTTTTTCAAATTTTCGGGAAAGATAACTCTGTTGGTGTACGGCACGGTGGCGCAGCTCATCCAACTTCGGGTAGCTAGTGCACATCCTCATCCAGAAGAAGCAGCACTTTGAAGGCTGTGAGATGGTTAGAAGTCAGCAGCCGAGTGTGGGAGCGTTACAAGTGGAGATAGTCCTTTGGGAATTACGGCGAACTTCTCTATATTTATGTTAATGCTAATGCATTGGAAAAAGTAATTATAATTTATTCCTTAAAACTGCTATATTGATGGAAATGGTGGAAACCATCTTTTTAGTGTGCTGCACTTATACAATTTATAATTGGAGTGCTGATTTAAATGGCTTAAAAGAGAAGATAAATCAGGATTATGGAGAAAATGCAGATGTGGTGTTAATAGCTATTTGCTCGGCTTTTGAGTTTTTAACTATTGCTATATTATTTGCGAATGGCTATCTGCTATTGTTTCATATTTGGCTTATTAAACATAAAATGACAACTTATGATTTTATATCAAAAAATAAGCCAAAATCTTCGAGTATGGATTTAACTAGCATTACCGATTCATTTGGGGCGAAAGTTACACCAACAGTTTTAATAGGACTTCCTCAATTTACCGTCAACAAGTAGAGTATAGCTTTTTTTGTGCATTTGCGTTAAAAATTCAGGGACTTGAATAAGAGGGCGAAGCCTATTCCAAGGCACTACTGTCTTAATTGACTAGGAATATTAAATTACAATTTTTAAAAAACCGATAAAAATGCTTAATTCCTTATGAAATATTTAATTTCTGTATATATACTTAATACCAAAAATTTATTTTACGAATACAGATCTCGCCTTCTATGCTAAATCTCATTGCTTTTAAAGCAAAAATGCAAAAAATAGAATAATTTTTAAATCGCTAAATTTTTTTCCGTATAAAATTAAGATTTCTACTATTATTATTTCTTCATAAAAAACTAAAAAAATCAATGATAGATCATCATTATCTATTCAGTCTTCGCATAATGTTTATAATAAAATATCAAGGCATATACAAAAAATTAAGGTATATCTTTAAAAACTGTTTTAAAACCTAAATCTCATTTCTTTACAAACACCAAATAATAAATTAATGCTTATTTTAGTATTTCAGGGTCATCGGGTTGCTCTTCATATACAATTTCTTCTCCACAGAGACTCGAAACAGCAGCATTTATATCGTCTGACATATCTAACGCAAGTTGTGCGTCTTTTTCTCCAAACCCCATCGCTATCAGTTGCATTAGCAAAGGGCTTGGTACTTTCACTTCATAGCAAATAGTATTTCCAAACGAAACTCCAGCACCTGTGTACAGACTGAACTCTAAAGAAGCTTTTCCTTCTATTGCTGGAGCTCTCATTTTTACTACAATTTCTCCGATTTCTCCTGGCCTAAGTCTTGGTATAAATATAGAGGTTATCTCAATTGTGCCTTTTTCCAGCTTTAAGTCAACTCTTTCTCATACCTTAATTCCGTCATTTTTTACCTTAAATCTTTCCTCAAAAACTTCTTCAGCTCTGCAAAATTTTTCGATTTTTCGTTTCCCATTGACAAGCTTCATTCCATACTCAGACGATTTTTGCTTGATAATTTTGGCAGGTTCTGGGTCTTCGTCAGTTTCCCATATGATTTCAGGAGGCTCATATTGGCTTTGGTTAACCTTGACTGGCGATATTTTTGGAATAGAAAGAGGATCAAAAACTGGCTCTTGAGAATAGCTATGGAATCTATCAATATTTTCTAATAAAAGAACTAATGTGTCTTGTCCACAAACTCGCATAGAGTTTATTGCTCGAAATAATTCTTCGTCTGAACTGATTTCTTTGAGCTCGCCTTCATCAGTAAGATACACATAGGAGAAGTTTACACTGCCAAAGGCTTCTATTGCCATGCATTTTAGTGTGTCATAGGAATCTGGAACTAAAACTGGGTCATAATGCTCGTCATCTTTTACAAGCCTGACTTTCATTTACTAGTCTAATTATAAATATTTTGATTATTCGTGAGTTTTATCATGCATGAGAGTCATTAAATCAATGAATTAATGGTTGTCTTTAATATTCCCTTTGAATGGCAATTTTAATAAGGCTATGCAGTCCTTTTTTATTTTCCAATAAAAAATACTCCTATATAAAAATCCATATAAAATTATTTATAAAATGTCAAAATAATAAAAATTATTATTAGCAATATTTTTATTTTTTAAATATTTATCTTTCACTTTCGTCTTCAAAATCGCTGTCATATTCTTCTACGATGCTAGATTGGGTTACTGATTTCGTTAACTCTTTCCATCCTTCTGAACTTTCTTCTCTAGGAGAAAGCAAAGATATAGTCCTTGATTTTGCATTTTTACAGAATTTTGGATGGTCGCCAGCTTCGCTAGGCAATATCATTTCTAAACATACATAGCATTTTACTCTTCTCTCTGAGCTCTGCGGAATCGAGCTCGTATTTTCTTCAAAGTCTTCAGAGTAGTGGTCTTCACTCTCTTTTTGGCTTTCTTTTTGACTTTCTTTTTGGCTTTCTTTTAGACTTTCTTTTAGACTTTCACTTACTCCCTATTTAACCCTCGAGAACAAGCAATCGCCCTTAAAAAAGCTTTTAAATACTCATTGTCAAATAAGTGATCTAGATAACTGTGATCAGTGAAGATTAATGTAAAATAGTTTAAATTCTAAGTCAAAGAGAATAAAATTTGATTAGAAGTATAATGGTGCTCTATCAGGGTTTCCAGAAGCTTGAGATAATAAAGTCTAGCTAATTCTTACCTCATGAGCCACTGGACTTTGTTGTGTTTTTTGTTCCATTTTTACATAAGGATTGCGGAGCCAGCTTATTTAGCAAACCTAATAAAAAGTGAAAATGGAATTTTAGACTATCTCCCTATAGAATATATCTCTTTTAATATATCTATGAAAATTAAATCACAGCTATTTAGAAGTTCCTCATTTGGCATAAGACAATTATCTCAATATCATCTTCATATACTTTAAATGATTAAAACAGCAAAATATTATAGATGTTTATTGATAAAATTTGCACCATATGCATAATTTTACAAAATGCTTAGCTGCCTAAAATAGTCGTTGGAGACTCGTGATTTTTAAAATTTTAAAATTTTCTTTATGTCTCTATCTCCATCTTTATGGATTTTTTTTTTAAAGTTTAAAAAAGCAATTTTTTAGAAGTATATTAAAAAAGAATTTGCAAGTTAAAAGGTGTCAAATTTCCCTCAAATATGATTTGCTTGGGGGAGTTATATATATATTTTTCGCGTTTTTTCAGCTGGTTTTATTGTAAGATTATCCACATTTGTAGTGGTAAATACTTTTTGAGTCTTTGGTTTGTCAAATTGCATAAGAGGCGGATAGCTTCATTGCTGCTGCAATGAAGAAGCTCCTTTGAGCATCTGAACTTCTTGAATTAAATGATCAATAAGTAAACCTGTCGGCTCTGGAGGAGGAGCTATATACTGTGTAGCTTGTTTTTGAGGCTGCGGAAGAGGTTCTTCATAAGAAGTGCTCGTTGTTTTATTTGTCGGCTTAGCCTTACTATAAAACATTGGAGGTGGCTGATAAGATTCCCCAAAAAGTGGAGTTTGTGTCTCTTTTGGCTCAGGTTTTTCTTCTTCTGTAATCGTCCCTCTCGTAACTAATGAAGCAGCCGTCTTATATATTGGTGGAATCGGGTCAGTTTCTATAGATTTATTTACTTTTAGCTCGCCTGGGATTTTATTAATCATTTCCTGTGTGATATTTTGAAAAATCCCATCAGCTGGTTTTCCTTCAATTTCTGGATTTTTTTTAAGAATAGAAATAGAGATACTTAAATCTAATTTCCCAATGGCATTTCTAATTGGATCATAAAGATCTATGATGCTTCTTTTAAAATCACTAGAAGTTTTAAAGTCAATGTCAGCAAAAATAGAAAGATCTAGAGCTGCAGTCCCCAGCATTCTGATATTTTGAGGAAAAGCGTCAATTAGCATTACGTAAAGAGGGGTTTTTCGAAGGGCTGCTCGTAATATTTTTTCATCTAACACAAATTTGCAGGCCTTGCCTTTACCGAATTGAAGCTTTCCTTGGAATTGGCCGTAGATTGTGAGGGTTGGGAATTGAAGAAATCTGATAGAGACTGCTGGTTTTGCGATGTGGAGAATCCTTGTGGTAGCTTCGTGAATGAGAAATTCGACGATGTATGTTTCTTCCATTTAAATTTGACATTGGAAAATACAATATTCTTAGAAGTTGTATGAAGAAAACACGCTTTATGGGAAATGTTTAGTAAAGTGTTTTTAAATAATCCTAAACTTTCATTTTCTTTAATTACCAATAAATTCATTGATATAATTGCAGATTTTCTGATAAAAATAATCTATATTAATATTAAGCAAAGAAAAAGCGAAATTAACTCCGAAACAATGAGCCTTGTTATCCATTCAATACTATTAAATAAGATACCCTAAAGCATTCCCTCCTTTAAGAACGAGCGAGTTTTTGATCTCTCTTAAAAGAAGTATATTTAAATTATATAAAAACTAAAAAATCTGATTGCTGATTATATTTGATTAAAATTTAATATAATTAGCAATAGAAAAAGATCATTAAATATAAATGATAATAGGTAATAAATGAATGTAAAAAAGGAAAATGAAAAAATTGATAATCTTTCAACAAGAGAAATTTGCTCAATAACTCGTTTTCGAAATTATCTTTTTAGTGCTTAACATCTTATTTAATAGCAGCCATGAAGAAGGAGCTTAATTATTCTCTTTTTCCATACTTATACCATTAAGTGATTTTTTCTATAAGCAACTTTTAATCTTAGGTCACAATCAATATCTGTTTATCCTTCATCTTGTTTTATAAATTGCCTTTTTTACCAAATCAATCGCACGAAACTGAGGATTAAAAAGCATAATGTGCTTATCCCTGCCCTTCTTTAGCTATATTAATATCTTTCCTTAAATTAACTTTTTATTCTCTCTTGCCCTAATTTTAACACAATTACCAAGTTTCTCAATACAGAAAATTCACCACTTTTCTACATTAATATCCAGGTCTATTATTAAAACCCACAAAGCGAATGGCTTAACTGACGCAGATTTAAGCCTTATAATTTTCTAAAAAATATTGATTATTTAAATAACCAAATGGGCGAAAAAATGAGCAAGATGAACCACGCTAGATGGTTTGGGAAAAACCACAGAAGAGTCCTTTGTCTCGGTTTGCAAGGCTCAGGGAAGTCTACTCTTACACAGTTTTTAAGCTCCCAGTATCCTCGCGCAGCAAAGCCTCTCCCAGAGCTCGGGTGCTACAAATTCAAAGTGGATAAATTCACAATAGCGTTTTATGATTTGAAAGGCGACGCACAAAGCAGATTTTTCTGGCGACATCACTTTGAAGGCTCACAGGGCATTATTTTTGTAGTGGACATGTCCAATGCGGACAATATTCAGCTATCCAAAGCCACTTTACAAGAATTGCTGAGAGATGACCTCCTGAGGGGTTTGCCTTTTTTAATAGTCGCGAATAAAAAAGATATTTCGAATGATTTCACAGAAGAACAGCTTACAGACATGCTGGAACTTGATAGAAGTAAGAAAGAACAGTGGGAGATCGTGAAAGCATGTGCTACGACTGGGGAAGGGCTCAGAGAAGGCTTATTGTGGCTTCTTGCGAGAATGGCACCGGTATAAGTTGGCTAATTTATTTTAAATTGCAATAGATAGGAAAGCTTTAATATGTAAAAAAATTTTTATCAGAAAGTCTACAATTATATCAACGAATTTATTGATAATTAAAGAAAAATTAAATTATTCTGAATATCAAAATGCAATGAATATTTGTGACAAGCTCCAGTCAGAAATTAGTGAAGGGTTAATTGATTTAATAAAGTTATAAATTTAAAATTAATTAAAATGAGGGTTAATTATGGATGGAGTTTTTAATATCATGTATGGAAAACGATATTATGGACGTTGCCAAAGCTATAAGCGCAGATCCAAACATCGACATTTGTTTTCAGAACGGAGCAATTTTTTGATTTATTATAAAACACAAGATTTGCTAAGGATATTATGAAGAAAATAATATGCAAGGCGATTCTATCAGCCTTAAATATAAAGAAGCTAAATATAAGCTGCAGCAATGATCGAAAGAGTAAGTTGATGATTCCAAGCGTCTAGAAGTGGCAAAAATTCATGCCATAAGAGATTCAAGCTCTTACCAAGATGCAAGTAATTTTAAAAATTGTATAGATTTCGATTCTGAAAAAATGCAACAAGAACTTAAAGAAATTAAAACTGCTAATGCTATTTTGAGTGAGAATTTATTAAATTTACCTAGATCATATTATCTGCTAAGGTATAATTAGTTAATAAAGAAACGCTTATGCTTTTAAATACTAACAACCCCATCTTTAAATTTAGGTAAACAAAATGGGCTACTATTCTAAGCAGGCAGCAATTTATATAGGAGGTTTGCTCTGCTGCAGTTCTTATACGTTTATTGCTCCTTTCTATCCTGGAATAGCTGAGTCTAAAGGTATCCCTTTCTGAGCTATAGGCTTCATTTTTAGTTTAGACCCGATTTTTGCATTTGTAGCGTCCTGATATTTAGGCAACAACATGTATAAATTCGGTCGTAGGTTTATATTGACACTCGGAGTTGGCTTATTGGCTGGATCTATGATTGCAATTAGTTTTATAGAATTTTTTGATGCTCCTCCTATACTTATTTTAAGTTTTATTTCAAGGATGCTTGGAGGAATAGGATATGCCTGTGAAATGACAGCTGGAGACGCAATTTTAACAAGTGATTACCCAGGAGAGCTAACTAAGGTGATGGGGATTATGGAAGTTTTTGCTGGAATGGGTTTGTTGATTAGTGGTTGGTTTTTTATGACCAAAGCTATTTGCTGATTAATAAATACCGACAGCAAGATTTTTATTTAAAAAAATATTTTTTCGGATTTTACAAAATAATAAAAGTTTTTCTTCTTAAAAATCCTGCACTAGTTGATTGGACCTCTTATTGGCTCTGCTTTATATGCAATAGGAGGTGCATTTTTATCATTCATGATATCAGGAATCGCCATTGCAATATACACACCAATCTGCTGATATAGGAGTTTTCCCTATATGGCCCGATAAGGCCGTGGGTTCTCTGTGGAATCCCTCTGTTGGTTCAGCCAGCAGAGGGATTCCACGGAGAACCCACGGCCCTTATCGGGCTATATAGGGAAAACACCTATATCTTTTAGGAGAGCCACGACCCTATGTAATGTCAGAAAATGCTGTAAATTCCATCGAATTAATAGCAAGACCAAAAATTGCACTAGACGCAGGTGTACAATTTGCCTTCACTTTTACATTTGGATACGTTTTTCCTATACTAGAAATCCATTTATTGACTTTTAACATTGGGGACACTTATATTGGACTGTGCTTTACTTTATATACTTTATCATATTCAATATTTTCTATATTCGCTATAGTTTCATCTAACTCTCCCTCTGAGCGAACAAAATGTTTTATGAAAAAAAATTTGACACATTATTATAATGGAATCTCGAGCTAATTCATTTTAATTTTAAAAAATTGCGTTTTAAAAGTAAATTTTACAAATTAAATTAATATTTGCTTTCCAATTTATATAATTTTTTTTTAAAAAAATTAAGAGCGAACAATATTTTTTGTTCGGTCTCGGAGGGGTAGTAAGAAAATTGATGCAAGGAAGTTGATGGCTGTAGGACTACTGGGCCAAGCTATAGGATTTTCAATGCTTGGACCATGGAAACTCATTTACCCTCGAGAAATTTGGGTAGTGCTTATTGGACTATTTATACTTGGTTTTGCTCAAGCATTTATGTACACACCTTCGCTTCCTCATATGATTCAGCTGGCTTATGAGGAGTACCAATACAAAGAAGACGACAGGCTTATTGACCAGTTGGCTGGGATATCAAATATAATTATGAATATTGGAGAAATTGGTGGGCCTATGGTTGTAGGGATCCTCGCAACTAGTATTGATATTGAGACTAGTTGTGCTTATCTAACTCTTGCCATCACAGCTTATTTTGTGCTCTATTTAACAGGATCTGGGCTTACAAGTAAAAAAGCACCTAAAAATAAATCAAGCCTGTCTTTAGAACTTTTGAATATTTAATTAAGAAGTTTTCCTTATAATTCCATTTAAACTATGATTTTTTCAGCAGTAAGAAGCTTTAAAAGCTCTTCTCGCCTTTTCGCTCGACAAGATTACTACAAAATTTTAGGTGTTTCTTCTAAATCTACAGAATCTGAGATAAAAAAAGCTTATTTCAACCTTGCCAAAAAATTTCATCCCGACGTAAACAAATCTCCAGACGCAAAAAATAAATTTGCAGAAATAAACCAAGCCTATGAAACTCTAGGTGACCCTGAAAAGCGCAGGACATATGATGCCACAGGGATGACAGGTGATGAACAAGACCAAGCCAAAAGCTCAGGATTTCCTGGTGGTGGAGCCTATAGCTCTTCTAATTCAGGAGGCTTTAACCCGTTTGAGCAGCAATATGGCGGTTTTGGGAACTTTTCTGGGCAGCGGCCACAAGGGTATACCACTTTTGACGATATTTTTGGGGAATTTGAAGACTTTTTTAATTTAGGGCAAAAAGAGAAAAAGTCTTTTAAAGGCGAAGATATTACAGTCATGCTGGAAATCTCGTTTATGGAAGCTGCATTAGGCACAAAAAAACAAATACAGTATGAACAAAGAGGAGTCTGTGACAGCTGCTTTGGGAAAAAGACAAAATCAGGGTCAAATCCTATGAAATGTTTGACCTGTGGAGGAAGAGGCGTCGTATTTATACAAAGAGGTCCCATTTCTATGTCAGTTACTTGCCAGAAATGCAAGGGAGCAGGGACAATCATAAGGGATCCTTGCCAAAGATGCAATGGCAGTGGGTTATCTTATCAGATGAAAATGGAAGTAGTTAACATCCCAAATGGAGTTCACAATGGTCAACATCTAAGAATGGCTAACAAAGGGCACCATTCTCAAGGAGAAGGCCCTCCAGGAGATTTATTGCTGAAAATCCATGTAGCGGAACACCCAATTTTTAAACGAGAAGGCTTTGACGTTATGTCTGAAGTCTACATATCCCCAGCACAAGCTGCATTAGGAGCTACAATTGACGTAGAAACCCTTCATGGGAAAACCAAGGTATCAGTCGACCCAGGCACTTCTCCTGGCTTCAAGAAAAAGATCCCAGGGAAAGGAATTTTCCATGTCCCTCCAAGCACAAACAAAGGCGACCACTATGTAATTTTCAAGCTAAAAGTCCCAAAAACTTTAACGACCAAACAAAGAGAACTTTACCAACAGCTTAGTCTTAGTTAAATTTATAGAGTAGCTCCCGGCCAGGACCGAAGGTCCTTTTCTTTCCCGCCTTTTGACGCCTCGCTTGCTTTCCTTGCCCTGCTCCCAGTGTGTACCTAAGTGCCACAGGCCACCACTCAGCTCCTTCCGGTCATGGGGCTTGATCATGCTATCTCGGAAGTAGGCGGACTGGGTCACCGTGCTTCACGTCGCCAGACTAGGGTTAGAGCTAAGGATTAACTCCTTAGCTCTTGTCGGCTCCTACCATGCCCTTCAAATTGGCACTAGCAGTCCCTAGAGGAAAAACCCTTTTTGCCCCGTGTCCTATCGGGACGAGGGAAACCTAGCCGGACACAAACTACCAGTACCCATTCCAGACCTTTCCCTGGGCGGATTGGCTTCAGGCCGCAGCAAGGTCCCCAATCTAACCCCAGTTCCGGGAGAGGACGGGTCGGTGTCGTCGCCATTTTATTTGTGTTCTTTACCAGCAGCTAGCTGCAGAAGAAGGCTCTGAAGTAGATAATAATTCAGGAGTTTTCAGTTGGATTAAAGGCTTTTACAAAAAGTAATATAGATATTGTTTAGTCAAAATATTCGAAGGTATTTAACTTAAGCTGCTTGAGAAATCTGTTTAGCAATGCTATCAAGTTCTTGTTGTCCTTTCTTACTCTATTTATTAAAAATAAAATATTATGCTATAATTCGTTGGTAAAATTTCTTATAGACGTTATATGCACCATTTTCTTATGAAATTTCAAATTATGGATTTGCCGCACCAAAATCAGCATTTTGAAAAACATATTTGGTTTTCATATACCAAATTCAAAATGGCATGCATATGCATGATAAAAGAAATTATTGCAATACATAATAAAAATAAAAAAATTTACCTGGGAGACTAGTAATTCTTCTTCCTCCATGCTTTCCTTCAATTTCTTCTGTGTCAACTTCAAGAATTCCTTGCTTTTCAAGCTGAGCCAAAAGATATCTGATAATCTTTCCTGATCCTGTAGTGAAGTGGCGAGGAGTGGTGCCATAGTTTTTGCTTCCTCCGTAAATCTTTTGAAGAGCACTAATTCCCAAGTGGCGTCTTAGATATATAGAAATTTCCCATAGATGGTGCTGTTTGCCATTGATTTGCCCACTGGGGAAATTTTTTGGTTCGACAAGTACCATATGGTTTGGTCAAACCAAAAAATTTTCCTCATGGGCAAATCAAGGGCAAACAGCGCCATCTATGGGAAATTTCTATACCTTTCTGGCGAGAGCTGCAGCTCTAATGTAAAGCCAGTCTTTGTCATATGGAGCTAGTTGTCGGTTGACACCTGTCTTTACGTAGTCTCCCCATGAAGGTATCTCGATTTTGTCTGTTCTTTTTAGGTATGCAGCGTAAGCAGCTATGAATTCTGCAGCCGATACATCTTTTACTGTGAAAGCTCGACGGTCCATCTGTGCCACAAATTAATATGGCCATTTGTGTAATTTGAGAGATTATAGAGTGGGGAGAGCAAGGTAAAAACTTTTGTTAAGGATAAAAAAGAAAAATAGATTATGGGTTAGGGGAGAAAAAAGTTCAGAGTTTATGCTGCATTTATCACCTTTATTTTCAGAGTTATCAAGATATTTTTTATCAATTTTAGAGATGTTAGAAGAGGTTTTTGATGAATTTATGGAGTTATAGACGGAAAATCCTCAGATTTCTTTATGCAAAATGCTTTAGATTAATTAATTCCCTTTGAAAGGTTTGAGATGCTATTCAACTGCAAATTTATGGATTGAGAATTTAAGGTTATAGCTTCCTTGACAACTCTCTCTCTTTTCCTGAGAATGTACCCTCTTTGAGGATATAGTAAATTATGTCTAAGTATATATGACTATATCAGTGCCGAATTCATTGTCAAGAAATTCTCTAGAAACATAGTTTTATTTTAATAGCTTTTGATATATTGCTATCAGTACTTTTTGGCATCAGGCCTTAAGTTTGCATTTGCTACTGATATATAAGGCAAATTCATTGAATTCTTTTTTCCTTTATTCTAATATATGATTCTCAGCTTCGCTTCATCTTGATCAAGCAATAGATCATTTATTTCGAGGATATTTCCCACATGAAATTCGTAGATCATATTATGCAATTTTTTAGTTACTTTTCTCATTTCTAATAACGAAATACTCCCTCTTTCGAAAGTCACCCAGCATAAAGCTCTTCATATGCTCCACTTTTAGATCGCAATTATTATTGAGTTAATTGGCAAGAAATCAGTCGTAGCTAAAAGTACTGAAAGCTTGTCCCTCTTCTTTAAATTTTCTGGTCAAAAAGCTAACTCCCCCCCCCCTCCGTGAGTGAACAAAAAAATTTTGTTCACTCACGGAGGGGGGTTAATTTTTTTTTTTTAAAAAAATCCTAATTCGCAAAAATTGGAAAGCAAATATTAATTTAATTTGCAAAATTTATGTTTTAAAAAGCAATTTGTTTAAAATTAAACAGAATTAGCTCTATATTTCATTGTACTAATTATCATTTATATATCAATTTTTTTTTCCATAAAAAATTTTTGTATTAAAAAAATTTTTGTTCACTCACGGAGGGTGGGTTTTTGGGCAAAAAATAGCGATTTTTCTAATGGTTTTGTTCACTCACGGAGGGGGGGGAGTAAGGAAAGTCTTACTCCCCAGCCTTGGGACTAATTTAAGATAAGACTCTATGCTGTTTGCCTTGGAATCAAAGCCTTGATATTAAAGCCAAAATAAACTTTTTTGCTATCAGAATATACATATTTAAGGTGCTGCATTAATATGAGATGCCCATTAAATGAAGAAATAAAATGGTGAATTGACGAAAATTGAACTCCAAATGCACTCCCCATTGAGCAGGTAGGAATAATCCCGATGAAGCTGAAAGCAGGGCGTCTGTCCCTTTTGAAGTAGACCTTCAATTTTGGGGATGCCTTGCTGAAGAGGGAAGCTGTTTCTCCCCCAGAAGGCTTTCCCTTTCCCTGCCAGATGGGCAGAAAGTTTTGCCTACCACATGGTCTTCCCTTATTGGGACCATAGGGGCCTCTACAAACGGTTGCTCTGCCTAGGGAGCCGATCCCTTGAACAATTGGATCAGATCGGAATCCAAAAATAGAGGCCTTTCATTTTCCTCTTTTGCCTCATGGGGCAGTAGAGGATGCTATTTTAGAGCCAAAGAGAGGCAAAGATTAGTGGGCTTGCCCGCTTATGATCAATTTAACCTTTTAACTTTAACTATTAAATGAGTAAGATAGTAGTGCAGCCAAAGTGTCATTTTTATTATTTTCTATTTTAGTTGTGCGCATGTTATAAGTAATTGAGATGAATTCGTTCAAATATTTTAGCATTTCTTTAGCAAGCCTTTATATTCCACAATTTGGAGGCCGAGTTAGAAGAAAAATTCGTTTATCTGTCTTTTTCAATATTCTAGCTAGATTACTCTTTTCATCCTCTCTGCTAAAAAGCCTTCATTTTGCTCATAGAATATCTGGAGATCTTCTGTCTCGTTTCCTTCGTAATCCTGTGAGGAAAAACCAAGCATTCTAGTCTTGATCCCAGAGCTTCGTCATAATTTCCTTACAAACCTCAGCATAATTAATGCTAAAAACTTATATAAGATATTTGCATATATTGAAATGATATATAGTGAATTAAAAGTGATAGAATATCAGCGTTAAACATTTAGTGTCAAATGAAGTATGGAAAGCAATCAAAAAAGCAAAAATATTATTTTTGTAGTAAATTCATCGGCTCAATTTATCATAAAAATTTATAAAGAATATCAAAAATTATAGAGATCCAAATTTTTACCTTGCTTGAGGAAAAGGGAGTTTCTAGTCTATATTAATAGCTAGCTAAAATTAAATCAACATTTCAAAATTTAATGGAAACATAATTTTATAAATGATATCTGAAGTTTCAGGACACTACGAATTCAGCATAGACAACACATCTAATGAAAGAATATATGCACTTGACGATAATTTTTACCAAAATACCTATTCCAGCACTGAAAATCTCCCATATTTCTCGCCCATTGAGCATCGAGTATCAGGCCTCGCTGCAAACCCTTCATTCCATACTTTCTACAGACGCAGCAAAGATCGCCTACTCAGGAAGCCTAAAAATTCAAAATCTCCTCCAACTGACATAAGTCTCGTCAACTTGGCACCTCTCAAGGACGAAACCCAGCTAAGCCCATCATCTGAATTAATCCCAAAAGCCAAATCCTATTTCAGTCCCCAAGCTGAAAAAACGAAAAAAATTCTTTATAAGACCCAAATCCCTCTGCCTGTAATAAGGACGCCAAAGTCTATGAAAAAATCCAGTTATAGGAGAAATTGTTTTTTCGGAAGAGAATTTTTGGAAAGAAAAATGAAAGGCAGCTTGTCGCCTCAGCCACCAACGTCAGCTGGGTTTATGCCTTCTCCAAAAGGAAATTTAAAAAGACCAATTTTGAATAGCCAGCTTCAGAGCAGGATCAGAAGCAAAAAGCAATATGAGCTATTTCTTGACGAGCTACAGATGCTATAATAGTTCCTAATAAAGGTTTGTTTATAGTTAAACTTAAAAAGGTTTGAATTTTAATCTTCTTTAGAATATTTTATTGCTTTTACCTTCTTCCAGTTGACGGTTGGCTCAAATCCACCTTGGTTTACCATCTCTATTTCGTCTTTCTCTAATAGTCCTTTAAAAGATAAGTAGCGTGGCCTCTGATATGGCTCTGTAGGGATTGGTGCCTTTTCTACATCTGCTGTGCGAAAAGTAGGCTTTTTATTCCTCCGGAATTGGATTTTTGGCTTGTAAATCCCTCTTCTAATAGTATAAGCAAGCATGATTTTATTTTTATAAACCTATTATAAGAAAATTATTCTAAATATTCAGCCATCTCTTGAATAAGGGTTTTGGGAATTTTCCCAAATATCATATGATTTTTTTTGGAAATTAAATAAATAAAAATGAGTCCTTTGACTTTACCCCATTTAATCAGCTTAAAAGCCATGCTTTTACACTTTTCAGGCATATTCATCATAAGCATTTTCTCAAGCGGGACCTTGCTCTTTTCATAGATATCATTTAATAAGTCATCTCGGTCATATCTAAAAATAAAACTAATATTTAATTCATTGAAAACGTGCTTAAGTATCAGGTCTCTTGGGCAATTTATTGATAAAAGAATTTCGAGTACTGGGACTTCACTTCATTTAGTATTAAACAAAAGTCATGATAAAAGGCTTCAATTTCCTCGGCAATATTCAAGAATTGACCCATTTTTTGCAGATTCTCATATAGAAATTTTTGTCAATAGATATTTTACACACTCAAGATTTCCACTCCAAACACCCAAATGAAGGCAAGTTTCGCCATTATCAGTGACATCATGTAAAGAAACTCCTGATTTCTCTAATAAATGCAGCATTTTTAAGTTTCCATTATATGATGCCCAGTGTGCTAAGTTCCAATTTCTTTTGTCTTTGATTTTAATATCAGCCTTTTTTGAAATTAGTAATTTGGTAATTCCAAGCCAATTGTATCTTACTGATAGCAATATTGAGCTCTGATTGCCTCTCCTTAGCCTATTGATATCACATCCACATTTTAATAAATATTTGGCAATTAGTCAATTTCCTGATCTGCATGCATAATGAAGCGCAGTCGACAAAGATTTCTTTGTCTTGGTGTCCAGCTGCACCTTCTTTTTCTTAATTAAATATTTGGGTATTGTGTGGTTTGTGCAGTATTTCGCAGCTAAATGAAGAATTGTTTTTCTTTCTGAGCCATAGACTCCGCCTCTCTTGAACTCGATTTTTTTGAAATTTTGCAGGTCGTTTTTTTTGAGGATTTTTTTGACCTGAAAACTGAGTTTGAGAGGGCTTTTCATATTGATAATTACATTTCCCACATTTATATTGATTTTTACAATATAGTTATGGATAGCTTATAGATTAGCTTGGACTATGAGTGGCACAGGGTCAAGAGCTGCTAAAAAAGCTTATGAGTTAGACTAACAGTTTATAGTCAAAGGCAAGCTGTAAGTTATCCTGAAAGATATCAATTTATAGTCATATTTAAATGACTATTCCATCATTTTTGCTTGCAGATTAATTTGAAAAAATACATTGATTGAAAAATTATTTTAATATATATCGATGAATATCTAAATTTAATGATTTATTTGAGCTTTTAAAAAGAAAGCCATAATTTATAAATTTGCCAATCTATGGATATTCTCTTCTAAATCTCACGAGAATTACAATTGCCTAGAGATAATTCGCAAATTTTTCTATAAAATTATAGATAATATAATTTATTTACTCCGCCTCTTGTGAGCGAGTGAGAGTGGTGCTATTTTTTTGTAAAAACATTATATATAAATTTTATCAAATTTAAAAAATTTCAAATTCGCCAAAATTGGAAAGCCAAAATTAATTTAATTAAGCTATTTAATTTCAACAGAATTAGCCTGAGATTCATTATACTAATTATTTCTTATATATTAAAATATTTTTTCATAAAAATATTTATTCGTTCACACTGAGGGAGTTTTTTTTTTGCCCAAAAATCAGGGATTTTTTCTATGATTTTGTGTTGTTCACGTAGATAGGGGAGTTAGAAGTTGAATTATCTTGAAATTATTTTCTCAAATAAGCCTTTTATTAAATTCTGCTGAAATGGCTTTCTGTATCATTTCAAATAATTTTAGAATCTTTATGATAGCAATAATTTATAAATGGCAGTTCCACCTGAATATGGCATTTCCGCCCACCGCACAGAGCCTAAAGAAGAAGAGAAATTTTACCCGGCCCAAGTAAAAAGAATAGTCAACGATGTTTTACAAGATAAGCTTGAAGGCAAATCATACGACAACGCTACTGCCCAACAATTAGCCCTTGAAATCAGCAATATTGTCAAGATCAGATGCAAAAATTTAAGGATGCCAAGATACAGCACACTTAAAAAATGGAGTAGAGAATCAACCTGCCCTCTTTTCACCTATCCAGGACGTTCGGGAAGCAGTGTGCGATAAAAGTATTTTGTGGAGTGCAATGCCGGGCTGACTTACCGCAAGCTCACATCCAGTGCGAGGTTTTATCTTGGGAACGGGAGTTGAAAGGGATAGTCTAGCAAGGCCAGAGGGAGTTCGCTTGACCTATCGGCAGCTCGATACCAGAAGCTGCACTCTGGGCTAAAAGTTTCATTCGGGCATATTGCCTGGCCAGAAAATTCGCTTTGGAATTTTTGGAAAGGGCAGTCCTGTTAATATACGGAACGGTGCCCAGGGTTCTTACTCTTGGGTGGCGAGCACATGCCCTCGTCCGAGAGGAGCGACACATACCTTTAGGCCGTATAATTGGACTGGCGAGCAAGAGGGTGAAACAATACAAGGGGCATGAAAAGTCTCTATAATAATCTAAGTTAAGCCAAGATACAAGTTGATTGTTCAGACTTTTATAGGGGAAAATATGGGGCAGGGGCTGAGAGTTGCATCTAAGTGCTTATGGAATGCGAAATTTGACAATTATGCTTCACATTCATATCAATCAGGGAATATCTTTGCGGTCGTTATTGTGTTTGGATCGTATTATGAATAAGTTAATATAAAACTTTAAAGAAGAGTAAGGAATAAAGAAAAGATAATTATGTTTAAAATATCGTAGAAACCACCTAAGCTGTATAGTGAAATTTAATCAAAATAATTTTGAAGGGATTTTTGAAGCAGAAAAATTAACTGTGCTCTCCAAGCTGCCAATATTAAGACATTTGTCAATGTTCATAATCTCAGTCAAAGAGATTTAAATCATTAGACTTACACTTTTCAGATCGACTTTATTGAGTATCTAGCGAATAACCGAATTTCCTAAATCTATAGTTTCGAGGGCATATTGAGTGTGTCCATGCTATATTCAAAGTTTTCTAATCACAAATAATGATACCTATTTCATTTGGTTCATTTCCTTCAAAAATAAAAAAATTACTTATCACACTTTAATCAATTGTTATGTAGGAACTGTTATCTTTATCTTTAAGCAGAAATGTATATTATTATATCAGAGTGATTTAATTGAACTTCTCTAATTTCATTCTCAAGTATTTGCATTATTATAATAAAAATCCCTATACAAAGAATTAAACTTAAATTACTTATAGAGAAGTCCTTGCAGGCTGGTATGCCACTAATCGCCTCCGCACAACGCTCAGCCAGCTTGCTAGTTCTGATCTTCCATTTTGCTGCTCCTCACGGACGAGGCCTACATTTGCTACTTAAGAGCCAGAAACCTATAGGCACCACGCCCTAACTTTAGCTGGATTTGCCTTTCAAAAAATTCGAAGGCGAATTTTCTGTTCGGCATCGTGCTAGGGGAACTTACCTGATTGGCTAAGTGGCATCCTTGGCCTTCCCTTTCCAACTCCAAAGATTCATTTGCCCACGGAGGTAAAGCCTTGACTTATTGTGCGATCGGCTAAGCAGAAATTGCGCTCCGCCAGCCAAGTAGAGCCTGACAAGATGCGAATTCCCAAGCTCTGGCTCCCTTCCACAATGTCCCCAATTTCCCAATAAGCCTACTCTTTCAGGTGTTAATAGGTTAGCTTACCCCACATTTTAATGCATCCTATACAAACACACTTTCTCCTATTTTCGCTCACAAGGCCCTCAGTTTCCATTTAGATTTATAAAAATCTCACTCAAATATGAGCACAAATAGTTTAATCGAGCTTAGAGACGAGCTGCAAGAAGCCCTCACCAAAATTTACAACGAGTATCTCCAAGACTTCAGAAAGCGCAAAGCTCAGCGGCTCGAGAATCTCCGTGCTTCAGACCCTCCCGAACAATACCAGCTGGTGGTAGAAACCAATTACCGCAATGAGCTGACACAAAAAGTCAAACAAATAGTGCATCAAGAATCCTACAACATGATCTACCGCATTTTCTACGACGCCGTCCATCAGTTTGTCTCAGACATTTTCACTGATTTGGCATCTCTTGATTCCCAAAGCTTAATTCTCCGGATTCTCTGTCTTGCTGAAGCATTCCACACAGTCGAAAACTCAGCCCGCGAGCTCGGAAAAATCACCACAGGGATTTTTGAAAAGGAGCCGACCTACATCACCTGTGAGAACGTCACAAAACTCGCATTTTTCGACAAAGTACTAAAGCATTTTGAAAATTTAATAGAAGCTGCACCTAGCGTTGCAGATAAAAGCTGTGTGGTAAACGATGTAATTAACCTGAACTTAGAGCTGAGGTCTTTAAGTAATAGACTTACCCCCCTGGATTTTTGGATGGATAATTTTTATAATGAGAAAAATCCGTGTTAAAAATTTTAGAGCGTTTTGGCTGTCCCATATACATGAGGTTAGGTCTTCGACGAAAAGCACTGACAAGGTTTTTAAAGAGGACTCACAAAGGATGAACTCTAAGCTAATTTTGAGCGGCGAAGACAATACCAATGATGATGTCAGCTTTATGAGCGTCGATGACATTGTGTCGTTTATTAATGGAGATGCGAAGGACATGAAAAAAAAAAGAAGGAACAAGGGGAAAAAAAGATGCAAAGCGTCCACTGCGAGCACGTCTGGATCGCCGAAGTCGGAATATAGAGATATGGAGTATCCAGAGCTGGAAAAAGAAATTGAAGAATTCAGTAGAAGGCTGGAGTTTACAGTAAAAATTCCGAGGTTGAAGCCGAAATTTTCTGAGGAATGGATTAAGTGTTTGAGAGACCAAATAACTAAAATTAACTAGGCTGAATAAGAAAAATGTATGGGAGCGTAGAAACTAATAGTAAATATTCATATTTTTATATGATAAATAAAGAAGCTGCTTGTAAAGCTTTAAAGAAGGGTGGATGAATATGTCTGCTCATTGGAAACCTCCTTATTTTCAGCGTATTTTCTATTTAGATTTCATATTTTTACTTTTTCTTGCTCTTTTCAATTATCAATGCAAGCTATTCCCAAGCACTGTTCTATACATTCATAGGAATTTTTATTTTATTCAATATAGCCTGAGCACTTTTTAGTTCGGATTTACCGATCTTTCTGACAGAAAGAGGGGAGTTGGCAAAAGTAATTAATGCTGGTTTAACCAAATGGCACAACCACTTTATACAGGGTTTCTGCCATTTGAGACATGGCTAAACTAGCATAAGCTGTTTTTGCCAACTCCCTCATTCTCTCAGAAAAGATCGGTAAGTCAGATCTAAAATAGTTCTTGAGCTATATTCTCTATAATTATTACAAAGCTGCGTTTACAGATCCTGGAACCCCTCAAGAAACATCCTTAGAAAGCCTAGAGTTATCATCAGACTCTCAATGATGCCCAAAATGCAATTTTTCAAAGCCCCCTAGAGCTCACCACTGCTCAACCTGTAATAAATGTGTCCTTAAAATGGATCATCACTGTATTTGGGTTAACAACTGTATAGGGCTCTATAATTATCGCTATTTTTACCTTCTTTTATTTTGGATTTTAATTGGAACTTTCATTATCTGTGCAATCATGTGGGATAGCTTTATAAAGATTTTAGACGGTGACGAAAGCTTTACTGGAGAATTGTCTGATTTAAATAGAGAAGCAGTGAGATTTGCCTTTATTTTATGTGGGTCGATGATGCTGGGACTAGGATTGCTGTTTGCGTTGCACACTTATTTGGTCTTGAATAATTTGACGACTATTGAGTATACTTTTACGGATAATTTGGTAAGACTTAATGGAGAATTGCCTGGAAACAGATATGATTTACTTCCCTTATAAGGATAGATGCAGATTTTATGTATTTTTTTAAATTTATGATGGAATTCATTTATATTTTAACTTTGTTTGATAATTAAATATAGATGAACAATATATTACAGAGAAATTAACCCCCCCCATCCTTGATCGAACGACTCGCCATCATTCGATCAAGGATGGGGGTTTAAAAAAAATTTTTTTTGGGAAAACAATTTTATAATAAAATAAAAAATATATTTATATATTTTTTTTATTTACTTTTAAATAAGAGGGTTAAGAGTATTTAATAATTATTTTTATAGTAAAAAATTGAATTAATTTCATAAAATACCAGTTTTTAATATTTTGATTTATTAGTTACCCCTTTTTAAACTGTATAAATTTTAATTTGTTCCTTATTAAATTAAATTTTTTTTTTAAATTTTAAAAGAATCTCTATTTTATTAGATTATTGTGTTTTTAAGCCTAGGCTGATGGCTAAAAAAACTTCTGATGGTTGATTCTGCAGCTTTCTGTTGTCTAAAAGCTCTGAAACAAACTTCATTAGGTGCATCTTCCCAAGCTTTTAATAGCTAATATATTTTTTTATATATATAAAAATTGTCATGATATGAAAATCGTTCGATCAAAGATGGGGGTTAATTTCCCAAAATTTTTTAGGAATTTTTACATTCAATCGTTCGATCAAGGATTGGGGGGGAGTAAGGAAAAACTTATAAAAAAAAGCTTAAATGCAATTGATTATTAATGGAGGGATTTAGGAATAAAAAAGAACTGGGAAGAAGTTTTTGGAAAAAATAAATGGTGCTGTTTTTGGTTCTTGCCTGAATTATGGCTTACTCTCATCTATGAGTGAGCAAAGCCACTTGAAAAATTATGATTTTTTGTACCCTGTGAGTGATAATTAAACATGGCGTCTCGGCTCGGCATGGTCTCCCTATCATGCAGCCTCGAGCACATATTGAATTATAACCGGCAAGGTATTACCAATTAGAAATTATAGCAATACTATGTAAGCAATCCCTTAGAGTAAGGAGTCTTACCCAAGTCTCTTTTCAGGATTGGACTTTGCCTCGTGTGAAGGAAAGGCTTGAGTAAGAAAGCGGAAGCCCAGCAGCATCTTTTGATCATTTGGGCAACTCCATAGCGTGAAATAAGGAGTTCGTCCTGGGCTACAAGTTGCACGTTTTGCGGACAGTCAGCCGGAAATTCAATCTTTTGAAATTTCTGTGCAGACAACCCATATTCAAGCTCGAGAGCTGGAAGAATAGTCGTCGAAATCAGAACGCCCAAAGCCGAGGACCATTCAGAGAGCCAGTTGTGCACAATGCTATGTTGGATCGTGGAATTCCGAAGAAGGTATAGAAGCCCGTGCAGGGCATGTGTAGTGGATCTTAAGCAAGAACCTTAATAAATTGAATGTATGTATGCACACTCTGTGAGTAAAATATAATTTTTTTTATATAAAAAATATTTTGCTATGTTCTATTCTATTCTGTTATCGCCATTTAAAGGACCAACTTTTTCTAAAGTGTTTTTTTTTTTCTTTTTAACTCTTTAATTTCAACTTTAGCCTCTCTTCTCAACTTTATCATCAGCTTTCCCGCCAAAATCCTTTCCTTTTACATTATAACGACAAATATTTATCGCATCGCATTCCTGCTTCTCTTAATCTATTTAATTTTTCCTATCTATCTCCATTTGTTCATTTACTTCATACATTCTTCATTTTCAATAGCTTCATCAATATTTAATCGTTCACCCAAGTCTTGAATTGGCTCTTCGCCCACTATTTCTTCTCCTGGAATCCATACGCCCTTATGCTGTAGTTCTTCTATCTTCTTTATCCCCTCCTTTTTTCGCGTTAACAATCATTCTCATCTCCATCTTCTCTTTCATCTTTTATTGGTAAAATCGGTTCTGGGTCAACTTTTCTCCGATTCTCCAAATGGAATTTGGGTAAATCCAATAGTTGCGTAGTCTTTCTTTCATCTTCAAAATATCAATTCCTTTATTATTCCCAATAAAATCCATTTTAAAATTCATATTTTTTGCTATATAAGTGATAATTATATAAGGAATTTTTGGATGATTCTATTTATATTCAAACAAGCTACATTCTAAAGCATAATTTTTACCAATTAATTTTCTCTCCAATTATATAAAATTGATAATTAACCGCCTCAGTGAGTAAAATATTTTTTCACTCACCAGAGGGGGTAATTAGTAAAGATAAGCCAATTACCTCTATAAATATCTAATTAAAATAATAGCTGTTGCATAATTTCATGGGGATATCAAAATAAAAAAACTGTTTCAAAAAATTTTCAGTTGATTATTGATTATTCGCCTATAAGTTTGAGTAACGAAAATATAATCGATCGCATAATCATTAACCTCCACGCAATTTCATTATAAACTTTCACTTTATGTCCAAAATTGTACTAAATATTTAATTAGCAATAATTAAGCAATTCTAACTCCGCATAGGCATACAATTTTGATTGCTTATAGAAAGAATCATTTTTTTTAATTTCTTTTATTTTAAAATGCGTAATTTAAAAACACAGAATTAGCTAGAATTTCGCATTATAATAATTATATTAAAAATTTTTTTATTCTCTCAAGAGGTGGTTTTTACCAAAAATAAGGATTTTATTCACATAGGGGGAGAAGTAAGCATGCAAATTCATTTTTATTTTGTTAACTGATTAATCTACATAAGAAATTTTAAAAATAAGCATGTTTATCCAGTATATTTATGTCGAAATATAAAATGTCCAACAAGCCTTCAAAGCAAGCTGACATCGAACTCAGTTTTGCCAAAACCGACCAAGGTGAGTTCAAATTGATCCCCACAAACGAAATAAAAGAAGAACTAGACTCTTCCTTTGTCAGCAAAAAACCTCCAAATTCAGACAATTATATCAAGGCCTTTATGATTCTTTTCGCTATCGGCATCAAAGTGTGACAGCCCTTGGCTATTTCAGCCTCTCGCCGAGAAGATGGGAAATACAACTATAACAAAACGACCATGGTTATCCTTGTGGAGCTTGCCAAGTTGATTGTGTGTGGATCCGCATTAATCATCACTTTGGCTAACACTGAAGGTATCAGACGACGTGCTCTGACGAATTTAAAATTCAGAGAATCGCTTCACTTTTTAGTCCCTGCAGTCTTTTATGCAGGCTCAAATACACTGGTCTACTATGGGTTGAGCTACATTGACCCAGCGTTATTCCATGTATTTGGGAATATTAGAATTATTACTGCAGGAGTGCTTTATAGGATCATTATGGGCAAAAAACTGTCTGATATACAGTGGCTGTCATTAATTTTACTTACTTGTGGAGCTGTTCTTGCTACTCCTGGAGTATCTGAGGCTAGCTTTGATGGGAGCAAGACGTTTGTGGGTCTCTTATTTATCACTTTGATGTGTCTTTTGAGTACTTCTGCTAGCATTTATACAGAAATGTATTTCAAAAAGACCAAAGAGCTCAGCATTTGGTACCAAAACTCAGTTTTATATATTTATGGAATCATAGTGAATGCCATCTATTTATTTTATACTGAAGAAAGTGACAACTCACAGCCAGGAGTTTTTGAAGGGTGGGATATTTACACATTTCAAGTGCTTTTCGTGCAGTCAACAATGGGACTTAGTCTGTCATTCCTGTTCAAATTTTTGGATAATATCATTTATGTTATCTCTTTGACAGTTTCTATGTTTATCACAGCGTTTTTAAGCTCAATTCTCTTTGAGTTTGAATTCAACTTGGCGTTTATATGTGCATTGGTCGTTGTCACAGCAGCGATTTACCTCTACAATAGATCGAAAATATTAGAAAAGTATGATATAGATGAAAAGAACTTTAATCTTTAGTATAATTGATTATTGCTAAATATAAATTAAGTATATAGGCTAGATATAATAATGTTTAGATATATAATTATCATATAGAAACTCTAAATAAATGCTGAATATAAAGTGATTGGCATTGAGCATATATTGATGATAAATATTATTAATTAATTATCCGAAGGATCAGGTGTCAATGCCCCACCAAGCAAGCTTCCTAACATATCTTCATTTAGTGACAACCTCTTTGGGCTCTTGTCTCCTGGCTTTTTAACTTTTTCTTGCAATTTGAATCTTAGCGGATCAAAGACACTAAATCCTGTCCTTGATTGAACGATACCATTGAAAATTTCCTAAAATTTGCACATTATTCGAGCGACTTTTAAATGGTTGAGCGCAAAGCCGCTCCTCTGTCCTTCCTCAGATTCAATAAACTATTTTTATAGCAGAGATTATACTTGCAATCACTTTTTCCCAAATTATAATGCGATTTCTTGATATTTGATAATATAATGCTCTATTTTTTGCAAAATGCATTTTAAATTTATATTCCAAAAACTATATATTATTTAAAAACGGGTCTAGCTGAGTTACCCCACTGGTGTTAATTCTGCCACCATTTTTGTTCTCAGGGTAAATCCTGCCGTAAATTTTTAATGGTGCAGAAAAAAGGAAGGTTAAAAGCAAGCCAGCAAATTTACCCTATATCAAAAAAATCCTTAAAATAAGAGGAATTAACCCAAATGGTAAAAAGCGTAAAAAAAACAAATTAAAGAAATTTTAAATTATTTAAAGTGATAATACATATTAAAAAATAGATATTACTGGCATAAATAAAGATTAACTACTTCTTTAATATTTAAATATTACTTACAATATTTAAAAATTTCTTTAATTTGGTTTTTTTCCGCTTCTTTAACCATTGGGTTAAGCTCCTCTGATTTTAAGGATTTTTTTTACATGACGGCAAATTCCGCTGTCACTTTTACCACTTTTTTTTCGACCACTTTTTTCTGCATCATTGAAAATTTACAGTGGTTTACCTTTGAGAACAGTAAAAAGACGGAGGAATTTACCCTAGCGGGGTAAATCAAGCTTGGCCTATTTAAATCCCATCCTTGATAGAATGACGGCAATTGAATCGAATTGATGCGAGGAGTAAGTGGCTTTGACTCAATTGATTTCCTCTTTTTAAGAAATGGAAATGGAGACATGTTCTTCTTGGGCTCTTCGTCAAATCTTGTTTTCAAAATATGATCAGGGCTTGGAGATGTCGATTTCACTAATTTGAGAAGAGCGTTTCTCGTGTTTATTTTGCTTTCTACCGTTTCTTCTTTAGCAGCTGGGCCTTTTCTTCCATGAGACTCTGCTGAAATTTTTGTCTTGATTGATAAGATAACTTAATTATTAAAATTTTTATATTCCCCCGCAAGCTGTTGAAAAAAGCGACTCCGCTCTGAGCAAATCGACGGTATTTGCATGATCATTAGAAGTTCTTTTGTCATCAGTTCTGAAGAACTCTCTTTTCCCACTATCCCATGCCCCTGAATAGTGTCTTTGCTGACGCAAGCTCTCAGAGGATCATAGATCTTTCCTTCACTGAGCCTGAATAGGGAATAACCCCTTATCAGGTCTCGCAATTTTTAAATTGTGTTTTGTCTTGACTATTGGCTGCCTCGTGACAACCTTGACCTTATTTCCTGGAAGGGGTGTCAATTTGCCATCACTAATAAGCGTGCTTAGACTAACATTATTCGGATCTTCTCGCTTAAGCACTTTTAAAAAATGGCAAATGGCTATAATTTCAGGCGAATCATGAACTGATCCAGCTTCAGATAAGTGAATCTCTTTCTTTAAGAAATCCAGAGTGGGTTTTAGCCTGGCTGGGACGCCACAACAGGATTTTTCCCTTTTTCTTACGGACGATAACCGAAGGCGCAAACTCTGCTCATACTTTAGGTAGCAACTTTACTCTTGATAAAGGTGAGCTCGTCCAGAAGGAGAAATGGCAGTTCCCTCATACCCTTAGCACTACCAGGGCCAAGATAGTCCTCTATTGCAGGGCTAGACCCAGCTAGGCCAGGTGAGTCTGCCCGAGAGATTGCTGATATCACCATTTTTTTGGTGATATCAACAAGAACTAAGGCCTGAAGCCTAAGTATCACAGATAGGGGCTGAAATAATCTCCAGCGATGCGCTACAAATTTATCCCCCAATCTCGCTTAAGCATTATAGAATCCATTAAGTTAGGCTCTGTCCTCGTATGCAAATGCTGATGCACATTTCCCATTTCTTTCCACTGCTGTATAATTGTTTCAATTACTCCAATGATTTCATCATTTTTTGAATCTTCATTAACAATGTTGAAATTTATGCATATTTTTTTAATTTCGTTCCCTAAATCTTCATCTGGGTTTTCATTTTCCGTTTGAGTTTCCGTCTCATTTCATTCTAAACCTTCACTTGCTATTTCCAAGGTGCCAGTTTGTTTATCATCGTATTCTATTACTTCTGTTTGGGTTTCTTGAGCACTAATAAAGCTTTCCCTTTCTGTTTGAGATTCTGTAGATATATTTTGCGCTGGAATTTTGGCTGGAAAGAAGCTTTGACATTTTTGAGTTTCGACTGAGAGCGATATTTTGGGTTTTTCTACAGGAGTGAGAGAGGGGTTTATAGTTGGTTTATTTAAAGTGGCTGGATTTTGTTCTGTGCTTGACCCACAACCCATATTTATTTTATTTACAGTTTTGGAAAAAAATTAAAAGCGTATATATTTAATTTAGATTTGAAGTTGCTGAGCGAAATCGTGAACCTCTGCATCCTCTGGATGATGGTTTAGCAAGAATTTCACCATTTTTTGGGCATCTTTTAGCGAAACAACTTCTTGATTAGCTAAATGGCACCTAATAATCCCTTTACAAGCCCTGAGCAGAGGCTTTTGTTTATAAAGGCTGTCTGTGAATTTCAAAAAATCTGTATAAGCATTAAAATTCATTTTTCTGATGACGTAAAAATGAAAATCGCACTGGTCCTCAAACATATCAGAGTACTGCTTATCAACCCACTCAAACTCAGCTTTAGCCTTCGCTACTTCTCCAAGCCTCAAATAGGCTTCTCCCATTTCGTTTTCTACCCAAGTGCTCTGCATATCATGAATATTCAGTTCTCCTCTTTCTCTCGAAAACAGTCCTAGAAGTTCTTCTGCTTGTGCAGTCTGGTTATTCCTGTATAAGTATTTTGCGCTTTTATTGTTGAGGTATCGGTCAGAAAAGTCTAAATTTCTGGCTTCTTCTACTTCGCAGATGGCTTCTTGGAGTCTTCCCAAGTGCTTCAAAATCCTTCCTTTTGCTAAATATAGGTCTGGGACTGTAGGGGTGTGCTCTATGGCTTGATTTATAACTGATAAAGCTTCTTCATGGTTTTTAAAGAAATCATGGATTTTGCTGAAAAGCAAAAAAATTCACATGAGGCATTGTGGCTGCTCTTTGGGGCCACTTGAGTGGGTTCAAGTGTTGTAGTCTATTATAGCAAAAGATTCGGATGATGAGAGAGTTTCTATGTGAGCCTTTATGATGTTGATGATAATTTCTGATTTTTCTGGGGATTTTAAGAGTGGTTTTATGTCGAAAAAGAGTGAAGGAATCCCTTTGCGTATCCGCTTAGTCAAATATCTGTCAAAAGCTGATGCAAAGTGAGTAGAGTCTGATAAGTCGAGCTCAATCCTGAACATCGCAGTACTTCTTGGGAAACTTTCTTGAAGCTCTGCATAGACGCTCAAAATTTCTTCAGGATTTCTACACTTTTGCAATAAATCATGGTAAATTAAGTTTTCTGGGTTTAAAGCTAATAGCTGCCTTACTACCATTTCTGCAGATTCCTTTACTCCTAGCTCTAGCAAACACCTAGCCATCATCTCTTTTCAAGCAACTTGATCTAAAATCTTCGCCTTATTCTCATTTAGCCACTTTTCCAGTGCAGCAAAATCTCTCATTTCTTCCAAAATTTTGGCCTTATAAAGATAAATTTCTGACAGTTCTGCATTACTTAGATTTTTCTCATGTGCTTTTATAAGAGAATCAAGGACCTTACAAGCTTTTTCATTATCCCCGCTTAAATATTCAGAAACTGCATAACTTGACCAATTTAAGACAACTGCAGGATTTCCAGTCAAAATAGACAGCCTAGTGTCCCGAAAACCTTTGAAATCTCTATTTTGAAGCTGAAGCAAGCTGAGATTCCTTATAATTGCTGGGTTATTTGGAGTAATTGCGTTAGCCTTTTGTATAGATTTATAAGCTTCTGCATAGTTTCTATCATTATTTTGAATCAAAGATAAGGAAAACCAGCATAAGGCACTTTTCAAGTTTTTCATAAGTCCTCGCTTAGCGAAGTCCATTGCTTCATCTTTGCGGCCGAGGGAGCTTAGAATGTTTCCTTTTAGTGATAAGGCTTCTCCAGATTCTGGGTAAGCCTCTAAAGCTTTTTCTACATGTTTTAGAGCTTTTGGGTACTGCTTTCTGTCTATCAATTGCAGTGCTTGGCGGATGTGCCCTCCTTCCTTTTGTGCGAAAGACTCAGCCACAGCTCCAAATGACTCCATATTATAAGAAATTAAAGAAAAATCTTGATATAAATAATCATGTCAATGACAATTAATGAACTCTCTGAAATCATCCCAATACAAAAAGATGCTGAAGAGGCTGAAGAAGCTGAAAGCTCCTTGCTGTTTTCAAAAATAGTCAGCCAGCCTAAAAACGAAATCCAAGAAAACGTTTCAATTGATTCTGGTGGACTTTTAAGTGAAAATCATGAAGACGATGATGATATTTTTTTTAGAACCAAAAAGGAAAAAATCGAAAAAATGCATAGTCCTGGGGCTCCTCCTGTAAAGAAATATGTGCTATGCAGGTGGCTTGGAGAATGAGGATATACAGATTTTATTATGCTATTTGTATTTATGGGGGTAGGATATAGAGGCTGCCTTTGAGTAGCGCTCTAAGCGCCCGAGACTTCCCGACGAAGTCTGGGCGGTGGTTTGACCAGCTGATGTTGGTCAAACCAACATCCAAAATGACAAATTCTTCTCATACAGAAGGTTTGTCAAATTGGATGCTGGTTTGACCAACATCTGCTGGTTTGACCAACATCTGCTGGTTTGACCAACATCAGCTGGTCAAACCACCGCCCAGACTTCGTCGGGAAGTCTCGGGCGCTTAGAGCGCTACTCAAAGGCAGCCTCTATATTCGATGGGAGCTTTGATGGTTTTAGCATCACATAATAGTGAAGTCAAGGTGGATGCTTATAAGTCTTTTATTGTAGGAGTGCTTATACCTACTTTTTTTGTATATGCATTAGCTGGGTTTATGTAACGTTTATTTAGAATTATAAAAGCAAGAATCACAAGAAAATGGCTGATTTTAATCATTATTTCAGCTATTATTCCACCAATTTGTGTGCCTATGATTTATTATTGAGGAAATTTGGATTTCAATACCGCATTTTTACTGTCAGTATTCTCTGTTGCACTGGGCTTTTTTTTACTATTAAAATGGTTTCGGCATGCAGCTGCGCGCTACTCTTTATCTTTTGCGAATATTCTGGTATCGTTATACTGCATTTTAATCCCCTTGGTTTGTATAGGAATTCCTTTATATAAATTTATGCTTACTGGGACTATTAATCAATCATTCATAGTCTCAATTTTCAGCTACCTGCTAGCTCCAATACTCCTCATAATTGGTCTTCCCTGGGTGTTTATTCATGTGAAATATTTTTTAATCCCAAAAAACGAGACAAATTTTTATATCGAAATTCTAAATAAATGTTGCAGATCCACAGTTTTAGTCTCAAAAAAAAGGAAAATGTGCTTTAATATACCATCTATAGTGATTTTTATGACAATGATGGGATGCGAATGCTATGCTTTATCTATCCTTTTTACTGGCACAAAAGACTCAGAATCCAATGAAAGCTATTATTTAAGTGGAATGATTTTTATACTGAACCCACTGTTCACTCTTGTTGGAGTGCCATTTTCAGGGTCAAAAATCCAAAAAGATGATAAATTTTGCTTCTGTGCGATTTTATCGTCTTTTGTTCCTCTGCTTGTAAGTGTTCCTTTATATATGTATATTACATATTCAAAAATATCAATTGTTTTGGAATGGGCTGTGATTACTCCTCCTATTTCGGCATTGTATTGGGTAATAATGTCTTTAATAAAACTGCAAAACTCGACGGTTTATCAGATGATTATTGCTTTTGGGTGTGTATTTTTGGTGTTTCCAATTGGATTTATATTACCTTATATGATGACTGGGGATATCTCAAACACTTATGGACTGCCTATTGTTTTCCTTTTGCTTGGAATTGCATTGATTTCTACAATTTTGTATTTGGGTTTAGGGCTTGTAAAGTTTTGCAGGCTAGCGCCTGCACAAAGAAAAGCTTTGATTATGAAGCTCTCAATGTATAATTTTGCCTTGTTAATAGAGTTTGTATCATTTTCCTTATGTGTAGCTGGGCTTGTGTATGTATTCTGTAATGGATCTTCATTGGATTGGACCCTTGGAGTGATTTTAGGTATCATTATTTTATTACCATTCACTTACTTAGCGACATCTATTAGTTTACGAACGACTCTCCATGAAAAGTCTTTGGATTCTCTCACAGAGCTGATTTCTGGAATATCAGAGGAATCCTCATTAAATGCTTTTTACATCAAAAAGAAAAGAAAATACCAAATAATAAACCATTTTATCTGCTTATTTATCCTGCCTTTAATGATTGTTGGAATGGTTTTATCAAGCAATAAAGTCCAAAAAAATATATTCAGTACACTCTGTGTGGGCATTTCTGTGCTTTCTATGGTTCATTCACACAATGCCCTATTTAATAACGAATATTTTTTGGCCTGTTTGTAATACTATATTTTATAATATATTTTCTATTAAAAATAATATAGAAAAATTGATTGAAAATCACCTCGAAATAGTCAATATGGAATCATTTCCAAATAGGGCCAAAAAAAATAGTTTAAAAAATAGGTCAAAAAAAATAGGCCAAAAAAAATAGGCCGAAAAAAATAGTTGCTATGAAATAGTCGCCATGCGAAGACACAGCTTTCTATTATGTTTACAGCTTTTATTCAGATTAAAAAAGTCCTTAACTCTTATGGAAGAATTGGCATATCAATTCTTACCTCATTGTGCTGGCTCTTTGTGATAATCCCACTAGCTTGTATTCTTCCTTGTGCTCTAGCATTATATACGAGTGATTCAGGACTATCAACCACCATCAACACAGCATTGGCCATTACAGGATTTATATGTATTATAGGAGTTTCAGCTGCCAGCGTTATTTTTAACATGGTCCTCAAAAGAATGGAGGAAGAAAAAAGAGCCAAATATTGTGTAGAAAAACTAAGAATTGGCCTCAGAAAAATAGCTGTTAGGGGTAATGAAAACATTTTAAGGCTAATTTATGAGCGCTGCAAATCTACAGGCTTAGGAGAACTTCTTAAAGACTTAGTAGATGGAGCCATTTTCTTTTGACTAAGCGTATAGGGCCTTCCTATAGATGGCGCGCAATGCGCCATCACCGGGCCATGTCGGGAGAGGGTTCCACATGAGGAATGGTTTCTACGTGTGGAACCCTCTTTTTGACTCGTGGAAAGTAGTTTTCTCACAGGTCAAAAAGAGGGTTCCACACGTAGAAACCATTCCTCATGTGGAACCCTCTCCCGACATGGCTCGGTGATGGCGCATTGTGCGCCATCTATAGGAAGGCCCTATAAGAGAAGACGACCCTGATTTAAGAGTCGACAAATTTATTGTGAAATCAGAAATGATGGGCAAACTCAAAGAGATGGAAGACGCAGAATTATTAGAAAAAATGAAAAAAAAAGAAAAAATTTCTTGCTGGAAAATGCTTGGCTGCTTCTCGAATTTTGAAGAAGAAAATGAGATTTTAAAAGAAGCTGCAGCCAAGAAAAAAGATGACTCACTCGTTGCTTTTGATTTGGAGAATTTAGATGAAGTTCCGATAGATACTGTTAAAGAGCAGGCTGATGAAAGCGAAAAAGGGCTCCTTGAGCTAAATGAGAGATATTTCAAAGCAATAAAAATTATTAAAGAAAATTATCCAAGACTGGAATTTATCAAAAAGAAAAATTTATCAAGAAGAAGATATGATCAGCTTGCGAACAGCCGAGAATGCTTTGCTATACAAAGTGACAAAGAATTGAGAGATTACTGGCTAAGTCTTGTGTTTAATGTTTTTGCTGCTGTTGACTACCCGAACGAAGCCCCATGAATTAATCATAAATCGTTTAAAATCTTTACAGAGCTTGGTGGTCTTTCTTCGTCCGAATATTTCCCAGATTCTCTTTTAGACTTGACATTTCTGAAAATTTCATATAAAATCGAAAATGGTAAAAAAGTCCTGAAAAAAATGACAGAGACTGTTTTTAATGAAGAATTGCTGTTAGACCTTGCTAAGATCCGATACGAAAGATTTGAGCCAAACGAAGGCATTATTAAATTAATAACTGAGTATTTATACCCAAACCTTATGAATAACATCCCAAAAGTGCTTCGAAATCCAGAAATATGAGAAGGGTTAAAAAAATCAGGTGACGTTTTGCATGAAGTCAATAAAAAAGATTTAACAGATATTGGAGAAGAACTAACAGCCCATCGTGAAGCATTTACTGTTTCCACAGCCAAAGCAAGTATAGACCCTCCACCCACAACTTCTAACGAAAACCAAAAAATATTCATGCAAAGTGAGCTTAATGAATTATATCTTCAGGAGCAAAAAAAAAGAAAAAAATATAAAATAGAAAAATGCTGTGACGGCTGCGCATATGTGATCGTCGTCATAATTGAATTTTTTTCTAAGCTATTTGTGAAACTATTCATAAAAATAGATCGATATCTTTCAGGAAGAGAAGAGATAAGACCTATGGTTCAAGATATAACTGATGATGAAATCATTAAAGAAAGAAGAAAAAGTCCAGATTGGCCTGAAATCAGCAAAGAAATTGTAAGACTGCTTGATGAAGGAATAAAGGAAGCAGATGAAAAATTGCGTTCAAAAGTAGATAATTTTACAGTCAGAAAAAATGCGACGAATATTATTTTTTTGATAAACAAAGTCGTAGAATTTTATACACTGTCTGCAATTGCGTTTAGAGAAGAAGTCCAATGGGAGATTATTAATAAAGAAGGGAATACTGCTTCAGAAACAGGATATGCTGAAAGCCCTTATTTCAGAGAAATCTTTTGGGTCTGCTTCGGATTAACTTTTGCATATCTATTTTTAGCGAAAAAAGCTATGAAATACGCCAAGCAAGGCAGACTAGGAAAAATGTCTAATGGAGATCCAGCTAAATTATTTACTTGGCAATTCTGGCTCAGCAAGTCAGTCCAAATTTTAGGTGGATCTTGTTACATTATGATAGTAAAAAACTTTTTAAACACTTTTGCGTGCAATATGACCCAGAACCCTTGGAAAGTCTATGGAGTAGATATGCAATGCTTTTCCCCTGAGCACTGGTGGTACATCTTTTTCGCAATTTTAGGAGTTTCAGTTTACTATCCAATCGCCACTTTTTTATTCCCACTGCTTCAATTCCAAGACTATGGCTTAGATTTCAAAATGGATGCTACTTTTCTTGTAGTGTTAAGCCAATGTAAGCTATTAATTGCTGCGACGGCCACATTTGTCCCTTATGGGACTTTTATCAGCTATCAGCTGTGGGCGTCTTTTACCTTCATTTCGATAATTCTGATTTTTTCATTATATATGAATCCTTGTATTATAAGGAAACTCAACATGTGGAATTCTACTGGATACCTGATGTGTGTTTTTACAGTAGGTATGGCGCTTTTCAATGTATGCACTGACCAGCATTTACTAGCTTTTGTATTTTTATGTGCTGGAAATGTCGTAATTTTCGCAGCTGCCTTAGTCATATGGATAATCAGACGCAAGAGAAGCAGAAACAAAATTGTGGTATTAAATAATGAGGATAAAGAAATGTAAATAATTTTAAATATAATTATGGCGGACATTTTTACGACTGTTCAAAGCTCAGATTTAAAAGTTGGCAGGCTTGTCTCAATAGTAGGAAGGGTTGAGAATTCGCATGAATCTGGAGTTTATATAAGTGACGAGAAAAATAGAGTAAAAATTACCAATATTCCGAGAGGGACAACTGGATTGATTGAGGTTAGAGGAAATGTAGTTGGAAATCTCCAAATTGATAATTAGGGAATTTAAAGCAAGATGCTAGCCATATTGTGAAACAGTCGCCAAAGACCTCCCGTCCATCCCAGAGGGTCTGTCCCTCGAAAATGGATGCCACTTCAGGTACCTTCTGTCTCCTCCTTGTAGATTCAGTCTTGAGTGGACGGCTTATGGATTCTGCCACCCTCGGAGAGAGATTGGAGTAGCTTTACTCCAAGGATCAAGCCCTTGGAGTCTCTTGGGATTCGAAGTGACTTCCTTCGAATGCTTCAAGAAAAACCTGCTCGTCTGTGGCCTGGGTTGAAACCGGTTTCTCTGTAATGCCCATGGGTCATCGAATCAAAGGACGTTGTTAGGAATTCCATTTCCAACCACAGGAAAGCAGCCAAAACCTACCCGGATACACATCTCTTGATCCTGCACTTGATTCTCAGCTCGGAGTCAGTCCCAGTTCGCCGTAGCGATAAGGTATGGACCCGTTGTGCCAGAAGGCAGATTGGCGCGTGCCACCATTTTAATGTATATAATTGATAACCAGGGATTTACGAAATTTACTGATGAGGAGTTTAATTTTGAAACACACAGGAGGATTCTTGACTTTTTCAAAAGATTCCCAGAGTTAACTTCAATTAAAAATTAAATTTTGAGTAAATTAAGGTAGGAGATATTTATTATTAAATCAAAAATAGATTATTCTGAAAAACTCGCGACTTTACTGAAATGCCTATTTTGTATATCAAATTTATAAAGGCAAAAATCCCTCAATAAAAAATAAAAGGCATCTTTATAGTGTCCAAAGTAACCAAATGGCGTGTTTTTCAATGGAGTCACATTTCCCGAGAGCTCTCAGTTGTAAGGATTCCTAACTTCACTTACTCCCCCCCCCTCCGTGAGCGAACAAAAAAAAAATTTTGTTCGCTCACGGAGGGGGGTTTAATTTGTTTTTTTAAAAAAAATTTTATATATAAATTTTTTAAAAAAAAATATTTTTTTTTCGAAATTTTAAAAAATCCTAATTTGCAAAAATTGGGAAGCAAATATTAATTTAATTTGCAAAAATTTATGTTTTAAAACGCAATTTGTTTAAAATTAAACAGAATTAGCTCTAGATTTCATTATACTAATTATCACTTATATATCAAAATTTTTTTTCCATTAAAAATTTTTTCTATTAAAAAAATTTTTGTTCACTCACGGAGGGTGGGTTTTTGGTCAAAAAATGGCGATTTTTCTAATGGTTTTGTTCGCTCACGGAGGGGGGGGGGGAGTTAGAGAAATAAATGGTGAAGTTGACGGAAATAGGAGTCCGAGGTGACACCTTTCTATGACAGGTCAGACCCATCCTGGTGTTGCTGAAAACAGGGCTTTTATCTCTTTTTGAAGGAGGTCTTCAGGTTTTGGGGAGGCCTTACTAAAGAGAGAGAATTGTGGGAAAGGCAGACTTGAAGGTCTTATGGCCATAAATTAAATTTTAGTTAGTTAGTTACTAAAGAGAGAAGCTTTGTTTCTCCCCCGAAGACTTTCCGTAGTTCCTGCAAGGTGGGCTAACAGATTTTGCCTCTCATAGTCTTCGTCTATCGGGACTATCGGGATACCCTACAGAAGGTCGCTCTAACCTAGGGAGCTTATCTTTAGCTTAGGTGTTCTTCAGAAACTTCAAGAGGGTGAAATTTGGATTAGGCCTTACACCATTTGCACTCCGTGTATATGCACCCAGCGAAGGCCAACTTTCTTGGAGCTAAGATAGTCCATTTAGTGGGAGTCCTGCTTATGGCCGTATAATCTTAATCTTAACTCCACTTTCATATATCTTCCCTCCTGAACCAAAAATATATCCTCTATTTCTAATAACATACACGACTAGACCATTGATTTGCGAACTCGGTGATAATTCTGTATAAGAATCTATTTCAGGGTCATAAACACGTGAGCCATCGCTGCATGAAATTATAATTTTGTGTTGCAGAACTGCATAATAATAAAATGGGCTCAGTGCGGAATTCCTTCGCTATTATTATGGGGTTCAGTTTTCCACGTAAGCCTTTATCCGCAACATCAATATGGACTACCGCATAGTGTAAGACATATAGTTTTTCTGCTTGATACACCTGATGAGGGTGACCTTTAGGCGGAACACGCGCAGGAGTCAAGTTCAGGCTAGACAACGTGACCAGTGCTGACCATCTGGCCTGACAGGTGCGTTTCTGAAATACCTGCTAGAAGGATGGCTGCTGACATCACCAATTAGGAGTTAAAAGGATGGGCTTATCCATGCCTAAATCATCCTGCTGAAGAGGGAAGACATTTTAAATATCTAAGTAGCTAAGTAAGTGTTGCAGAACTGCACATGAGCAAAGCATAAACTCAGCTGGCATATTTGCAAGCCTGCTTCACTGATTTTTGGATAAGCTAAATTTGTATGCTCTATTGACTACTCTATACCCTGATGATCCTCCAAACGCATACACATTACCATTATAATAGACGCAGCCAGAATCATAATAAGGTCTGCCATATCATAATTGTCTAAAAGATCCCTGTGAGTTAAAAGTAAATGTAAATCCAGACCCATTTCCATAGCAAAAAACTTCGCTATTTGGTAGTCTGCACATTGAGATAAAAGGACTAATTCTTTCTTGAATATAAAGTGGAGATTCTGATTTTGAAAGAGTTTCTAGGTTAATTCTCAATATCCTGCCTTCATGGATAAACATAATTTCTTTACTATCAAGATCTTTGTTCTCTTCAAAATTCTCTAGTTTCCTGTTTGTTTTCTTAGATTCCTTTTTATCAAGCAAAGCAACTTTATTTGGTTTCATATTAATGTTTACTATATAAATCCTCTGGAATTATATAATTTTCCCATCAAAAATTATTTTTCTTATTTAAATTATAAAATTCTATACTCATGTCAGCCAATCTTTTATCATTTTCTGACATTCAAACCCTAGAAAGACAGATTTCTCAGCTGATTGACTTCAACCCCCTCACAGAGGCAGAAATCAAACAAATCTGCGAAAAAGCCCAAGAAATTTTGTCAACAGAAAGCAATGTCCAGCATGTCCGATGTCCTGTCACAGTTTGTGGGGACATTCATGGGCAGTTCCACGATTTGATGGAGCTTTTCAGAATTGGCGGCTACCCTCCTGACACAAATTATTTATTTATGGGAGATTATGTAGACAGAGGCTATTACTCAGTAGAAAGCGTCACATTGCTCGTTTGCTTAAAAATTCGCTATAGAGACCGTATTACAATAACCCGCGGGAACCATGAGTCTCGCCAAATCACACAGGTTTATGGGTTTTATGACGAGTGTTTAAGGAAATATGGGTCAGCGACTGTCTGGAAATACTTCACAGATTTATTTGATTATCTTCCATTGGCAGCTATTGTGGAAAACCAGATTTTCTGCCTGCATGGAGGGTTGTCTCCTTCAATTGATACATTGGACCATATAAAGCAGCTGGACAGAGTCCAAGAAGTCCCTCAAGAAGGCGCAATGTGCGATTTATTGTGGTCTGATCCTGATGAGCGGTCAGGATGGGGGATTTCACCTAGAGGAGCAGGCTATACGTTTGGGCAGGACGTGTCTGACAGGTTTAATCATACAAATAACTTGAAATTAATAGCAAGAGCTCACCAATTGGTAATGGAAGGCTATAATTGGTGTCATGAAAGAAACATGGTAACAGTCTTTTCTGCGCCCAATTATTGTTACAGGTGTGGAAACTTGGCTGGGTTCATGGAGTTAGATGAGTTCGGAAACCACTGCTTTATCCAGTTTGACCCAGCACCCAGAAGAGCTGAGCCAAATTTTAATATTAAGACACCTGACTATTTTCTTTAATCCGCAGAAAGACTCTTTTTGGTAATATTTTAACTTAATCCCTATGAATTATACGTAAAATCTCTCAATATTATTAAACTCACGAGATATAAATATCTCCATATCATATAATATGGGACCTTATTTAAGTACTCCAGTGACTGAAAAACGCAGCTCCTCAGGCAACAACTCCAAAATATCTTTTGGAGTTTCTGCAATGCAAGGCTGGAGAGTTTCTATGGAAGATGCTCACTTGACAAATTTAAACATCGACGAATCTACATCTTGCTTTGGAGTTTTCGATGGTCACGGAGGTCACGAAGTCAGCTTGTTTATAAGTCGCCACTTTGGTCCTGAGCTTGTGCTAAACCCTCATTTCCAAAATCGCCGCATTGAGCAGGCACTATCTGACACTTTTGTACGTCTCGATGCCTTAATGAGGACAAAGGAAGGAAAAAAGGAATTGTATCGTCTCCAAAGAGACCTGCCTACAAATTTCCTAATCGACGATAATATGGCTGAGTCAGCTCAATTTAATGCAGGGTGTACAGCAGTTGTAGCTCTAATTCGAGGGAATATGCTGTATGTAGCGAATGCTGGAGATTCCAGATGTGTGCTTGCGAGAAACAGGAGGGCTATCAACATGTCACAGGACCATAAGCCTGAGCTCGAAAACGAATTTAGGAGAATTAAAGATGCAGGAGGAAGCGTGATTGACGGAAGAATTAACGGCAATTTAAATTTATCCAGGTCTTTAGGAGATTTCAATTACAAAGATCCATCAGTGCCGCCAGAAAGGCATATGATTACAGCATGCCCAGAGCTCAAAGTGGAGCAGTTGGGACAGGAGGATGACTTTATCGTGATTGGATGTGATGGCATTTGGGATATTTTGACGTCACAGCAGTGTGTGGATTTCGTATATGACAGACTGGGAAGGTTGTCATTAGAAGAAATCGCAAGGCAAATCTGTGATAGGTGCCTAGCAAGAAGTGTCGACGAAAATCTAGGAAGAGGCTGCGACAACATGTCTGTCATTATTGTGACATGGAAAAAACCTATAAATTAGACATAATTTCATGATATTACCAAGCTGAAATAACCCAGTCTTCAGGCTTTGCGTCTTTTTGCTTCGGCTGTTTGGCAGACCCTGCCTCTTTAGAAATGCGCTCAGTTTGTTGTGTGTGGAGTCTTCATTTTTTTAGTTTTGGCACTTTCTGGGCATTGTTGATTTCTCTTGTAATTTCTTCATCCTTTTTAGAACAATTTTTAATAATAATTGGGAGCTTGGCCTCAACTGCAACGTCTCGACAAGAATTTTGCCGATTAATGCTTGATGGGGTTTTTGAATATCTGACCAGGCTGTGTGGGGAAAATCCTGGAAAAAACATTTCGTTTGCTTTTTTTCGTTTTAAGAGACTTAAAGGCCTTGAAGAGTGCCTGGTAATTCGGTTGCTTTCTTGTTTACGTAGCAGTTCTGCTATAAATAGTTGGGATTTGTTGCTTATGTTTATTGGAGATTTTGCTCGTCTTTCTATTTCAAGTTTTGAAAAATCGATTTGGCTGTGAAAATTTCGTTTTGGACTTCTGGAGGATTGATAGTTTTTGGGGTCTTTTTTATATAAATCTTTGACTTTCTTTCTGAATAATTCATTCATAAATACTAAGGAGGACATAAATATTGGGAGACAATTTTGTATAACACCAAATTTAATTTTTTGAAAATTAAATTAGGGGAATAAATTTATAACTTGGAATGAGAAAGCAATGCAATATGTGGACTCTTGCAATTTCATCTTGCTTAGTTTTTATATGCCAAAGTAGATATTGGTCTCTAAACAATTATTTTTTTTAATTTTTCAGATTTCAAGATTATTTTTAGGTAGCTGAGTTGCCAAAATATAAGAAGTTAATTATTATTTGCAAGAAAATTGAGAGCAAATTAATAATCAGCTAAAGTTAATTTTTGCAACAAAAAGAATAAACCTAATATTTTGGCGAAATTTTTAATCCCAAATATAAAATGCTAGAATTATAAAATGAAAACAACTATTTTAAAGCTTTACTAAAATTTTCTCCATAATTTCATTTATAAAAGTTTATTTTCATTAACTATTATTTTCTCAGTTTTTTATTAAGTATATTGCCTTTTATAACAGAAAACTAATTATTTCTTTAACTATTTCTTTATTTTATTTTCTGATTGGTTCTATTGACAAAATAACTTTTATTACTTCTATGCAAAGACCATTTTTACAAAGCGCATCACCATATCCAGAAAATTGGCGAAAAAATGTGACTCAAATAATAATTATTAGAATGGGAAGCGGCTGCTGTAAACACGCAGTTGAAGAAAACGAGCAAGAAAATGCAAGTGCGAAGTATGAAGAGACAGGAACCGTTAGCTTAAGCACAAGCTTCACAGTCCTTGAAGAAAACTACGAGTCCATACCAAATCTACTCAATAAATGGTCACCAAAAAATATAAAATCAGAGAGTGGGCTCTCAGGACTGGAAAATGTAGGGAACAGCTGCTATCTTAATGCAGCTTTACAATGCTTATTTAACTGCCAACCACTCGTGGATTATTTTTTATCTGACATTTACAAAAAAGACATAAAAGCGTCAGTAACGAAGAAAGGACAGGCCACAGCGGCATTTGCTGAAATTATTAAAACCTATTGGAGTGATCAGTTTGACATAATCGTGCCTAGCTTCTTCGCCCAAGAGATTTGAAATCTGGCCCCAACTATTGAAGCTGGCAAAGAAAACGACGTCCACGAACTGATGTCGTTCCTACTGGACCGCCTTGACCAAGATTTAAATCGGGCTTTTATTAGTCCAGCTCTCGCAAACATAGACATTAATGACAATACACAAGAAATGAAAGCAGCTAAGGCTTGGCAAATGCATTTAAGCTGTCATTCCTCTGTAATCGTTGATCTCTTCCAAGGACAACTTAGATCAACAGTTACTTGCAAAGAATGCGAATTTCAGTCACAAAAGTTCGATGAGTTTTCCTCATTAAGTCTTCCAATACCACACAGATCTACTTCTTTTACACTTAACGACTGTTTAAAAGAATTCACGACTAAAGAAGAGCTAGAAAAGGCTTGGTTTTGCCCTAAATGCGACAAAACTGTTAAAGCTTTCAAGAAGTTCGATATATGGAAAGTTCCGCCAATTTTGGTGATCCATTTAAAGAGATTCAAATTAAATGGCAAAGAAATCCAAAAAATCCACAATTTTGTGGACTTTCCCATCCATGGTTTAAATTTGAGCAAGTTCGTATCTAGTACACAGCTAGTTATTTAGATTTAGAGTGTTTTTTTTCGCAGGATGATCTACTCCTTTAAATCTTTCAAGTGCTAATGTCAGCAGCTATCTTGTATTGTTGCATTCCAGAAGGCTCACTAAAAAGGCCAGAAAGTTTTCATTAAGGTTATTGATCCCACCTAAGCTTAGCTCCAGCACGAGGCTCACCTAAAGATTTTTCTCCTCAGACATGCTAGGCAGAAAGAGCTATTTATTTTTTTGGACTGCCGAAATACCTTAAACAGTGTTTCATATTGGCCATGCGAATAAAAGTACACATTGAAAACTGAAACTTATAGTAATAATACATCGCGGAGGAGGATAGCACTCGGAGATAATAAATTCGGTACTTAGCCATTTTTTATTATTTATATCTATTACACAAAAGGGAAAAGCCTGTTTACGATTTATTTGCAAAAATAGATCATGAAGGAGACATGGGATCTGGACATTATACAGCGACAGCTAAAAATAGGAATAACAATTCCTGACATTTATTTGATGACTCTAATGTTTATTCAGTCCTTCCACAACAGAGTGTGGATGAAAACGCGTATGTTTTATTCTATCAGAAAGTTAGTGTAGACAAGTACTTTAGGCAATCAAAAAACATGCCAAACTATTGACCTCATGTTTTGCAGAGAAATTCGGTATAAGCTATTTTTTCTTTTACACAATTTGTAAAAACTAATTCCCCCTTCTTTATGCGAACCATAAATCTTGTTCGCTCACGGAGGGAAATTAATTTGTTTTTTTTAAAAAAAATTATATAAATTTTATGAAATTTAAAAATCCTATTTCGCAAAAAATTGGAAAGCAAATATTAATTTAATTTGTAAAATTTATGTTTTAAAACGCGATTTGTTTAAAATTAGCTCGAGATTTAATTATACTAATTATCACTTATATATAATTTTTTTTTCGCTCATGGAGGGTGGTTTAGGCAAAAATAGGGATTTTTCTAATGGTTTTGTTCGCTCACAGAGGGGGGGAGTAAGTAAACAATTTTTAATATATTTTTAATCTTTTGTCTTTCTTATATTTTAGCTTATATTATAAATTAGATTTCATGAATATAAATTCAATCAAACATGAGAGCTCAAAACGCGCATTTTTATGGGTTGCTCTATGAAAGATGTTTGAAGACTTTTCATATTTAAGAAATAGATATATAAGCATTTCTGCTTATCCCACAATTTAGCATGCAAGCATAATATGCTTCTTTATTTGTTGCAGATGAGAGGGAAAGAAAATTAAGATGTTTTATACCTTATACTTTCTGTAGCTAGATTTATAGAAAAGAAATATATAAAGGCAAAAGTAGCACATAAGATCTTTGCAAATGCTAAAATAAATAAGTTTAATAATGCCTTATATTTTAGGCAGGCTTTATGTCACTTGTAACCTCCCAATTAGTAGGCAGCATGCTTCAATAAAAAAATATACTTATTTACCAAGAATAGCCCACTAAGGAGCATTTTTTGGTTGGCCGGGTAATAACTGGCTTGCCAAATTCGTTGGCATGCCATATTTTCTGGCTAACCAAATTAAGAATGGCGAACCAAAAAATACTCCTTAGTGGGCGATTCTTGGTAAACAGGTATATAATCCATTTATTGCCACTAATGCAAGTATATTGCACTCATGAAATTAGCATAGCAGCTTTCTTCTTATAATAAGGTGCAAATAATAGGCTTATAGCAAAGTCAGCACATATAAAATAAATATATGAATTTAAATACGCTATTTTAAAGAATCTATAATTATTTTAAATTTGTTGTATCATGGCAATCTCTTCTTATAGCGCTTAGCCCTTTATAGATCTCCAAAGACAATTACCTTTAAAAGAAAAATTAATTTAAAATTAAAAAGCCAAAATTAGATTTAAAAATTTTATTTTATATCGCCGACTTGTCAGTTTTAAATTTGGCATATCAGAATATTTTTAAAATGCTAAAAGAAATTTTTCATTAAAGATACTTTTCCTCAGAAACCAATAAGGAGTCAGCTGCTATAACTTTTTTATCTAGCTGGTCTTAATAGAAAATTGCTTTTCAAAACTTCAATATGAGAGCCATTTTTTATTGATGACGTGAGCATGTCCAGAAAACTGGCGAGAAATTTTTAGCACAAAAATAATATTATACAATTAGGTAAATATACAAAAGACAGAAATAATGTTTATTTTAAACCTTATCCAGCAAATTATGCATAATTAATAAAATGGGAAGTGGTTGCTTAAGAGGTGAAGTTGAAGAAAACGAGCAAAAAAATAATATCCAAAAATATAAAGAGTCAGGCACCATGAGCTTAAACACAACTTTTACAATCCTTGGAGAAAACTACGAGTCTATTCCAAACCTTCTCAATGCTAAAAATCTAGTTAGCAATAAGTCAGATATCGGATGTTGTGGCTTAGAAAATCTAGGAAACAGCTGCTATCTTAATGCAGCTTTACAATGCTTATTTAACTGCCAACCACTCGTGGATTATTTTTTATCAGACATTTATAAAAAAGATATAAAAGCGTCAGTAACGAAGAAAGGGCAGGTCACAGTCGCATTTGCAGAAATAATCAAAACCTACTGGAGTGATCAGTTTGACATAATCGTGCCTAGCTTCTTCGCCCAAAAGATTTGAAATCTGGCCCCAACTATTGAAGCTGGCAAAGAAAATGACGTCCACGAACTGATGTCGTTCTTACTGGACCGCCTTGACCAAGATTTAAATCGAGCTTTTATTAGTCCAGCTCTCGCAAACATAGACATTAATGACAATACACAAGAAATGAAAGCGGCTAAGGCTTGGCAAATGCATTTAAGCTGTCATTCCTCAGTAATCGTTGATCTCTTCCAAGGACAACTTAGGTCAACAGTTACGTGCAAAGAATGCGAATTTCAGTCACAAAAGTTTGATGAGTTTTCCTCATTAAGTCTTCCAATACCTCACAGATCTTCTTCTTTCACGCTTAACGACTGTTTAAAAGAATTCACGACTAAAGAAGAGCTGGAAAAGGCTTGGTTTTGCCCTAAATGCGACAAAACTGTTAAAGCTTTCAAGAAGTTCGATATATGGAAAGTTCCGCCAATTTTGGTGATCCATTTGAAGAGATTCAAATTAAATGGCAAAGAAATCCAAAAAATCCACAATTTTGTGGGCTTTCCCATCCATGGTTTAAATTTGAGCAAGTTTGTATCTAGTACACAAAGGGAAAAGCCTGTTTACGATTTATTTGCAAAAATAGATCATGAAGGAGACATGGGATCTGGACATTATACAGCGACAGCTAAAAATAGGAATAACAATTCCTGACACTTATTTGATGACTCTAATGTTTATTCAGTTCTTCCACAGCAGTGTGTGGATGAAAACGCGTATGTTTTATTCTATCAGAAAGTTAGTGTAGACAAGTACTTTAGGCAATCGAAAAACATGCCAAACTATTGGCCTCATGTTTTGCAGAGGAATTCCGTATAGAAATATTATTTATTTATACAATAATATAGCGTCTAATTAAAAATTTTCAGGTTTACAAAAAATTAATATTAAACCATTTTGAGTAGATTTAAATGGAGCAAATTTATAGTGGCTACATGATGCAAAAAATTAAAAAACAATAATACCCCAAGCTGCTAAAGTATCAAATAAAAAAATTATTAAGACGACTGCAAATTTTAAACAAAAATATAAATTCTATTAAATACACTAGGTCCCATTCTATTAAAATTAAAATTAAAACTAGTATCTTATTATATTAGCTAAATTAAATCCATTCTATTTATAAAGATTAGGCTAGATAAAAAATAATAAAATTATTGGTGAAAAATGCAAAAGAAGATTGCGATTGTAGTTGGAGTTTTTTTCATTGGAATTTTAAATATATTTTGGCTTGCCTATGATGGAGATGTGCAAAACATCCCGATTGTCTTGCATAGAGTTCAGAAAGTCAGCCAGGTTCACATTGCACTCGGAAAAGAAGAAAACTCAATTCAAGTTCGTTGCTAGTCATTTGATAGAATTTTTTTCCTTATATGCATGGCATTTCTCTAAAGTTAGTAGTAACCTTTTTTATCGTGTGGCGTTCTCAAACAAAAAAGTTAAAATTCTATCGTATTTCAGGAGGTAAAAATCGCCAAAAATACCTGAAGAAATCTCACATGAAGAAAAAAACATAATTTATTTAGCCTATTAATTGGTCTGAATTGTTGAGCAAGCTATTCTGAAATCTATCTCTAATTCTGGATTGCTTGATCTAAGCAAGCTTGTCTCGTTTTCTAGGATCTTACGTGAGGAAAAATGTTACAATCAAATGGCACGGAGCCATTCAAGTTATGTGGACACTGAAAGAAGATGGAAAAGACTGCTGAATCGATATGGATGGAAAGAAAATTTCTAACTATCAAAAGGATATTTTGGAGTACTTACTCCCCCCCCCCTCCGTGAGTGAACAAAACCATTAGAAAAATCGCTATTTTTTGCCCAAAAACCCACCTTCCCGTGAGTGAACAAAAATTTTTTTAATAGAAAAAATTTTTTATGAAAAAAAAAATTTGATATATAAGTGATAATTAGTATAATGAAATCTAGAGCTAATTCTTTTTAATTTTTAACAAATTGCGTTTTAAAACATAAATTTTATAAATTAAATTAATATTTGGTTCCCAATTTTTGCAAATTAGGATTTTTTTAAAATTTCGAAAAAAAATTTTTTCTATTAAATTTATATATAAATTCTTTTAAAAAAAAAAATTAACCCCCCTTTGTGAGTGAACAAAATTTTTTTTGTTCACTCACGGAGGGGGGGGGGAGTTAGGAAACACTGGAAAACCATACAAGCGATTTTTATACTCTTCGCTGCTAAACAGCCTAGAGCCAGCTACAATTTATTCATATAAAATTTCATGCATTGTTTCCAACATAACCATTTCCTCCCAAAAATTCTCTTTCAGATCTCCCCCTTCACAAAACTCTACAATCACTGCAATCTCTTTTGCAGATTTCCAAACAAACTATTACCCAGACCCAAAAGATAAATATTCTAAAACAAAAAAAGCCAACATCCTTCCTCATCTTTATCAAATTTCCAAATCCCTTGATAATTATGATATAATTTTGCATGCTGGAGATATTGCTTATGATTTGTGGTCTTACAACGGGCTTATGGCAGATCATTTTATGGAGTCTATTGAGCATTTATCATCCAGGTTTCCTTATATGACAGTTCCAGGGAGTCATGAAAGCTTTACTAATTTCACTCACTACAAAAAATTGTTCCAGCCACAAAACTCTTTAGGACTCTTTTATAGCTTTAATTTAGGCTATGCCCATTTCATCATGCTTGATTCTGAAAGCTTTGTTGGCCGCCTCCATACAGAAGAAATGATAGAAAATCATATGAAATTTCTTAAAGAAGATTTAGAGACTAACATCCAGCCATGAACGATAGTTATTTCCCATAGGCCAATTTACTGCAACCCAAACCCATTATGCAAAGTCTGCACAACAGCTTGCACACAATATAGTAGCATATTGTCTGGCTATTTGGAAGACCTGCTCTTCCAATACAATGCAACTCTTTGAATCTCAGGCAACGTTCATTTGTATGAAAGGTCAATGCCAGTTTATAAAAATGAGATTATGCAATTTGGAATTAATAAATTTGAAAATCCTCCAGCGCCAATTTATATAGTAAACGGAGTAGCTGGAAATTTTGATACCGAAGATGATTTATCGAGCGTGGGTGATGAAAAAATGCCTTGAAATGTAGTAGCTTCTGAGAGCCTAGGGTATGGCAAACTAGTGGTACACAATAAAACGCATTTAGAGTGAATTCAATACGCAATCGGAAAGACACAGCAGGACAGTCCAGATATGATTGAGACTGCAAGAACTAGGATTATTGACGAGTTTTTCATTATTAAAACAGATAATTAATTATTAAATGGAGGATTTCTCAATTATCAAACAGCAAGACGAAATATTAAGAGAAATCGAAGAGCGTCAGCCTATGTTTACTCCAGTCCAAGATTTTTCAAGCCTAGAAGTGGAATATGCCTCAAACTGGCTTCACATTAACCTACATATGGAGTTTTTTGCCTATTTTTGGTTTTTTCGATCCTATTTTTTGTCCTATTTTTATCGAATTATTTTTATGGTTTATTTATTTTACCTATTATTTAAATTATTTAAGTAGTAAGCCATAAAAGAAAAGCCAAAAAAGAAAGCTGAAAATATAAGGCTTAAAAAAATATTAAAAAATGGGCAAGAAAAAAAAATTTTCATTGTAAACGTCATAAAACAGCTTGCCTCAAATCCTCCATTCCAAGCAAAAATCCCAGTAACTATCACATAGTATCTTCAATCAAAGTATTCAGGATTCAGAAGAACAAGAGGAGACGGCAATTGTTTTTACAGATCCTTCATTTTCTCATTATTCGAGCAGCTAATCCAAAACAAATCACATCTTTCTAACCCTGATTCCCCTTACTCTCAAATTTATAGCGCGATTAAACAAAAAGTTTTGGACTCTGGCGATATATTAAATGCTGCAGGATTTTTGCCTATTTGTTATGAAGATTTCATCGATATGATTTCAGCCAAACTGGAAATGATTCCTACAACTGAAATTTCTCAGCTAGAAGATGATTTTAAGGACAAAATAATTGCTGATACCTATGTGATGTATATAAGCCGCCCAATCAAGACTGAAGCCATAAAGTAAGGACGAGACAGAAGACACTCTGGGCTGGAGTCCAAAGCGGTTGAACCTCCCGCACGTGAGGTCTTATGTGACTGTGTCATCAATATGACTTTAATAGCTTAACCTATGTGATGTATACAAGATTTATAGTTTCAGCATTTTTACGGCTTCATGCCGACGAGTACTCTGGGTTTGTTGAAGGATACCCCGATATAGTAAGTTTCTGCAATTCAGAAGTAGACCCTATGAATAGAGAATGCGAGCAATTGCAAATCATAGCTATGACTGAAGCATTCCAAATCAAAGCAGAAATCGAGTACATGGACAGAAATGATAGAACTGAAACTACTCTTATGAGTTTCCCATTCGAATATACTGGACCTGATTTCAAAATTCATATGCTTTATAGGCCAGGTCATTACGATATTCTTTATCCTAATAGAAGTTAATCGTAATCTTTTAGCTTATCCTATAAAAATAGTAATTTTTGAGACTATCAGATATAGTTCCTTTCATAGTTAAGTCTTATTGAAAGCAAAAGCGAAATTCAAATGGCGCATGCAAAAGAGCAAATTTATAAATAATGATGCTGTATAACTCCCCCCTTTTTCTTGAAACAAAAAATCCTGTTCAATTTAAAAGGATTAAACTTTTCTCTATATAAAAAATATAAATTGAAAGAAATATTTTGAATTTTAATTTATTTTTATGAAGAATTAAATCAAAAAATTAACCGACTCACAGTCTATTTAAAGTATCAGCACTTTCTATGAAAAAACTCAAAAAATGCTATAATTGCGCTTTTCCAATTACGTCAAAACGAGTTTTATAAAATTAGCATTCTCATCGATATTTTGTACCTATTTAAAGGAGGGAGTAAGCCATGCTTTAAGTCGAGAATAGAATGCAAAAGCCCTTTCAATATGCTCAAAATTTTTGACATCTTCTTGATAGCATTATTAAGATAAATTTCAGATATTGAAAGCAACTTTACATCTTAAATTTAATGAGAAATTGGACATATCGAAGACACTTTTATCTAAATTGTGATCCAAATCAAAGCTGCTAGTATATTGATTCGACTACATAGATCACTTCTAGCCAATCATTATAAATTCTTGGCACTTTTGAGATAAATGTCTCAGTTTTAGAATATTAGATTAATTTGCAAAAAAAAGCATGCTACTATAAAATCAAATAAATATTTAAATTTTCCTCATTTTTAAATTAATATCATTGCTTGAATTAAAAAATCAGTTGTTAATTCAATTATTTAATTCTTACCAAAATATATATTTGCAATCCTCTTAAGGAATATTATATTAACTTAGTAGATTTTTTCAGACTTTAAGAATATTAAATTATTAAAGCATAACTTAATAGCTATTTAAAATATACAAGTAATATTTATAAATACACAATGAACTTGCTTAATGCTCACATTTGGCCCTAATTAAGCCAGTTCTTAGCATAATTTCAGCTAGAAAGGCTTTTTGCTCTTATCATATGAAATATTCGTTTATGTTTCCATTTTTTTTTAACTCCAAAAAACTATAAATATTAAAAATACTGATCAAATTGTTTTCGGAAGATTCTATCTAAGTAGATCAAAGCTAATTAATTTTAGCTTAATCTTCTTATTGTGAATATTTCTACCCCATGCAATTAATTTTAAAGATTTTTAAAGAATGCATATGCATAGGTGCAATATTAATTTGATACAATATCATACTTAAATGTTCAATATATAGAATCATAACTAATTCATATAATTATTAAATTGCAAAAATAATTGCTCAATGTTTAATTTTATACAAAAAAAGCTGAAGCTTTGTCAAAGTCCACAAGCAATATTCTTATTTATATGAGCCAGGTAACTGGAATGCTTGGTGAAAATTTAAATAGACTGGCTTTAATATTTCTATTTAAGAACCTTAAAAGCTACCAGATTTGAGATTTTAAGCAATTGGTTCGAATAAAAATTTTATTACTTTTAGTTAAATTAAACCTCGAAATTTAGGTAGAAACTATTGGAATCTTGCTACATATATCAGCATTATTATATCCGAACTCAATTAGCCAAAGGAGCAAATTTAATCATGATGGTTTATATTTTCTAACACAGGAGCAAATGAAGTTAACCATGACTGAAGTTGTACTTTTTGAAATATTGATCACTTGTCAGGCATCAATATTCGGTATTGAGATTTTTGAATTTTATCTGCTGAATACCCATCTTGACTTGATTTCACCATAGCCATTTTCTGATGGATAATTGATTAATAATAAAAAGTTCTGTTAATATGGCAAGCAGAACCTCATAGGTAGTCATCATCTTGAAGAGTAAAGTCGCTAAAGAAATAAAGAAGCAGAATCGCTTTTAAATATCTAGTAAGCTGATAAATTTTTAAGCCCATTAAAAGAAAATTTCAAAATTAATTCTAAAAAATATATTCTTAGGCGAAAAACGCCTTTAACATTGAGTTTCTTTACAGTTTGCAGTCTTACGCAATTTTCTTGCAATTTTAATGCATAAGGCTCTTTTTTGAAGCTTAGTCTTTTTCTTAGACAGTTTGACTTGCAGCTCTTTATTATATTGGATTAATAATTGAATTTGCTTGCAGAGCTTCTGCTCCATTACTGACAAAAGATTGTTCTCTGATTCAAGATCTTCCATTTCTTTCTTTGATGACAAAAGTGTACATTCGCATTCATTGCTGACTCCCTGAAGATCTTCAAAAAATTCGCTTGTTAGGCTGTCTATTGAAATAGATTTAAGACTAGGCCCAGAAGCTACCGGAATTGTAAAGTTCGCACTTAGTGACACAAATTGAGAGTTGAGATTGCTATCCATGTTGGAATTTTATATTGGAATATCAGCCATTGTTGCATATTGATCAGCTAATATTTTTCGAATTTTCATAAAAAATAGTAAATTTTGCAGACTTAAGGAATTTTTCGCAAAAGTTATACAATTAAATTTATGTTTTATAAAAGGTCTGATAACTGTAAATCATAATTAAATAGCTTTAAATTATGCTTTTATTTTAATAAATATTAAAATATGAAAACTTGTTATTGCTTTTGCATTTTCATTACTATATATATTTTTAAATGATTAATTCATTCTCTTTAGCTTCAGTTGCAGCTAAAAAAATAATCAGATTTATTTTTCGATTTGCTATATTTCAATTTTAATTTCTGCAGAATTTTTTGCCTTATTTCATTGTGCCTCAACCAGATTTTTTGACTGCACGCCCTTGAAAATGCGAGAAAATTGAAAAAAACTCACCATAAAATTCATTAATGACGAAGCATGCAGCAAGTACTCGTAATGATGCAGTCTAAACATTAAGGTTGAGGGGAGCTTAGCAAATGTATAAGCAGGTAGGTTTCTGCTGCCTTTCTTATAGCTGGAATTGAAAGTAGGTCCTTCTGATCATAGCACTTTTTCCTTCAACAACTTGGAGAGTAAAGAGCTGTTGTTCACTGCAGCTGAGAAGAGATGCGCTTCAGTACTTGCCAGATCTTGGGAAGTCATTTCTTAGTTGACGCTACTTCTGCCACCTTAGTGCATGGCTAAATTATCGGATTTGCTTAAAGAAAAAGAGAAGACTCTACATTGCCTTCTTATGAATTTTTTGGATAGTTGTTTCTAAAAGTGAATAACACTCCAAATGATAAGTCTTTGGTAGCTCTAGTATTAGTCAAAATCTAATCCCAGGGCACAGCATTATCTTCTGTTTGAAATCGTAAAATTTATAATATTTATTAGTAATTGAGCTTAGCTTGTGAATTTATTGCTTTTTTTACCTTCACATCAGCTTACGAATCCTCTCCTTGAGTTGAATCTCATTATCAAAAAATTAATATCTGCAAGTTTCCCTAAAATTGAATTTTTTTACCAGAAGGCTCCCATTTGCCCTCTTTTTGCACTTTTTAGCAGCTCATGAATTAATCTTATAGAAATTAAGTCAATTTATGATCACTTGCAATATTTAGAAGAAGTTTATTCAATCTGAATATAATAGCATAGGCTAGCATTTATGGTGAAAAATTTACGAGTATATTGAAATATAAGGTAGCTCTTAATTTTAGTAGAATTTGAAGTCGAAATTTTAAAAGCAACAATGCTTGGGTAGATACTTTTAAAATATTACTGAATAGAATATTCTGGATATATTTTTATTTTTGCGTCATGCTTATGAAAATGTTAATATTTAGTCAGACATCTTAGGTATGCTCGGATTGAGTTAAGTCAAAATGCTAGTAAAACTTTTTAAAGCTAAAAAAGAAGACTGCACGATTCTGCAATAGAAAAGCTCATAATTTCAAGCGCTTAATCGTTAAATCAGAGCTATTGTCGAAATTAAAATGATATATGTATAGATTTTTTACAAATTGCTTTTTAAATTGAAAAGAGCCGAAATATCATTTTATGAATGATGCAATTATATATCTTTTTGATGAACCATGCCAAAGGAAGCTTGAATAAACTTTATCTGAATAGATTTAAATTTAATAATCTAAGTCTATTCAGGAATTCAAATTTTGTTTTCTCGCTTCATTAAAGTAGTTGCATCTTGGAAATAGTTCCTTTCTAAATTATTTTATCATCAAATACATTTTAAAATGTTTAAAATGATATTTAAATTATAAGGAAATAAAGATATAAGGGATTGGAAATAAATTATAGCCATAAAAGAAGAGGCTTGTTTCGTTTTTTGGATAAAAATTTGATTATTTTAGAAATAGATAGAATTGTCTAAAGCAATATAAATATTTGTAAACTCTCTAAATAGCTTTCATTCTATTAATTAAAAGTCTCAATTATTTGAATCGCTTAATTTCTAAGTGAAGCATCATACTGGTCTTTAAAAAATGATCAATTTTAATATTATCAGAGAAGTTTATATATATTTATGAGATATTTTTTATATTATAAAATATTTTAATTATATTAATATGCTGCTTATTAGCTTAAATATTGCAAAATCTCTAATATAGCTAAAGATAGAAAAGGTGAATTTGAAAGGGAAATAAGAGAAGAGGAATTTTATCATCAATATATGCTCCTGTACGAAACAAATTATTTTAAAAATGAACTTTGTAATATAATTAAAAAATTAGAATTTTGATGGATTTATTTATTGGTGGCTACTTACTCCCCCCCCCCCCCCCCGTGAGCGAACAAAAAAATTTTGTTCGCTCACGGAGGGGGGGTTTATTTTTTTTTTTTAAAAAAAATTTATATATAAATTTTTATAAAAAATATTTTTTTCGAAATTTAAAAAAAATCCTAATTTGCAAAAATTGGGAAGCAAATATTAATTTAATTTGCAAAATTTATGTTTTAAAACGCAATTTGTTTAAAATTAAACAGAATTAGCTCTAGATTTCATTATACTAATTATCACTTATATATCAAAATTTTTTTCCATTAAATTTTTTCTATTAAAAAAATTTTTGTTCACTCACGGAGGGTGGGTTTTTGGTCAAAAAATGGCGATTTTTCTAATGGTTTTGTTCGCTCACGGAGGGGGGGGGGGGGGGGAGTTAGCAATATATCAGATAATCTAATTTCTCAATTAATATTTTCTAGACATAAATTGATAATTAAAAATTCCGTTTAATTTGTATCAATTTTTATCTATAAATCTCTACTAGATTATTCATTATAAAACTATGGAGTAATTTTAAAACAATAAGCAAGCCAAGTAAATAAAGGATTTTAACTAAATATATTTATTTTTGATTTAATATTAGATGGTTATTATTTACTAAAAACTATTAATATACATAAAAATCCTTATAGAGCTTGAGGTAGAGCTAGAAGAGCCTGGTAGAGCCGGACTGCCAGACTGTCAGATTGAGCCAGACTGCTGGAATTTAGACTGCTTGGATGCCAGATAGAGCTGGACTGCCAAGTAGAGCCAGATTGCTAGGTAGAGCCGGACTGTCGAGAAGGGCGGACTGCTAGGTAGAGCCGTAGAGCCAGGTAGACCTAGCCTGGCTTGACAAGGGACCAAGTTTTTATTTTTGAGCTGTGGCAAGCGTGTTGTGTCAAAGCGACTTTATTGTGAAGCTCAGATTAAGGCATCATGGAATATAACGTTAAATTTTTAAGATAGTATTCGATATATTAAATTCAAATTTATTTATATAAACATCCCAAATCAAGGATATTGAATCCTTAAATAAGTTTTATTTAGATTCATTAATCAAATTTATCATAGCTTAATGCATTCATTCTTGATGGAATACAAGATACAGCAAGCTTTATTATGATATACTTAAGACGCAGGCTTTGCCTCATTATTTCATCTTATTTAATTTATTAAATTTTTCTATTACCTTAATTCCGATACTAAATTTTGAATAAATAATATATTGCATATAGCATTTAAATATTATTTTGCTAAATAATAATTGTGTCTGCTTATAAATTATATATTTGACATTCTAAATCTTATAATTAAGAGTTGTTTCATAAAATTCAAAAAAACCTAAAAATAAATTGTTCATTCGAGAATCTGCGTTAGTGAGCTTTCAAAGACTTCTTTAGGTAGACCATTTCTTAACCATAAACTTTAAACAAGATATAGAGCAGCGAAATCTGAAATCACATGAAACAACCTGACACCAAGCATGCTCCTGCTCCAGGCAGAAAACTCAGCAAAAGAAAATCCATAAAGCGGACTCAGCTTACCCTGAGCATGAAATCCAGACCCAACCCAAAGTCAGGAGCGCAAAATCAACACACAATCTTCCCACCCAAGGCTCCTCATAACACGACGCAGTTCATCATTGAACAACATCAGGCTGCAGAATATGATCCATCAGATCTGCTTGGATCTATGTTAAATCTTAAATCCTTAGAACTTTAATTGATTTTTTTACTTTTGAAGTAGTTGCATTAAACTTAATTTTCAGATTACGAGGAGCCAGATAAATAGCTGATGAGTAAGGAAATCTTCGAGGCTCCGTGGCGCAACGGATAGCGCACCAGACTTCTAATCTGGGGGTTGTGGGTTCAAATCCCACCGGAGTCGTTTTTAGAAAAGGAAAAAATTCTTTTGAAGATATATAATTAATCAGTCCTTAATAGTTTCCGATAAAGGAAGCTATGATTTGTATGGAATCCCAAATTAAATTTTTGAAAATAGTTTAGTCATATAAACTTACCGTTAAAAGCCATGAAGACTATGAATTAAATTTCAATTAAACTTTTATGAATTCGCCTAAATTTCTTAAATATTATAAAATACTAACGAATAATAGTCTATTTACTAAAGAATTTTATAAAAAATGCCCTTTGCACATATAGATCTCTTTTTGAGGTCTTAGCGGATTATTTAATTTATTTCGATAATTCTAATATCTAAAATAAAATAGCTGAAATAACTCATGGGCCAAAAGTGCGCGTGCTTCAAAGATCAGACATCAGAAGACAACCAGCTAAACGTTTTCAAAGAAATCCACTCCTCCCAATTCAAACAAGAGCACGCAGCTCCTGAAGATTTTTCAACTTCCATCAATATCGATTTACAAATAGACATTCTTTCTATAGTCAAACTTCAATCAGTACTTCGAGGATTCATAGATAGGGCAATTTTAAAAGACGCAAGAACAGCCTCTCCTTCTTTTCAAAGGCTGCTATCTCATTGCCAATACCCACGCACTTCATTGCACGAAATTGAAGGAGAAATACCATCATACTCCAATGCAAGCACAATTGCAGCTGCAAGGAAGCTAGAGCCATTTGTCTATAACTTTCAGCTGAATGACGGAGTCCCCACTTTCTCCAAAGGCCCTGTACAACTAGAAAACGGAGCAGTCTACATTGGAGATTGGAATAAAGAGCTAGAAAGACATGGCAAAGGAGTGCAAATTTGGAATGACGGGAGTAAGTATGAAGGATACTGGAAAAATGACAGGGCTAGTGGAAAAGGAAGACTCATTCATGGAGATGGAGACGTATATGATGGAGAATGACAAGATGATAAAGCCCACGGATATGGAGTCTACACACATACAGATGGGGGAAAGTATGCTGGACAGTGGGAAAATGATAAACAGCATGGAAAAGGAGTTGAGGAGTGGCCTGATGGAAGCAGATATGAAGGCGAGTATATCAATGGCAAAAAGCATGGAAAAGGTAAATTTATATGGTGCGATGGGAGTACTTTTGACGGAGAATTTGACAACAATAATATCCATGGCCATGGAGCTTACTGTTGGAGTGACGGAAGAAGATACGTTGGAGATTGACTTAGCAACAAGATGGACGGCAAAGGGATTTTTACATGGCCAGACGGAAGGTGCTACAAAGGTGACTATATTGACGATAAAAAGGAAGGGTTCGGAATTTTTATGTGGCCTGACGGAAGGAAGTATGAAGGCTTTTGGCTCAATGGGAAGCAGCATGGAAGAGGAATCTACACATCTGCAAATGGAGAAAGGAAAGAAGGGGAGTGGAAAGATGGAAATAGACTGAAAAATGATAACATAAACGATTAATAAATTAATGAACTTAAACTTTAAACCAGGACGCTTTATGACGGTCAAAGAAGTCTTAATGAGCTCCATGCCTAGCAATGTAGTTCGCACACAAGGCATGGCACTTAAATTTGAAAACCAGAACCTGACTCTTCAAGGCCTAGACAATATCTCTACAATAGAGGTCGAGACTGACCTAGTCAATCTCCCTGTCTCTCTGCAGTCTTTTTATATGGTGATTGGGGAAGTCAAGGTAGACTACTTAGGCGGGAAGAAAATCCGCGCAACTGTCTGCAGAGAGCTGGTATTCCGAAAATACAATGTGGATTATTACGAAAAAGAAATGATGAGATGCCTGAATTAGCTTAATAAACCTGAGTAATAAAAAATATGTTCGTGCTCTTTCTGCTATATTGGGTTGAGTTTGCTGTAGGAGTTGCTATGCCTTTATATTTAACTCTGAAGTTCATCACCAAGGAAAAAGAGCCTGAAGAGAAAACTGACAGGTTTTGGCTTGTCTATTGGATCTGTTTCACAGTTGTCGAGTGATTTTCGATCTATTTTACAAATTCGATTTTCCTGATCGCAAGAATTTCTTTATTTTCTTATTTTAGCTGAACTGGGAAAGAAGGAAGTGATAAATCGTATGAGATAATTGAGAAAATGGGGCTGCATAAGGCTGAAGAAGTATCTGACAAAGCAATCAGCTGGATAAAAGTAAAATTTGATATTAAAGAATAATTATTTATATTTAGAGATACAGAATGGACTAATTAGAGGGGAGAAAAATGCTAATTGAGTAGAGGATGAGGTAGAGTTCTAAGCCGAGGACACCTGCACCCCCGACACCGACTAAAAATCGACGTTGAGTTTGACTGAGTCATGGCTTTTTGACTGTAGCTTGCTCTTGACCATTTTGCTCCTCTTTTTCTTCTTCTTGCAGAGTTGCAGCTTCTGGATTAATCTTAGATGCCATGATATGAATTATTTGAGAGCAAGCACAAAAGGATAAAGTATTAATTGGTTTAGTTATAAGGATTAAAATAGATACTAGCTCCCCCATTGCCATAGAGCAGTTTTTTTGCTCAGTATTCTTGGCTAACTTGTTTTAAATAAAAAATTTCTGATTTTAAGAAATCCAAATTATCAATAGTTGAATGTTACTTAAATAATTTCAAGCTGCATCAATTAATTTTTTTATTTAATTCTTCATAAAAATAAATTAAAATTAAAAAGTATTGCACCTAATTTATATTTTTTAAAGAATTAAACAGTGAATTTCTAAATTTTATAAAATTATTTTCACCTAATTTAATAGCCTTTCCTAACTCCCCCCCCATCCTTGATCGAACGATTGACTGTAAAAAATTCCTAAAAATTGGGGAAATTAAGCCCCATCCTTGATCGAACGATTTTCATGTCATGCAAATTTTTATATATATAAAAAAATATATTAGCTATCAAAAGCTTGGGAAGATGTACCTAATGAAGTTGTCTTCAGAGCTTTGATACGACAGAAAGCTACGAAATCAACCATCTGAAGTGATTTACTCATCAAAATAGGCTTAAAAACTCAATAATCTAAAAAATCGAGATTCTTTAAAATTAAAAAAAAAAAAAAAATTAATTTAATAATGAAGAAATTAAAATTTATACAGTTTAAAAGGGTAACTAATAAATCAAAATATTAAAAAATTGGTATTTTATGAAATTAATTCAATTTTTTTGGTGCAAAAATAATTATTAAATATTCTTAACCCTCTTAATTAAAAATATATATTTTATTTTATATATAAAATTTTTTTCCTAAAAAATTTTTTTTTAACCCCCCCCATCCTTGATCGAACGATGGCGAGTCGTTCGATCAAGGATGGGGGGGGGAGTAAGTAAACAAAATATTTTTTCGCTCATAAGCAGAGTAAGAAATAAGTAAGCGAGATTTAAATGAGCTTTTGGCTTGATTTTCTAGGAGAATCACAACTATTTTTTGATTACTGGAAAATGTCCAAAAGTTGACATCAAAAAATTTTTTTAGCTTCGTGCATTTAAGTCTGCTTAAGCAGCAGCAGTAATAAATTAATATATATGCTTTAATTTTAACTGATCACTTTTTCTATCCTAACCAGTGTATTTTTTGGCTTTATGTAGCAATTGAATATCGTTAGTTTCATTATGATTTTGTTTATATTAGATTTTACCTTATGGACAACCCAAACAAAGAAGAAATCTCTCGAGGGGACATGTCACCAATTTCACCATTCACCAAATTCTGCTTGACTTCTCTGCCATCCATAGGCAATTTCAGCATTCGAGCTGTCGAAGAAGCCATGGATATAGAAAATGAAGAAGAAGTGAAAACTGAGCAGCAAGAAACTGCACCAAATCCTTGTGGATGTCAAAGAACGCACTGTTTAAAGCTCTATTGCGAGTGCTTTGCAAACAATAGGTATTGCATTGGCTGCAATTGCCATTAGATTAGATAGATGGAGATGCGTCTTTATAGCCCCCATTTCTTGGACATCATGTGCTTCACAGCTACTGTTGTGAGATGGACTCCCTCAAGTCAAATTGAGCCCAGACCAAAACCGGGTCTATTGTTAACGGTCATTTTATGTATATGCTGCATTGCCATAATTGTCACAATCTGCCAAGCTACGAAAATGCAAGAGAAGAAGCAGTCAAGCAGATCATCGAAAGAAATCCAGGCGCTTTTAGGGAAGACTTCAGCACAATTCAAAAAGCTTGCCATTGCAAGAGGTCGAATTGTGTAAAAAAATACTGTGAATGCTATGAAGCTGGGAAACCCTGCACAGCTTTGTGCAAGTGTGAGGGATGCAAAAATGTGGGAAATCAGTAATGACATTAGAATAAACCAAAATTAATGTAAAGTTTTTGGATAAGCTTAATAATGTCGTTATTTTTAATTTTAAACTCAAAAAAGCTCCAATACTCCCTATAAGATGCATTGAGCCATTACATCATGAGTGGAATGGAATACTATTAGTGAATAAGCCAATACATCTTTTCCGATGCAAGATATCGTTTAAAGCCTCTTTTAAGTTTTCAAATTCAAGAATTCATGTTGAATGTAGTACAATTTATGTCATCTAGAAAGATAGATGAAATAGAAACTTTTTAGGCTTTAAAACCTTTGAGCTCTATTGCAAAAGAGATCATAACTTTTAAACATCTTTTGCACTGTGTCAGCATGCAATTTTTCCTTTAAAAATTGCACTAAGAACATTATTCCATTAAAATTCACAAATTTATAGCTACAGCTTTTCTTCATCTAACTTTTTTAAATAGTGTCTCTATATATTGGAGTAAATGCATAAATCAGCCTATCAAGATAATTCTGTTTTATCAATATTTTTGTTTTCAGAGACCTTAAGCTTTTGATCAATGGTGATTGCTAAACCTCTATTAAATACAAGCAAAAAGTTATTATTGGGAATATCACAAAGCCTAGTCCATCTGCAGACTGAGGAATATAAATTAAACATTTCATTAAAACAATGCTTTTAAAAATTTCAATTAAATTAGTGCCAATTAATAATAATTAGCAAGATTAACTTGAGAATACCATAGCAAATTGTGTTACTCCCAATGCAAATCCACTGCGTGAAGTCTCTCGCGATGCTTTCAAACACAAAGCCATCAGATTGGATGCAATACTACTAAAAGAGTAAAGCCTCAATGATCACCTAATATCAATGCCTCTGAACAATTATTGCAAAAAGGGTCAAAAATTCTGACACTTCAATTTGCTATAAAAGCAATTTTTTTTCAAAAACAGCGCAAACGTCGTCAATTCTGATGCCATTACACTTAATAAGCGCTACTTTTTTGCGCCTACTTGTCTTTAAGTCATATGTTTGTAGTGATCAATAATTATTTTCCATATCTAAAAATTCGTAAATTAATCCGTTAAGATAGATAATTGTGCCTCATTTCCTTGGCTCTACACTTTTTATTATAGAAATGCTGAGTCTTATGTCAATGACAAATATTCATCCTCCCTGACAGTCTTGATCTTAATGTAGGTTGGCTTCCGTCTATTGGCAACGCAATCTCCAAAGATGCATAAGGGCTCACCCGTTTTGCTTCACTATCTATTAAGTTAGGTTTGGATTGGGATGACTCCTTAGCTAGAAAAGGATCGAAACATCTTGCTCCTCTTTTGCCTGTAAAGCTATGGGATATCCGAAGTTCCCACTTTTCCTCTTGTGCCTCATCCTTGCTCCTTGTCTTGCAGTTAAAACGCTGAATGGGCAGACTATATGGACAGCTGTTTAGGTTTTGGCAATGAAAGTATGTCGCACAGGAATACCAAAGATGGAATCCTCAGTAAAAGGAAAAGTTCGTGCTCAAGGCGTAACTTCCTGCTCACGGTAGAAATTAGCCGAATTGGTCTCTGTATAGAAGCGGAATAGACTTCCCCTTTCCAACTCGAAACCCCTTTTTTCCTTCGAAATAAAATCCAACTTGGAAGCGGTCTTGAGCTAGGCTCCGAAACCATGGCATTGTTTATCTAGCATTGCTGTCCATTTCTGGCTTGGCAAAACCTTGCAATATAATATAAATATGTGCTCGAAGCTGCAGTCGGAAGCCATGACCCTGCTAAGACACCATATTTAAATTCCTCTCCCACAGTCAGCACAAAAAAATTTCTGATCTGGAATTGCGCACATAACTATAGCTCTTTCCCTTGAATAGCCCGATAATGGGATGAATCCAGCCCCTTATCGGGCTATTTAAGGGAAAGTGCTATACTTTTCCATGGTATGAGAGGCTTAGAGAAGAACTTTTCTGTAGCGGTTTCATAGATTTTAGGTTTAGCTTTACAATATGTTTTTTCCAAGCAAAGAACAATTTTCCATTGGATTGCAAGCATTGATTCACATTTTTTCTTGCTGATTTTAATAGCAGTGGCTTAATTAGCTTTGCTCTTTTAGGTTCCTTCTTGTATTTTCTTGATTTTTTATATTTTAATAGCAACTTGTCTCTAGATTTGATGTGTCTTGGCTTAAAAAGCACTTGCCCAGGTTTCTGTGTATAAAGTCCGGAAAATAGTGATGGTAACGGTGGTACCCAATCCATAATTAGATAATATATTAAAGTTAACTGATTATTGTATACAAAAGAGTTATATTAATTGCGAAAGCATAAATGGGAACTGAGATTTTAATTGAATTTGAAGCCCTTCGATGGGAAGTACACAAGGCCTAATCGATTGAACTATAAAAAGAACTTTTTAAAAATGGATGGGTCAGATGCCTTCAGATTAGCTATGATAATAGCTCAAAATCGATAACTGCTAGCATTGCAGTGCTTGCTTAATTAATTAGTTTGCTTTTAACATTACTTAGAATCCTGTGGACTCTTCCAACGACAAATTTGATGTCGACGTCACCAAATTGCGAGGGAAATCAAACAAGTTTCAATACTCCCTATAAGATGCATTAAGCCATTATATCATGAGTGGAATGGAATACTATTAGTAAATAAGACAATGCATCTTTTCCAATGCAAAATATCGTTTACAGTTTCTTTTAAAATATTCAAATTCAAAAATTCATGTTGAATATAGTACAATTTACTGTCGTCTAAAAGGATAGATGAAATAAAACCTTTTCAGGCTTTAATACCTTTGAACTTCTATTGCAAAAAAGATCTTAAACTTTTAAATATCCTTTGCATCGTGCCAGCATGGTAATTTTTTCTTCAAAACTCTCATTAGAAACACTATCCCATTAAAATTTATAAATTTATAGTTGCAGCTTTTCTTCATCTATGCTTCTTAAGTAATGTACTTTTAGACCTTCTATTAAATGCATAAATCAGCCTATCAAGATAACTCTGTTTTATCAATATTTTTGTTTTCAGAAATCTTAAGCTTTTGATCAATGATGATTGCTAAACCTCTATTAAATACAAGCAAAAAGTTATTATTGGGAATATCACAGACCCTAATAATAATGCAGATTGAGGAAACAATTTCATCCTTTCTGTGTAATTCATTTAGGATGATTAATAATATATATTAAATATTTTATTAAAATGATGATTTTTAAAATTTCAATTAAATTAGTGCCAATTAATAATAATTAGCAAAATTTAGCTTGAGCCTACTAAGAGATCATTAGACAAATATTAAGTATCATCATTCAAACTTAGATTTTACATAAATTGCGACAATTTTAATTTTGCAACGCAACATTAGATTATGCGTCATTTAAAATAAATGATCAATAAACACAATTTTTCGAGTTTTTAGATTGAACTCATACAAAGAAGGATTTACTGGGGCGCCAACAAAATATATCGAGCCATCATATAACGAATATAATGGCAGCCCATAAATGCCATAGCAAATTGTGTTTCTCCCAATACAAATCCACTGCGTGAAGTCTATCGCGATGCTTTCAAATACATGGCCATGAGATTGAATGCAATACAATTTATCATTTGCAACTAAAAGGGTAAAGTATCATTGCTGATCTAATTTCAATACCTCTGAACAACTATTGCAAAAAGGGTCAAAAATTCTGACACTTCCATTTGCTGTAAAAGCAATTTTTTCTTCAAAAACAGCGCAAACAGCGCGAACGACGCCAATACTGCAACCATCACATTTGATAAGCGCTACTTTTTTGTGCCTATTAGTCTTTAAGTCATACATTTTTAGTGCTCAATAAGTTTTGTTCATATCTAAAAATTCGTAAATTAATCCATTAAGATAAATAATTGTGCCTCATAGCCTTGGCTTTACACTCTTTCTTATAGAAATGTTGAGTTTTATGTCAAAGACGAGTATTGATCCTCCCCAACAGTCTTGCCCTTATTTTAGGTTGGCTTCCGCCTATTGGTAACACAGTCTCCAACGACGCATAAGGGTTCATCAATAGTTTTGTGACGCGATCGATCAAGCTAGGTTTGGATTGGGATCACTCCTCAGCTAGAAAAGGATCGAGACCATCCTTTGGCCTGTGGCGCTATGGGATATCTGAAGTCTTCACTCTTCCTCTTGCGCCTTCTCTTTGCTCCTTGACTTGTGGATAAAATTCTAAGTGGGCAGACTATATGGGTAGCTGTTTATGCTTAGGCAATGAAGTATGTCGCACAGAAATACCAAAAATGGAATCCTCAGCAAAAAGAAAAGTTCGTGCTCAGGGCGTAACTTCCTGCATATGCTAGGGATTAGCCCAATTGGTCTCTGCATAGAAGCGGACTTGATAGATTTCCCTTTCCAACCCCAAACCTCCCCTTCCTTCGAGGTAAAACCCAACTCGGAAGTGAGCTAGGCTCCGATACCATGGCATTGTTTAGCTAGCATTGCTGCCCATTTCTTGCATGGTAAAGCATGCAATATACTTTAAATATGTGCTCGAAGCTACAGCTGGGAGCGAAGCCCTTACTTAGATGTCATATTTAAAACTATTTCCTCTCCTACAGTCAACGCAAAAAAATTTTTGATCTGGAATTGCGCACATAACTACTCCTCCAGGGTATGTGAGGTTTAGAGAAGAATTTTTCTGGACCGTTTTCATAGATTTTAAGTTTAGCTTTACAATATTGCCATTCCAAGCAAAGAGCAATTTTCCATTGGATTGCAAGCATTGATTCACATTTTTTCTTGCTGATTTTAATAGCAGTGGCTTAATTAGCTTTGCTCTTTTAGGTTCCTTCTTGCATTTTCTTGTGTTTTTATATTTTAATAGCAATTTGTCTTTAGATTTGATATGTTTTGGCTTAAAAAGCACATGCCCGCGTTTCAGACAATAAACCTCATTGTAGCTTATTTGTGGTCGTGTCCTACCCATTATCAGATAATATACTAAATTTAATTGATTATTGTATACAAAAGAGTTATATTAATTGCGAAAGCATAAATGGGGACTGAGATTTTAATTGCATTTGAAACCCTTCATTGGGAAGTACACAAGGTCTAATCGACTGAACTATAGATAGAGCTTTTTCAAAATGGATGTGTCAGATGCCATCAGATAAGCTATGACAATTGCATGTATTAAAGAAATATACTTCCATTTTATCAATATTTTTGTTTTCAGAGACCTTAAGCTTTTGGTCAATGGTGAATTCTAAACCTCTTTTATATTCAAATAAAAATTTTTATTAGGAATATCATAGACCCTAGTCCATCTACAGATTAAGGAAACCATTTCATCCTTTCTGTAATTCATTTATAACTAAGATTTTTTTCTGTTGCTATTAAGTTTTATTCTTATATTTTTAGATCCTTGCATTTAGGAGTAATATGTCTTTTTATTGATATACGCTTTCCAGCCCTTATTTTCGTTTATCATAATAGAGTATTCTCAGAAATATTGATAATATATATTAAATATTTCATTAAAATGATAATTGAAAATTTGAAAATTAGAATTATACTCTCTATCGCCAGGCGTAGTGCCAATTAATATTAATTAGAAAGATTTAACTTGAGCTTACTAAGAGATCATTAGACAAATATTAAGTATTATCATTCAAACTTAGATTTTACATAAATTGCGAAAATTTTAATTTTGCAACGCAACATTAGATTATGCATCATTTAAAATAAATGATCAATAAACACAATTTTTCGAGTTTTTAGATTGAACTCATACAAAGAAGGATTTACTGGGGCGCCAACAAAATATATCGAGCCATCATATAACGAATATAATGGCAGACCATAAATACCATAGCAAATTGTGTTTCTCCCAATGCAAATCCACTGCGTGAAGTCTCTCGCGATGCTTTCAAAAACAAGGCCATGAGATTGAATGCAATACAATTTATCATTTGCAACTAAAAGAGTAAAGCCTCATTGATGATCTAATTTCAATGCCTCTGAACAACTATTGCAAAAAGGGTCAAAAATTCTGACACTTCCATTTGCTGTAAAAGCAATTTTTTCTTCAAAGACAGCGCAAACGACACCAATGCCGAAACCATCATTCTTGATAAGCGCTACTTTTTTGCGCCTATCAGTCTTTAAGTCATACGTTTCTAGTGCTCGATAACTATTTTCCATATCTAAAAATTCGTAAATTAATCCGTTAAGATAGATAATTGTGCCTCATTTCCTTAGCTCTACACTTTTTATTATAGAAATGTTGAGTTTTATGTCAAAGACAAATATTCATCCTCCCTGACAGTCAACGCAAAAAAATTTTTGATCTGGAATTGCGCACATAACTACTCCTCCAGGGTATGTGAGGTTTAGAGAAGAACTTTTCTGGACCGTTTTCATAGATTTTAGATTTAGCTTTACAATATTGCCATCCCAAGCAAAGAGCAATTTTCCATTGCGTTGCAAGCATTGATTCACATTTTTTCTTGCTGATTTTAATAGCAGTGGCTTAGTTAGCTTTGCTCTTTTAGGTTCCTTCTTGCATTTTCTTGTGTTTTTATATTTTAATAGCAATTTGTCTCTAGATCTGATATGTTTTGGCTTAAAAAGTACATGCCCAGGTTTCAGACGCTGAAGCTCACTGTACAATGATAATGATCTAGCCATTAGTAGATAATATATTAAATTTAATTAATTATTGTATACAAAAGAGTTATATTAATTGCGAAAGCATAAATGGGGATTGAGATTTTAATTGCATTTGAAACCCTTCATTGGGAAGTACACAAGGTCTAATCGACTGAACTATAGATAGAGCTTTTTCAAAATGTATGTGCCGAGATGCCATCAGATAAGCTATGACAGTGGCTCCAGATCGAGAAACTCCAGCATTGCAGTGCACTAATACATTTTCATGGTTTACGATAGCTGAATGAATAAATCTCAATGCTTCAGGAAGAATCGATAATAAATCTTCTTCTGGATCGTCAGTTAGTTGAATAAACAAATAATTGAAATCGTTAGGAAAAGGAGGTTTTGAATAATAAGGCAAAATTACTAAAATATGCTTGATGTTTAACTGAAACAAATATCTGCGATCTTCAGCTCCAGCTCGACTCCCTATGTATAAAAATTCAGAAATCTGATGAATTGGAGTATTAAAGGCTCTTCCAATCTGGTATTGATCCATATACAAATTATTATAGCTGCCATGATGTTACTGAACTTTGATTATTTGATTGCATAGAATTAACAAGTTTTAGCAATATTATCTTTCAGAAGTTCGCAATACTGGGAATAATGGATATCTTAATAATTTTTATTTAAAACTATGATGTCATATCAAATAATATAGCAATTGGGTCTAAATTTTATTTATTAGTAAGCGATTGATAGTCGATTATCTGAGAAATTGATTTATTAGATAAAGCCTATTAGTTATTCTGCTTTAAAAAATTAATGCTTGTATGTCTCAGCTATTCAATAAATCTTTACCTCCATATTTTGAAGAACTTCTTCAAATTTTAGTCGTGAATGAAAATTTTTATCTGCAGGCGTGAAAAACTAAAGGTCTCTCAATAAAGCTTATTGGTCTTTATATTATAAGAGTATGCATTTTAATTTTAAGAAATCATTTCTGCCAATTCAAAGTCCAAAGTCCTAATAAATAAAATGTCTCATATGGAGTTCACATGCCCTGAGTGTGGATCAAGAATCCTCCCTTTTCAAGTAAAGCCTGAAATAATAGCATTTCTCTGTATAAATAGAAAGGTAAGTTGCATATCAGAGTTGAAGTCTTTGCACTCAACTCCAATTCTAGCTTATTTCTTATTATAGTGTAGTTTCCCAACAGGTTATGACTCAATTTCAAATTACTTATGCTCTCCGGCAGATATTCCTCAAGCCTATTATAAGATTCAGACTTTCTTAATTCGCTACCAATTTCTCGGCCCATCTAGAAGACTACCAGATTCGAAATAAAACTTAAGATATACTTTATTTCTCTATAATATAAGTAAATCATCTCCTAATTATATAGAAACTGATTTATTTAATTTTATTTTTGTTCAGCAATATATTTTTCTTAAGGCTGATTTCTCGGTTTTATAATCAAATATGGCATTTGTTTAGCTCTATAATATCTCTTCTTCAGTCAAAATTCGTAGTGATTGCATGATAATTAATAGCGTGACATCGGCAGGTGGAGGAAGTCAAATCTGCAGGAGACGTTAAATGAGAGAGATTAATTTATATTAAGATTTCTCGGTTTTAAAATACGATAATGCAACTCCGCTCCATCCCAGAGTAAAGCCCAAAAGCATGAGTTTTGACAAATTACTGTAATATTGAGGATACTGATAGAAAAAATATCACAAAATCAATAAAGAAGCCCCACAAATGAATAAAGTAATGAGAAAATGAGAGCCTTCTCCACTTCTTTCTGAATTCTCATTTTGCCTCTCGCTTAGCTGTGTATGAATCGCTGAGCCATTTCTCACGCCTTGTAAATACAAAGGTGAGCTAAGTTCTAGTCTTCTCCCCATGAATATCAAAACTGGCTGATGATTTGCGAGCTCTGTTGGCGTAAAAATTCTTTGTGATAGTTCGCTTCCAGTCACTCCGGTGTTTATATTTAAGTCAAAAATCCTGTTTTGTGAGTAAATTCTCACTGTTATATCTTCCTGCTGAGGAGCTGGATTATTGTGAGAATTTTGGCCTTGAGGAGTTGAGCTATAAGCTTTGTAGCCTAAAATTCCCAGAATGGCTAGGACGAAGGTTGGATAGGCTAAATCAGATATACTAAATTCCTGGGGATAGCGCGGAATACGCTATCCCCAGGACCAACCGGATCGGATCCACACATGGAACGGGGGTTCCATGTGTGGATCCATTTTTGACATGTGAGATATTTACTTTCACGTGTCAAAAATGGATCCACACATGGAACCCTTGTTCCATGTGGGATCCGATCCCGGTTGGTCCTGGGGATAGCGTATTCCGCGCTATCCCCAGGAAATTTCTATATGAATTCCATTTAATAATAAAAGTGATTAGATAGAGAAAAGAAAAAAATCCGATCACCCGGATTCGAACCGGGGACCCTGGGATGACTATTTTTCTACAGTCCCATGCTCTACCAACTGAGCTATAATCGGAGATATTCTTCCTTCTTTTTACAAGTATTTATACCAAAATCGTACGCAAATTGGTTTAGTTATAGTCTAATATACACTTAAAATTTTGTAATAATAAATTATAATAATTATTGAATCAATTAAATCTAAGGACAGCATGCTGGGTTAATTGTGAGACTAAAGGCTTCCTAAAAGCATAATAATCAAATGAATAAAAGAAGAAAGATGTAGTTTGCGGAGTGGATATTATTAAAAATGAGGTTTAGGTTGATTTTTATTTAATTGTTTTCTTATAAAATTTTAATTATGCGGCCATTATGATATTGAAAGCATGAAAAATGAGCTGTGAGTTTTGGCAAATATTATCAATTGGTCTTAGTTAAAGCATAGCAGCGTTATAATTAGGTAAGATCATTTAAAGCTCATTCTAGGGTAGCCAAAGCCCCCCTTTATTCCCTTTTATAGTGTTCCACTGCTTTCTCGCTATTCCATACATGGCCTTATCTGTATCGCTCATTATAGATGAGGCCGTACACTCGCTTGCCAGAAGTCAGAAAGTTATGTCATATGCTATATTGGCACTTATCAGCATAGGTCATGCCATGGGAGATTTGGAGACTAAAATAGAAACTCGAGGCCCACCTGCCATTGAGCTGGAAAATTGCCCCAGTAACCTAAAAATACCTCAGACTACTGGGAGACCCTCTCCCATATTAGTTAAAACTCTTGGGATTGAACTCTTGGTTGATTAGGTTCGAATTTCTGTCCTACCTCACCAGTAAAACCTTGGCAGATACACATATCCAGCACATCATTCAGGTCTATTCACTCTTCCATTTTAATGCTCATTAAAGCTTAGCAACAAATTTTGTACTTGATTTTCTTAATTGCACCCTTTATTTAATATCCTCTAAACTGGATATATATATTTGAGTGTTATAACTAAATTTTAATACTGCTTAACATACTGAATATAATTAATTATCAATAACGGCTAGCAATTTGCACACTTAAACCTTCTTGTCTCTTTCATCACGATAATATCTTTGTCTGAGCTAGAGTTTTTCAGTTCTAAATATCAATTTACTGTATACAATTGCATACCCTACTATAATAGTTCCTAAAATACCAAGGCCTACGACAATCAAATTACTTTGAATTCATTCCATTGCTATGGACACATGAACTTTTACGATGGGTCCTTGCCTTTCATTTTCCTTCAAATTTCCTTTAAACAGTTTAGGGCTCGTTAAAGACCAAGCTGCATTTAGCAGAATTAAGAAAAGATATAGTCTGTGCATTTAATTATTTATTCATATATGTCCTAATTCAAATCTTTAGTAGGCTATTTTAAAATGAAGAATTGGAAGTTGATATTATGCTATTTAATTAAAATTTAAATCTCAAGGAAATATCACCCTTCAAATCCAGGGTTGAGGGTTTCTTCTTAACATAAAAGATGGAAAAGCCTGAAATCGTAAGAATTGCACTGATAGGAAGCTCTTTTGTTGGGAAAACAAGCATGGTGTCAAGATTTATTAATCATGATTTTTCTCATATTCATAACCCGACAGAAAATATCACGACTTTCAGGAAATTAGTTGAAATCAATATTGATGAAACTCACAAGAGATTTGTACTTTTGGAGCTTGAAGATTTATTTCCGATTGATTTTCCACCCTTGATTGACCCTAAGCGCCAAGACTCTGAAATTTGTCGGATCTTTAATTGTATAATTGAAAATAAGCGGATTTTTGACAAAAAAACCAATGAAGATGAGCTATATCAGGAGCATCAAATAAATGGACTTATGTTTATATTTGACTTAACTAACTCGAAATCAATTTCTTCGCTGGAAAAAATTATGAATTTTGTAACTCCTGACTCCTCCGTTAGCGACCAAAACCATTGAAAATTCCTATTATTTGGCCAATACACACCTCCCTGAGCGAACAAAAAATGTTTATGAAAAAAAATTGATATATAAGTGATATTTAGTACACTGAATTCTCTAGCTAATTCTGCTAATTTTAAGTAGCTTGCATTTTAAAACATAATTTTTAAATTAAATTAATATTTACTTTATAAAATTTATTTAAAAAAAAAACTAACCCCCCTCTTAAACAGACGAAATTTTTGTTCGCTCAAAGAGGGGGGAGTAAGCATAAAAGAAAGCGAAAGAGCCGCACTGCGGAATCCAAGACTCTTTAAAAAAATTTTAGTAGGAAATAAAAGTGATTTAGTTAATAGAAAAGTTTCAGCTTCGGATATCGAAGCTATTAAGAGGAGATACAAAACACAGTTTATAAAAACAAGTGCGTTGAGCAATGAAAAAATTGACGACTTGTTCATGAGCTTCATTATCACCATCTTGCAGGAGAGCAAAGATAGAAGGAAAATAGAGATTTCAGAGCCGAATACTCCTGATAGTGAGTTTGGGATTGAGACTCCTGGGAATACTTCTTTGCTTGAGTGGTGCAATTGCGCTAAAAGGCCTAAACAGTTTCCAAGGTTATCTGATTCGTGCATAATTATGTAATTTAAAGTCTTTAAGCGAATTTTCTAAAATTATCTATTACTGATTAGGGTTGTAGCTGGGGAGGGGTATAAAATTTGGAGGAAGATAAACGCCTTGGGATATATTGTTTGCTGTATATTGCTGCTGAAGGTAAAATCCTGGATTGTTTTGGTAGTGGGCTTGACTTGCTTGTGCTTGCTGCTCTATGAGAAATTCAGTGTAGTATTCAATCTTGTTGTTAATATGTTTGCGGCCATGGGCGTGCTGTTTTCTTCCAGCAGGAGAGCTGTGAGTTAAATAGATATTGCAATACTCGCAATAAAACTTTGCCATATTAAAATATAGCCTATGCATCTATATAGATCATTATTGAGATGTAACCGTTCTAATGGACTTGCACATCTTAGACCCATTACTATTTAGAGAAATATTTAGCTTTAAATAAAATATAATACCTCCAAAACTGGGCATCCATTTTACTACGAAATCGCCGTAAGTCAGCCAAAGTTAGAGAAGAGCCATTTTAATAGAAAAATATTCCTTAAATTTATTTGCCTAAATTATTTTTATAATTATTTTAAAATAATTCATATGAAGCAATATTAAATTAGTTTAATCTAGTAATATTTTATGTATAATCTGAATACTTCTTTAAATAGTGAGGAGTTTGGCCTAATAAGTGCAAGATATGAAGTCCAATAGAAAGGTCACATTTTCAATGATGGCAATCCATATCGGTGTTAGGGCTATATATGTTTTAGTAAATTAATTATATTAAAAATCTAGGCGAAAAATCTATAAGAAAATTTATCTAAAGATCTCGACATTAAATTTCTATAGAATATATTCTGAGCATGGTTTTTGCTGGGCCTACTGATCTTCCAGATGGGAAAAGAGGAATGACAAAGCTAATTTCCTAAATGACGAAAACCCAGCAGCAGATAGTTCTGTTATCAGAAGCGCCGGCTTACCATTATAAACTGGCTCACCTAATTTCCTTTTTGTGGTAGAAATAAGGGAAGCTCAAGCCAAAATCATGCTCCTGCTATAAATGCAACCTACCTATATTGCTATTATAAAGATAATTAAGCAAATAATTTTATTGCTCTTTCCTTATCAAATGCCAACAGAGAATAAAATTGCTCCGAAATTTTTTAAGTTTAGGCAAGACTAATGAGCTAAATATTAATATGTGTTATAGTTAAAATGGAGCGGGATTTTGCTTTCCCTTTTGAACCTTATTCAATTCAGCTTGATTTTATGAATCGGCTATATGATACTCTAGATACTTGTAAAGCAGGCATTTTTGAAAGCCCTACAGGCACTGGAAAATCTTTAAGCATCATTTGTGCGGCTTTTAAATGGCTTAGAGAGAACCAAGCTTCATCTTCAGATTCTCAGCGAACTAGCTATTCTAATAGTCAGGCATGGCTAAGAGAAATTGATGCTGCTGAAAAAGACAATCGAATAAAAGAAGCTAAAGCTTCAAGTGAAGCCACAATTCAGCCAACTAAAAAAGCTTTAAAAAAGAGCCCATCTGACACAATTCATAGCAATCTAATTCCGGAAAATTTGCTTTTAATTAACGAAAGCAGCAATGAAGACTCAAAGCTTTCATCAAAAAACGTCGAAATGATTCCAATTCCAAGCTTTGTCCCGCCAAGAATTCTCTATACAAGTCGTACTCATTCACAACTAGACCAATTTATTGGAGAAATTAAGCGTACAAAGTGAGGTCATGGTGATGATAAAATTCGTGTCATCAGAATAGGGTCAAGAAACCATTTATGCATAAATGAGCATTTATCAAAATACAAAAAAAGTGGGGCTATCAATTATAAATGTAAAGAGCTTATTGACCGGTTATCAGAAAAAAAAGTTGATTTTTACATTTTAGGATAAAAATATTAAAAGCCAAACATTATATTGATTAAAATGCAATGTAATTTATTTCTTTATTCGGCTGGTTTTAGCAACAAGTCTTTATATATTAAATCATAAAGCTAAATCTCCAGCTAAAGCAATTAGATGCAGATAAATTGCCTTTCAAAAATACCAGAAAAAAAAACTCTATCATTTTTTGACAGTAAAACAGTGGCATGAAAAATCTATCTTTTTTCTTGATGACCCTATTGACCCAGATAACACAAGGTCAGAATGTGTTTGGCACCAGGGTCAGAATAAAGTTTCAGAATTCGCCTTGTCAAATGTTTCAGATATAGAAGACTTAATTCGATATGGGCAGGAAAATATAGGCTGCCCATACTATGGAACCAGAAGCTCTCTGAATAGCGCAGAAGTCATTGTAGCTCCTTATGCGTCAATCCTTAACAAACAAGTAAGAGAAGGAATCGGAATTTGCCTCGATAATGTAATTTTAATTGTGGATGAGGCCCACAACCTGATAGAATCTATTATAGATTCCTACTCAGCCACGTTGACCAGAAACCAGATCGAGCAGAGCTTAAGAAACCTTTCGAATTATTTTAATCGCTATCAAAATAGGATGAGCCCAAGGTCGACTATGTATATCAAGCAAATTTTGAAAATTTTGGTCAGTTTAGGCGATTTCATGAATGCCAGGATAAGAGCCAAAATTAGTCATGTCACCCCAGTCGCAGAATTTCTTGTAGAAAGAGAGCTTGTAGACTATGATTTCTATAGAATCATTGACTTTGTGGAAGAAATCGAGCTAACAAGGAAACTCACAGGTTTTGCTGAAAATCTCGATTTTTCGCCAAGTGATTCTGCGTGTTTTCACTATTTCATGGAATTTGTAAGGTGTTTTGGTACTGATCCCAAAGACTCAAGAATACTATTTGAGTTTGAAGAAAATCTCCCTGTAATAAAATATTTGCTACTTAACCCAAAAATACCTTTCCAAACAATGCTGAATGAAGCAAGATGTGTAATACTCGCTGGAGGGACAATTGAGCCAATCGATGAATTTATGCAGCTTTTCTCTGATACTCCTAGAGAAAAGATTGGACGATTCTCATGTGGGCATGTAATCCCCAAAGAAAACCTTTTGGTTTCGATTGTTTCATATGGAGAAAGCGGGAATCCTTTCAAATTTAATTATCAGAGCAGAGATAATGATATAATGCTGACTGATTTATGCAAGCTGATATTAGATGTCAGTCTCACAGTGCCGCACGGAGTAGTTGTTTTTTTGCCATCGTTTGCTTTCTTATCCAAATTAAAAACCTATTTACAAGACCATAATTATTTCCCACAAATTCAGGCTAATAAAACGCTATTTTTTGATAATCGAAATGAAAATAATATGCTGGATCAATATTCCCGAGAAGCAAAAATTGGAGGGGCTATTTTGTTCGCAGTGGTAAGAGGAAAATTAAGTGAAGGAATTAATTTTAATGACGATCTTGGGAGATGCGTAATTATGGTTGGTCTGCCTTATCTAAATGTTAATGATTTAGAAGTTAAAGAAAAAATGAGGTTTTTGGACTCAAAGAGAGGCGATTTTAATGGCAGAAAATTTTATGAAATGAATTGTCATAAAGCGATAAATCAATCGATTGGCAGAGCAATTCGGCATAGAAATGATTATGCAGTCATTCTGCTGGTAGATCAAAGACATAATATGGCAAAAAGGCCTTTATGGATGAGAAGTAATTGTCTTGAAAGAATAGAAAGGGCTAAGGAGGTTGTGAACTGCATTCGTGGATTTTTTGAAAATAAAAAAGTTTTACAGATAATTAAATAATTAGTCTTATAATTTATTTCTATTATAATTATTGCTTGTAGATTTTTTATGTAAAGAGATTACAGATTTTTTTAAGCTGTTTATTAATTTTTGTCTTTTATGAACTTATTTAATATGCGTATTCTGCGATTCCTCTATAGCTCAAATATTTTTGAATTAAATTTAATGGTCATAACCGCTAAAATATGTGCATCTTCTTGAAAAATATTTAAATTTTTAACACAATTATCTTAAGTAATTTCATGATAATTAAAATCATTCTTATTTTTCCCTAAAATCTAGTATAATAAATCTCTAGCTATTTCTGTTTAATTTTGAGCAAATTGCATTTTAAAAAACATAAATTTTTACAACAAAATTTGTGCAATTTGAATCAGATATAAATTAGACCTCTGAATATAGCTTTAACAATTAGGTATATCTATTATAATTTACAGTTAACTAAAAATATCATAATGGGTCTGCAAATTGTCAAAAACTTGGTAGTTTCAACTCCAAGTTGGATTCAAAGCTTAATAAACATCATATCCTATATATCTTTAATAGTTCAGCATACTAGAAATACATTAAAGTGACGGCACGTGTCAACATGTTCTCTAGGCACAACAGCTCATACCTTATGGCTACGGCGAAATGGGACGACTCCAAGCCGAGAATTAAGTGCAGGCTCAAGAGATGTGTATCCGGGTAAGTTTTGGCTGCTTTTCTGTGGCTGGAAGTGGAGGGAATCAACAACGTCCTTTTTGATCCGAGGACCCATGGGCGGCATCCTCTACCAAGAAACTGGGAGCTCGGTCCAGGCCACAGGGGAAGTAATCTTTTTCCTGTAGCTGTTCAAGGAAGGCACTTCGGAGTCCGAAATATTTCAAATTCTAATCGCTCGTAGCAGGGCCGCAGAAATCCATAAGCCGCTCGCTCAAGATGCTTCAAGCCAAGGAGACAGAAGGTACCAGAAAGGCACTTGTAAGATTGATAGACCCTCTGGGCTGGAGTCGAAAAGCGGTAGAACCTCCAGTATGGGAGGTCTTTGGTGAATGCGTGACCAATATGGCTAGTGCCTGACTTTTAATAATCCTAGTCCCTTTTTACTTTTCTAATGGGTCTGTGACTTTAAGTGAATCCTATATTCTCAACATCACCTTTACCAACATTTGCATAGATCATAATTAAGCGTTTTAATGCTTTACTTTCGTCTTGTGCCTTATTTTAATAATAAATCAATCTTCCTTCGCACATATGTTACAATTAGTATAAATTTGTAATGTAAAAGTAATAAATTTTGCTTTAATTGTTATATTTAATAAAATAGATATAAATTACTAATAAGAGCGAACTCATTCAAAATATCTTTTATTATTGATAAGATTAAGCATTTATAAACTCTTTGCTTTATTAAGGCATTCCATAGCTTCTTCTCTTCTGCCTAACTTATCAAGAGCATGCCTTTATTTCTAAAATAAAATGCAATTCACATCGCACTTTGGGTCTATTCTTTTAGCTATTCTACCGCATTCCATAGCTTCTATTTTTCTGTCTAACTTAGCTAGAGCATTTCCTTTATTTAAATAATAATTTGCATTGTTTGGATTGATTCTAATTGCATGATAAATAAAATGGCACTCGATTCGAGCGAAATTAGCCCCGCTAATTATTTCCTCTCCCTCAAGCAAATTTTATTTATGCGGTTAGATTTTCTTCTGAGAACTTCTGTGCAGCAATAGCAGTTTATCTCTGGCAGATAAGCCGAGGCACTCCAAGTACATCAAGAGGCTCGAAGTTTTACCTCTTAGCACACCTGAGGAAGGTGACCCTTAGGCGGAATATGCTGGGAGCTGAGTCAAGGATAGCAAGGCAACGCAGCCCGTCGAAGCCGGAATGCTGTATTTGCCCGTGCCCTGGCACAACAAAGTGGATCGATCCAGATGTCATGGGCACGGCACGTGGACAAATATGGTGGCAGCTCTGGAAACAGCTACCCCGTAGTGGACGTTAAACGTTATAAACTTAATCAGAAAAGATTCTAATTGCATCGTTGTAATATTTTAGTGCTTCTCCATAGCTTTTTTCATTAAAAAAGATGACTCCTATGCCATTGTATGCATCTGCATAATCTTGATCAACTCTGATAGCTTCTTTATAGCATTCAATAGCATCTTTTCTTCAGCCTAACTCATATATAGCATATCCTTTATTTGAATAATAATCTGCACAGTTTGGATTAATTCTAATTGCATCGTTGTAATATATTACCGCTTCATCATACCTCTTTTCATTAGATAAGATAGCTCCTATGCTATTGTATGCCTTATCATGATTAGGATCAATTTCGATAGTTTTTTCATAGCTTTCCATGGCTTGATCTCTTTTGTCTAACCCTCTAACCCTCCTTCGTAAGCGAAATAAAACAATTTTGTTTGCTCTCAGAGGGGTTAATTTTTTGTTAAAACATTCTATATAAATTATATTGAAATTTAAAAAAACTCCAATTCACAAAAATTTTGAAGTTAAATATTTATTTAATATGTAAAGTTTATGTTTTAAAATGCAAGCTATTAAAATTAAAAAGAATTAGCAATAGATTTCCATAGGCTAATTATCGCTTATATATCAAATTTTTTTATAAGCAATTTTTTATATTAAACAATTTTCTTCGCACACAGAAGGGTTTTAGGCAAAAAATAGAAATTTCTGATGATTTGTTCGCTCACTGATCATAGGGAAGTAAGAGCATTTCCTTTATTATAATAATAATTTGCACAGTGTGAGTTGTTTCAAATTGCATCGCAAAACTGTTGTACTGCTTCTTCATATCTCTTTTCATTATAGGAGATTATTCCTATGCTATTGTATGCATCAGCATGAGTTGGATCAATTTTGATAGCTTTTTTATAGCATTCAATAGCTTCTTCTCTTCTGCCTAACTCTCTAAGAGCATTTCCTTTATTATAATAATAATCTCCGCAGTTTGGGTTAATTTTAATTGCATCGTTGCAATGTTTCAGTGCTTTTTCATAGCTCTTTTCATTATAGAAGATAACTCCTATACCATTTCATGCATCAGGATAATTTGGATCAACTCTGATAGCTTTTTTATAGCATTTCATAGCTTCTTCTCCTCTGCCTAACTCTCTAAGAGCATGCCCTTTATTTGAATAGTAACTTGCATTGTTTGGATTGATACTAATTGCATCGTTATAATGCTCTACCACTTCTTCATATCTCTTTTCATTTAACTCCCCGGTGAGGGAACAAAACCATTAGAAAAATCCCTATTTTTGCCCAAAAAAATACCCTCCGCGAGCGAACAAAAATTTTTTATGGAAAAAACAATCTGATATATTAGTGATAATTAGTATAATGAAATCTCTAGCTAATTCTGTTTAATTTTAAACAAATTACGTTTTTAAGTATAAATTTTACAAATTAAATAAATATTTACTTTCCAATTTTTGCGAATAAGGATTTTTTTTAATTTGAAAAAAAAAATTTTTAAAAAAAAATTACCGTGAGCGAACAAGATTTTTTTGTGTTAGCTCAGTGGGGGGAGTAAGAAGATATTTCCTATTTGATTGTATGCAGATGTAGTATTTGGATCAACTCTGATCGCTTCTTTATAGCATTCTATAGCTTCTTCAGATCTGCCTAACTCATATAGAGCATCTCCCTTATTTGAAAAGCAATCTGCACAGTTTGGGTTGCAATGCTTTATTGGAAACTCGTTTTTCATTTTATTATATATGAAATCTCGTATGTTTGTAGGTGCATCTTTTAGATTGCCTTCTTTATACTTATTTAATGCTGGCTGTAAATTCTTCACTGTACTCTCAAAGTTCATATGAATGTCTTTCATTTTAAAACGCATTTCATCTGGAATAAAAACTTTGGACTTTTCTTCGTGAAAGCTTTGTATAACTCTGTCAATTTGTCTTCCTATTTCACAGAATAACTCGATTTTATTAGTTGATATAACTGTAAAAATTTCTTTCACTTCTTCAGCAGCTTTACTTGGCTGCAAGGCTAGCAAATTTAAAACTTGATCTTTTTCTATTCTCGATGTTTTTTGGGCATGCCAGATTTTTTCTACATAGCTGCCAATTTTTGTAGAATCAGAGTCGATTTCTTTTAAAGCTTGTTCAAGAACATTTTCATAACTAAAAAGAGTTTGAGTAAAGGAAGAAACTATATTTGCCCTCATTTTATCAATTTTTGACTTTTCTTCAGCAAGAAAGCCAAGGATTGCTTCTTTTGTGCTTTCAACAGGTTCTTCAAAAAAAGAGCTGATATTATGAGGATTGTCGGTAGATCCGCAATGGCTCACTGCGTGTTCTTTGCAAAAATAAGTGGCTGGTGAAGTGCAGTTGCATGAAAATTCAACTTCACGTTCGCACTTTGACTCACAGCATCTTATGGTGCTCATTTTTATAATTACATTACAATTAATTTATTCACCTAAGATAAAATATGTTTTATCGATGCTTAAGGTTTTAAACTCAAAGTACAGTATGTAAACAAGCTCCATTCTATATTAGAAAAACGATTGGTTTAATTAAAAGGATCTTTTAATCTTCATGATTATTCAAATGAGAAAATTTTGGTGTATTCAATTGATATCGACTCTTAATGATAATCTCTATTTTAAAAAGCAAATTTTTGCCACAAAAATCACACCTCAAACCCTGTCAATCTTTTTTGGATTTTTTGTTTTTTAATATACGATATTATATCAATTTCCAAGCTCGGAATCACCAAAAAGTTTTCCTTTCTTGTGATACTTGATTGTTTTTCACATATAAATAAAATATCTCATTATAGCTAAAAGAAAACAATGGGCTTGTGGCTTCATTCAGCGTAAATTCTAATAAGACCACTAATAGCTCTTTGACATCTTGCTGGTCTCTATGTAAAAATACAGGACCCACCACATCAAATCCAGATTTTAAAAATCTTAATAGTGGCAAGACTCATTGTTCCTATTCTGACATTAGCGTTAAACTATATTATTAAGAGGCCCTCGTAATGCCTGAGGTTTCCCCGGTCTACCTTCATCCTTGATGTTTTACCAGGCTGCTCACCGCCTGATCGATCACAACCTTTCAAGGTATTGCTCCTACTGTACGAGGATATGCGCTCGCTACCCGTAGTTGGATGAGTTACGCCTCCCAGCAGTGCGTCAACAGAGATTGCCCATTCAGAAAATCTGAAAAACAAATTTTCTGTGTAGGCCAGAATGAAAATCCAAAGCTAGGGAGTTGCCCGATGACCAAGTATGCATCCTTGGTGGCGCTGAGCTTCCCCTTCCAACTTGGAAATAAATTTCCCCTGAGGCAAAAATCCTGGTGTCAGAATAAGCTGCGGTCGACCTAGTTCGACGTTGCGCTCTACTGTGCCAAGGAAAACCTAGCCAAATGCACATACCGAGCCCCTATTTCCATTCCACAAGGTTCCCAGTGAACACCCGGCTACAGGTGGTTGAGAAAAAGAGCTGGCTCGCCGTCGCCATTTTAATGTTATGCTTCATATTCTTAACATTGAAAGGACTTTAGATAAGATGATTGAAAATTTATTAGTTTTGTTATTTATAATTTCATAAAGCTCATTGATACTTGAGAAGATTTAAGACAAATGCTTTTTATATTTGGGATGCCGTGCTTTATATCAGGGAAAATAGGATTTTCTTAATCTTCCTATGAGAATTATGAGTTATTAATAATTCCGTTTGTAGCATAAATTCTCTGTTTCTTGGCTAAATTTATCGCGAACTTGTCTTACAATCTTATTGGAATCTGTAAATGTAGATAATAAATTATTGTGATGATTGATTAGTTTTTCGTGCTTAAAAAGAGGGCAACTTGTATTTTATGCTTTACTCGCAATTTCCCTATCTCTTTCAGATTTTTCTTTGCTAAAAGAAATTATCCATCAAAAGATAACTTTAAAGAGAGAAACCTAAAAACGAGTGGCCGTGAAGTACAATTGTATGAAAGCTCAACTTCACGCTCGCACTTTGGCTCACAGCATCTTATAGTTCTCATTTTATAATTATATTACAATTAATTTTATTCATCTAGGTAAAAATGCACATGAAAATATGAAAGTAGACTTATTAAAAAGCAACCTTATAAAAGACTTGAAAGGGGTGTCAATCAAAGAAAACATTTTTGAACTGGAGCTATTAATGAATAGAGAAAGGACTTCTAGACTTGCTCAGGATTTATTGGAAAAAAAAAAGATTTTACTGAAAAAGAAACAGAGTATTAAGAAATTAGTGAAAAATTAAGAAAATTCCAAGTTAAAGCTGAAGTCAGTTTTCTACAACACAAGAAGGCTTAGTTAATATCCAAGAAATAAGCAAAATCGATGAAAAAATCAATCATTTAAAGGAGGTGTATAAGAATTTTTTAAAATAATTGCTTACTTAGTTCATCTCAAACTGATTCCGAAAGTTCTTCAATGCCGTTTCTTGATTCAACTAAACGTTAGCTAAAAAATGCTGGGATTTTCCCTTCAGCTTACTATTTTTTGACTACGATCTCTACAAAAATTCTTTCAATGGTACGAGCCTTACCAATAAGCTTTAAATGTTTCAAGAAGTGCAGAAAACAGAATAAAGCTAAAGGAAAGACGCTCAGGCATGCATATATAATTATTATATGACTGCTTATTATAACAATTTTATTCTAAATCTGCATTTTTTGGAGTAGTTCAATACTGTCTAGGGTGTTAGGGTGTTAGGGTGTTAGGGTGTTAGGGTGTTAGGGTGTTAGGGTGTTAGGGTGTTAGGGTGTTAGGGTGTTAGGGTGTTAGGGGTGTTAGGGTGTTAGGGTGTTAGGGTGTTAGGGTGTTAGGGTGTTAGGGTGTTAGGGTGTTAGGGTGTTAGGGTGTTAGGGTGTTAGGGTGTTAGGGTGTTAGGGTGTTAGGGTGTTAGGGTGTTAGGGTGTTAGGGTGTTAGGGTGTTAGGGTGTTAGGGTGTTAGGGTGTTAGGGTGTTAGGGTGTTAGGGTGTTAGGGTGTTAGGGTGTTAGGGTGTTAGGGTGTTAGGGTGTTAGGGTGTTAGGGTGTTAGGGTGTTAGGGTGTTAGGGTGTTAGGGTGTTAGGGTGTTAGGGTGTTAGGGTGTTAGGGTGTTAGGGTGTTAGGGTGTTAGGGTGTTAGGGTGTTAGGGTGTTAGGGTGTTAGGGTGTTAGGGTGTTAGGGTGTTAGGGTGTTAGGGTGTTAGGGTGTTAGGGTGTTAGGGTGTTAGGGTGTTAGGGTGTTAGGGTGTTAGGGTGTTAGGGTGTTAGGGTGTTAGGGTGTTAGGGTGTTAGGGTGTTAGGGTGTTAGGGTGTTAGGGTGTTAGGGTGTTAGGGTGTTAGGGTGTTAGGGTGTTAGGGTGTTAGGGTGTTAGGGTGTTAGGGTGTTAGGGTGTTAGGGTGTTAGGGTGTTAGGGTGTTAGGGTGTTAGGGTGTTAGGGTGTTAGGGTGTTAGGGTGTTAGGGTGTTAGGGTGTTAGGGTGTTAGGGTGTTAGGGTGTTAGGGTGTTAGGGTGTTAGGGTGTTAGGGTGTTAGGGTGTTAGGGTGTTAGGGTGTTAGGGTGTTAGGGTGTTAGGGTGTTAGGGTGTTAGGGTGTTAGGGTGTTAGGGTGTTAGGGTGTTAGGGTGTTAGGGTGTTAGGGTGTTAGGGTGTTAGGGTGTTAGGGTGTTAGGGTGTTAGGGTGTTAGGGTGTTAGGGTGTTAGGGTGTTAGGGTGTTAGGGTGTTAGGGTGTTAGGGTGTTAGGGTGTTAGGGTGTTAGGGTGTTAGGGTGTTAGGGTGTTAGGGTGTTAGGGTGTTAGGGTGTTAGGGTGTTAGGGTGTTAGGGTGTTAGGGTGTTAGGGTGTTAGGGTGTTAGGGTGTTAGGGTGTTAGGGTGTTAGGGTGTTAGGGTGTTAGGGTGTTAGGGTGTTAGGGTGTTAGGGTGTTAGGGTGTTAGGGTGTTAGGGTGTTAGGGTGTTAGGGTGTTAGGGTGTTAGGGTGTTAGGGTGTTAGGGTGTTAGGGGTTGGGTGTTAGGGTGTTAGGGTGTTAGGGTGTTAGGGTGTTAGGGTGTTAGGGTGTTAGGGTGTTAGGGTGTTAGGGTGTTAGGGTGTTAGGGTGTTAGGGGTGGTGTT